AGGTGCGAACGTTCCTGGCGGCGCACCGAAGGGCCCTTCTACAACGTTTTTCAGGTATTTGGTAGATAGCCGACCCTGCTAGCGTCAAGGTAAGCGTAGAACGTCTGCTCTCCAATGCTGATTTCCATTTTAAGACATGACTTACTTCCTGTGCGAGCAGCATGGTACGGTGGCAAGGGTGCTAGCGGCTCGACAGTTTTAGCGTTAAACGGATGCTTCCCGGTGGTTTGTCATTAATAATCACGCCTAGCTCGTCCCGCCGGTACAACCACAGAGGATGCAACTTCTCCTCGTGAGACCGGTTCATTTCCTGAATCATTGCACCTATTTCTACAATTTGCTTGTGCATGGCGGCAAACTATCGGTGCTTGCGACATTCACCATGGTTGTGGCTGCTGTTTAGGACCTGGCCCTGGTTCTTGGGCCATCGTTGCCAGTATGCCAGTGACTCCGGATTGCGAAAGCACTCAGTATCCTAGTTCTTGTTACGTTTGCAGTACGTGCAGTATTTTGCGTTACCTTTGTAATTGCGATGTTGTCGTGGCTGTCCACGCAATGGAAAGGAAACGTCATCGACCGAAGGATGCTCTTCTTGGTCACGGCGTTGATCAATAGCTGCAGAGCTTCATCGACCAGAAGGAGATGAATGCTGCTTGGGCTTCTTCGTCGTTTCCCCAGTTGCCCATAAAAGCATACTATTGTAATCAAGCGCGTATCCTATACAGCTTCGTTGATTCTATCCACTCAGTATGCATCGCAAAGAAAATCGGCATCGCGTAGCAATGCCAGCAGCAGGCAGACGATCGCACTCAAACTGGCGAAGATGCCTAGTAGGCGCAACCTTAACTCTTCATCTCCCACTTCGTTGCGTTTGACTTGCGGAAGCTCGTGCTGTTATTTCCACGCAAGTTTACGCCTTTTTAAGGCCATTGAAAGGTCTAGGGTTTAAGTTTCACGTTTTTTCTGCGACCGCTAAATCGAGTATAGGACGTGTGATCGGCCATGGAATTTCTCATAGACGACTACATTGAGGGCGTTTTGCGATTGTGGGAGTAGCACATGATTGAGACCAGCCTGGATGCCAAGGAAGAAGCAGCAACGCGATGACATTGATATGCGTACGAGGCAGTTAGCAAAATGCGTGAATAGATTGGTGTAGTGGTGGGACATCATATTTTTATATCATATTCTGCTTTTTTCTTGCACATTTTAGCAGCAAGGATCCTGTAGTGGTTTCCAGCAATAATTTCAAGTATGGCAAGTCCGGCCGTACATTGCGTTAGGGCCTTGTTCGTGTATGTCGGTCTGGTAAAATAGTCAGTAGGGCTGCGTTTTACTCACACACTTTGACTGGCTAAAAATCACGTTTAGTAGTCCTTGCTCGACTTATCGTTTAACCTGACGGAGCATAACGTAAGCGGAAAATGGAGGGGCACCATGCGGTCATGCCGATAGTGGCACCTGCCCTCTGTAGAGCTCCCACAGGGCTGGCTGTCGCCGGAGCGGTAGCCGCAAAACCCGAAAGGAGGCTGTCAATCGCTTTCACGTTCCTGTACGCATGGGCGTCCACGTAGCTATGACGGACCCTACCTGGAACCAGTGGTTCCAACCAAACTTGCGCTGTTTGCAAACGGACGTTTGTAATGCTGTGTATGTTGCTTGAACCACGCTTAGCTTAGCGCGCACCCTCTATCATTTCGCCTCCTCTGAGGGCTACCGCGAGACTGCGGCAGCGTTGGGCGTGGTGTGATAATGCAGTAAAAAGGACGCTGCGCGTACTGTGTCATGTGAGCACGGAATCCGTGAAGATACCAGAAAAGGAAGGAGGATAGGATGAAATAGACGAAGGTTTTCTCAATTTAAATGGATCCCCATAATGCGCAAGAGCTGTCCTCGGCACTCTTGTAGATATCCAAAGACCGCATATATGTGATGGATGATATAACTTTTAAAGGTAAGCTGGAAAACGTTTGTTGCAAAGTGATTCTAGGCTGTCCCCCGCTCGATATTCAACCCAGGTGTGACCATCGCAAGAAATTGATTTCCTTTGATGTGCGCCCTCGGTAGTCGCGGGAGAAACAATTTGGAAGTACTCAAAATTTGGCAAGGATGCGGGAGTTTAGTTCCCCATGATTATCATTTTCTGAGAAATTCAGATTATACGCTACTCCCAGTGCTTATGACTCCGTTTCCGGACGCCGGATAGCAAAGCGAGAGATACCCAGAGATACTCGATACAACTACATACATTTTTCCACTCGAATTAAAATTGAAGGAGGTTTTGCATTTGTAAAAACCGGTTTAGAGTCTTTAAGACAACGCTGGCGGCAAACCTATCTCCGGTGCTGCGCGGACAGTGATATTGTGCATGGAGCTACATAGCCTCATGATCTACTTCGAGGAGGATGGGTTCAGTGAATCCTTTTTCGAGGACCAAGTTGATTAAAACAGTGACCAGGTAGCTGAAGGTGGATCGACAATGAAAGAACTCATCACGCTTGAAATATGCAAATAAACATGAAAGGAGAACGCGCAAATGATAATTAGATTGGCTGGGTGTTGTTTGGGGGCTGCTTACAGTGAAAACATTGGTAGTTCGCTAATGTTGTTCTTCATCTATTCTGTGGGAAGTAGCTCGATCAAACTTGCAAAGCTTTGGTTCTGCACTTGTAGTCGATCGATGGCGATACTAAGACGAGACCCCAGCAGAGCTTATGATTGCTGGGGCTGGTTATAGAGCAACTAGGCCTGCTGACGAGATTGCAGTACCTACGGTGTTGAACGCCATTGCCTTCAACCGACCTCCGATCCTTCGGCCACAGTCTTAATTTCGTTCCTACCGTGCTACAGCTTAGCATGCCAGATCGGGTCTACACAAGTCTGATCCTCGCTTATCATCTCCTGTTGATGGGCTTCTGCATGATAGAAACGGCCATGAACATCAGTATCGTGTTAGCCGTAAGCGTCAAAGATAAGAAGAAAACTTGACCGAGGGATATTATGCGTGACGCATGCAAATATGTACAATCAACGAAGGACAAAGAGATGGCACCGATCATGTGGTGGGATAGCAAGCCCGTCTTCTTCTTAGGCGCGGGTGGAAGTGGGGGGTGACCTATTCATGGATCGCATAGTGCGCCGTGAGAAGACGAGGAGGCTACCACGAGTACATCGTCGGAGTTGATGTCCATGATCAACTTCGCATTCAGCGCTACTCGCTGCCAGGAGCGATTACCTTCCTGAAGTACTACAAATTCTCTATATTTTGGGCTGATAGGCCCGGCAATCGCCACTGGATACATTGTTCACCGTGCTTACCACGCTAACAAGGGCACACGACGCATGTGCAGTTCTTTCACATGCTGTACCTGGAACTGACTCGCATGAAGCGAAAAGACATGCACGAAGACAAAAAGTTCGGAGTGGGTACGACTGCTATCTTCTGAACTGTAGATTATACTTATTGTTCCCCACACTAACATGTGCATATGTAATGGCTAGGCTCGGCGGCTTCCCCAGCTTCTCCTGAGCACCTGCTGCTTCTACGAGCAAAGCGAAACGTACTCCATGTACCCAGCATTTACCGAACCGGATAGATGAATAGAATAAGCCTTCGGGGCAGTCGGCGCGAGTGCGGTGAAACGGCAAGGTCTGCTCTTTGATGTGAATGGATGGAAAGCGAAGTGGGACGACGTATTACTACGATGCTTGCGTCGACTCTCTGCAAGCGTACTTGGGCATTTGAAGCCAGTAAAAACCGTCGACACTGTCCTGATGCGCGGCTGGGAGATCTGTTATACCACCTACCAAAACGGCACCATATCCAGGTCACATGCAGAACAAGATCCGGCTGCACAAGTTCCCACCCAAGAAGTGTCGCCGTGCTTCTTCGGGCCGGTCGAGTGACTGAGAGAGTGAAAGTGGAAAGGGTGAGCGTATGAGACCGCGCCAGAGTCTGCGCACGTCCGGAGATGTAGTGTTGTTTGCTGATTTGTAGCCGGGAGATCAACTGACTTTCAATGATTGCTTGTTTAAACTTACTGTACCGTTATATTTCATTTGAGTTTTGCATGCCGGTTAGGTGTACGCTTCATTTGTTTGCACCGGTACATGAATCGGGGCTACTTGGTTTCAGTGACGCCGCCTCTTGCATCATCTGCGCTCATATTTTCAAAAAAGAAGTATAAGCATTTTAGAGCTTGAGCTTCGGGTTCTGTACTGAACATGGAGGAATAACAGTTCTATAGTTTTGCAATAGTAGTGCGATTACATGCTTATACAGCTTAAGGATGATGTTTATACCGATGGTAGCGCACAAAATACAGTGTAGAAATAGCTTCACGTAGCGTCTGCGTCCCAGACATTTTCTCCGCCTTCCCAGAGCAACCCTCGATAGTACAATACAAACGTCTAGATACAATTATGATGCATTTACAGCATAATTCTATCTAGATGTTTGTAGGTTGAAGGGATTACAATTCTTGGCAGTATAAGCGTTGCATTATTGTAATGTACCCGATAACGTTGCTGTTTTGTTTGCAATAATTTGGCATAGCTATGGGCAGACCACTTTAAAAGTGGCAAAATCAGATTTTTTTCACTTTTTCCACTTTTAGTTGAACCTTGAAGGTGGAAGGATTTTGGTCATGTGGGAGTACCTGATGGGTAATGGCATGACTCTCTGCTCTCGAGATGATGCTAAATAATCCTAACCACCAGTACTAGCTGCCATTCGAGTGCTGAAGCGGGGTAGATGCAGCTTATGCGTTTTCTGAGCTCGTTGGGAGAGCATCAGGACCTGGGTAGGATCTGTTATCCATCCACCTATTCGACGTCAGTTTCGCTTTTCTCCGATACACCTCAAACACCGACTCAAGACCCAACTCCTCATCCCAATGAAGTCTAAGAAGACAATTTGACAAACAAAGTTTGGGGGCAAGGCGTCAGCATCCCGTAAGGTCACGAAGAGAGGCTCCAAGTTCGGCGGGAGGTTCTGCACCATGTACGGCTTGAAGGTCGGGTCCCGTAATGCGGAACAAGTGCGGTCGAGACGGCAGTGTGTAGTTTCTGCACAACGTTCGGTAGGGAAGCGCAGTCTGATGCAAACCGCGCACGGACAACCAACCCCAAGTTCTTCACTTCATTCCGGACGAACTTGTTTGAAAAGCACTTGGTGGGGCAGCACCCGGTCAAATGGGCCGAGTACTGCAAACTCTCGACGGACGACGAAAGGCGCGCGTATTTCACGTCTGTCCCAGTGCCGTACAGCGAGACGTTGGACTCCGTGTTAGAAAGCGAGGATGTGCTAGTGTTTGCCGTCAACCGCGCCATTGTGGACAAGATCGTTGGGGGACTACTATTTCACCCCGATGACGTGGACGAGAAATCTCACGCCAAAGCACTGTCATCCTTTGTGCCCCAGGGGCCTCAGTACAAAATCACAATAAAGCGACCATCTCGATTCCGGCTTTGTTTGCGCTTACTGGGTCGCGGGGCATCGTTCCGTATGACAGCCAATCTAATGGACGATACAAGGGAAGAGACGGGCATCGGCCGGTATGGCGGCTGCAGTGAGGGGGTAGTGGCGCACTATGCTCGCGTCGTATGTGCGGTATCGCTGCAGACATTGGCAAATCGCCTCTCAGCAACTTGGGCGTTCTCGCTGGCCCTTGACTGCGGGACTCGCTTGGGCAAGTCCGTATGTGGACGTTCGGTGCCGATACTACACCAACGGGTCGCTTGAAAACTACCACCTGCTTGCGATCCCACTCTATGAGCGACACACAGCGCTCAACATCTTTGCTGTTGTAGTTGAGCTCTTAGATGCTCTTGTACCACGGTGGAGGTATCAACTACTTGGTGTCGCGACTGACGGAGCAGCAACAATGGTTGGCTGTGTCAATGGAGTCGCTACTCGTTTGGAAAAGGAAGCCAAGCACATGATTGTTCGGGTGTGGTGCGGTTTACACAAGCTGGACCTGAAGATGCAACTCGTGTTTGAGCAAGCCCTCAATGAGACCTATCTGACAAAAGTCACTGATTTAATTGGATTTCTAAGACGCCAGCAGAACCTCGTCGCCGACATGCAGACAACCTGTCCAAAGGTCGCAAGTACGAGATGGTTGTCGATGTACGCCGTTGCGGATTTCCTGTCAGAGAAAGAGGCAGAGTGTTCCCCGAACTTGGTGTGGTGGATATTCCTCTTTGCTCTCCGTGAGCTGGCTTGTGAGGTCAATGCTGTGTTTGTGTCGTTGCAAGGCATGACCACGCTTGTCAAACAACAAGATGACCGCTTTGGAGGTCTTGTGCAACGCCTCCTCAACATTAGTGGGGCCCTTGGCCCCCTGGACGAAGCCGCAATCCTGGAGCTGGACAGTGGCAAGTATGAAATCATTGGGAGCTTTGTCATTTCCCATGCAGCGGCCGCCACGTACGTGAACAACCTCGATCTTTGCGTGTCCGAAGGCCTTAAGACTCTCGCCGAAGGGCAGCAAACATTGGTTGTCAATGCAGTGGCTCGAGTGTATCTCCTCGCTATCTCAAACATATTCGCACTCAAGGAACCGGCACACATCAGCCCGCGCGTCACTCCCAAAGAGCTTGTGACTAGTTCAATGGTTGACCTGGCGTCGCTAATTGACCCACCGCGAGCGAATCCTCCGGACATTCGGGGATGAAAGCATTGATAAAATCGGACAAGAGTTCAAGCGGCTGAGGGTCGAGTATATCGATGGCAAACCGATTCGAAAAGCTATTGACAGCTTTGACCACCGCCTTGCCAGCTTTGATCAGATGTGGCAGCTTGACGACGCTGCTACGAGGTTTCCAACATTAGCAAGCATGTGTGGGGGATTCGCCAGCAACACTACCACTGTTGAGGCTGATTTCTCGCTGATCGGATGCGAGAAAACAAACAGGCGTACATCACTAACAGACATAGCACTGGAGGGTATTTTGCACTGCAAGCAGTGGCAGCGTTTATCGCCGCTGGCTTCGTAGGCGAGTAGCAATTGTACTTGGCTAATGTATGTTCCACTTTGTCCACTTCCTGGCGAGAAAAAGTGCCACTTTAAAGCGAACAGTGGAAAAATTGACAATTGCCACTTTTAAAGTGGTCTGGCTATGGGTGATAAAGTTAGGAGTTAGTGCTGTATCGCGGCTACTCAGGAAAATCTTAGCAAGGAAAACCATTCGCAGTTCAAGGACACCGTTCCATGATCAGCACACCCGCATACTTTGGCGTAAGGGACTATGGCTTCTCAGATTCACTGATGGATCTATAGTTCTGAGTTGTCCACTAAAATGGCATTTGTATTTCGCCACTATATTCTTCTGCTAGTGTAGCACACACTGCGTTCTTGCTTCAAATAGGTTTGCGTCCATGTCAGATCTGATTACACATTAAAAACTTTGCAAGTAGTTGTTTACGCAGTCATAGTTGTGGTACAGAGAGAACACGTGTGCATTGCCTTTCAAAGATATTTGGTACTTTGGCAAGCTGGTTTGAAACATGAACAGCCTTGTGCGTGATAGACAGCGGTTGTACTCATGGGATTGTACTCATCACATGATTATTATGGGTGCCGCGCATGTCATCAACGACAGAAGTGGTGTGCACATATCATAAGACTCACGAAGGCCTATAAGTGATACAAAAACATAATAATCATGCTAAATGTATATGTATATGTATGTGTTCTATACAGAAACCATGTTATCGTGCATGCCATTCATGATAATGAAGATGTACGATACCATTAGCAGGACTGAGGTACAATTTGGGTGCTTGTTGCTATGGTCAAATGTGGTGTATTCGTGCACATAAGAGCCGGATATGTATGTCGCATGCATATCGTTCTTCTAGTATATTAATAGATAAATCCAAGGCGTCCCTGGAGAATGAAGCGCTATGAACAGTCCATACGCGTTGAGGCCGTTTGAGTCCAAAGCTCTTCTAAACATGATCATTGTTGGTCGCTTCTTTTTTAGTCAGGTTTGTGCGCAGCAGTTGGTTCACGCGATCAACACCATTCATGAAGATAGTCTACACCATAATAATTAATGGAGTATGCCGGATACTTCTGTGCATAACTTCGCTGCCTGTCCACCGAGTCAGTGGCTCAAGTCTGAGGACGCTGCGAAGCGCTTCTTCACTGTTTAGTTCTTGAAAATGAACTGTACATGGAGCCGCCAATCATTCGTATCGAAAACAACAACCCCTTTGTTTTCGAATACGATATTCCGCACTTCCAGTGCAAAGCGAAGCGGAACTCACCAAACCCAATGCCTGCGCTCTCCAACGGGAAGACGCATGGTGGTCAGTGATAATTTTTACACCCGTCATGTGCTCGTCAGCGCTATTCGACCTCTGACAGACTGCGAAGTCAGGATGTTAGAAATCATGAGGATGAATCTCGTTGATGCCTGAAAAAAGCCAGGGGTTCGCGCTGCAATCAACCGTATTGAAGATGCAATCGCATTGAAAATGTTCTGTGTGGTACTTAAGAGCTCATTGCGGCTATTGAATCTGTGCCAAACTGGCAAATACTAGAGGAAGAACATGAAACGACACAGAAGGGATTGCCAAAGCGCAAACGCTCAGCATTCAAACCAATTATGGTTGCACAAACCGCGGACGGCTTATCCAGATCCAACACGACTGCAGGTCGAGGTGACGCTGTATACAAAGGGTATACAAAGGGGTACGCTTTGTGAGGAACGTCTCCATATATTTTTGCGGAGGCGAGAGTTGCGGCACCAATTCAGAACTGTTGTACCAGAGAGATTGAATATCCAATCGAAACTAATTCGCCACTGAAAAGAGCTGAATCCTGTACTTGCACGGTTTTGATCTACAGTCAGCAGCTGCAGCGTCTCGATCGATAGCCTATGAAGCGCCCGCATGCCACACCTCGTATACGCTCGCATGGAGCGTGTGAGAATACCATCACTTCAGTTGCCGAGAAACCACTTGTCATAACCAGGCGTCAAAAACAATGCTCTTAAAAGATAAGAATATTATTGTGTCTTTTGATGTACCTCCAGCTTACAGGCTTCGAATTTACTTTATGGGTGATACCCCCCCCCCCGAGCGTTTGGGATCTCTAGTCAGAAAATAGATTAGCGGATTCTGGACAATCTCATTGCCATCGCTAAAGAAAGATTTTCATATAATTAGTTAGCTAAACGGCAGTGCCGTGGAGTTAGACAAGACGCATACTCCACTGGAGTCGCTCGCATAGAAGCTGATTATCGGGCACACAACGTCGTAGCTCCTCCGCCGCCGTCTTTGCCCGATAGTAGAGCAGGCCATGCTGAAACTGGTAATTCTCAAACCGTATAGCTCTAGGAGTCCCGTGTCTGCTGATGCTGCTACGAGGAGCTGCCAAATAAGTCCGAAGTACGAGTCGTTGACATAGAGACGAGCGCGCTGTTGCTGAGTTGAGTGTGAAAGTGCTGTTTGGTGTCGATGTGCATACGGATGCGTCGATACACCGTCTGTAGAAGACGGTGTATCGACGCGTAAGACGGTCTTCTGCATTTTCATCGCCACCTTTTTTTTTTAGCAATTCAGCTAGGGAGATACTCGTTGTGTCCTGCATCTTGCTTGGATTTTTAGAAATGATATCACCAACAGTATTAGCTACTCCTTCGATCCAGTGAAACCGAGACTGGTACATGCCCAGCTCGTTTAGCCATCGTGTGAGCCGTTGATAACGCGTTTCGGCTTCAGAATTGATTCGAGCGTGCGGTGGTCGGTGATGATCTCAAAACGCTTGTCGATGAGGTAGACTTTCCTTGTGCGCATGGCATAGAGTGCCGCAAGAAGCTCCTTTTCCCTACATGGGTATTTGATCCCCGACGACGACAACTTCCGTCCACCACACGCGATAATGTGCACATGCTACGCGTCATCCGATTGATACATGCAGCCGCCAACGGCATAATCGAAGCGTTCGTTTTCAAACAGAATGTTCGGTTGAAATGTGGATGCGCTAGCGCGGTCGGGTCGGAGAGAGAGGCGACGCTTGAGCTCATCAAAGCAGAGCGCAGCTCATCATTGAACGCTAGTTGCTTGTTGCGACTTTATCTATCGGCATCTCTGTCAATGGGGCCGTGAGCTCCGCGAAACCAGGGCGGTACTTTAGTAAACGCAGGTGCCTAAAATGACTGAAGCACGGGCTGCACCTTGGGAAGCGGCCAATGCTGGATGGAGCGGTCTTATCGGGATCCATGTGAATGCCTTCAGCGTCAATAAAATCGACCAGACAGGGAATCGCGGTCGCGTACGATGTACATTTTGAGACCTTGACGTAAGCTGCTCTTGTTTAGATATATCCAGGCCTTTCTCCAACGCGACCATGTGATTCTCCACGTCATGAGTCGGTGGGAACTCGAGCAAACAAGCCAAGTATGCCTTTCTAAAGCTGCTCTTGTCCGCAAAGACTTTCTGGATGAGAGGATTGAACGCAGTGGAACTGCACGACAAGCTCATAGGCGTCACCAAATTATTCAAAAGTCCGTCAGGTCTCGAAAATGTTGTGTAAGGCACAGCTTGCTCTCGCAGGCGAACCTGAAAGAAACACCAGAGTAAGTCCCTGGCCGAAAACACCTTGACATTGTGGATCGCGTTAAAAGTGTCGTCCTTGCGGGGAACGGGAGTGGCTGGTAGCCTGAACTTGGCGTTAATACCGAGGAAATCATGAACGATGCGCCAATCGACTGCCGTTTTGGTGCCGAATGTTGGAACTGAGTACGGAGACTTGAAAATGCGAATAATTTCGGATCGTAACATTTCATGCGGCCATTCACAAATTGCTGCTTTCATACTCTCGCTCAGCCCAAACCACTTACGGGCTACGGGCGCATCGTCATGGAGCTCCATTTCTGTCTTGGTGTCATTTTCTCGAGTTGGAGGAACGGCAGGGAGTTGGGCCTGGAAAACAGCATTATTGTACTTCAGCAGTAGCCGCTCCGCCAGGGTATCTTTTAGGGCGTCCCAGCCTTGATCTTTCTCGTGGTCAGCTTTTGCGGAGTCCACGAACTGGATCATGAAGCAAAACGCGTTGTCTGGCGCTCGCGGAAGCTTCTTGAGCCGCTGGGTAGATATGCCTCGAGTCGGGCCACAGGAAGAATCGTAGTCCGGGTGCATGTCGAACCACTGGAGGGCATCGTCGATGACTATAGTGTTGCGAGTAGCGCGCGAGTGTCGCCGCTCACCTGTTCGCTGGGTAGGAACGTGGCGCTCGCACTGCCGAAAAGAAATCTGGGAGTACGAGCTGCCGCGATATGCGATTATTGGCTCGACCCAGGTTATGTCAGGATTCATATCCAACAGCCACGGCCATCCGAGAAGCACATCCTTTCCTTCTGGGATTGGCATGTCGTAGACAGGAGTTTCGTACGCAGGAAATGGGAGGCAATATTCACCTCAACCTCCGACAATAATCGCCTATCATTACTTTGCTACACAGTTTCTATTGAAGCTCCGTATTTCTATTAGGACAATAAACATTGTATGGAGCCCAGCGTTTGGTGATCGTGGTGGATTCGACGTGTATATAGGATAGACTGCCCAAGTTGAGAAATATATACACAGCTCCGGATTGTACGAGTCGAGGTCTCAAAAGGAGGGAGCATAGGCATGAAGCTCGATTGCGTTCAACAAAATCGTGTCTAGCTTGCGTGCTCACTGATTCTAGCGCAATCAGAACGTTCACGACCTCAGTAACGCTACAGTCGAGCTTAACAAGAGGCACTATTTCCCTCATCCCCTCTCCCCCGCCCGTTTCTCGAGTGGGGGCGAGACGAATATTCAGTCCCTCTAGCAATAGTGGCAAAATGCTAGACCTAAATGGGGGTTCATGGTGTTTTCACATAGGACGTGATGAGTATCTTGCAGTCGAAATAGGGCGCAATGTCGTGCTAGTGGATGTAGGTATCGCTGGGCCCGTGCCTAGTTTTCAAGCGCTGATCATAGCTTCTAAGTACATGTGCTGTTTTGCACAGTGTAGTTGCTGTGCACACATTGTCGTGATAGAAATTCGGAGCTCCGATAGAAATTAAGTACCAAAAGAAAGGTACGGCTGAGGCGATTATTGTCTGGGGGTAAGGCGAACATTTCGTTTTAGCCGATTAGAACGCAATATTCTGTAAATAGGATAGGATATCTAATGAACAATTCTCTGCGAGTGAGTATGCGGGATTGAGGATATGCATAGCGCTTCTGGCGCTAAGTTTGGCCAGAGTCACGTATGTATCCCTGTAGTACCCGTAGTTTAGGAGCCGATGGTAACTGTATAACCTTTGTAGTGCACTGGTCGCGTGTAGTGGCATATCCGTCTTGGCAGCCTGGACAGGCTCTGGTGGGAAGGTTGGGGGTCTGTGGTCAAATGTGAAATAGACGAGAGTGCAATGAGTGTTTTGGGGGTCAACTTTTACAATGTCCACCAAAAGACGCAACGCGTTTGTGCGTCTCGCACTCGGACGTAAGTCCCCCAAGGTCGTACGAGGCGAGCAAGCCCAGGAGAAGAGAGCCAACTCAGCCGTTGTCAACGAGATTTCACATCACCAAATAGGCGTTCTTAAGGACATATACACTTACGTCCTTCAGAAGGCGTACGAAAAACTGGACATGCCAGTCGATTCCTATTGACCGTACTTCACAAAAGAAATGATTTTTGAGGTTTTGAAACTGCAGTCATCTTAACGTTAAAACACCCCGAATTTCCCTAAAAATGCGGTTTTCGTGTTCACATATTGCCGAACACTGCGTTCTAGTTGGCTAAAAACGCCAAATTAAATTCAAAATGCATCAAAACGCATTTGTTTTGTTAAGCATGTACATTGGGGAGTATGGTAATCTCATTTAAAGACAAATCTACACCTTTTTCGAGCATCCAACATGTAAACACGCAGCTAAATCTCATCAACGGGTGAGTAAGAGCATCTACACAGCGGAGGATCAAACAGCATATTTACTCATAAGTCCATCACACCACGCGGACTAAATCAGCGAATAAGGCTCGAGCAAATTTGTCCAAGGCTTAATCTATCCAGCAAGAGCTGAGCGATGTTGTATGGCGTGCCACGTTTATCAGAAAATTGTGCTTTCATAGTTCGTTCTGTACAAGGAGAGCAGCCCTTCAGCTACGTATGCGGGTCCTTGACTTTCGGCGTGGTAATATAGCGAGGTACGTAATGGAACAGGTGCTGCTTAACTCATATTTACTGTCATGGTGCGCACTTTAACCTCAATTTTACTCCCAGCGGTGCAGTAGCTCTGAGTGAGTGATTGGAACATCTCTATAACCCGAGTTATATATCGTAACCTGGAGTAAATAGCGCGCAACCCCCATATGGTATATTTAGGGCTGAGGTGGGCAAAAGGCGTGATTACCACAAAAAGCAACTACTGTATTGTGCCTTTCACTTATTCTGCCGAGATAATTCTGACATAACTCTAATCCCCTATCGACCTTAATTATACCCCGAGTTAGCTAATTCCCATGTTACTTTCGGGTCATCCATCCGTGGCCGAATTAGGAGCGGCGATGGTAGCTAACCCAGCCTGCGTTAGGCGGACACAGAGCAATTGGCGGTTTCATACCCGCCAATTCATGCCATTCTGCTCGTATCTTCGTCGATTGGCTCTCAAATGCTAAAGTGTCCTGGTGCTACCGTTTGTTAAACAAAATATGATACAGCAATTTGCTTATAGAGATCTGCGCCCAATATCCACCTGGTAATGCTGATGTGTGTTCGTACTTAACAGCAAATAGAGGATTCAACATGTTGTGTACTTAGGCGGGTTCTTATTTTCCCGCTCCCAGCTCCGGGGGGGGGGGGGGTCATTCTGCAAGACTATTGGCTCATCGGTGAGTGCAGCCAGGCGTGTTTCTCCCAAAACTCTCCCGCTCCCAAGGGCGAGAGCGGGACGAATGGCGTTCCGCCCTCGAGCGCCTGCAGCATCAAAAGGCAAACGATGGAGAAGGTGTAGAGAACGCGATGGAGGGGTACAAGAAGTGGAGCGCTAAAGCGGCTTTGAGATCGTCCCTGTTGATAGCGGAGACGATCGCAGCTACTGGAGTAGTTCAGGACCCCTTTCAGCAGGCTACGTCTGACCGGACGACGGTAGACCGCGTGTTCTGCCTACTGAACGTGTTGTTTTTCAGACCCCTTCTGTGAAGGGGTTGCGAGCCTAGGTGGCGTAGCGACCCGGCAAGCTCTCGATACCCACACCATCGGAAATGCCTCCCCCTGGTTTAAAGGCATCACAGCGGCATACAACGATGAGGACAACAAATAATTCAACGCTCAGCTGCATGTTCTACCAGAGTTCTCTAGCATCGACCCTGTGGCGTTCAAGCGCCCTGATATATACAAGTTGCGGGCAATGTGGGAGGAGATTAGTAGGGCCTATCGCGAAGCCTGTGCAAGTTTCAAGAAGTCAGATAACAACGGATATTTTGCCGCCTTCCATGGTGGCAAGATGAACACATACTACCTGCATTTGCTCACGACAGTTACGAAGCCCAATTTACACGCCTGTGTCGTGCAGATGTTACCGAAAGACGCAATAGCTGACTCATTTGAGTTAGAGTCGAGGTCTGCCCAAAATGCAGTGAAATCAGTCGCTGCTGGGAAAGGTAAGAGTTTAAATGAGTGTGTCTCGGAACTATTATGCTGACAAGTTTACTTTTATTTTAACAGGCACACGAGCCGACGGATTTGTTGAAGCCTTCAAGGAGCTCAGTCAGAATGCGGACAGGGTGCTACTGATAACGCGCAAGATCGTGTTGTTTTAGAGGGCATCGAGCTGTTGGTCATGTTGCGGACGAGCCTCCGCAATATGCGAAGGGAACTAGCTCTTCTCGAGCAAGAAGGACAAACGCAAGGTGATAGCGAATACGACGACTTGCAAAACCGCATTTCTACGCTGAAAAGCTAAATGGAAACCTGCCTTTGCTAGTTTATTAGCCATGTTAAAGATGCATAACACAAACAAATTTGTTTTAGGCCCCGTCGCTTTTTAATTATTCGTTCGTTGAAGTTACGGTTGCTCCGCACATCAACTAATGCGCTAATTTCTTATTCGTGGGGCAGGTCTTGAACGTCTTGGTGGTCTGCTTTCCCTCGAATATTATACTTTGGTCTTCGGTAGCCTTGGGACCAAATATGCTTGCAAAATTTCTTCTCGAAGGACGCACGTTCGGTTTTGCACGCCTACAGTATCGGTGGTTGAAGGAATGTAGCCAAGTGCGTTGCTGTCCCGAGCTCCTGGAATGTAAATTCTGCCAATATCTTTGCCAGCGCCGTACGCGTTTTCTCGGCTGTTCACACAAAAATTGTGAAGGCGCATTATTGTATGGACTACTACACCATTTCCGAGTTGTTATGCTCAAATGCTAGATTCAAAACAATCACTCGAAAAAAATGCAGTAAACAGGTCGGATCCACAACCCAAAATGCTCGATTCAAAACAAGCATCTCCTTTTTCAAAACGACCACTGTACCATATATTTCGTACACTTATTTGCCTACTTGCATGTCTTTCATCAGAATTGCGTAGGCGATAAACGCGAAGGTGTGACGGATGCACTTGCTGCACAAAGGAGGAGTCACAACATCAAAGAAGATCACGTTGGCGGCGTGGAGGAGAAACGCTGAACGGTGCGCTGTGATCGGTGTACCCTCGGGAACACTCAAGATACTGCTCCTGTTGGCAGCCATGTACCTTTTCACCGCCGCCTTGCACATGGATAAGACGTTCTCAATGCCGTTGAGCATGGGTGGATAAGGGCCAAAACGCAAGCACTCAGCCCCCGCAATCTCCGCTTCCTCAAATACGTCCTCCACGTTCGTGTGGCACGGAGCGTTGTCAAGCACAACAACGACATTGCTCAACGGCCCTCACGTAGCTGGATCGCGCAGCAGCGCGCGCACGGTTTCGTTCGCCGCCTCGCTGTCGAACGAGCAGAAGCGTCCTTCGTAGTACTCCACGCCGTCGCGCGAGATGACGTGGAGTTCTTGCTCTTGGACGACGTACCCATGTCCACTGCGCGCTGCACCGCTTTGCTCCACCCGTAGTTGCGGCTGATCCAGATGTTAAAGTTGGTTTCGTCGAGATAGAGGATTTTCTTCTCAGCCCCCACATACTGTAGCAGTTTCATCGCGAACTCCTGCCTTTTCACCTTGTTTACCGGAGAGTTCCGGTAGTTGTTGTCTCTGTCCGTCTTCTTGGCCGTGAAGCAGCGTCCCTCTAAGTTTGCCCGCACCGTCTCGATCTCTACACGAACGCTAAATTCGTCAAACAGAAGGGTACGCATCTCCTGCAAGGCTAGATTGCAGTTCTCGGACAGTCGCTCCTCTAGGAAGTCAATGTAGTGGCTCTGCAGTTTGCGATTGTAGGCCCCTCCTCTCATGTCATTCTGCGGCGTGAAGTCTCCCGTTTGCTTTGCCTGTTGAACCCACCGCCGAGCAGTCGCCAGATAGACTCCATTGTGTAGGGCAACCAGCCTCCAGTTCTCCCCTCTCCTCGGCAGCGGCCACAATCCGAGCACGCTCTGCGTCCGTGTAGGTTTTCCCCATCGCACAAGTGTTACAACACGGACGTGATCGTTTAGAAAATGGTATTGATCGTTTTGAATGGAGTATTGTCTCGAATATTCTCGAACTGTATTCATAAGTATACGAAAAAGGTATACGTGTATCCTACCTGTCCTTTTTTTTAGTGGTTGTTTGAATCTAGCATTTGAGCAGAACGACTCGGAAATGGTGTATCGAGACATATTTTAATCCAACCTCAGTGGCTGTTTTCAAGATATGCCACTTGATTACCATTAGCACAAATGCCTGCTCCATACGAATGCGTAGTTAACTAACAAAAAAGTTGAACGTATATTTTCACGTGTTCATTCCGTCGGCCGCACTGTAAGTAGTCAGCATTGTTTTCTGTAGGTAGGCATGCATTATCTCGAACAAGATAGACACCAAGAGCTAGATTAGCGCAAATATTATGCAGTGAGGGAAGCTTAAAAGCTCGCACATCATTTGTGCCACCAGGACATTTTATCGAAAATGGTGTAAAGCGAGAAAGATGATCGCACGAGGCTTGAACATTAACACCATAGCAATGATAATGTCTAGAAAATATGAAGTTACATGATACGTTTCCCGTTTAGCCGGGGTCTTGATACGACACAACCAACCACCCACATTACCAATACAACCTTTCAAAGCCCCGTGTGTATTTATCCCAGCAAAGTTATTGCATTGAGATCTCATCTCCGCTTCCGACGACGGAAACTTTATCGCTAACGACTCACAAGCAAGTAATGCATCCATACCAAACTTCACGTAACGAAAAAATGTACAATGATACAATGGCAGATACATCCTCGTAGAACCCGCCTGCTAGCCATCTTAACGTGTAATGTTAAACGATTTCGACACGAATTGTAGCGTAGGCTGGTAAACAGGATGAACAGGTCCTAGCAATCCACACAGTTGCTGGAAAGCACTGAAGCCCATTCTATAGTGCCTCTGGAAGCGCCCAGGGTGTGTGAGAACCGCAGAAACATACCAATCCCACAGCCAAAAAGAGGACCGGTAGTCTTTTCACTACGCTGCTTTATCATATTCATATAAACAAACGACCACACACTTACCAACTCGGTCTCGTCGTCTATAGCCTGCACGCTTCCATCGCAAGCCGCATCATCGTGATGTTTCTTGGTCTTGGTCGTCCTTGTGAATGAGCGGCGAGGCAATGGCGGCAAATGCTTGAGCGGATTATTAAGTTTCAAAACATTTTAGAGATTTGTAAGGGTTATGTGCACTACATAATTTCCCAAGTTTGGCTCTTATTTTGGGAGTTTGGGACGACGTCCCGGTGTCGGGAACTTAAGAGCCGGCCTTAGTAAGGTACATTCTCCAGAAATTGTAGAACATGACCCTCTGTATTCCTAGGTATGCAGGACTTCGTGTCCGGCATTTTCCAATTGCAAAGACAAATAATCAACTCATAAACAGGCTCATAAACAGGGATTTAGTTTAGAGTCAGTATTGTGAAAACCGATTAGAATGTCTTATTGGTTTGTTAATCCGCCGATTTAGTGGCTTAATAAGACTGACGACCCCCCCCCCCCCCCCCGATTTGATAAATCCGGCCTACTAATAAGACTGGGGTACCTCGATATATACCTAGGACGACTTACAGAGTCAGAGCATATGAGTCGGATTTGCATTTGCTAATCGGTAGATTAAGCCAGAGCTGGCCGTTTCGCTTGCTAATGTCCGATGTGCAACCGGCATCGCTCCTTGTAGGCTAAATCAGCCGCCAGATAACAATTGTTCCAGTCGCTCTTGGCTAGGTAGTCAAGGCTACAATACTAATATTTGAACTAAGCACGAAAAGCCGCAAGCTATAATACGAGATATGCAGGCGACGCGTTTAAGCGCGGTGCTGTCGCTGCATTTGGCGCGTCTCGGGCCGAGGGTACACGCATGTTATTCGAAATTGCTATGCTGACATAATTACGACACCGATGAGCGATTTATACTCCGATTATAATTGAGACAGCCCCGATTTATTAGTCTTCAAATCCGCATTGAACAATGCTTAACCGGCTAATTCAGCAGGACAAACTAATCGGTTTTCACAACAAACGTGCCAGTTTTACCCACTTTTGCAGGACATATTTTGACACGAGGCGGTCCCCAGAAAATTGCCGACGATGTGCCGTCACCTCTGTGACTTGGAGTTTGTATCGGATGCTGATTGGTGGGTGCCTTGGATACGGCGTGGCTGTACCCGTGTGACATGGATGGCGACTGTGGGAGAGAAGTGATTTCTCGGGATGAATCCAGCGCCTGACCGCAGATGGGCCCAACTGGTTGGAAGTGTGAATCCTGGGAGTGCACGCCCAGGATTTCAGAGAACATTCAGTCCAGCCGCGGACTTTCCCTTACGATGAGTGCCTAAAGTCTGGCGGAAAGTGTCTCTGGAGAGTGTATCCAAGAGTACACCTCATCTTGCTGTGGCTCAGAGTGCCCCAGAGGATCAAATTACCCTGAGAATCAACCCACTACTACCATGATCATGCGCAGGAGGCCGCTAAACCCGCTAAAAGTGTGGCTTTGTGGAGATACACGTGAGTCTGCAATGCAGCAGACTTGTTACCCAGAGTGCCGCACAGAAACCCAGAGTGCCGCACGATGACCCAGAGTTCACCTCCCTGAGTGCAGGTGACCCAGAGTTCCAAAGATGATTATGTTTAGACCATAAATCCAGACTCTCCATACTGAACTTAAGTGTCTCCCAAGCCAACATCCAAGAATCCCCACAGTTCCCCAAGATTCCTCAGAATTCCCAGGATTTCAGAAGATGACCCTGAGTGTCACCTGGTTTTCAGGGACTTGAGTCAGTTCGAAACCAGTCTGCAATCAAAGCGATGCGTGACCTTGAAGAACCGTTGTGGATGCGCAGACTGGATACTTTCAAGGAGTCGAGAGGGAGTCCTGCACCATACTAAACCAAGTCTAAGGACCCACAATTGGCACTTTCGACGCCGTGCGACAATAGATTCGCAAGTTTGGACTGCTGAACCCAAGGTATACTCAAGATAAGACATTTGACCCCAAGCATAGTGAACAGAAGATATTTGCCCGAAGAAGAGAGAGAGAGAGAGAGAGAGAGAGAGAGAGAGAGAGAGAGAGAGAGAGAGAGAGAGAGAAGTAGCTGATAAAAACCAAACAGAGTTCCTTTTACCCTGTACTGCGCAAGTGACTTCGGCCAAGCCTGCCGACGGAAATCCGGAGGACCCGAGACTACGACCGCGGGACGCTAAGGACACATCAACGGCGAAGAACAGCCGTCTGTGTGGACTCCATCAACTCAAGTCCAGTTAGGTGGGGACCATCGACGGCCTTGAGCTTCCTGGAGTGATCCATCTATTCCATATCCTAGTTGGGTCACTTGCTGTGCTCGTGGTAGCCCATTTCATATTATTCCAGAGGGTATTCTGGGGTGCTAGGTAGTCGCCTCCAGGATTGTGTATTGACTGCTTGTGTGAAGGGAAGGTAACTGATAGTGATTGTATTTCCCTCCTTTATTGGAGGTGGTGCGCGTTTGTGTGAGTCTCAGGGGAGCTAGGCCCCTGGATTTCAGACTCGAGTGAGCCTAGTGTGTGAGTGACCCACCGTCCAAGGGTCCAAAAGAATAAGTGACGGCTAGTTGTAGTGTTTGTATACTCTGTATTTGTTGGTTTTATCGAGCTAGGAGGGCATTTGGGTAAGGTGTCTTCTGAGTTCCAAGTCCCAGAGTTGACTGAAATCCTGGACCCTGAATTCGTGATATTCTGGGTTTCAGGGGATCTGATTCTCTGGGTTTGCCTTTTGGTGTGGAGGTGCGTTCTGAAGTAGACGTGTGCTCCCGCACTTTTTCGAGGCTACATTTACAACCGGTGGAGTGCCGTTCCGTCGAAGACAAACGAGCCGACAGGGATTACACAAGGTACCCACGCCAACCAAAGAGTGTGATCCTCAGGGTTTAAAGCTTTGCGGCTGCGAATCTCTGGGTCAATCTTCTTGCTGTTGACTCTCAAGTCGATTCTCTGGGTCTACACCCTGGGGAACAGTCTTGGGCTGCGCTATACGAACCCCCCTGGGCGACAAAGGTTTCATCGGCCTCGCCTCAGCTGGTGCGCATGGCCGGATTCGATTGTCGAGGATTTTGCCGGAATCAAGTGTTGAAGAAGTGCTGAGTGCCCGTCAACTTCAAGCTACCAAGATGCCTGGAGGACGAGGGGCGAAGAAGAGTGGACGCGGTGACGGAGGACGCGGTGAGGCGTCACGTCAGTCGCGTCGTGTTCAAGGTATGGAGCCTGAGGAGCACACGGACCTGGAAACAGTCGTCCGCGACGCTCGGAAGGCGAAGAAGGCTGCTCGCGAGAGCGAGGGAGTGCAAGATGGGGACGTCGAGGCGTCTGCAGTTCAAGATCAGCCTGCTGCTGGGTCGCAAACTCAGGAGGAAGAAGTTTCCTTTGAGTTCCAAGGTTCGACGGAGGCGATTTCTGGGTCGCGGATTCCTGAAGTCCGAGAGGATCACACCCGCGAGGGTGGTGCTCAGGCGTCTGAGGGAGGCGCCAATGCGGTTGAGCCCCCGGAGGTGATTGACTTGGCCTCATCTTCGGACGAGTCTGTTGTGGAAGTGAAGCCGGAGCCCGTGCGAGCGAAGGAAGAGGCGAAGACCCAGAGTTCCAAGGCGAATTCTGGGTTCGCACCACCTGAACCCAGAGTTTCAGCGCCAAGTTCGCAAGCGGCACCCAGGAAGACGCCTGAAAGCGACATCCGGGAACCTGCTGCGCCTGCTCCGGAATCGGGAGCAGCGGCGTTGGACACTGATAGCATGGTGCTGTACGTCCGACGTGAAGTTCGACGCTGGGAAGAGGTGAACCCTGGGAGAGTGACGCCCCCGAGTGTCGTCTACGAGTGGCCGACTCCGAAACCGGACGCTAACTCGTACTTCGCGGCCGCGTACGCAACGGGAGACTACTTCAAGTGGCGTTTGTCTCTTGCGAATCAAGATGAAGCCTGGATCTCTGAGTTCCATCTCGCCCGGTGGGGCGTCGGAACTGCCCAGGATCTCATGGCGACTACGATTCCCCAGAATATCATGACCGCACGCGAATGCGTCGCCATTCGGCAGACTCTGTTCTTCGAAGCTGGTTTCGAGTTTGTCAACTTGGGCCCTGGCTGGTCTACAACGCGTGCTTCCAGGATTCCAGAAAGTCTGGTGCGCTCTGTCATGGAGGAAACCCAGAATTTCATCGCGGTGGACCTGGTCGAATGGAGACTGGTGATCGCTGGTGTGTCTTTCAAGGTGAACTCTGAAGACCAACATGCACCAAGTGTTCAAGGGCAAGCGCCAAGACTGGATTACCATGAGGAAGATGGAGACGGTGATCTATTGATGACGGACTATGATGCGGATCTACTGGGCCGCCAGTTTGTCCTGAGATTCAGGGTCACTGGACTCAGGATTTCACGGAGCCCGCGAGGGTCAAGTGATGGTGATCCGCGATCCAAGCGCACACAGCATGGACCGCCTCGCCCGCAAGTCCAGTCGACACCATCCGCGCTGTCCACACCGTCGCTGTCTTCTCTTCCAGCGTACAAGTCCTCGGCTAGTGCTTCACTCCAGAATTTCACTCTCCTGAACTCCATGTCCAATGGACGTGATTCTCTGGGGGCGGAAGCCGCGGACGCTGCCCCAGGCGCGGTGCCAAGTGTCATCGGTACTTCGCGCGCTTCAGATGAGAGTACTGCCTCGGGCGTTCGAACGTCTTATGGTAGCTCTTCGTCTTCGTCGATGATGTCGCTTGGACAACGAGTTGGAGCTCTAGCGATCGTGGCCCAGAGTGCCGGTGGCTTCGCAGCTGCCGGTGATCTTGGATTTCAGGTAACCCGGACAGTCATCCCGCCGCGTCTCGTGTCAGTCGACCAAGATGACGTTGAAATGGCATCGTCGGTGCACTCTGACCCCCAGGAAGACCGGTCTCCCCAGGATTTCAGCGACGACTGCCGAGCCGAAACTCAGGGTTTCTACCCCGACTTCGGGATTTAGCGGCCCGAGGGATGTCAGCGCCGATGAGCGGAGACAACACCAGCGCTCTAAGGGCGAGGTGTGCTCTCGACGCTCGACGACGTCCAGGAGATCAGCTGCGTCGAGCCGCTCGAGTGGATCCAGGAATCTTGGGTCAGCTTCGTCAGTGTTCGCGAGGTCTGGGCCCGCCCAAATCGAGCTGAATGTCTTGCGACAACAGCAGGAGTGGTAGGCCCGCATGGAGCAGGAACAACGCGAGTTTCTCGCCAGAGAACGTCTGGATGCCTTGGAGCGCGAGCGCCTGAGGGAACAACGTGACCTGGACGCACGTCGCCAGATCCAGGAACTCACGGATCGCTTGGTCCACGCTGAGGTCGCCCGGGGAGAAGCGGAACGCCGTGCGCAGGACGTGGAAGCTTGCGAGACCCAGAGTTCCAATGAAACTCAGGGGATGACCCAGAGTATCACGGAAGCTGTACGTCTCGAGCGTGAGCGCCTGGATGCCGCCTACGCCGAGCGCTGGCAACAGCGCGAAGTCGAAGCCGACTCGGAGCGTGCGCGCTGGGTTTCCGAGACCTATGCGGGCTGGAAGGAACAAATGTCGACTATGGAGCAGAAGATCCAAGAGCTCGAAGCGGAAAAAGAGCGAGAGCGGGAGTCTTCCGAGAATATCCAGCGCTTCCACGCCGGCCAAGTGCGCGACCTTCGTGCAACATTGGCCCAAGTTCAAGCGCGTCGCGCAACCGTCGCCCCTGATTTGGCAACAAATGTGAGGTCGTCAGTGGCTCAGAACCCTGAAGTTGCAACCCGACCCCAAGAATCCAGTGGCGTAATCAACGGAAACGCAAGTGTCGCAGGCCAGAGACGGGAGACAGCTGATCCGAAGAACGCTTCCGAAGTCGCCGCCTCCCAGCTAAGAGCGACCCTCGCGCAGACTTCCGCCGACACTTCCGGCAGAATTGCGCGCGGCAAGCGGGGACATGGCGCTACGGAGACCAAGGTGACGCAGGATATCAAGCTGGAGCCTGTGACTCTGGGGAAGACGTCGGATCCCAGGAGAACAGTGACCTCTAAGGCTTCGCAGGACTCTAAAACAGACTCCAAGCGCTCTGCGCCTAAGAAACACCAGCAGAAGAAGAAGAAGCGTCAAGATGTCAACCCACCCTCGGACTCAGGCCCAAGCTCCGATTTCAGCGATGATGACTCGTCCTCTGAGAGTTCGGATGACAGTTCGCACGAGAACCCTGGGGTTAACCTGACGACGGCCTCTACGGCTCAAGTTGGCACTACGCTCCTGACGTTCCGACCGTACATCAACTCGAATACTCTGGGTGAGTTCGATACTAAGGCGTCACTCAGAGAACGCGAGCATTGGTGGGAGCGTTTTGCGAACATGGCGGCTCAGGGAGGTTGGTCTACGAAGATGCGAATTCAGGAACTCAAGCTGAAGCTCTCAGGAGCTGCGCGTGACTGGTTCAACCAGTTGTCCAAGCACACTCAGCGTGACTGGAAGGAGTTGGCGTCTGCATTCAGGAAGAAGTACTGCAAGGCGCGCTCGTCGTACTCTGAACGCTACTTCACGATGGAGATGAAGAACTCAGAGAGCGCCCTGGATTTCTTCTATCGTCTGAACTCCGCCGCTGGGAAGGCTGACATTGACTTTCGCAAGTCTTTGAAGCGTCTGGAGAAGCATATCCGGAGGTCCTCAAGACGTCGCTGCAAGGCCAGAGATTCAGGAGTATCGCTGATCACGAAACTCAGGGACACGCTCCTCAAGACGTCGCTGCAAGGCCAGAGATTCAGGAGTATCGCTGATCTAGAGTACGCTCTAGAGCAGGACGAAGATGTCTGGAGTCGCAGTGACCATGATGCTCCGCCACCCAGAGTTCGTGACTTTCGTGCCGACAACATTCCTCAGGGGCGTTTCAAGCCGAAGCGTGCAGGACGTGCGTACGTGACTAGGGGCGATGTCTCTGACTCTGAGTCGGATGAAGACCCTGAAATTCACGCGCGTTTCCAGGAAATCACGGACGAACCCAGAGTTTCAGCCCGAAGTGCGAGCGCGAATTCAGGGTCAACTCGTGAGATCTCTGGAGAGGAAGCTTCTACGTCTAGCGCTGGAAGCCTGGCGAGTATGAAGGGTGCCGAGTGGACTCAGACGCTGACGAACGAGGTCTATCGCGTGATGGATAACATGGGATGGCGTCCACCGAACGCCCAACCAGGACCGAACGCGAACTCTGGATTCCGTTCCCCTCGCCGCGAGAACCCGAATTGGGACAAGTTCTGCGAGAAGTGCGGTAAGTGGGGGCACCCAGAGGAAAACTGCTGGAAAGACGTGAAGTGTGATCGCTGCCTGGAGACGGGTCATCCGACTCACTTGTGTCGCGCGCAACCGTGCGAGAACTGTGACAAACTACATCATGAGAAACCGTGCGAAGACTGGAAGACACTGGAAGCTGTGAAGAAACTCGCCCACCAAGGTGCACTGAAGGACATGCCGAGCCAAATCCTGAATAAACTCCTGGATGGCGAAGCAAACTCTGGGAAGCCGTCAAACCAATAAGCCCGCTGGGTGGGGGCCCAGTACGCGCCGGGCTGAAGAAGGCCCCAGAGTTATGTTTTATAGTGTATGTAGGCCCGGAGCTGAGAACAAGAACCCAAGATAACCAACAATGCATGACTACTTTGACTCAGGATTTCATGACTTCCCCTGAAAATCAGCATCCTGAACCAGCGAACTCTGGGTTAGTGAACTCTGAAGAAATTGTGGAGTACAAGCTGAACCCTGGAGAACGCTACGGATGGTGGGAAAACAATGATCCTGACCCGAAGAAACGTGATGTGGCGATGGTGCATGGCGCTGTGAACGACTGCCGGACGAGAGATCTCCTAGATACCGGTGCGACTGTGAATATTGTGAGTTTCGACTTAGCGCGTAAGCTCGGACTCACACTGAAGTCGCACAAACAAACCAAGGTGTCTGGCATGGGAGGCGTTCCGACGTACATCGGTGCCAGTGCTCAGGTGAAGATTACTCTCGGTTCGAGGGTGATTTATCTCCTGGATGTCTGGATTGCTAACATCGGCGAAGGGATCGAAGTACTTCTGTGTATGAGTTTCATGCTTGCAGCTGGAGTGAGGATCAGTGTTCGCGAAGGTCTCGTGACACTTCCGGATGAAGAGGCGATCATGATGTGTGGGTGGACTCCAGAGGATCGCCTGGGTGTCGACATGCCTGTGAAAACCACAGGTAGTTGGTACCTGGCCCATGGGAAATCCAAGGTGGTGAAGATTTCGTATGGACCGACGAACCCACAGCGTGAAGTTGTGTGGGCAGGACGAGGTGACCGCTGGGTAACACACCTGATTTACGCTGCGAGATCCTGGCCGGTCACTGTGAAGGTGGTCAACATCTCGGACAAGGACGTCTGGATTCACAACAGAACGCCAGTCGCCCGAATCGTGGAGTATGGCTGTGCCGGACGCTTTGTGCGCCCTGGTTCTTTTGCGTGTCGGGAGTGGCAGACTCTTATTCTGGAGAGTGTTCAGTCGCGTGAGGGCAGACTTCGCGCGGAACGCCTGGCTGCGCTGGAGCCATCCTGTGTCGAGGCCCCAGAGTATCAGTGGCCTACGAAGATTCTGGCGCGACCTGCGAAAGGCCCCGACATGGCACTGCTTGCCTCGATTCTCAGGAAACCGAAGACTCGTCGCGTGCGCTTCACCGAAGACGCTGCAACTCAGACTGAAGAGGTGCCCCCTGAAGACCCTCCTCAATTCCTAGACGTTGCTGTTGATACGAGTGACTTAGGTGACATTCTGAAGGATGCGGTGACCGATGTTGCTTCACAGACTGTTGGAACCCCAGAGTGCATGAGTCCTGAAGATGATACGGCCGCTGAAACCCAGTGTTTACAGGTTGAAGTTGGCAGTGATTCTCAGGGTCAGCGGGGCGACGAAGGTGATTCTCTGGGATTCGATGTGGATGACGACGATTCTCAGGGTGCTGTTGAAGATTACTGGGATATCCCGATCTCAGTGATGCCGGGAACTCCGTTGGAGAAGCTGAAGCGGGAATATGAGCGCTGCATGCGGCGTTCGACAAAGGACCTCGACTACAAACCTGCGGTCTTCATACGTGAAGGAAGTGAGTTGCTCTCTCAGTTGCGTGACCAGTTGGTTATGCTTCCTGAGGTGCGTGACTTGACCCCTGAGTGCAAGATCGAGGAGGCAGATGTTGGAGTCCCTGGGAAAACGACGCCCGAGATGGAAGACCAAGTGAGGCGAATTCTGGAATATCATCGGAAGATCTTCTTGGGAGACGGCAATGCAGCTCCCCCACCTGCACATGGAGTGGTTTGTGACCTGGATGTAGGCGACGTTAAACCTGTTGCCCAGCGTCCAAGGTCCATTGCACCACACCTGTGGACCAAGGTGTATGAACTTCTGAAGATGTTTCTGGAGAACGGGCTGATCGAGACTTCTGCGTCCCCCTGGGCATCTCCAATCGTGATCGTCTTCAAGAAGAATGGCGTCAACATCCGGATGTGTATCGACTATCGCGTGGTGAATGACTTCATCAAACTCTCACACTATCCGCTGCCGCTTATTGATGATCTTTGATTGGCTTTGAGTCGGCGATGTGGTTTATGAGCTTGGACATGGCGAGTGGTTTCTGGGCTATCAAGATGACCGAGAGAGCCAAGTTGATCTCTGCGTTCGTCTGTCCGTATGGGCATTACTAGTGGGTCAGGATGCCGTTTGGCCTCATGAACGCGCCGCTGATCTACCAGGCAGTTCTCAATAACTGTCTGTGGGGATTTCTGCGGCTTTCCCCTGAGGAAGAAGCTGAGGTCGACCAAGATGTCTTGGACTTCTTGGGGTTGAACTCTGGGGAACCCAGAGTTTCAGGTGAAAATGCACCGCGACTTTCAGTGTTGACGGATGAGATGACTGTTTTTCAGCGTAACATCCCGGCTCCCTCTCAGATGGGCCCTGTCCTGGGTCGAAGCTCGTATATCGACGACATCGCCCACGGTGCGCCTACTTGGGAGCAGCTGTGCCAGAATCTGAACGCGCTGCTCTTCCGACTACGTTACTGGAATATCTCTGTGAGTCTTCCCAAGAGCGAATTTGGAAGTTGTCCATTCCGTACCTCTCTCACAAGAATAGTGCTGAGGGCACCCTAAAATCGCGAAGGGGGTCCAAGACTTGCCGTTCCCGACGACACTGAAAGGCGTCCAGAGTTTCATGGGGAGTCTGAATTACTAGAACAAGTTCATTGAAGATCTACCCGTGATCGCGGCCGTCCTGTACGAGCTGGCTGAGGAACAAGTGAAATTCAGGAGAGATCTGTCGAGAGCCCAGGAAGCCTTTGAAATCCTGAAGCACAAGATTGTTTCGACTCCGTTACTCAGACATCCTGATCGTTCAAGGCCCTTCGTGATCATTCCCCACGCGAACCCGTGGGCAACATCCGCTGTGTTGGGCCAGGAGTACGACGGGATTGTGCATCCGATTCGATACACAGGTCGCATCCTGAATGACGCGGAGCTGCGGTATCACATTGCGGAGAAAGAGGTGATTGCGATCCTGAGACTCCTGGAGGTGTTTCGCACTCTGGTTGAAGGCAGCCCTAAGATCGTTGTCTACACGCGATACTCTGTGTTGAAGTGGTTGCTGGCTTCGCAGTCGGCAGACGGTCGAACAGTGAAGTGGGGTCTGAAGTTGTCCCACTGGAACCTAGAGATACGCAGAGTTCAACGGGATGAAGACGGCTTGGCTGCAATTCTCGGTGCGGTTATTACCCCCAGAGAACACTTGGATGAGATCGCTGAAAACCTGATCCCAGCCAAGGGGCGCGTCAAACCTCCAGTGCCTATCAGCATGGAAATGCTGGAAGCGGATTATGAGGGGTGTATTCTGAGTTTCGATGGCGCCGCTAAGACTTCCATGCGACAAGGGAGTTGCGGCTGCATTCTATGGCATGTCCCCGGGTGGGAAATCCTGGATGCCCAGGGATTCATCCTGGAGGGCGTGAATGACGCTGCGTATCATGGACTTCTGAAGGGACTCACTCTGGCGATTGAGCGTGGAATTCAGGATATCGTTGTGGTTGGGGACTCCAGGATTGCCATCCAGCAAGCCCAGGGTCTCATCAACTGCAATCAGCCAAATCTCCAGAGGAAGCTGGCCGAGTATGAAGTGCTGAAGACGAAGTTCAAGTCTGTGCGGCTGGTGCATGTCAAGCGAGAGTTCAACCAGGCAGCAGACTACCTGACGTCTAAGACCCTCGCGCTTGGCGAATCCTGGAAGGTGGAGGACGCTGATGAACGAACACATCTGCAGTTAGTGTCCAAGATTCACGAGAAGTTGGTAAAGCCGAAGGTGTTATTGAACGTTGGAATTCAGGGGAGTGATTCTCAGGGTGTCGAAACTCTGGGTATCCCTGGACCTGAGTGCGCTCCGTTGCCTGTGGCGGCCAGAGTGTTTGCAGTAATGACTCGAGCGCGAACTCAGGAGATTGGAGCCCAAAGCGAACCCATGGGATCTCTGGAATACCAGGCTGAACGCTGGCGACGCATCAAAGTGCACCAGGACAAAGATGATCACCTGCTGCAACTCAAGGATTTCCTGAAGGGCGACACGACGGAGCTGTCGCACGCTCAAGCCAGGATACTCGCGAAGGTCGCTGATGATTTCGTGTTGGATTCCAGAGAAGTCCTGTACCGCTTGAGTCGGTCTACCAGAGATCGACCCCGAGACATGCTTGACGAACTCAGACTCGTGGTGCCGAAGACTATGCAGCCGGATATCCTGCATTACGCTCACAAAGATTTTCAGGGTGGGCACCAGGGGATCACGAGGACGTACGAGAATCTGCGCTCTGAGTTCTACTGGCACGGCATGTACGCTGACGTGGAAGTTTTCGTCAAAGAGTGTGTGGATTGCGCCAGCGGCAAGGGGCGCCCTCAGAATCCAGGGCCTTCCCCTGGGAACATCGAACCGAGGCGCCCTTTTGAAGTTGTGTCCATGGATTTCGTGACGCATTTGCCTAAGTCGGACCGTGGGAACACGTTCCTGCTGCTTTTTCAGGATGCGTTCTCAGGATTCGTCATGTGTAAACCCATGAGTTCCACCACGGCTCAAGATGTCGCTGAAGTGTACGAAGAGCAGGTCTTCAGGAGATTCGGCGCGAGCTCGATGCTGAAGCATGATCAAGACCCCAGGTTTATGAGCGAGGTGTTCACGCGCTTCCGTGAACTTCTGAGTAGCAAGCCACTCTGGCGTATCGCCCCCAGGCGAACGGACAACAGGAGCGGTCGGTGCAGACTGTCGTGCGCAGCATTCGAGCGTACATTGCTGAGGCGGACCAGAGTGACTGGGACGACCATGCTGAGCGCCTGATGTTTGCCCTGAATACATCGTTCGATGCTACTCGTCTGGACACTCCGTTTTTTTCTGGTGCACGGCTGGGACGCACGCGGCACGGTGTCTGCAATGTTAGGACCCAGGTCCTCGAGTATCCAGAAGCGCACTGTGTACGAGTGGCGCAGGAAGCTACAGCGTGACTACAGTTATGCACAAGCTTGCGCTGAGGATCTTCAGAAGAAGGCCAGGCGCGCGCGCTCTGCCGAACAAACCAGGAAGTGGAGAGAGCTGTCCGAACGACTGAAGGCAGGATTCGCAGCTGGTGATGCTGTGTGGCTGTATATACCCAAAGTGCAGCCCGGGCTGAGCCGCAAACTAGCTCACATGTGGCATGGCCCCTTCAGAATTCAGGAAATCCATGACAACTTCCGCGTGAAACTTAGGGTCGAGAACACAGGATATCGCGTGAATCCCTGGGTACACGTAAGCCGTTTGAAACCCAGAGCACCATTCCCGAAGCGGCCCACTGTGGAGATCGACGTGGATGAGGATGATGAATTTGATGCGGCGCTGTTGCCTGAAGATAGCTGGGAGCCCGACACTGCAAACGATGAGTATGAAGTTGAGCGAATCCTGGATTTGCAATGGACTAAACGGACTCGGACAGCGAGACGAATTCGTGAGTACCTTGTGAAGTGGAAGGGGTATGACGAGACTGAGTGGCTGCCTGTGTCGAAGCTCAACTGTGGTGCCCTGCTCTACGAATTCAATCAAGGCGCAAGAGCGCGAGCCCGTTTCCAGGCCATGCAGGCTGGAGATGATCACCCAGGAGTCTAGCACTCTGGGGTGACACTGACCCAGAGTTACATGTGATATTCAGGGGAAACCCAGAGTGACAATGGGATACTCTGGGGAAAATCGACGGAATGTGTGAATATTGGAGACGGTGAACGTGATTTGATTTGATTTGATTATGGAGATGGTGATACTGCTGAGGCTTTGGCATTGTGTGAGAAGGAAGATGAAGGCGGCAAGCTTTACAAGGACATGGAGACAGTAAACGAAGTTGGATGACCCAGGGAACAAGTCAGCAAATGATGAATTCCTGGGGGAAACACTGAGATCGAGATAAAATCCTGGGTATTATGGAAAGTTACGCTACGACATGTGAAATTCAGGTGGTTCTCAGGATTTGAAGGCGACCTTGACTCTCACGAGTGCTTGAGAGACAGCGGGTTGAGCCTGCGGATAGCCAGGGGCTTGATGTGGCGCTTGGTGTCGTTCGGCACGTATTGGAGCCACTTATCGCCGTCAGCCGCCGTGTTCCATTGGACTCGAGCGGGCTCACGAATGTCCAACGTCGCTAGCTTGACGTCTAAGTCCTTGCACTTAGCTCCCCCGAGTTTCTTGGCCCTGGGATCCTCCCAAATCCAGTAGCAGCACTTGTCCGGGAACTTCCAGAGACCCGGTTCGTGCCACAACGACGGGATGAACCCAGGGGTGTTGCGCGAGCGCTCGACGAGCGTCTTGTACACTCTGCGTAGCGCGTTTCGACGCGACTTCCGCTGAGATTCCATGGTGGCGTCTGCTTGTTCATCAGTCGGAATAGGCACCCAGTGCCGGCGCTCCCAGATTGCCTGTGCGTGCTTGTGCATGACGTCCACGACGTCCTCCATCAGTTTGAGCGCTTTCGCGGAGAGCAGCTCTCGCTAATGGAAGTAGAATACTCGGAAGCGACCCTGAAGCTTAGTCTCCCAGGGTTCAGAATCCAGGACTTCTTGGTATGCCTCACGGTCCCAGCGCTCGTGAACAACGTCGTACGAATACTTGTGGATCTCGTATTCTGGGAACCCAGGAGTCTGGCAAGACGCACTCTTGGTCGAGCTTGGGTATTGCACAAGAACCCCATAGATGCGCCAGGAAGTCTCGTTGTCCTCAGGGTCTTCGGCCGCCACCAACTCACTGGAAGTGAGCTCCGAGTATGATTTCCGCGCGAGCGCCGACGGATGCTTGGAGCGTGATGTAGCCTTGGACCCCTGAGTACCACCAGAACGAAGTGTCTTTCTTGTTTCCTGTGCGACGCTTTTTCTTCGACTTCGAGTCGGATCCCTGAGGTTTCTTGCTTGATTCAGAACGGGGGCGCTTAGCAGGAGGCTTGACTTCCAGGGGTTCTTCTACCTCATTGTCGTCCTCTGCGTCGTCGTCGTCCTCTGCATCCTCGATGTCCTCCAGAGTTTCAGGGGCGACCTTCCCCTCCTCCTCCTCAGAGCTCCCGCTAGAGGCGCTCTCCTCAGGTCCCTGGGCGGGAGCCTGGTTGTCCGGTCGTTCTCGATGTCGTCCACAGTCCTCATCAGGGTACACCATGTGGTCATCGAGGTTCCCCCAGGGTGGTGGCACATCACCGCGTCGAAGGCACCTGTCCAGACGTTCATCCGCCATTTCGTAATAAGCCTCAGGGACGTACTTACTCCAGGGGGTCTTGTCAAGGCGACGCCAGTACATCATGCCCACGAGCATCTTGATCAGCTGCGGCTGTCGGAAGTGCCCGTGAGCTACGCGGTCGCTGCCAATCCACTCCATGGCAGAATCGTATCTGAGCCCCGTGAGGATAGCTTGGCGCACGTCCGGACGAACCTCTTTCCAGACAACGCCCCCAGGGAGCATCGAATGGGCAGCTTCCTTGGAAACCACCGTCTTCTCACCGGCGCGACGCACAGAGTCGCGGCCTGGTTGGTGATCCTTGGGGCGACGCTGAACTTTGTGAGGCTTAGGGTGCGCTGACTGCTGTGGCGACTCGCCCGGCGCCTTGGAATCCCGTGATTTTCAGGAGCCTTGACCTTTCTTGGAACCCTGAGACTTATTGGAATCCTGAGTTTCGCCCCCGGTCTTCGGACCGCTGCGAGGCTTGCTGCCAGGACCCGTGAGATCCAGAATTTCAGGACGACCGGACGATCCAGACCCCGAAGACGGAGGCATACATGTGCTTTTCTCTGGGTACGGGGCCACCGCAGCCTTGCGCTTGTCCATGGCCGTGATGTTGACGACAGTGTCCCAGGATTCAGGAGGCTTCGAGTTCTTGATGCAGAGCTTGAAGAGGTCGTGGAGGCACTCCCAATTACCCGTGAAGGATGTGTGCTCTTGCAGGAAGTCGGAGAACTTCCAGGGGTCCACGGTGGGAGACTCAAGACGCGATTTCAGGATTCGCACTTGTGCCTCAGAGTCGGCAAGGCGCGCCTTGAGTTGCGTCTTCTCGGACTCCAGAGAATCAATCTCGTCTTGGTACCGCGTCTTCTGCTCGTCCAGCGCGACTTTGTACTTGGACTCAGCATCATCCACCTTACCCAGGGCCTCTTGGACCTCCAGGAACCAGTAGTCGCACGTGAATTTCCAGGCGCGCTTCAGTTCGTTGTACTTGCGTCGCGTGTCGACTACTTCCTGAGTGGCGGTGAAACCCTGCTGAGAGTCAGCCAGAGAACGAATGTTTCGGTAGGCCCCGAGGACTCGACGCAGGTAACCAGTCATCTTGAACACGCGCTCAGCGAGCCTTGTGCTGTTGAAGTGACGCAGGAGTGAGGCCATCTCGCGTCGAATACCGATGGAATTCAGGGTGTTGTCCAACTCGAATGCGGAAAGAGGCGAACGACGTGGACACAGGACGTCGATCCCAGCGTTGGAGCCACAGACTTCCTTCAACCCCTGAAGATCCTCGTCGGAGAGCTCCTCGAAGCCGATCAGCGTAGACGCGCTGCCGTAGCCTTCCATGGCGAATGCACCCGCGCGAATGTCGTTCACGATCCCTGGGACTCCCACGAGATACGCGTTGGTCTTGAGATCCGGCGGGGTTGGCAGTTTCCAATGCGATGGGCGCTCAGGGAGTACGAAGTCGGGGACATCGACCTCCTCCTGCCGAAGCATGCCTGCGAAGATGAGCCCCCTGACGTCCTCTAGCGTCGCGTGGTGTGGCGTCTTGAATTCAGGGGCGCCCTCCATGTTCACGTCCTAAGCCGCGCCGCCTGCGTCTGGAGCCTTGGACTCTGAGTTCGCGTCACCAGTTTCCTGGGTTGCAGCGTCAGCCGAGGCGTTGCCGTCGGCCTCGCGCATGTCCGCGTCTGAGGTCTTGCCGGTGGCGCTGAAGAAGGAGACGCGCTTGGTCGCGCCCGTCTTGGTGCTGCCCGTCGAAGTGGCGCCGGACGCTGAGTTACCCGTCTGGCCGCTGCTGTCGCCTGCTGGCGCGGTGCTCGCAGGGGCGTCGCCGGTGCGCTGCTGCGTCGGAGGTGGCGCGCTGCCGGGGGGCGCCGTGCCTTGAGCTGGCGCCGTCGCTTGCTTGCCGCGCTCTCCACCATGTTGACGATCTGTGAAATGGCGATGTGACCGCGCATTGCCCGTTGGAGTTTTTTGCGTTTGAGAGGAGAACCTTGAAGATAGGTCCTGACCAACCGTTGCGGAGACAGGGTGCCGCCAAAGTGAATGAAACCCTGGGAGTCGACAGAGTGCAAAGGCCGTATCGAAGTCGACGGTGGATGGACCTGTGTGTTTTTGTGGCCTGGCCATGGTTCACCAGTTCGGAGCGATTCCCTCTTTGATGGACCCGGACCAGGAGGGGCGGTTGACACGAGGCGGTCCCCAGAAAATTGCCGACGATGTGCCGTCACCTCTGTGACTTGGAGTTTGTATCGGATGCTGATTGGTGGATGCCTTGGATACGGCGTGGCTGTACCCGTGTGACATGGATGGCGACTGTGGGAGAGAAGTGATTTCTCGGGATGAATCCAGCGCCTGACCGCAGATGGGCCCAACTGGCTGGAAGTGTGAATCCTGGGAGTGCACGCCCAGGATTTCAGAGAACATTCAGTCCAGCCGCGGACTTTCCCTTACGATGAGTGCCTAAAGTCTGGCGGAAAGTGTCTCTGGAGAGTGTATCCAAGAGTACACCTCATCTTGCTGTGGCTCAGAGTGCCCCAGAGGATCAAATTACCCTGAGAATCAACCCACTACTACCATGATCATGCGCAGGAGGCCGCTAAACCGCTAAAAGTGTGGCTTTGTGGAGATACACGTGAGTCTGCAATGCAGCAGACTTGTTACCCAGAGTGCCGCACAGAAACCCAGAGTGCCGCACAGAAACCCAGAGTGCCGCACGATGACCCAGAGTTCACCTCCCTGAGTGCAGGTGACCCAGAGTTCCAAAGATGATTATGTTTAGACCATAAATCCAGACTCTCCATACTGAACTTAAGTGTCTCCCAAGCCAACATCCAAGAATCCCCACAGTTCCCCAAGATTCCTCAGAATTCCCAGGATTTCAGAAGATGACCCTGAGTGTCACCTGGTTTTCAGGGACTTGAGTCAGTTCGAAACCAGTCTGCAATCAAAGCGATGCGTGACCTTGAAGAACCGTTGTGGATGCGCAGACTGGATACTTTCAAGGAGTCGAGAGGGAGTCCTGCACCATACTAAACCAAGTCTAAGGACCCACAATTGGCACTTTCGACGCCGTGCGACAATAGATTCGCAAGTTTGGACTGCTGAACCCAAGGTATACTCAAGATAAGACATTTGACCCCAAGCATAGTGAACAGAAGATATTTGCCCGAAGAAGAGAGAGAGAGAGAGAGAGAGAGAGAGAGAGAGAGAGAGAGAGAAGTAGCTGATAAAAACCAAACAGAGTTCCTTTTACCCTGTACTGCGCAAGTGACTTCGGCCAAGCCTGCCGACGGAAATCCGGAGGACCCGAGACTACGACCGCGGGACGCTAAGGACACATCAACGGCGAAGAACAGCCGTCTGTGTGGACTCCATCAACTCAAGTCCAGTTAGGTGGGGACCATCGACGGCCTTGAGCTTCCTGGAGTGATCCATCTATTCCATATCCTAGTTGGGTCACTTGCTGTGCTCGTGGTAGCCCATTTCATATTATTCCAGAGGGTATTCTGGGGTGCTAGGTAGTCGCCTCCAGGATTGTGTATTGACTGCTTGTGTGAAGGGAAGGTAACTGATAGTGATTGTATTTCCCTCCTTTATTGGAGGTGGTGCGCGTTTGTGTGAGTCTCAGGGGAGCTAGGCCCCTGGATTTCAGACTCGAGTGAGCCTAGTGTGTGAGTGACCCACCGTCCAAGGGTCCAAAAGAATAAGTGACGGCTAGTTGTAGTGTTTGTATACTCTGTATTTGTTGGTTTTATCGAGCTAGGAGGGCATTTGGGTAAGGTGTCTTCTGAGTACCAAGTCCCAGAGTTGACTGAAATCCTGGACCCTGAATTCGTGATATTCTGGGTTTCAGGGGATCTGATTCTCTGGGTTTGCCTTTTGGTGTGGAGGTGCGTTCTGAAGTAGACGTGCGCTCCCGCACTTTTTCGAGGCTACATTTACAACCGGTGGAGTGCCGTTCCGTCGAAGACAAACGAGCCGACAGGGATTACACAAGGTACCCACGCCAACCAAGGAGTGTGATCCTCAGGGTTTAAAGCTTTGCGGCTGCGAATCTCTGGGTCAATCTTCTTGCTGTTGACTCTCAAGTCGATTCTCTGGGTCTACACCCTGGGGAACAGTCTTGGGCTGCGCTATACGAACCCCCCTGGGCGACAAAGGTTTCATCGGCCTCGCCTCAATTTCCTGCCCGCGGCAGTATTCAAAATTCCATATTACTCCCCCCCTCAATCGGAAACATGACAAGCGTCGACTGGGACCAGCTAGCGAGAAAAGTTAGCGAGATCAAGAGCAATACCGGTCGCGAGCAGTGTATTACGGCCGCTTCATTGTCTGAGTCATTGCCAGCAAGGTCAATCTCGGGGCCCCTGCGTTCGCAGCGAGGCTAGGGAGCGTTGGTGTATCAACACCTGTGGGCCACCGCAAAGCACCCGGGACTTACGCCCCTATATATTAACCTCAGTACAACAAGCAGCAGTTCGTTCTCGTCCTGCTACTCGCCCTCGCCATTCTGCGGCTTGTTCTCGACCACCAGTTCGTTCTCGTCCGACCGCTTGGCGTCGTCCGTCAGCACCTCATCATTCTGCTGCAGCTCGTCGTCGTCCATCTGCAGCTCGTCATCGTCCGACATCTCGTCCTCATGCGTGAGCTCGTTCTCGCCGGACAGCTCGTCCCCGCCCGGCAGCTCGTTCGTCTAACAACTCGTCATCGACCAACAGCAACTCGTCGTCGTTCACCAGGGCGTCAGCGTCCGCCAGTTCGTCTTCGTCGGACAGCACGTCGCGCGCTGCTGCAATGGCTGCTGGCGCCCCCACTTGCTCTCGTCTGGGTAAATATCCGCTATAGCTAGCCCGGAGATCCTTTGTGTGCGGTTGTCCGCATCGTTGCCACTTGGGGTTGTCGTTGCGGCTTGGGATCTATAACCACCGCCGCGTTCAGCACTCCAGCGTCCCCATTGCTCACCGTCTGGCATGACCACACCGCTACCTGTTACAAAATTAATGATGTACGCTATCTGATGACCGTAGTTGAGGACAGAGCAAAGCGTACCGGACTGTGGCGTGCCCGTCAAAGCGTTGAGGACGCTTTAAAACGTTCATTGCATGCGCTGACAGCATCAACGTGCCGCAACACACGGCGACATTCAGGGATCCCGATAAAGTAATTGCATGAAAAATAATTGCCGTAAATATACTGAAATTATTGCTTATCACAGATGCTGGAATGTCCCTCAATAATTTATGTAGGTTTCCCTGAGCCGATATTAATTTTCTGAAAAAGTATAATTTACTCTGGTCCATTCATCAGCTCTTGGCTAGTTTTGCTACGCCCCGAAGAGCTCATTCTGCCTTTTACAATGTTCACCAACCGACAAGTCGCCACTTTCTACTTCCAGCAAGTGCTGGAAACCCAAGACGAGTCTGTGGCCGAGTACTTCCGGTGCCGGTGCTCTTGCGTGCGCCAGCAAGCCCCGCGAACGGGGTGACAGTAACCTCGTGTCGCACGTTCGCAGCCAGCACCCCGCCTTCGAAGAAGTCATGCGCCGCAGAGACGGGGACGCTCGTGGATCCGCCAGCGCAGTTTAAACCTGTTCGGTTGGCTGCGCTGGACGGTTATGTGCGGTCAACCACTGCATTCCTGCGAAAATCCTGAAACTAGAAGGTAAATTATGCTATTTCAAGGGGTATTTAATGATAGTATTCTAATATCTTGTGTGGACAATGTCCTACCGCAGGTACTCGAACCTCGACCCCATTGGAGAGGAGCAGCTCCTGGATGGAATGCAGCACGTGAAGGCAAGCATGCGGCGGGAGCTCCTGGGGCACTTTGGGCTGAAGCCGGACGGCTGGTCGCACAACTCGGAGCACTACTTGGCGGTGTTCGTGTGCTACGAGCTGGGCGGCCAGCCGCGATGCCAACTGATAGCCATGGCGCCGCTGGTCCAAGAGCCTGGCCAAAACCTCTCTGCGGAAAGTCATGTTGAGTTTCTTCGGACCATGTTGGCTCGAGACTATGGTAAGACCATTGAAAACTGTCTCTTCCTGGTTGGAGACAATTGCTCCACCAATAGGCGCCTCGCCACCTTGCTTGGTGTGCCACTCGTGGGCTGCGCCAGTCATCGCCTGAATTTAGCGGCCCAAAACCTGCTAGAAGACTTCAAGGACGAGCTGGACCAAGTCAAGAAACTGATGATCAAGTTGAAGGGTTTAAACCAATCAGCGAAGCTGCGGTACGTTTTTCAGCCAATCATATTAACTTGTAGTGAATCTGACAAAAATTGGTTTTAATATTTGCAATAGGTTTAAGACGAAATTGCGACCGGTATTGAGCCAGGCGACGCGCTGGAGCTCTACGCTTTGCATGGTTAACCGCTATATGAAACTGCTGGAATTCATTCAGGACGACGACGATTTGGCCGAGTATCTTCCGCCCCCGTCCGCAAACCGCACCCTCCGCAAGCTCCTTGAAGACCTGAAGAAGATCGAGTCGGTGAGCAAGGAGCTGCAGTCGGAGTCGGTCTCGATCGCCGACGTACGTTGCTATTTCGACGCACTCATAGCGCTGTGGCCAGGCTTCGCTACGTATCTCGGTAAGATTTATTGCTTCTACACTGGGGGTTATCATATACTGACTCAATATGTTATTGCACTGGTGATATATAGGCCCTCGTGCTGCAATTGTGCATACCCCTCACTTTGAGGCTGGTTGCGTCAAGGTCTAGCGCGACAAAGTGGCCGAGCTGACACGATCGGAGAAGACGGTGCTCAGTCGCTTCGTCATCCGGGAGGCCGCTGGACAGCCGGCCGCTACTGCTGACGATGCTACGAGGTCGTTTGTCGAGCAAGTCAAGAAAAGACGCAAGACGACGGCCCCAAGGACGGTCTACACGCTTCTGCAGGCGATTCCGCCCACCTCGAACACAGTGGAGCGTTTCTTTAGTGTGGCTAAGGCCACCCTCGGACTACAACTCCACCTCCTCCAGCCGGCTACACTGGAGATGGTTTTGTTCCTTCGTGTGAACAATGCGTTGTGGGACGCGAACGCTGTCAACGCCTGCTGCTAGAGTAGTTGTTATAGGCGCCATTACTTTTCTACTGCTGTTGCAATAGTTTACGTCTGCTTCACGCTTCCACTACTAAACAATTCATGTGTGGGTTCGAATCTTATCAGTCAAAAATACAATACTCGGGATCCCTGGCGACATTGCGGGGTCGGCGACGAGGACAACTAAGCTGGGCTGCTGTCATCGCAAACGGCGTAAGCAGAGCAGTAACTGATTGGCCGGTTTGTTCTTCCTTCTTTGCTACCATTGGCAAATATCTACTTATTATCAACTCCTGCCAATGTCCTGTAAAATGATTGTTAGACGGATTTTACTAAAAACCGTCTAACAATTAATATTAATGGTAAAACACTTGGTCTGATTGGATAAAAAGAATGTGGTTTACTTCAAATGATTGGTTGATGTAGTGCATCAGCATGCGAATTGCGGATAAGCTTACCTTGTGATGCCCTTTGAGAAAAGGCGTCTAAGCGCTCGTTTCGACATGCTTGTATTTCAACTAATACAGCCCACGGATGGAGAAGCACCAGCAATCCATTTCTGTGAGTTACAGGTACTTCGCTCGAACTATGTAGGCTTTGTCTCAGTTGTCACTGCTCTCATTTGCACTTCAGGGTAAATAGAGGGGGTTCCCAGTGTCCCTGTGGGTAAGACCCACGAAGATCAAGCGTTCCACTGAGGGTTCGGGTCTCGCCCTGAGTGATTCCGATACAAAAGCCACGTAAGTCTATTTCCGACCCCCGACTACCTCCATCACTACATCCCCTGGAACCCCTAAGTCACGGGTGCGGTTTTTCAACTATCTACTTTATAGTTTTGAAATAGCCACATGTGGTTATTTTCGACGCAAAAAGTACTGTGCCTTTCACTTATTCTGCCGTGATAATTCTGGCATAATTCTAATCCTTCTCGGCTCTAATTATGCCCTGAGTTAGCTAATTCCCATGTTAATTCCGGGTCGTCCCACCGCGGTCGAATTAAGAGTGGCGATGGTGAGGCTGGGTTTAGGCGGAATCAGCTAATCCAATCTGAGTAAGACAGAAACAGAGCGATTGGCGGTTTGCTACCCGCCAATCCATGCCATTCTGCTCGTATCTTCGTCGATTGGCACGCAAATGCTGATCGCTTGAGTTAGGGGAAGCACTCACAATCATAGGCGGAATTAACACTAAATAAGCGTTGCTCGTCCTTTTATGGATCTAATTCCGCCTGATTTAACAGCTCAACCGCCAAAATAGGTGAAAGGCACAATACCTAGTTCACAATTAAAATGACTACCCCAAATAAGTTTTCGACTACCTACTTTTCAGTTTTCCTGGGTTTTCGACCGCGTGCTACGCACGCGGATCTTAAACCACAGGAAGCGTTCTAGCTTGAACATTAAGTCGCCTTGCCATTATAACTACACCCTGATCCCTAAAAAAACCTTTACCCTTGGGGCACAAAACCCTAGACCCCCCCCTCTAGGGGGGACCACCTCGCTTCGCTCGGCAGTCGGCAGGACCCGCCTGCGGCGGGCGTTGGTGCTATCGTTCTCATTTAAGCCCCCCTAATGGAACTCCCGATTAACTGCAACTGCATCCCCTCAAACCGCCGCCTCACCACGACCTCAGGAAGGGAAACCGATCAACTAGGAATAATTTAGGGTAACTCACTTAGAGCATCTCCAGCGGTTGGTCTCAAACACGGTTTTATCCTAAAAGTATTGCCGCTTGCAAATACTTTGTCCTCTAAAATATACCTCTAAAATAGACCACGCCTGTCTCTTACTATGAGTGGACACGAGATAGGCGAGGGCTGTTTTAGCTTTGTGCTTTGGTGAAGACCGCTTTTATGCCCAGAAACTCGGTTTGGCCCGTCTAGAATGGCATTTCTGCGTTTACAAGTCGTAGAAAAGCGTTTTGGTCGAGAAAACAGAGCCCCAAGCTCGGATCTTAGACCTTACTGGCGAGATATATAAATGAGACCTAGGTCTTAATTAAGAGCTGGCTGCATTAAAATCGAGATTATTAACGAGATAATAAGCTTGCGTTGGCCAAAATATCTGCAAACGGCAATAACGCTGTTAAGACTTGGCCGAGACTTACGGCTTCCCCCAGAAGGTCCTATTGCAGGTTTTAACTTCACCGGGACCTATAGATTGGCTTTCGAGTTTTAACCCCCCCCCCGCACTCGCGGGGGTTTTCGGGTCCTGGCTGCGACCAATATACTACTTGTTAAAGCTGTATACAACTTGTTAAGGAGATGCGTATTTGGCTTAAGTATTGCCTGCTATAAGTACGATGTACTTTCCTGAACAGCTGGAAAGTTGCTGATTGTAGTTGCACTGCCATGCACATACATGTTGTCAAATCCACCTACGGTGGCCCTTGCCCAGCCAACAGGGGGTATATCCTACATCATGACTAGGCCTTTTTATCGGGACCGCGCAAAACACAGACAAAATTTCCAGACTATGTAAAATGCAATGATTGATTGCAAATCAAAGTGTGCATAATCTTCGCTATTCTACCCAGCGATATGCAAACGGTCCTGCCTAGCTCACAGCCACTTTGTCCGATCGCGGAGCCAGCGCTGTCACATCGTCCTGACGCTCACCCTCTTCCTCGTCGCGGACTGTGTCATCTTCATAGTTGCTTTCTTCTCCTGGTCTACCTACTTCCTAGCACCAGTGGTGAGCCATGTTCCACTTCACGCACCAGTTCATACGAATGTCTAGTTACGGAATGTTCTTCTCTGTATCGTTGGCAAGCTGAAGCACCACCTCAACCTGTCAGACGTAACTGCGGACTGTAACGAATGTACGCTATCAAACGCACCACCGCGCGGTCACAGCACATTGAGGAAGCTCTGAACATTTTTTTCTACAGCGCAGACGATGAGAGCAACTAACCATGTGAGCGCAATTCTTTCCAAGTGCGCTTACCCACAGCTCGGCAACGCGTTCATCTCCAGAGTATACCGTGTTGTATATACAACGGAAGTAATGATAAATACGAAGTACAATAAGTGATGTTTGACTTAGCGTATCAACAACTGAGCAGAGTCCTGGTATGTTCCAACAGTGTACAATATACAATTAGAAGACTGTGTGGATAATGCCTCATGAATGTATAGACTGTGTGATTGAAATATTTTCGTGTGATTATGTAGAGCCCGACACCTTTTTGGCACCGCTGACGCTACTCGCTAGCACCGACCCGAAAATGGTGCCCTAGGGCGAGCACAGGCGACCACGGCCTTCCCTCCAGCCTTCTTACGCCCTTTCGCATACAGGTAGCAGTATCCGGTCCGGCGCTGACGAAGCTAGCTATATGTAAACCATAAGTCACTTCATAACATGATGATATCATACATGCGGCACGGAATGCACGTACCAATGTTCCACGCCACCACTCAACGCTCAGCGCGTCCAAATACGTCGTGTGTCTGTCACCACTTGAGTACGCCTGGCAGCAATGCTCTGCCAGCGCCGGAGATGTAGCAGTAGTCTTCCTCATGCACCCCGCGGCGGAAGACAGATGCTGGAAGTGGCGTGGAAGTTGATGTTGCATGCACAGAGGCTCTGCAAAAAAAACGCCACCAGTTAGTTACCAACAGTATTTGTGTGGTGCTCTAGAGCAAACACACCGGCATCACACGGCTACACTATTACCTTCAGTCGTACATGTCCCCCCTATAGGTCTCGCGTCGCGCCGACGGCTCCCCTTTTCACCCACGGACTCATAGTTGATAACCCCGCCAGAAATCGTATCTGCGTATATGTACACCACAACACACACCATAACATGTTGTATATCGTACATGTGGCAGAGTAATGTACCTACCAATGTTCAGCCCGGACACCCAAGCTTTTAGCGAGCTGTTAGCCTTCTTGCGTCTCGTATGTGTGACCACCGAGTGGCTCATGTCCAGCGGAGAGGTAAGAGCAGGAAAATCATGCTGACCGGGCGACGGGCACTAGCGCTGCGGGAAAAGCTAGGGAGCACCGAAAGCGGAGCACCGGAGCAGAGAAAGCCCAGCCATACGGTGGCAGTAACACCGCATGAATGATTTGACTTCAACTTGACTGACTTAAGACCTTAATGCTCAGTGCGAGGTAGTTACGGATGCGCACTCCTCCGCCCAGATCTATGGGATTCTTAGCGGATATAGATATCGATAATTTTAGATTTGGAGGCAACCAACGCCTTGGACTTAGAATGCATCTTCGCGCACCTCGCCACAACATAAACCACTTCATCTTGTCGCTACCACTACCACTGGAAGCCATGGCTACAGGCGTGCCGCGAACCGACCCTCCGCCACTGCTAGAAGCCATGGCTACAGACGCGCCGCGAACGTTTATCCTCGATCCTCCACCCCCGCTCGAATATCCGCCTGAAAGAGACGCAGAGGCTGCTATTCATGCGTGGACCCGCACTCACGGGTACAATGTCTCTCGAGTGAAGCAAGAGAAGAACGCCAACGGAGAAGTTCGCTATCGACAGTTCGAGTGTGATCAATCCGGTAAACCCAAGAACACAAGAAAGATTGACCCTGCCGATCGAAAGCGACCTATGGTTCGCTCCAAGAGGTCGCAGTGCAAAATGCGCATCAGTATCGTTGCGGTTGATGCTTCCAAAACGACGGGACCCTGGCGAATAAGGCACACTCGAGATGGGAGCCGGTCTCACAATCATCCCGCCACTGACGACGTCCGAATTCACGTTGCCCATCGCCAGCGCGAAGCAAAAAACAAGAAGGGCAACCAGTCCATGTCCGCCAACGAGCTCATCGCACTGCAAACCATGGCTGGTGTCTTCAATGGCCAAATGTTTGCAACGATGCTTCTCAACGACGAGTCAACTTTAGTGATCCCTAAGGATATTTCGAACGCCAAAGCCGCTGCTCGTACGGCGTTGCTCGAGGCAAAGACCAGCAACGAGGCGCTGTTCGAGCTGCTGCGCAAAAAAGAGTTTCATTTCTCCTACGAGGTCGACCCCGACACGAACCGACTTCGCTACTTGATGTGGGCCCATCCGGCTACCATCAAGTTGGCCCGCAACTTTATGGATCTGTTGATAGTCGACTGTACCTACAAGACGAATCGATACCGCATGCCGTTGTTCAACGCAATCATACTGACAGGGATGAATACTATATTGCCATTCGCGCAAGTCTGGCTGCCAGGCGAAGCTGAACCAGATTTCAACTGGGCTTTTACTAAGTAAAGGGAGCTCATGGAAGAGACTTCCGCAGTGGACGACGACGAACCCAACATAACCCCCACCGAGTCGGATACGGCATGCACAGTACACGCCGCGAGCCTTCCAGCTTTGAAATCATTGAGCAAAACCTAGCAGCCGCAACAAGCACCCCAGCGCAACTTTCGTCCATCCAAGCCCTTCTCGACTGTGATGACACCGAGTTCCAGCAGGTATTCTGCCCACCCCGTACGTGGGGTTATGCCGGACTACGAGCACTAGGCGAATAACCGCTTCTACATTTGAAGTGCACTTTGATTTACATTCTAAAATATATGTATCTTCATCTCGATCTTGTGTTGAAGTCAAATCATTCATGTGGTGTTACTGCCACCGTATGCCTGGGCTTTCTCTGCTCCGGTGCTCCGCTTTCGGTGCTCCCTAGCTTTTCCCTAGCGCTGCGATGCCTCGAGTCTGTCGCTCTATCAGCTCGGCTTCACCTACAACGTTTCTCAGTCAGTCACCTGCCAGACATACGCGGCGCTTACGGCAAGCCCCACCCCCCTGTCATCATGCACCTGTTGTTATCTTTCCAGACGCACTTGGAATGCTTGCCTTTTCGCTGCGAGCCTCGCGACGTCGACGTTTGCTATCCGTTTCTTTTTCTCGACTGAACGGAGGGGGGCGTTTTGCCGCCACTAATTTGCAGTCTGGTCGCAAATCTCAGCAATCAATCAGCGCCTCCCGCTGGGGCTGGCTTTGTAATTTTTGATCGTTTTCTGCAAATATTTTCACCTACACCTGTGCACGCCATGCATAATTCGGCGAGATGTACTTTTTCATAACATGTAGTCATATACAACGTATGAGTGCGGGGGGGTTAAAATAAGACCACAATCTTAATTCCACCCATACAAAACTGAAGAGTCGCCGTATTTAAAAGGTTGCACCAAGACTGAGTCAAATTTTCACATGCGGGAATGGACTTATAACGCTCGCTGTAGAACTCACCGCTGGAAGTAAGTCCGTCTGCGCGGGTCTCAACTGTAAAATTGTGGTCTCAAAGACCCTGTTACGTCTTAGGATAAGACCCACCGCTGGATATGCTCTTAGACGTCAAAGTGCCAGCTTCCCTTTCAGCAGGCTCCGAAATAAGTGCCTAAATATACACCACCAATTACCTGGGGCCTTCTTCAGGGAAAATAGTCCACCCAAGACACCGGTGGAGAAAATTGGGAAGCCATTTTAACTTTGTTTTAAATGTGATGACGTCTACGTTGCTTAACGGAATACGTACACCCGTGGTGTGGTCAAGTACTCGACGCCAACGCTACAGTGCTAATCCCAGAACGCAGCTCAAAAGTGTAGCCCACCATGCCATCTCTGACATAGACGCAAAAGAGCTGGTACTGTCACCGACGGTAGCGGAGGCTGCCGCCAGTGTGAAGTTTGCACAGAGCTCGTTCGTGATACCAGCGTCATTGTACACGTCGCAGTCGGTGTCAGGATGGATTGCCACGACAAATTCGCCGTTTTCCGCTACCCGATTGAGGCCGCTTCCGATTTGAGGCTTGTACACGCTCCAGTCGTCGGCTGTAAGCGTAAACATGGCGGTTGTGGAGGCTCCTGCCTCGAGCTCGATCTTTTCAAACTTCCGCAGCATCTTGACTTCAGGAACTGAGATGGCGCGGTACGGCTGGATCATGAACAGCATAACAGTCTCCTTGCCAGCCCTCGTGCCGTTATTTGTCACCTTCACCGATACTGTGACCGTGTCATCATTGCTGGTGATCTTGTTCGTGCTGAGCTTCAAGTCCGAGTACGAAAAATTCGTGTAGCTCAGTCCAGCGCCAAAGTCCCATTGCATTTCGCAGGCACTGTAGCTGCACTGGGTGTCGACTCGATGACGGTACGGGATCATGATGTGGCCAGAGTACTTCGGGTACGTGATTGGCAACCTTCCGCTCGGGTTTACCTCGCCAAACAGGATCTCCGCCATGGCTTGTCCTCCTTGTTCGCATGGCAGACCGCCCCACACGACGGCACTTACCGAGTCAGGTAGTGAACCTAGCAGTCTTGGACGACCTTCGAACAGGATTAGCACGACTTCAGTACCCGTGTTGGCGAGGGCCTGGACGTACTCGAGCTGACCCGAGGGCAGCGTCAGCTCATCGATATCACCCCACTTTTCAGCGTAGGGTGCTTCACCGATGGCAACGATAACCACGTCAGCGTCACTGGCGTATCCTGTCGCTGTTGAGAGATCTTCGTCCGAGTATGTTCCGTCCACGCTGAGTCCGTTGAAATACGTAACCGAGTCGCTGCCGATCAAGTTTTCAATACCCTGCCGCACCGACGTGCCATGCGCAAAATAATCGTTGCCGGAGGTTCCTTGCCAATAAATACTCCAGCCTCCGCACTGGTAGCCGATGTCGTCGACAGAGAAACCCGTCAGGAACACCGAAGTGCCGTTTGCGAGGGGCAGAAGATTGTCATCGTTTTTCAGCAGCACGATAGACTCCCTCGCGAGATTCAGCGCCTCCTCCAAGTCGTCGTTATTTCCAACGAGATCAACGTTATCTTCGCCGGGGACTGGGGTGTCATAGAGGCCCATTTCAAGCTTCATCTTGATGATTCGTTTGGCTGAAGAGCGCAGTCGGTCCTCGTAGTCGGCGTTGCTGGACAGCACGGATTTGACTTGGTCAATAAAGTCCGTGCTGTATGGCACCATGCTCATATCGAGTGAAGTGTTGGCGACCACGAGTTCAACCGCATCTTGCTGCGTGCGCACCACTCGGTGCCAACTCTGGAGGTTGTTTACCTCGCCCCAGTCGGTGACAACGACGCCATCGAAGCCCAGATCATCACGCAGTAGGTTGTTCAGGATCTTGGTGCTGGAGATCACCGGGGCGCCGTTCACCGAGATGTAGTTTTCCATCGTGGACATGGCGCCGTGCTCGATGCCAGCCTTGAACGACGGTACGTGGTAGTTCAGCAGGTCGTAGTCTGAGATGGTGGTCCCTTCTCGGTCGACACCCGTCGCCGTCTGCGAGTACCCGATAAAGTGCTTCATGCACGCTCCGTTCTGGCTGTTGTTCTGCACTCCTTGGATGTAGGCGGCACCCAGCACCGACGCCAAGTACGGGTCTTCGCCGAAGGTCTCGTACGTGCGAGTCCACAAGGGGTTGTACGAGATGTCGAGAATCGGTCCCAACACCCACGTGATCCCCGCTGCAGCCGTATCACGTGCGGTCACGAAGCCCATCTTCCGCGCCAAGTCGGGGTTGAAGCTGGCGCCTGCATTGATCTGCTGCGGGAACATCACAGCCTGGTCCACATACTGCGCGCCATGCACCGAGTCGAGCCCGTACACCATCGGGTGTCCGCCGTTTTCGTCCATGTGGTACGTCTGGATCTCCTTGATCGTGTTCCGCCACCCGGTGGCGTTCCATCCAGCGAAGGGCGAGTTCAAGTAGGAGCCAACGCCCAGCTTGGCGTACTGCCGCACGAGGGTCTCGTTCACCGAGTGGTCGCTGTTGAGCACCATGCTGATGTCGAGCTGGCACATTTGGCCGATGACTAGGTCCGTCGAGAAGCCATCCACGATGGTTTGCGCCTGCGCGTCCAAGCTGTCGCTGCCGCTGGCAGAGGATCCACTTGAGCTGGCGAGCGCGGGCTGCAGCAGCGTCAACGCCGCAGCGAGAAGCCAATTCTTGATCATCGAGACGTCCGAGCGGGTATTTTCCGGGAGGAAAATCGAGAAATGATGAAGGTCATTGCTCGACTGGCCGGCCGCACTGGTCCGGTGTGCATCGCACATCGCCAATGCTTTGTTGTGGCTGCTGCATCCAGATCAGGGGGAGCGCCTGCAACTTGGAGTCCAAGTACCATTTTGGCCCTTTCATATCGCGCGGTAGTAATGGAGGTCGGGCGAGAGTACGCGTACAGTTGCAGCGACTTGGTCAGTTCGATTGAAAGAGGGCCGCCATATCGCTGCTTCCGCTGAACCGGACGCAAGGCAAGTTGTAGACGAAATGATTCGGCTCACTTTGACTCTGGTGGAATGAAGTGTCGAGGCTGCACAAGCAGGCGATGTCCGTTCGTCGACAACTGTGTATGAAGTGGTACTACTGCACCGTGTACACTGTACAGTACAGGTATCCAGATTTTTGCCTTGATGTGCAAGCCGTGCGTCAAATCGACGGGATCACGTCAGAATGAGCAAGTCGTTGGCTTGTTGGCTCCTGAGCCATCACGGACCCAGGATACGTTTTGGTGCAGCAGCGCGGTCCTATCGGCCTCGTATTGTAAGTGTCATCGCACCTTGTTTGTCGTTTCTCATCTAAAGTTTCACGGAAAAGTTGTATTTGAAGGTGTCAATTTAATCGATGGTCAAATCCTCCTCCTTTCACACCGGAGGCAATCACTCTTGCTGCCCCTTAAGGGAGTCCACTGCCGACGTTGACCGTGCCCGCACCGCTGCTTGTGTCGACGCTGAGCTCGGCGCACAAGGGGTGGGTGATGTTGTTGTACACGTTGCACCACGTCTCGGGCTTGATGGCCACTACGTAGTCGCTGTCCTCGAACACTCGCTTCAACCCCTTGCCGATCTGCGGGTCTACACGCTCAAATCGTCCGTGGTCAGCGTGAACGAGACGTCCATGGACTCTCCGGCCTGAAGCTCGATCTTCTTGAACTTCTTCAGCTGCTTCACCTCCGGCACCGAGATTAGGCGGTACGGCTGGATCAGGAACAGCATGAGGGTCTCCTTACCGGCGCGAGTGCCCAGTCACGGTGGCGGTCACCGTTTCAGCCGCGCTGGTGAGCAGCGTCGTGTCTAGAGTTACGGCTGAGTAGCTAAACTGCGTGTAGCTGAGACCCGAGCCAAAGTCCCATTGCTGCCAGCAGTTGTCCCAAGTACAGCGCGTCGTGACGCGGTGGTTGTAGGGAATGGCGATATTAGCCGGGTCCTTCGGGTACGTGATCGGCAGCCTTCCGCTCAGGTTCACCTCGCCATAAATGATCTCAGCCATCGCCTGACCGCCGAGCTCGCACGGCAGGAGACCGTCGATAATGGCCATTGAGTGGTCGGGGATCGATCCAAGCAGGCGCGGACGGCCCTCAAACAGAACAACGATCGTCTTTGTGTTGGTCGCCCGCAGCGCCTCGATGTACTTCACCTGTCCCTCAGGCAGCGCCAGATCATCAATGTCTCCAGGCTTCTCCGTGTACTGGGACTCGCCGATGACTGCAACCGTGTACTCGTGCTGGCTTGCGAGGCTCACAGCTGTAGCCGAGTCCTCATCCGAAATGGAGCCGTTCGCTAGTAGTCCGTTGAAGTACGTGAACGAGCTGTTGCCGACCAAGTTCTCAAAGCCCTGTCGAACACTTACGCCGTTCGGGAACATGGAGTTGCCAGAGTATCCTTGCCAAGCCTTACTCCATCCACCGCACTGGTAACCAACGTTGTTCGCCGAGTGGCCCGTAAGGAAGACGGAGGCGTCCTTCGGCAGAGGCAAGACGTCCTCGGCGTTCTTCAAAAGCACAATAGACTCGCGAGCCATGTTCAGAGCCGCAGTCTTGTCGTCGTCGCTGCCAACCATGGAGACAAACTGCTCGCCAGGCACCGGGGTCTCGTATAGTCCCAGTTTCAGCTTCGTCTTGATGATGCGCTTTGCCGACTGACGCAGACGAGCTTCATTCTCGGGGTACTTCTCGAGCATGTTTTGCGCGTACTCAATGAACTTGGTGTCGTTGGGCACCATGCTCATGTCAAGAGATGTCTCCTTCAACGACAAGGCCACTGCATCCTCGTAGCTGTTTACGACGCGGTGCCAGTCCTTGAGGTTGTTGATCTCAGCCCAGTCCGAAACCAGGAGACCATCGAAGCCAAGGTCCGAGCGGAGCAGGTCATTCAGAATGCGAGGGCTCGCGATCACGTGATCGAGATGTAGTTCTCCATCGTCGACATGGCGCCAGCCTCAATGGCAGCCTTGAACGGCGGCAGGAAGTAATTCAGCAGGTCGAAGTCCGCCATGATGACGTTGTCGCGGTCGTGACCGGTTGGGGTTTTGGAGTATCCGATGAAATGCTTCATGCAGGCAGCCGTTTGGTTGTAGCTCTGGAGACCGCGGACAATGGCGTCTCCCATCACGGCCGCCAGGTATGGGTCCTCGCCGAAGGTCTCGTACGTGCGAGACCAGAGGGGGTTCTGGGAGATCTCCAGAATGGGGCCAAAGACCCACGGGACTCCAGCCGCTTGGGTGTCACGCGCCGTGATCCGTCCCGTTTCGTAGACGAGGTCGGGGTTGAAACTTGCTCCGCTGTTGATCTGCTGGGGGGAAATGACAGCTCCGTCGACGTAGTTGGCGCCGTGAACCGAGTCGAGGCCGTAGATGATCGGGTGGCCTCCGTTCTCCTCCATTGAGATCTCCTGGATGGGCTTGATAACAGCGCGAAACTCGGACGCGGTCCAGCCATACTTCTCCTCCATGGGTTCGTCCCAGATAGTGTTGAGGTAGGAGCCAACATACTGCTGGGCATACAGACGCACCCAGTCCTCGTTGAGGGTATTGTCCTTGGGGTTCATGACGGTGCTGATGTCGACTTGGTCATTTGACCGATCACCTGCGCCGTCGTGAATCCATCAACAATGGTCTGAGCTCGAGCGTCCAACACGCTGTCGTCTGCAGCAGTTGCCGCCATTGCTGCGTCCAGCACTAGAGTCGCCGCGGCCACAAAAAGCTTGACCATTTAAGTGCGTCAACGTAGCGTCCTCCTTGTGCGGCTTGTTTGCGGAGAATGTACTGCGAGGCGCAGTGAAGAAGTTGAGAAGTGAGCTCGAGTGGGGCACCTCCTCCTGAAGAGCGGCCGATCATAGAGAGCAGTTCTTTGGTCGTTAGTGCCCTATCCAATCGGTTAACGTTGTGAGGCGCCATGTTGGCCGTCCGAAATGCAGGCCACTTTACGCTGTTGTGGAGTCGAAGAGGCTCTGCAGTCCACGAAAATTATCTGTATCGCAAAGGGCTGCAATGTTGGTTGGGGCACATGGATTATAATTCGCATATATAGATGTATACTTCAAGCGGCTGATCCACCCAGCAAGCGGATAGGACACTCTCGGTGCGCTCGGAGAGCCATGCGAATGCAAATCAGTCAGCGCTACGAGAAATCGTAATGGACTCGCAGAGGAGGCGGCCGTAACATCGAAGAGTGAGTGGGTAACTCAAAGGAGCACAAGCGTCTTCTATCTTATGGGGGTGATTTCCAGACAGCAGTGTCGAATCGAGTAGGCGTGGGGATTGTCGCTAATGTTTACCGCGTGCATTGGCACTCTGGCTTTTGGCTAACTGTAATGAATGTTTCGAAGTTCTTCAGTCGACGCCCTTTACGTTTCCTTACGTGTGTGTCCTGTTGTGCAAGTGGACAAATGCAATGTACTATAACCACAGATTAAAGACAACGCCTTTAGCAAAATTGGATGCTTATGCGTAAAGCAGAACCATGAGGATTGCATCTACTCGACTGGCTTTCAGGAGCCCAAACGAACTGACAGGAGTCCCTACCCACGTGGCTTTCTGCTTGCGTGTCTTACATGCAGCTGGGACGCACTATCTCCTGGAAGAACTTGAATATGATTAAGGTAACGCCATCCATGAGCTTGTCCGCTAACGCTCGCTGAGAACGCAGTGAAGGTCAATGAACTTACTTTTGCTATGCTTTCACATTTGAAATGTATTCGTGTTTAGCACGTTAAACTGTCTAACCAGAAGGCTGGTCGATGCTTAGTAGGTTGCCGCCTCCACGGTTCCAGTGCCAACATCAGCAGCAGGCGGTTCCGAGGTGCTAACGCCCGCGGTGTCAACAGGAGGGGCGATCGTAGTAACATTCACGACCGGAGGGGGGAGGCCGAAGTTGTCGCGTCCAGTGTCGATCGAGAACACGGCACACAGCGGGTTAGTGATCTTCTTGTACACGTTGCACCAGGTGTCGGGCTTGATAGCCACAACGTAGGTACTGTCCTCCGTCACCTTCTTGAAGCCCTTGCCGATCTGCGGGTCGTACACGCTCCAGTCGTCCACAGACAGTGCAAACGAGACCTCCTGGGACTCGCCCGCCTGCAGCTCAATCTTCTTGAACTTCTTCAGCATCTTAACTTCGGGGACCGAGATCGTTCGGTACGGCTGCGTAAGGAACAGCATGACCGTCTCCTTGCCAGCACGAGTGCCAACGTTCGTTACAGTCACCTTAGCAGTGACAGTCGCGTCTGCGCTGGTGATCTTGGTCGTATCCAAAGTCACTGCCGAGTAGTTGAACTCGGTGTAGCTAAGTCCGGCACCGAAGTCCCATTGCATCCAGCAGTGGTCGTAGGCGCACTGCGTGTTCACGCGGTGGTAGTACGGGATGGCAATGTTTGCTGGGTCCTTCGGGTACGTGATCGGGAGCCTTCCACTCGGGTTCACCTCACCATAGATGATCTCGGCCATCGCTTGGCCGCCCAGCTCACACGGCAGCAAACCGTCAATAATGGCGCTAGCAGTGTCCGGAAGAGAGCCAAGGAGACGAGGGCGACCCTCGAACAAGACAACAATGACCTTCGTGCCCGTGGCTGCGAGAGCCTCCACGTACTCAATTTGTCCTGCAGGCAGTGCCAGATCGTCAATGTCTCCGGGCTTCTCAGTGTACTGCTTCTCGCCGATGACAGCGATGGTGTACTCGTGCTGGCCAGCCAGCTCCACAGCCTTCGCGAGATCAGCTTCGGAGTATGACCCGTTGTCGTAAAGACCATTGAAGAACGTGAACGAGCCGTTGCCGACCAGGATCTCAAAGCCCTGGCGGACCGAGACACCGTTCGGGAACATCTCGTTGCCCGAGTATCCTTGCCACGCAATGCTCCATCCACCGCACTGGTGGCCAACGTTGTCAGCCGAGTGGCCAGTGAGAAACACCGACGCCTCCTTAGCCAGCGGCAATACACTCTCGTTGTTCTTTAGCAGCACGATCGACTCGCGTGCCAGGTCCAGTGCCACCGCCTTATCTTCGTCGTTACCCACTTGGAATTCAAACTCCGCACCAGGGACTGGCGTGTCGTACAGACCCAGCTTCAGCTTCGTCTTGATGATGCGCTTAGCTGACTCACGCAAGCGGCTCTCGTATTGCGGGTAGCCCTCCAGCATGTTCTCGGTGTAGTTGATGAAGGTTGTATCGTTCGGTACCATGCTGATGTCGAGCGAGGTGTGCGTGAGTGACAAGCGGACGGCGTCCTCGTAGCTGTTTACGACGCGGTGCCAGTCCTTGAGGTTGTTGATCTCAGCCCAGTCCGAAACCAGGAGACCATCGAAGCCAAGGTCCGAGCGGAGCAGGTCATTCAGAATGCGAGGGCTCGCGATCACGGGGTCGCCGTTGATCGAGATGTAGTTCTCCATCGTCGACATGGCGCCAGCCTCAATGGCAGCCTTGAACGGCGGCAGGAAGTAATTCAGCAGGTCGAAGTCCGCCATGATGACGTTGTCGCGGTCGTGACCGGTTGGGGTTTTGGAGTATCCGATGAAGTGCTTCATGCAGGCAGCCGTTTGGTTGTAGCTCTGGAGACCGCGGACAATGGCGTCTCCCATCACGGCCGCCAGGTATGGGTCCTCGCCGAAGGTCTCGTACGTGCGAGACCAGAGGGGGTTCTGGGAGATCTCCAGAATGGGGCCAAAGACCCACGGGACTCCAGCCGCTTGGGTGTCACGCGCCGTGATCCGTCCCGTTTCGTAGACGAGGTCGGGGTTGAAACTTGCTCCGCTGTTGATCTGCTGGGGGGAAATGACAGCTCCGTCGACGTAGTTGGCGCCGTGAACCGAGTCGAGGCCGTAGATGATCGGGTGGCCTCCGTTCTCCTCCATTGAGATCTCCTGGATGCGAGTCACTACAGCGCGCCACTCGGTTGCGTTCCAGCCATACTTTTCACCCAGGGGTTCGTCCCAAATGGTGTTCAGGTACGACCCGACATACTGCTGGGCGTAGGCGCGGACAGCGTCCTCATTCAGCGTGTTGTCCTCTGGGTACATGACAGTGCTGATGTCGACTTGGGTCATCTGGCCGATGACCTGCGCCGTCGTGAATCCGTCGACGATGGCTTGCGCTCGGGCGTCGAATGGGTCATTGTTGGCTGCTAGAATCGCACTGGGAATGCTCAGTAGAGTCGCCACTGCAGCTACGCTGCTAGCAGCGCCCCAGCTTGTCAACATTAGGTCGTCTGGCGTCGAGGGGGTCGGTGCTGTGGTCGGTTGGTCCTTTGCGAGGCAGGAAGGAAAATGAAAAGTGAGCGAACAAGAGTTGCCTTTCTCGTCCAAGCTGCGACGCTCAAGTCGAAGTTCGGCTTGGATCCGTCCTGCTTGTTGTCCTTCAGTCTTCACGTGCCGGCTGGCAGTACAAAGGAGATCCGACGGGGCAAAATTTGCGGCGAAGATCGCAGGGCTGGCATTGGCGTCCACGAATGAACCCCCTCCCCCGCATCAAACAACCTGTTCAATCCAATGAACATCTGCGACTGTAATCTTGCTCTCCGAATCCTTCGCGCGAAAGAGGAGACGAGAAGCCGAAACGGGTTGTCGTCGCAGCCATCGGAGCTCACTGCACCTTGAGGTGATTCCTCAGGGTGTAGTGAGATCAAAATTCTTCAGTGCTCACAAAAAGTAAGAAGTCACTCAGGGTCAAAGCTATATACATGTAGTAGAAGTACGGTAGTGTAAGTCTATTATATTGACTACAGCAGCGAAAGTATAGCGAATGTAGCCGCACCGGGAGGTCACCATTCGGGCTTCAGAGCTCGAACCTGGGTGGACAATACCGAGGACAGCACATTAAAGCACTGGGATTTCGCCTGGATAGACATTTTCGGCGGCCCGTCCTTCTGTCTGCAAAGCTCTCGAGCCAAGTGTCTTTCCAGCCAAAGAGGAAAGCCTTATCTGTTGAGATTTCGCAGCGCGAACTTGTCGCGACTGCAAGAAAATACAGCTGCAGGACACCACCACCTGGAGCAAGTGCCGCATTCTAATGGGGCACATCAGGCTACATGTATTTGATGAACTGTTTCAGTGTACCCTACACTTTTCATTGAAATACAGGATACTCACACTAGTAGTAAGAGTTCGCAATACATGCACATATAGATTCAACGTTAGACGTATGTACAGAAAGCGATAGGCCCAAATCGGGACTATCGTCGCCCCCGATCCGGATACCTTACACATATCCACTCATGATCTAGCGGCGACGCGATGTAGTGCCGTTGATGCCAAAGTTGACCGATCCCGTGTTGAGCGTGAACTGAGCGCACAGATCGTTCGTGATCGTGTTGTACACGTCGCAGTCGGTCTCGGGCTTGATCGCCACGACGAAGGTGCCGTCCTCCGCAACTTGGTTGAAGCCGCTGCCAATCTGAGGGTCGTAAACGCTCCAGTCGTCCGCCGTGAGGGTGAAGGTGACCTCCTGAGTGATACCAGGCTCGAGGTCGATCTTCTTAAACTTGCGCAGCATCTTGACCTCGGGCACCGAGATCAATCGGTACGGCTGGATCACGAACAGCATCACTGTCTCCTTACCGGCGACGGATCCCGAGTTCGTCACGAATACAGACGCAGTGAGCGAGTCATCAGGGCCCGAAACCGTTGTCTTGCTCAGCGTGAGTGCTGAGTACGTGAACGTAGTGTAGCTGAGTCCAGTGCCAAAGTCCCATTGCATCTCGCAGTCAACGTAGGCGCCACTGTCATCAACGCACTTGGTGGTCACGCGGTGGTTGTACGGGATCATCACATTGGCCGAGTCCTTGGGGTACGTGAGCGGAAGTCTGCCACTCGGGTTCACTTGGCCATACAAAATTTCCGCCATAGCTTGTCCACCAAGCTCACAAGCTAGCAAACCGTGGACTACCGCGCTGGCCGTGTCGGGGAGAGTGTCAAGCAGACGTGGGCGACCCTCGAACAGAACAAGGATGACCTTAGTTCCTGTGGCAGCAAGAGCCTCGACGTACGCAATCTGTCCGGCGGGTAAGGCCAAGTCGTCAATGTCGCCCGGCTTCTCAGCGTACGTGTCCTCGCCAATGACCGCGATTGTATATTCGTGTTGGCTTGCGAGTGCCACGGCAGTAGCCAAGTCCTCCGAAGTGTAGTTTCCATTCACGCTTAGCCCATTGAAGTAGGTGAACGAGTTGTTGCCGACAACGTTCTCCAGACCCTGGCGAACCGAGACTCCGTTCGGGAACATATCGTTGCCGGAGTACCCCTGCCACGCCACACTCCATCCGCCGCACTGGTAGCCGATGTTGTCGGCTGAGTGTCCCGTGAGGAAGACGGACGATCCATTGGCGAGTGGAAGGATGTTGTTGTCGTTCTTGAGCAGCACAATCGATTCACGCGCCAGCTCCAAAGCGACCGCCTTGTCGTCGTCGTTACCCACCAGGTACTCGTAGTCGGCACCAGGCACTGGGGTCTCGTACAACCCGAGCTTGATCTTCATCTTGATCACACGCTTGGCCGATTCGCGAAGCCGAGACTCGTATTCCGGGTAGTTGCTCAGCATTTCCGTCGCGTAAGTGATGAACTCCGTGTCGTAGGGAACCATGCTCATATCTAGAGCTGTCCGAGTGAGCGACAGCCGAACAGCCTCGTCGTAAGTGTCCACCACGCGGTGCCAATCCTTGAGGTTGTTGATCTCAGCCCAGTCCGTCACCACGACACCATCGTAGTCGAGGTCGTTGCGTACGAGGTCCTCGAGAATCTTCGTGTTCGCCACCACAGGGATGCCGTTGATGGAGATGTAGTTCTCCATCGTCGACAGTGCGCCAGCAGCGATCCCTGCTTGGTACGGCTTCACGAAGTTGTTGAGGAGGTCGAAATCCGCCATGGTCACTCCGTCGCGGTCGTGTCCCGTTGGTGTCTTGGAATACCCGACGAAGTGCTTCATGCAAGCGGCAGTCTGGTTGTTGCTTTGGAGGCCTCGGATAATTGCGTCGCCCAGCACCGAGCACAAGTACGGGTCCTCGCCGAAAGTCTCGTAGGTGCGAGCCCACAGCGGGTTCTGCGCGAGATCGAGGATAGGACCGAAGATCCACGGGATCCCGGCAGCCTCCGTGTCACGGCCAGTGATGGCTCCCACTTGGTAGACCAGATCCGGGTTGAAGCTTGCTCCGCTGTTGATCTCCTGGCCGAAGATGACGGCCCCGCTCACGTAGATGGCGCCGTGCACCGAGTCGATGCCGTACACCATCGGGTGGCCACCGTTCTCTTCCATGGTGATCTCCTGAATGCGCGTGACAATGGCGCGCCACTCGGTGGCGTTCCAGCCCCACTTTCCGTCGATCTCGCTGCCCCACGGCGTGTTCAGGTACGACCCGACGTTCATCTTGGCGTACGTGCGCACCGAGTCCTCGTTCAGCGAGTAGTCGCTGTTGAGCACCTGGCCGATGTTGATCTGCGTCATTTGGCCCAGCACTTGAGCCACGGAGAAGCCGTCGACGATTGCTTGGGCTTGCGAGTCGTACACATCGTCGCTCAGAGCGCGGGTGTCGACCGGGAGAGCGGAGAACGTTGCAAAGCACGCGAGCGCAGCAGCCCACGACGTCAGCATTGCAGTTGGAAGCGCGAGGTTTGAGCTGCACCGATGAGATTGCGAAGTGAGTTAGGAATGGAGCGGAGGCATGGCGATGCAGGCGGAGGGAGGGAGGTCCGCATTGGAAGACATCGACGCTCGCGTGGCCCAAGCCTAAAGCCTGTCTGTCCTCTTTGGGGAAGACGTGGTACGCGCGCGGGAGTTGCTGGCGTTGAAGCTGCATTGCCGATCGTGCGGGCGCTGAATGACTTGTTTGCTGCTCGATGCCGGTCACCGGCACGCCTGTCGGAGGGATGCTTGCGGATCTGATAAGCTAGTCGCGTCTGGCACAACTGGCGAGATGAGATTTCCGACTATTAAACTATGAGGTTGATGTTCTTAATACACTCCAGATACTTTATTAGGTGCGATATTTAGTGTTAGAGGAAACACTTCAAGTTGATGTGGTCGCCTGGGACTTTACGAGCAATCTACAGTATTCCCTTGCAGGTGCGAGCATTAGTCAGGGCACAGCGTCATGCCCGATCATTTACTGCCGCTTAAAGGGATAACTATCCGTGACCAGCGAATTGGGCTGATCGCGCTCACTGCAGTAGTGAACGCGATCGCTGTAGTGATGCTACAGCTGGGATGATTTCACCGGGCCAGTGTGCTTGCCACTCGCAGTCTGTGAGTCGCAGACTGGTCTGGCGGTGTGATCGCGGGCACCTACCAGCTGCCCGAGGAATCAAGTTTGGTGGGACCTTCGCTGCCATCTCTCCTGGGCTTCAGATTGGCACAAGCACTACATGTATAGTGAATCTCGCTCGACCTTGCGCAGCGCATCCAAGCTTTTTTTTTTTCAAGGCAAGTTGTTAAGTGCCTCACTGCCGGATCTCTATCAAAATGCTGGCTTCTGTCGTGGTGGAGGTCTGTGCAGGCTCGATTTGTGTCTACCGCAGCCGGTTGCAGTTCAATGTCTGCCCCATGTTGAAGCGAGCAGGTCACCCGGGCCAATCGTTTACTGAGCCATGGTACCTCCAGGCTGGAGTCCAGCAGTGACCTGCTCGTTGACCTGGTCGGAATGCAACCACTGGCATCAGAACTTCGGATTCAGAAGACGCTTGCTGGAATCGTGCTTCGGAATGGCATCGCCACCACTCGGGTCCAGGCAATAAGACGCTTTCTAAGACTTCGTCCGTTTCATCGTGCGATGGTGTGAGGGCGAGTAACGAACTACGAGCTTCCTATCGCCAGTCGATCGTAGCGTAGCGCAGGCTGCACCATTCGATAACTGCTGGACGCCGTGCGTGTGTTGCAACATGCGCGAGGCTTCATGGGGCCTGAGTGAGCACAACGTGCAGCTTGTGTTCCTCTTCACCGTCATCTACTGGTCGGCTAGCAGGTGCGCAGCAGATCGACTGACACAAGTCACAAGTCACTGTCGTGTCCGAGCTGACGTTGCCATCTTAGTATCATCTCCCAGCAGGTTTTGTCGGGCTATGTCTACGTGCTGACAGCCTCGAACGCCCCAGTAGGCTTCGTCAAGGGCATCCAGGGTCTAGTCCAGCTACTCTGCGCATTCCCAGCGGGGTATGCTGCAGACTGCACGCGTCGAGATCGCATCCTCATCTTGGCGGGCATTGTCGGTGTCGTCGCTTCCGTGCTGACGGCGATGGCTTTCGAGTTGGCCGATATGCTGCTCATTTACGTCGCATTCGGACTATGGGGAGCCTTCACCGCTTTCCAGAGTTCTGCCATGGAGGCGCTGTTTGCAGACTCAGTCCCAATGGGGCAAAGATCAGCGCCGTTCACGCTGAAGTACGTCATCCGCAACGTGGCGCTAGTGCTGGGACCCACCAGCGCTATGTTGCTGCTATGGAAGTATGGCGATGTATGGACATTGGCAGCGTTACGGCCAGTTCTGCTGTTCGGTGCGTTCATCGCAGCAGTGTCGATGGTGCTTCTGTTCCAGTTCAACGACGATCTAGCGTTCGAGAACCGGCAGTATGTGCTTGCCATTGAGCGCGAGCTGAGCTCAATTGAGCGCAACTTCACCTCCGAGTATAGCGACCGAGAGAGCTCTGCATCTGAGCAAGGCGCGAGCTTTTCCCGCATGCAAATGACTTCAAACAGTGAGTTCTCTCAGCTCTTGCGGTCATCGAGGGTGCCGTCAGTGAACAGCGGCTACTACTTAACCGCACCACTAAGGAGCGACGACGACGAAGATGTTTCAGTTCGTCCCGTAATGGCCTGCTGGGGGATGCTCGACACCGCGCATGTGCCGTACTTGCTGTTTGTGTCGGACTTCTTCGTGAGCAATGGGACGGGACTCGTCACTGCGTTCTTCCCGCTCTTCTTCCTCCACGAATACGCGCTCTCTCCAGTCCGAGTGCAGACGCTCTTTGCTCTCCAGCCGCTGGTCATGGCGCTGCTATCGTTTCTATCGCAGATGGCGTCAAGCACTACGGGGCGAATGTCCATGGTTGTGGTCACGCGCGTGTTGGGAACTATCAGCTTGCTGCTAATGGCCGTCTCGCACGATGTGGCGGACCAGAGTGTGCTGTTCGTATTCCACGGGGCGTTTATGCAGTGCACGGAGCCGCTGCGACGTTCACTTCTGATGGATTTCGTGCCAAAATCCCATCGTGCTCGTTGGAACTCGCTGGAGGGGTTGACGGTGGCCTCCTGGGCCGGAAGTGCTGTCCTCGGAGGTATCATAGTCGATGCATACGGCTATCGGCTGTGCTTCATTGCAGCGGCTCTTGTATACGTGTGCGGTATAGCTCTCGAGATGATGCTCATTCCGTTAACTCGGCACGCGGCCGAAACACTGGAGACCTTGAATAAGCCTCAACGCGATGAAGATAGTTAGCTAGTGAACACGTCGGGCAGCTACTTGCTTCAGAATCCTTGCAGAGCCGATTTAAGAAATCATTTATTCGTCACGCAATTCTCCGTCTCAAGGCGTGATCTGCCAATGCGTTCTCAATATACTCGCAGTTTACAACCGTGTTCTTTAATCCGTGCGCGATGAGGAAGTTGGTGAGGGCACGAACGTTCTTGGGATCATACGTAACTCCGTCATTTAGTTCCAGAGCGATCTGAGTGCACAACTGCAGCTGAGTCAGCTCTTGACTCGGCGTGGAAGCTGGCGAACGCTTTGTAATCGCGAAACCTCGGACGTTGTGCGTTAATCCACGGAGCACCTTGTTCTTGACTTCGATGGGGGCTGCGTGGGAAACCCGAATCACGACGTCGCGGTCTGCCTCCACGTAGCGCCGAACGACTTGCCTCATTTTCACATCTGCTCGAGAGGTATTCGAGTAAACCTCCTTCGTGAACTCCTCAATAACGGTGTAGGGCTCATCCAGGCTCTGCTGATCGTAAACCGAGCCATCGCGACAACGTGAGCATTAGGACCTTCACAGTTCAGTCCTCACATGCTTTGTTTCGACGCACCTTTGCTGCCTTCTCGTACAAATTTCCATACGCCATGTGCTTCTCCGCCCCCTTGAAGTAATCCCAAGAAGCTTGAGCTGTGTCTTGCAGTCCGAACGGCAGGTCCTTGTAGGTAAAGAACTCGAGGTACTTCCCGTCCACGCCCTCCCGCATATGCACGTCACCGATCGGGATTGACATTGTCGCCAACCCGTTCGCCATGAAAATGGAGTCCACATCTCGGTACGCCTCGTCCAAAAGATGAAACAGTCCGCGGAAGTCTTCCACGTCGCCACAGAAATCCAGCACAGCGATCGCTGGGTGGTCGACACAACACTGGTTGATCAGCGACGCACACTCATTATTCTACCAGCCACCAATGACAGAAAAGCGTTAGCACCAGCACTCTCTACAGATAAAACCTCCACAGCCGGAGCCTCACCAATTGCCGCGTTCTCTTCCGAATCAAGACGCCCAAGCTGTCCGCCACCTTCCTCTGACGCTCCACCGCCAGCTTCAGCCTCACATTATCGCACTCGGCCTGCTCTCTTCTCCTCCGCTGTCTCATGGCCTGCTCCTGCCACAAACTCGGCCTGTGCGTCTTTGTATTCACCGGAACTAGCGCCTTCGCTCCGTTCTGATGCTTCCGAGCCTGCAGGACCTTCAGGTTGAGCTGCAGCTTGTCCATCTGCTCGCGCAGGAACGCGATCTCCCGCGTCTGCTCGTTGCGCGCGCGGTTCGGGTCGCTGTAGATGCCAGCCTTGCGCAGCAGCCGCTTCTTCTCGGCCTGGCGTCTCCGCTTCTCCTCCCTGGACAGAGGCCCCACTGCACCGCCAATTGCCACTTCATTACTAAGAGATACAGAGGTTTCTTGACGGCGTTGAGTAGGTAGTTGATTTAGCGAGGAGATGGCGTCGCCGGTGTTGAACTCGAACTCGTCCACGAAGGACAGCGCGGCCTCGAAGACGCCTTCTTCTTCTTCGTCCTCCTGCTGGAACAACGCCATCGCCCGTCACAGTGAGTCAGAAGGAGACTGGTACACTGTACCTCCCATAAATGAGAGTGCTATTGATTGGCTGAAATTGTAATATTGAGAAAGTTCGATCACATTGTAGTGTACGCCCAGTTGCCACTTAGCTCCGGACCCGACCCGACCGACCATGGCGTCCTCCGTGCCGCCCACCAGCGCCGCCAGCCTGAACGTGGGCTGGGACCCGTCTCCGCTGTCCGCGGGCGACGACTTCGACGCCAACTCGCTCATCGAGCGCACGCAGGAGGTCAAGGTGGACGTGAACGACTACTCGCGCTTCAAGGACATCGGCGCCGACCTGGACGACGACGAGGACAAGGCCAAGCAGACGCAGACGCCCGCCAAGGTGGCGCCCAGCGCGGACTCCACGTGCCGCAACTGCAGCAAGCCTGGGGCCAAGCTCAAGTGCAGCGTGTGCAAGAAAGACCGTCTACTGCGCGCGCAAGTGCCAGGCCAGCGACTGGCAGTTCCACAAGCGCATCTGCAAGAAGCCCGAGCCCCCCAAGAAGCCCGAGCCGCCGCGTCGCCCGCCCACGACCAGCTCCAGCTCTAGCTCTAGTTCCAGCTCGACGACTGCCGCTTCTTCGGCGAAGAAGACGACGTCGACGTCCAGCAGCAGCAGCAAGGCCAAGAGCTCGAGTGGATCGTCGGTCGTGGTGGCGGATGAGCCCGATCTGCCCGAAGACATGCGCGGCTACAAGAACGGCCTGCCCTACTTCCACCGCGAGCTGTCCAAGGAGGAGAAGAATCTCATTGGAGACATCGCACCCCAGAAGATTTGCGACCAAGCCGGTTGAGGCGTCTCGTGCTCAGCATGACGGCTCGGCGTGGAATACGGCGGGCACGTTCAAGGAGCGCGTGGTGACCAAGTGGGCCGAGGACAAGTGGAACGAGATTTTTACTGGTGCCACCTACTCGGAGGGCAATCTCCAACCACGCTGAAGCAACCGGAGAAGATCACCGGCGACGCCAGCATCTGCGTTGTGCGAGGCAAGAAGCGTTATCTGTTCGACTTCAACTTTAAGCTGCCCTTTGAAGTGTCCATCAGCGGCGGCAGCATGTGCAAGGGCTCGTACGAGATGCAGGAGGACATTCGAACGACGAGGACTACGAGGTACGACTGCTGCATGTTCCGCTTGATAGTTTTTCTTTTATTCTTGTCGTAGAACTAAGCTTATGGTGTTGTTTTTGTGGTGGACAGATCTCGTGCAGGTTGACCAAAAAGCCCAGCAGCGCCACCGAGCAGAGTGCCGTGCAGGCTTTTGTCGCTAAGAAGGGCAGCGGCCTGCAGAAGGAGCTCGTGCGACTCATCGGCGTGTTTGCGAACGACTTCCAGCAACAATAGATAGTGCCACCAAGGCGAAAAAATGAACAGAAAAGGCGAACCGTGTTGATACGAGGATACTGCACGTTTACTGCATGTAATACAGAACTTGTCATCGTTTTCCTTGACTTCCAGTAGCGTTTCCTCTCCGAGAACCCAACTGCTCCAGCTTTTTGTCCCATCAAGATGCCGAATACAGAATTTGCGGCGCCAGGTTGGGGCTAATCGCGTGCTCCGACGCAAGGCTTTGGCGAGCGGCAATCATGCCCATGTGGCAACTCTGGAAAATGTCGTATCCTTCCAGCAAGCCGTAGATCGTCCCGCCAACCATGCTATCGCCTGCAAGCAATCAACCACCGGAGTCAGTCTCACTGTCTAAATGAAACGCTTAAGCCTTTGTGTTCGTACCTGCGCCAGTGCAGTTGGTGACGAGGATTTCCACGCCGGGCAAATGAACCATCGTGACAGAGTGGCCTCCGTGGACATGGTGCATTCCCCAAATGTCAACAGGAAAACCGCATTCGTCGACAACCTCCCGCAGGTCGCGAATAGACACATTGATCGAGGCAACCAGCACGCCGTGCTTGCCAAGAGTGACCAACACGTGCTTAGACTGCTTGGTGTCGCCGTTTGCCATAGCAAGCAGAGCTGGGAAAGTGTACGCACGAACGTTAGCAAGCTTACTAAAACTTTTCAAAACCGGCACGAGTACATACCTGTGATAAGATCGTTCTTCAGCTGAGTCATTTCCTCCTTGGGGATGATACCTGACTCCTTGGTTAGTGGGAACCGCTCATCAGTGCTCTCTGAGCTTACGTTCGCGTCCTCAAGCTTTTGTCGGATAGCCTGGCTGATTGCGTGCAGTTCATCAGCGTTTGGCGACATGTACTTCATCCAAGATACGCCGTCGCCCTCCACAACATGGAGCGCTTTTTGAACCGAGGTGGGCTCGAACCAGGTGTCTACGCCGAGACGTGCGCTACGCTTGAAGAGATCTCCAATAGTTCGTGGAGTCAAGTTGCCGTCCGCGACGATCAGGTTCGCCTTATCAATCGTTTTATCCGAGATGCTGCTACTCTCAATCGACTCAAACGCGCTCATATCCGCAATAGCAGCGTCCATGTCTCCAGTTGAGTCGAGTACAGCGGAATACACTGCTGTAGCAAGCTTGTCCGAAACGGTAATGCCACTGGTGTCCAAGCCAAGCTTCTTTAGGTTCTCCAACAGAACAGACCCGGGCGCATCATTCCCCACTGAGGAAACAAGTAAAGGATCCAGCCTGAGCCGATGCAGACATTCAGCAATATTCCTTCCCACGCCTAAAAGCCACAGTAGAAGCATCCATCATTAGCCATAACGTTGCGCTGGACCAGTTGAAGTCATCAACCTTACCACCACTGGACTGCTTGATGGTTCCAATGTTTGAGGTGCCGCGGATTAGTGGCGAAGCAGACGAGCTGATGATATCTAGAACGAGGCCCCCAACAACCAGAACGCGTTTACGGTCGCCGGATTTGGTCGAGGAAGATTTCTGCCACAACACACAAATGCATCTTGTAAGTTCGAGACAGCAGCAGCGGGCAGAACTTGAACCTACCTTTGCAACTGGAATGGAATACTCAGTCTTAGTAGTCGGATCGACAACAGCGCCGTTTTCCAAGTCAAACAGAGCGCACGCAACCTGCACCAAATGACGAAGATGGGGTCAGCAGGTGGTCATGAAAAACATATCACAGTAATTTGTCAGCAAGTATTCACCTGACTCCCGACAGTCGCGTTGTTGTTCACCAAGTCGATGTTAGACGTAAGTGATACGCCTTGGGTAATCTCGTTCACTCGCTTTAGCAGGTAGGGCGTGACAGCCTGACCGTGGATGTTCTTCTCTACGACCTCCTTGAGACCAAGCTGATGTATCCACACCATTCCAAGCATTTAGCTCGCTGCATTCACACAATACCGCGGTACAATGTAAGCGAAACGGACGCGGATTCTTACCTCAATGGCCTCGTTAATCACCTCCGTAGGCACTGGTTTTGGGTTAGGAACAGCAATGATGTGGCCGTTCGGCAGCTCCAGTGCCTCGCTTTCATGGATCAAACGCGCAATATCCTGAGGCGTATCTCGACGAAGGTGAGCCTTCTCGCCGCTGTCCTGCGTGAAAAATGCTGGGAACTGGTCCGTCCTGTACCCGATCACCGGTACGCTCTGCAGCACCAGAAATCACGTCAACACGATACAATACCCAGCAAGAAAATCAGCCTCGGTTTTCTTCAACATGGCCACTCATTCACAAACCGCACGTGGGTCTCCAGGAATTCCAACGTGCGCGGGATGTCGAGAATGGACTTGATGCCGGCGCACACCACCGCCACCGGAGTCCGCGACAGCTCCATCAAGTCCGTCGAGATATCTTCATACAACGGACTCGCTCGTTAGCACCAAACATACAAACGAATAATACGGTGGCAACTGCAAATGCATCTCACCCATGGTCTCCTCACAGAAGCGGTGCACGCCTCCGATGCCTCCCGTCACGAACACCTTGATCCCCGCCGCATGGGCAATGCGCCTACACCATAAAGAACCCACACCCATCATTACAACCTACTATCCTGTAGTCATAGCTCGTCCGTAGCCGACTCACATTGTGCTGGAGACGGTGGTGGCGCCCACCACCTTCTTGTCCGTCACGGTGGCCGCGATGTCCCTCGTCGAGCACTTCTTCGCGCCGGCGCCGAGCTCCGCCAGCTGCGCCAGGTCCTTCTCGCCCAGCCCCACCTTCAGCGCCCCCTCGGCGATGCAGATCGTGGCCGGACACGCCCCGTGCGCACGCACGATCTCCTCCACGTGCTGCGCCATCTGCAGGTTCTGCGGGAACGGCATGCCGTGCGAGATGATGGTGGACTCGAGCGCCACCACGGGCCTCTTGGCGCGCCCGTACAGCGCCTCCGCCACCTCCTCGCTCAGCGCCAGGCGCTGGCTCAAGGCCGAGCCGCTGCGGCGCCACATGCCGACCAAAGAGTCCTCGTGCGCTTGTTGCGGCCGATTGCCAAGTGATGGGTATCCTTGGGCACTTCAATTAGGTTCGAGCGTCGATCATGCACGGTTTATGTGCTTTTAACCTACGTGGCCCACCCGCATTATGTACACCACACCAATTATTGCACGAGTTGGCCGAGCCACCATAGATCCCCCGCCATTAGACTGCCATGGGCTTCGCGCACTCGCTCGAGGTGCTGTACGCGCTGCTGCGGCTGTACACGGGCGGCGTTGCGGCATCTCCCGCCTTGTCGGACCTGCCCTACCCGCATCTGCAGCAGCGACTGCAGCAGACGCTGCGCGCGGTGGCGCTCACGGCCCTCGGCGCCGTCGTCCTCCCGCTGCTGCTGCTGGTTCTGCTGCCGGTGCTGTCTCCGCTGGAATTCCCGGGATTCACGACGTTCCTGTTGGTTGTGGGTCTTCTATGGACCGCCACCGTCGCCCACCTGACGCTCAGGTTCGCGCTGCTGCCCACGCCGCGACGCGCGGAGGCCGAGCCGGTCGTCAGCACTCGCGGAGGACTGCAGACTGCCGTGTGCGCGCTCGTGGACGTCGTGACGCGCGTGCGTAAGCAGCCGCAGCTGCCAGTGCTGCTGCTGCTGTGTGTGCTGCACTCGTACGTGTGGAAGCTGACGCTGTACTATGGCATGGCGACCAGCGCCCAAGTTGCAGCGGACTTCGGGTCCTTCGCAGTCGCTGGCGGCCTCGTGACGTTCGTGTCCTTTGTGGTGATGGAGACGAGCTTGGCCCAAGATCCGTTCGTGCTGGACCCGCGCGCGGCCTTCGTCAGGGAGATGCAGAGAGACGTGGTGCGCGCGGTGAGACGCGGAGTGCTGGTGTACATCGCTGGACGCGCGCTGAGCTGGCTGTTCGGTGGTAGTGGCGAGCTGGAGGTGCAGGAGACGGAGACGGAGGCCGGCTTCTTCTCGCTGCATGCGCCCAGAGTCACGTTCCAGGTTACTACCAGTGTGCTGGAGAACCTGGCCATTCTGAGCTCCGCCTCGGTGTTCCGTATCCTGCTGTTCCGCGCGAGCTACCAGGTGCTGGGCGGAGCGTTTGGCGACAGCAACAACTTGTGGGACTCGCTGGCAGCCGTCAAGCCCAAGGAAGGTGATGTTGCGAGCGCGCTTTTCGCTACGGATGTTGCCGCCAACCCGCAGAACAGCACGCCGCTAAATGAACAGTACCTTCAGGCCCTGCACAAGCGCATGGACGCGGCAGTGAAGCAGATCTCGGACAAGAAGACGCCCAAGGCTCCTGCGGACGCCGAGGATGTGGAGACTCTGGATAGTTTGTTCAAGTTTGAGAACCTGTCTGGCTGCAAGTTTGACGCCGCCGCACGCGAAACGCTGTTCTCGTCTCGGGATCGATGGAACGCGCTGTTCAGTTCGACGACCGCTGTGGTCGATGGATTCACGCTCATGCTGCAGCTGCTGAACACGCTGCCCGAGAGGAAGGACTCTGCTGGAGACAACTCTTCCACGGGTGCGTTGGCTCTCGAGCAGTCCGTGGTTTCTCTCCTACGCTTCTTGAACTCGCAGCAGGACGCCCACCCGCTGCTCCTGCTTCACCAGTACCCGCACTTGGCGAACCTCCGCATCTCCTCCGCCAGTGTGAAGTCGCCCATTAAGTTTTTCGTCGAGTCCAAGCTGCAGTTTGCTATCCGCCGCTTCGTGATGGAAGAGGCTCGTCGGCGCGTGTTCCAGCGGGCGAAGATCGTCCGCGCAGCCGAGTCTTTGCTGTGCCACCTCGTGAGTGTCTCGCGTGCGGAGGACAAGCAGGGATATGTTCAGGTATGTTTCGCCTTGTTGCCGTTCATGTCAGAATTCTTCTGATGCTAATCACTCTCCATGCTTTTGTTTTTGTCTGTCACAGCACACTGTACCCGCTGTGCTCTCATCACTGATGGAGTGCCGCCATGCCTTGGAGGCGTACATGGAAACGTGTCTGAAGGAGAGCAGTACGACTGATGTCTACGTGCAAGAAGCGACTGCCCTAGCAAAAGGTTGGTTAATGTGTACTTATCCTCGGCTGAGTGACATTGTTGACTAACTGATGATTTTGTTTCTGTTGCACAGGAATCGACAGCGGTATTTATCGCATCACAGAGGTATTTCAAGGCGAATTGTCCTTGTTCGAGTTCCCTCCGGCCGTCAAAACGGCGTTGCTTGCGTACGCGAGCTTCGATGATTAGAGAATAGTCTGGCGATGATGATTCTGGTAATTCAAGGGCACCATTGCTTTCCATTGTTGCATCTTTCCTGCGAGCATGTATCCGCTTTGTTTATTGCTCGGGATCTTGGAAATCGAAGTTGCCTTTCGCCAACGCTGCGACGAAGTCGTTCATTGCAATGCACTAGGTAAAGCAGAAATCATTCCGTCAGTCGATATCACCACAACAAGTATGTGCATTTTGCTCACCTGCTCGTCCACTGCGGCGCTCGGTGGTATCCGTTGCATGGCCTGGATTGCTGCAGACTGGCACAACGCGATCAATGACGCCGCATTAGCACCGTTGGTTTGCTCCACGAGTTTAGCGAGGTTGACGTCTTGGCTCCACGGCATTTTATTGCGCTGGATCTCCAGGATGGCCTTGCGCTCGCTGGCGTTGGGCAAACCAACGTGGACGACATTCTCAAAACGGCCTGGTGCGGGCACAAGAAAATGTTAGCATTCAGATGGCTGGCTAAACTTCATGAGGAGGCGTACCTGGCTGGAGGAATGCTGGATCAATTGCAGACAAAGCGTTCGTTGCAGCGAGGACAAATATCCGGCCTGTCGAAATACTGCCCATTGCTGAAGATGCAGCAGCATCTCCATGAATTTCGTTGTCATCAGATACAGCCTTCAGAGCATCGAGCTCCATCAGAAGCTGGGAGATCATCCTAGACGTTGTTTGGCCGGCAGTCGACCGATTGCCAAAGAGTGACTGGAATTCGTCAATGAAGATCATACAAGGACTCAGTGCGCGAGCCGTGTCGAACGCGCGCGTGATAGCCTTCTCACTCTCGCCAATTTCAGCCTTCATGAGGTCGCTAGCTGCCAGATTCAGAAAGTTGCAGCCACTTGCCTTGGCTGTTGCTTTTGCGAGCATCGTCTTTCCTGTACCAGGAGGCCCGTGTAGCACCATACCCAAAGGCGGTGAGATCCCCATGCGTCGAAAGACATGCGGCTTCTCCAGTGGCCACACGACCATCTCAATTAAGTTTTGCTTGACGCGCTCTAGGCCGCCGATGTCGTCCCACGATACGTCAGGCACGGAGGAACTGAGAGTATCCGCGCCATGGCTCGTACTTGAGATTTCGCGTGCAGCAGCGGCGATTTCCGACTCAAGCAGGGTGACACTGATGTCTTCGCTGCCGCTTTGTGGCAACCGCATGCAGATTTGTTGAGCGATCGCAGCAATATTGCTGGGCCTCTGCCCGTACCGGACAGCCAAAGACATCAAGAATTCGGGTCGCAGTGCATTCGAGGACGGGAGTAGCGACGTTAGCAAGCCCAGCGTCCATTGCTTGTCAGGAACCTGTAAACATATACACACCCAACAATAAGATCACCGAAATCCTGATGGCTGCAGATAAAATCACTTACATCGAGGAAAACTTCTTCGGTGAGAAGCTGCCGCACTTTCGAGTGCAAAGTAGCAAGGACTGATACGGTTCCAATGACAGCAACACGAACAGACTCCGACTTCTCTGTGAAACACACGTCAGCAAGACGTGAGTTTATAGCAACAGCAATAGCACAAATTGAAGAGATACTTACGAATGCTTTCAAGGCAGTTCACGAGGCGACAGACAAGTTTATACTTGGTCTCGTCAAGTGTCATCGGGAACAGCAGCTCCAGATCCTCCAGCAGCAACACGCACGGTTGAATCCGCAGCGCAACCGAAAAGAAGTCTTCCAGCTTCAGTTGTGGGGAGGCCAGCAAGCCTCCATCTAGCATAAGCAAGTTCGCCCCAAGCTCCTCCGCAATCTGATGCACCAACGTGGTCTTGCCGGCACCATTCGGTGCATGCAACAGCAACGAGTGAGGGGCAGCAATAGCCTTCGCCGCTTCATCTGAATCGCGATCCACTCCACGAAGTGCCATCGCCACCAGTTCTTTGAACCCTCTCGCGTGGACGCCTACAGGCTGGTAGCTCCATTTCCTACTCGTCGGTGCAGTCGAAGCGGACGGGAACACCAGTACGAGAGTTTTATCCGTCACGACTCCACCGTCGTACAGTAGATCAGCGTCCTCCCTATTGCGACCACGGAAATAAGCTTCGTACGTCCATTCGCCATAATCCAATCCGTCACTTTGTAGAGCAATGATGCCAGTTCGTCCGGCGAGAATCCGCCTACGCAGCAAGCTCCTGACGAACGGGAGTGCAAGCTTCGGCTGGTTGTCACTGGCGGGCGCCAGTGTCAAGTACTGCACCACTCTCACCGCCGACGACGGGACGCACCCCATCTCCATTTTACCTCCTGTCTCCACTGCATTGCTGCAGCCTTCTACGCCTCCGCCCGCTCTGTCCTCCGGCCAGTGGTCAATGCGGACCTTCGCAGCTCCGTCCTCCGTCAGTTTTTCATCAATTTCCAATCGAAAAACGCGTGGCCGATGGGTCTCGCAGCATTGCAGCGATGCATAGCACCCCCACGACGCATCCAAGCTCCTGAACGTCTTCAATGACACGTACGCGGCGCTCGTGGCGCTGCCGGACGCCGCCACTTCCACCTCCACCCGCATTGGTGCAAATTGCAAAGTATCCATGTCACTAACAGTCATCATAATCCCCTCTTTAGTGACACCCTCGCGCCACACCAGTCGCACACATCAACAATGACCTGGATCGTGCCCAAGGAGGACGCGGTGACGCTCGGCGAGCTGCACGGCGAGCTCTACAGCGTCTCGCAGCACGATGACGCGCACCTGGGCGACGAGTTCATCCGCCGCGGCGGCCGCGTGTACCACCCGGCGCGTGTGGCGAGCGCTAAGCCGCGGCCCTTCGGCCAGAGCGAGTCGCTGACGGATGAGCAGGACGAGGAGCTGGACTCGGGCGCGCTGCGGCTGCTGAAGCGCACGCTGCGCAGCGCCAGGAGCTTCCTGATGGACGATGAGCTGAAGCTGCTGAACACGGCGCTGGAGGCTGCTGGGGGCGCCGCGCAGAGGCTCCTGAGCGCTGCGACGGGCGCGGAGGACGAGGAGCTGCCGGAGCCATCGGAGCTCGTGGCGGACTCGGCCACGGGCGAGAGCATCGTGGACCTGAGCTGGCACCCGACCAAGAACCTGCTGGCTGTGGCGCAGCTGGACGGAGTTGTCGCGCTCTACCACGTGGAGAGCGCGACGTGGGACGCGCGCGTGCTGGAACACCCCAGGCAGGTGGACGTTGGCAGCATTGAGTGGGGCAAGTTCACGGGGGACACGCTGGCCGTGGCCTGCAGGTCGGGAGTGTTCCTGTGGAAGGTGCCGCAGAAGAAGAAAGGTGGGTGGCTTGAGGGTAGTATGTTTGGGGATGAAGTGGGGCTGACTGTTTCTATTGTGGCTTAGAACCGGTGCTGCTGGAGATTTTGAAGCACCCGAGCAACGCCCCATTCAGCCAAGTGAGCTGGAACGCGGACGGCAGTTTGCTGGCGGCTTTTGGAAAAGGATCGAGGTCGGTGATTGTGTTCGACGCCATCTTCTCCAGGAAAACCGAGCTGCAGAGCCCGTACAAGCTGGCGGCGCTGCATTGGTCGCCGACTGGCGAGTATTTATTCGTGACCACAGAGTAAGGACTACCGTGTTGTGCTTTTAGAGGAGGCGTACTGTGTGCTGACGCTGTCTGAAATTGCGTGCTGTTGCCAGGAGTGGCGTGTCGTTGATGTGGGAGACCCTGACCTGGAAGAGGGAGACGTGGGAGATTGCCGCCGGGGTATGCTAGCAGATTCGAGTTGATGCAGTCTCTGTGACTACTGTGCTAACTGTGCTGCTCCTTGTAAAATGTATTTTGCAGGGCTGTGGATGGTCGAGTGACGGCAGGTGCATGCTCGTGGCGCTTCGGAACAGCGACCTTCTGTATCCGTACATTTTCCAGGATTGCCCTCCATCGATAGGTATGTGCTGCTGGTAGCGTTGACGTCATGTGCGAATAGGAAATACTAACATATTCAACTGTGTATTTGCTGATACAGACGCACAGATTAGTTCACCCGCTCTCGAGTTCGCTGAGAAGGAGCTGTTTTCGCTGGACCGAAGCACGTCTGCGTACGTTATCGCTTAGCTTTCAATACTCGGGCTCAGTTGCTGACATACTTTTTGTAGCATTGTTGGTGGCAAGGTCCAAAACATCGCATGGGATCAAAGTGGAACAAGGGTAGCAGTCACGTATAAAACTACTGCATCGGGCTCTCACCAAGCTGGCACCTCGAAGTTGGTCGCCATTTTCAGCGTGGCTTGGCAGCCTTTCCTGATTTTCACACGCAGGTATGTGACTCTTGATGGATTGCGACATAGTGGAAGCACACACTAACGTGGGAATGTTGACAGTGGACTATTGCGCGGACCTCCTAACGCCGGCGTGCCGCGAAAGCTTGCATTTGCCTCAAACTTCAAGCATGGAGCACTGTTGAGTGTTGCCTGGAGCAGCGGCTTGATCTCATTCCACCCGTTCTATTTGCAAGACCCCAAAGCGCCGTAGCTTCTTCCCTAGTGCATCGTGTTAGAGGACATTCACGCAGCTGAAGGACGAGGCAGCATCAAGACTAAGCGTCCAAATTGAGAGCTGCTGCATTGCAATGGTGTTCATATAACGGGAGTTACATACTTTTTGTGCGAAAGAACGAGTAGCCGATATGAGTGTCCACGTGAAAGCTCAATGCCGCGCAGGCTGTGGTGACCTCGGAGACCCGGAGCTCAATTACCTCTGCGTGGACTGCCATGGTGACCAGGTTGAACTCCGCCAGCAGGAGGACCTACGCAAGTATATGGCCAAGGAGACTGGGGTTTCAGCTTCTGAGGAGCATGAGGGTGCAACCACACCACCGTCACCTGTGCGAAAGTATCGGGGTCCTCGTCCAGTTGATCACGCGAAAGGTATCGTTGATCCTAGTGCTGGCATGACCGCTTTCGGTGGCCCTGACGATTAATTTGCGTAAAATACAGCACTCGACGATTTCCTGCATCGCCATCGAGAGCAGGATCCGAACGTTGTTGCCCGAGAGCTGACCTTCCTGAAACGGGAGATTGCAATACGTGAGACGAACAAGAAGCAACTGCGCAAGTACATGGTCGCCACAGACGAAGAAGAGCAGGTGGATCCAAAGGAGTGGAGTCGGTACGAGTTCGGCCCTCCAAAACCAGTCCCAACTCGAGATGTCGAGGAGGCTGTGGAGCTGGCAGCTCAGCTCAAGGTTTACTGTCGCTGGCGAAGGATTCAAGTGCAAAAGCGGATTGAAAGTCGGCGCCAACAGCTAGAAGCGGAGCGTCTAGAGCTCAAGAAGCAGCAAAAGAAGAAGCGGATCCACGTACCTTTGCTATCCCTTGGGGGAGCATTGAGAGGTTCAACGAAGACTGCAGTCGAGCATCCTTCACCCGTTGCAAAGTAAGCGCAACAACCATGATAAAAGAAAACGGACAAATGCATTTCTCGCGCAGCACAAGTGAGACTGGAGCTGCGCTCGTCTAGCAAGGCTAGCCCCTTCCCGCTACTTCTTGCTCCACAACCTTCTCGCATTGGTTATCTTGTTGTCACTCACGTTTCCGTCAAACCAGTTCCCACAGTCCACGACGGTAGCACTTAACAGCATGAAGAGCTTTCGCGCTTCGACGACGTGCCACTAAGATCAATCGTCTCCGGAACGTAGCTGTAGACAACGATCGACCCACAACCATTAAATTCAGTTTCACCACATACACGACAACATCAACTCGGCTAATGACATCCACACGTACATGTCATCTTCTTGACCCTTCTGCAGTGCCGAGCTGGCAATCGTCTGGAAGGCCTCCTCCACACTGGTCGCCTCCTTCGCACTCGTCTCAAAGTGCTGAATAGGCTGCAACAAACATAATTCACCGTCAGTACCATACCAGGTTCTCCCAAAGCTCTCCACCCTCCTACCTGCTGGACGTTCTTGGAGCGGCACCACTCCTGCGACTTCTCCTTCCGAACCTGCACACCACAACAACTTCAGCACCTTCTTCCGCCTCCCAACATAACACCGTTGCAGGGCTGCTCACCCTCCGCTCCGACTCCTTGTCCACCTTGTTGCCCAGCACAATGAACGGGAAGGCGTCCGGGTCTCTCGGTCCCGCCTGCGCCAGGAACTCGTCCCGCCACGTGTCCAACTTCTCAAAAGACTGAACAATAGCAAGTATAATCAGCATTCCCCACAACTAAGCCCCTGAACCTCCCCCAGCAGCGCCCCTACCTTGGGGTTCGTGATGTCGTAGACCAGCACGCAGGCGTCGGCGCCGCGGTAGAAAGCCACGCCCAGGCTCTGGAAGCGCTCCTGGCCGGCCGTGTCCCAGATCTGCATCGTCACCAGCTTGTCGTCCAACATGATCTCCTTCGTGAGGAAGTCGGCGCCGATCGTGGCCTTGTACTGGTTGCTGAACTTCTGGTTCACGTACTGGTTCATGAGCGACGTCTTGCCCACGCTGTCAACAGCAAACACGCCATCTCAATCTTCGTTAGAGGGTCGTAGATCGATGCGAACAGAGCGAGAGGACGTACCCGCTGTCGCCCAGGATGATCAGCTTGAGCAGCACTTTCTTGCGGTGCGACATATTGCCTCGGGTTGCTGCTGGTCCGCTCGCTAATGCGCAAGGCGAGGACGCGGGTGGAGTTGCGCCTTCTTCGCTGCTAAATGTTGATTGGGATAAAGACTCGGAAGAAAATCTTTGTTCGTATTTCCACCAATGAGAGGCAAGTTGAAGCGGACATGGCTACATTTACTGCAACAAGCGAGAAGATGGACGTTGATAATGACAGCTTAGAGCAGGCGCCGAGTGGGGGCTCCGAAGCGGAATTGACAGATGCCGGTGTTGCGCGAAGGCTGCTGGGTCGGCGCAGTCAGCGTCGTGGAGTTGGAAGCACTCGGGTCGCGATTCGCCACCTCGTTCTGGATTCGCGTGAGCTCCATCATCACCACGGGGTCGCAGTTCATCTCGGTGGCCAGGCGGATCGTCGTCTGCACTGCCTCCAGGTCGCGCACAGGCTGGCGGACTGGGGCCGTCGCAACTCGTTGCGCGTTCCACCCCAGCCAAGTGTCCTCAAACGAACCGGGGTACCCTTGGTCGAACCCAGGATAGTCGCTGATAAAACTGCTGGCAGCGCTGGTAGTGTTGCTGTTGCGACGAGAAGCAACTGGACGTGATACACCCTGCGAGTCGAATGGGATCGATGAGCCCGAGGAGTTTTCTGCTGATGAGGCGGTTCCAACCTGTGTTATCGTGTGGCGCGTAAGATCTTCGGTGCTGACTTGCATCCCCACCGTGCCCTGCGTAGCATGCAGTGCCGAGTCGGCAAAGTCTGCGTCTGTGAGGTCTTCATCGCATGCTCTCTCGGAAGAAGGAGCCACCACTTCAATCAACCGCATGGGACTGATAAGCTTCAGACGCTTCAGTAGCACTTGGATCTGCGCGTCCAGCTTATCGTCGATACGGTTGTCCGGCACCACCTCCGCCCCTGTCTCGGTAGTCACCATCACACCCACGTGCGCGAAGGCAGCCATAATACGCGACCGCGGGATCTGTTGCCATCCATGCGTCACCCACTCCACCACTTGCTGCAACGGAACATCATAGATATCGAGCTGGCCTTCCTCGCGTCGATCCAGCGCATAGTCCAAGAGCTGATGGCGGTACCGACGCTTCACCCCCGCCACGATCCCCATCTCTAGAGCGCGCACACAGAGCTCTCCCGCGTGGTTCCGCTCCACAAAGTGCATTTTGACATTCGACATCGACGCCTTCTGCACACTCATAGCAGCTATCGAGTCCACAATGAGCACGATCTTGCGGTTAGTCACACGCATGCGCCAATCCAGCGCCATGAGCCAGTCGCGGAGCATCGTGGGCGGCACCCAGGCCTTGTGGTTGCAGGCGAACTGGTACTGTCGGTCCTCCGCATTCACATTGACATCTGCAGGTAGCGGGTGTGGGCCGACGAAGAACGGGTTGATTCTGTCACTCCCGTCGGCATTAACTGCCAACAGCATGGTCAGCTTCTTCTCCGGGTGGTGGCCCGTGGGCAGCGCCTGCCTGTCGGGGCTCATAGCGTAGAACAGCCGCGTCTCGTGCAGCCAGTAGACGTTCTCCGGAGGCACGCCCATGACCGCCGTCTTGATATGGTCCGGGGTGGAGATCACCGACGTCTCCGGAGAGAACTTGGGCCTGCCGTCCGAGTCGTCCTGCTGCACGCGCGGTGCTCTGCCCCCTTTGCTGCCTTTGCCTCCTCCGAGCGAGAAGCCGTGTCTGCCCATGAAGGAGTGCATCCAGCCATTGGAGAACTGCGGTGGCGCGCTCGTGACGCTCTCGGGCAGCTGCGGGGCCAGCAGCTCGTAGAACACGCGCGCCTTGTGGCGCACCAGGTCGCCCGGCAGCTTGAAGCGCCTGGCCTGGTAGTAGAGGAACCAGTTGGCCAGCGCCGAGTCCACCTCGGGGCACTTGACGGTGCGCAGCTTCTTGTAGTCGCGGCCCTCGCCCGACACGAGCTCGAACTGCGCGCGCTTCTTGAGCATGTAGCTCATGGCCGCCTGCGACGGCACATACTCGAGGTTGAACTGCTCCTTGGCCCACTGGCCCAGCTGCGCCTGCGTGGTCTTGGGGAACTGCCGCGCGTGCAGGCAGATAAGTCGCTTCTGCTCGTGCGTGAGGTTCGTGCTGCGCGCCTTGGGCCGAGGAGTCGGCACGCTGCCGCTGCTGCTGGGCGTCGCCATGGCACGCGCAGGCTCTGTCTTAGCTAATACTCTATCCGCTCTGAGGGAGGAAGGGGCCACTCGCTTTGAAATAAAAAGCGCGCCAATCAAAAGCCAGAGCCTGCCCAAGATGATATCAGGGACCTTCGGTGGTCGACCCCTGCCAAAGCTGATCTTGAAGATGTGGACCACACCCGCACGATCTTTCATGGTCGCCGTCGAGCAATGCTGGCCACCACATGGCGCGCGGCGAGCGCTCTTGGTTCACGGCGCGGCGCTGGATGCCGCTCTCGAGTGCCGAAATCCTCGCTGCAACAAGTAGGATCGCTTGCTAGCTACTGCTGGTTAGTCAGCGGGGGTAATTGGCGAACGGTTCGGCCGAACAGAGTAGCCCTCGCGTGCGTTTCATGTGTCAAATGGAGCCTCGCCAGTTGACTCATGGCGGCTTTGCCGGCGATGCCACCACTTGTATGCACAGTGTATGAGCATTCGAGCGCAGCGTATGCACATTGTCGCCACGGCAAGAGATGGAAAAACCGAGCCGTGTTGTGCGAGCGGAGCCTCGTCCTGCGGTCCACGCGAGGCTTTTTCCACATTTGCCAGTCGCGGGCAAAGCGGCGTAAAAGCGAAGCCATCCGCACTATCGCACCCGTTACGATAATGGTCGTGCTCGCGCTCGAGCAGCATTGCGCGCCGCTGGAGGGAAAGCGTGGAAGCAGGTCCGGCCTCAATTGAGCTCGCTGCTGTTGTGAGGCAAGATCGGCGGTCAAAACTGCGCCGGGAGCCGCATACACCAATGAGCGCCCTGCGCGGCCCCAAGCAGCGCGCGCGATTGGGTCGGCGCTGTGCGTCACGCGCGCGCTTTGGCTCAGACGTTTTGCGCGACGTCACACGTAGCTGATTCCGCTGACTCGGCGCCGAGTTGAAATGCGCGGGAAACCGCGCAAAACGGCGGGGAAACGCCGACAACGACTGAGTCCGCCAGCAGCGGACACTTACAACTCGCTGACGAATTGCCGGCTGGGCCTTCGCTTCAACCACGCTGCAACTGGGCGCAGCAACCCACGCGGCGAGACAAGCCTCGCAACGGGGCTTTGCCGGCGCCGGCTGTCCACCATCACTGCGGAGACGGCCATCGTCGTGCAGCGCAGCCAGCCGTCCTGCCACCAAGATCCAGCATCGATCCTTTGCTGACCACGCGCAGCGCGTAGCGTTCCTGCGAAACAAGCCAGCAATGCAGCAGCAACAGCAGCGGCGGCGGCAACCGCCGCCCAAGCCGCTTGGGCCAAGCGAGCCGCGTTTGAATTTGAATTCGCCCCGCGCTGAGTCAAAAAGTTTTCCGCGGGGCGCGCGTTTTTTTTTCAACTTGTTCGAAAAACGCTTTTCGGCCAATCGCACGGCGCGCCGTTGGTGGCCCGTTTCTGCGCCGGATGCGGAACGTACGGTACGTTATCAGACGCGCGTTCCCATTGGCCGGCCAGCGTTAAAATGGGTCGACCACCGCGACCCTTGGCGCCGGCAGCGGATCCCGCCATACATTCACACAGGGCTGGGCGACAGGGCGCGCGAGGCACGGCAGCGGCACGGCGGGGATGAGCGCGACAGCGAGCAAACCGCCAGAAGCGCGGCCGGCCCCTATATGGGGCCAAGCGGAAACAGGGAAGATCCCGGCCAAGCAGGACTCGTGTCACTTCGCAATTTGCCGCGCGCTGGGCCGAGCGACCGCCTCTAGATAGACTGCCCGTAACTGATCCCTCTCCAGCCGCCGTCTTCAACATGGTGTCTCAGGCGAGCGCGGCCCCGGGCCTCGGCCTCTTGGCTTGCGACTGGCTGTGCAAGCCGGCGCCGGACGCGGACGCGCGCTCCGACGGCTCGGCGCGCACCATGGACGAGGCCGTGGACCTCGAGGTGCTGGCGCTCATGGCGGCGTCCGAGCATTCCCATTCCGCCGCCTACGACGTCTACGAGGACGACGAGGACGACGACGACGACTGCTGCGGCGAGCGCCGGCCCAGCGTCTCGGGGCTGCCGCTCGTGTGCAGCAACTGCGGCGTGTCCTTCTTCTCGCTGCAGATCCCCGACGACCAGGTGGACTGCTACTGCTCGGGCGAGTGCAAGTGGAGCGTCATCATGTACCGCGAGATGGACCTGCGCATGCTGGCCATGCGTCGGCCCGCGCGCCGCCACGCGACCCCGCTCAGCAGCACGTGCTCGTCCTCGAGCATCTGCGACGACGACGAGCGCGAGCGCGAGAGCCTCGTGTCGTTGAGCTTCAGCGACGACTCGACCGCCAGCTTGTCCTGTAGCTGAACGGGGAGGGGATGCGCAGCAGTGGAGTATTTACTATTTAAGGTGCCTCAGCACTGCGAGACGACAAGTACGGAGAAAGAGGGAGAGACCGACCGACCACCAGTGTACTTTCATTATAATGCGTGTAGTAGTCTATTATTGTCGAGTGTATAAGCGCCATCCGCCCCGTGGTGGCGGGGGGGGGGGTGACCAACCTATTACTTTATAACGGATTCATTTTCCCATTCTCTTACGGCGTCGTCTTTTTATTTGTTTTTCGTTGCGTTACATGACAGGTACTGTATGCTTGCTGCAGGAAGGCGCGCAATAGGTGTCGACATGCCATCGGTAGAAGTGTAGCTGCTGGGCATGTCGCCTACTTGGCGACGCCTAGCGGTTAAATGGCATGGAAGGGGCGGCGCCATGGCCCGCGCAGCGGATGACGGATATCACTCCATCTAAATTTCCCGGGCGCCAAGCAGATTTTGGAAACAGCTTCAACCGAACAGGAACGTCTCTGTCATGTATTGTCGTCTTTATTGCGCCTATGCAGCATGTTTAACCGATTTCGAAGGCTCCTCTCGATGCATTTGTCGGGGGAATCGACTCCCAAGACCTTCGGCCAGAGAACGCCAAACGACCGCTACGCTTCAAAGAGTGGGGAGATCCTGCAACTTACTCGTCGTCATCATCGTCGTCGTCGGCCATCTCGTCCTCCTTGATAGACTGGACGGCCCACTCGTTCACCTCGTCGCGCAGGTTGTCCGGCACCAGGTGGTGCTGCCAGTTCGTCTCCTCGCAGATCCAGCTCAGCTCCAGCTCGAACGGGTGGCGCACCTCATCGTGCAGCGTGTTCAGACTGGCAGGGGCAGCCACAGAACAAACACTTGTTAGCTCCACTGCAACAACAATACTGAGGTATCATAGCCACGTCTCCACGTACATCTTGGCAACGTATTTCATGGCCTCGCGGCACGTCATGTCGAAGAGTTTGTACTTCTCGATCTCTGTCTTGGCCGACTGCTGGCCCTTGCCCAGCGCGCAGCCACGGTAGCTCTGCAATCGCCACGACAGCAATTAGCAAATATTTCAGCCGTAAGCACAATATAAAAAAATATCCAGAGTCCTTGAACGTACGTAGGTGACTCCCGAGGGCTCCACCATGTAGAGACTCGACTTCTTGGTGTCCTGGTCATAGCCGGCGAGCATGATGGCCGTGCCAAAAGGCCGGATGGAGCCGTACAGCGTGTAGTAGTGCACGAACTGGCCCATGCGCTCGGCCAGGAGGTGCGGCGGGATGCTGCAGCCGTAGTTCTTCCTGTAGTTGAGCGCCTCCTCGCGCGCGCGGTTCACGAGCTGGCGGCCGTCGGCCACGAGTCCCGCCATGGACAGACCCACGTGGCGATCGATGGCGTAGATGCGGCGGTGCGTGCCGGGCACCAGCATCTTGGATAGCAGCGTCTTCTCCACGCCCATGATGATGCCGTCCGTGCACTTGATACCGATGCTCGTGCTACAGAAATACATGATAATTGCACCGGTCACTAAAACCTAGCATGTATCTCCATTGCTGCATGGATACATGGGTTATTTATCGTACCCGCTGTTCTCGACGGCCTTCTTGGCGTATTCCACCTGGAAGATGCGGCCCTCGGGCGAGAACGTGCCCGCCGAGTAGTCGTAGCCGGCGCCGGTGCTGCTCATGGTGCGTGTCTGGATTAACCTGCAATAGCAACAGCAGTTAGAGACGCGGATCTCGCGCAGTTGGCCATGCAGAGAGCGGCGGATCTTCGTCACCTTCGCCTTGCTTCGAGCTTGGAACGGAAAATATCCTCCCCTCCCCCTCAAAAATGAAAAGATCTTCTGGTGGTTTGATTGGATGAAAAGAACGAAAGATCTTTTCTAGTTTCAGCGAATGGTCGGGGGAGTGATACTGTCGTGTGTCAGTTTAGAGGTCAGGTCAAGTTTACAAGTTGCCTTGTTGCAGCAGCTAGCGCACTTTCGTGCACATTGAGCCCAGCACGAAACATCCCTGATTAATGCTCAGCAACGAGTCAACGCAAAAACTCAAGAAGCCTTTGCTCAGCAGAGCAGCACCAATTGAGACCATGACCAAACATGCGGGCTCTGTGGTGTGGGGCAATCGCCAGCACAAACAGCAAGATTATGGCGACTTTAAGTTGACGTGCAGTAGACGTATGGTTGCCAAATTGTGCTTCATTCTCGATTTCACGTTCTACTCGACACCAGCCACGCCCGTTTTCAATGGCCACCTACACGTTCCAGCCACCCAACTGTCAGTCTTTCAGCGACGAGGTGATCTCGGTCGTGGTCCCACGTCCAAGTCCGCCTCGCAGCAGGATCCAAGACCCAAGCCCACCAAGCTTAAACCCCATCTTGCTCAATTCAAGGTCAACTCCAGCAGCACCAGCTATCAGTGCCGCGCTTCGAGAACGTCGCAGACTGAACCAAGCGAGATACCGGCATAGGCAGCGCGGGTTGATTCAACGCCTTGAAGAAGAGAGCGCCCAGTTACAAGAAGAGATTGAGCGGCTTGGAGCTTGGCGCCAGAAGAAGCTGATCGACGCTCCAACCTACAAATCGCTGTGGAATATTGCGTCCGAGTACTTCCACCTCTTCCAACGCGCCTTGAGGCCGCTCCCAGCAGCTGAGCACGTGCACGGATTGTCGTTCTTGGAGAGTGTCATGGTGCCTGACGTGATAAGCGCCTCGGGTAGCGGCATGTACGCGCTGCTGGACAATTGGGTGCTGGTCTCACACTTCTTTGAGGATATCCACGTTGACCTCGAGCGTATGGACAAAGCCTCCGTGGTCGCAACAACTACGACAAGCGTCACGATTTCTGCCAACGCGCTACGACGAGCCTTTCCTCACTTGGTCAACGAAGCTGAACAAGGAGAATCGTGGCCCCCGCTTTCCATCAAACTGCTGGGTCAGCGTGTCGTCATGCGTGGGTCGGTGTACTTTCAGTGGAATGACAAGGCGACCAGAGTCGCGGTCATCCAAAGCGAATCGGACATGCTTTCACCAATTCTCAACATTTTGGGAAACTTGACCGATGTATCGCGGGTATTTGACGAAGCGCTCATCTCTCCAACTTTCAGGCCGGTGACAAGAGAGACTTAAGCCGAGTTAGCTTGGTGGCTACTGTAGATATGCATATTTCATACTTGGATGAACTTCTTGAGATTCCCCTCTTCTTGTTTGTGTCAACGGAAGGAAAAAATAACACCAACGCTATGAACTTATAAATTACTGTGCGCTCGCTGGAACGAGGGCGATTATGCCACTCAAGTCAGGGGATCGAAGCTGCCATGCCGTTCTTGAACGAGCCACACGTCGTCAATGACCTCGCCGTAGTGCCCGCGCGCTGCCGGGTTCTCGGGGTCTGCCATAACTTGCTGCCAATGCAGATGTGTAGCGTTCATAACTTGCATCCTCGAGTAGCCAAAGACGGAATTGCGGAAGGCGTCCCATTCCTCCGTCGGTCTCTCGAAAGACTTGCGCATGATCGACGCCAGGTACTGCCCCGAGGCTCCAGTTAAAATGTGCGTGGTGGCGCGCATGTTGTGCGTGCGCTTCCACGTCTTGGACTTGAACACATCAAAGGCTCGCTCGTAGTTGTGTTGGTGGCCGCATAGATACAGATCAACACCGTGCCTGAAGAGCTTGTCCTCAAGTCTGTCCCGTAGCATTGCAGCCTTGTCACCGCAGTTGGTGTTGTCAGAGGTGCAGTACATGGGGCGGTGTCCAATTACCACTAGCCACGGCGTCTGCTCTCGGTTTGCATTGGCCTTCGCGAGGTCTTGCTCCAGCCAGGCTTCTTGGCGAGCGATGATGTCTCCGTCCGCTTCAAACGCCTTCTTGAAGTAAATCTCCGTCGAGATAACTGCGAAGTGGACCAGACCCACGTCGAAAGAGTAGAACCAATTGTTAGACACCTCCTTGGGCTCCGCATCCTTCGAGCGACCACCGACGTGCACAGTCTGCACGCCTTCGTTCTCGTTGCTTGGCATGAGTCGGAACCGTTGAGAGTAGTGGCTGAACATGTTGTGCGTCTCGTGGTTACCAGGACACACCATGAAGGGGACACTGGCAGCGATCGGCTCAATCTCCTGCATGAAGATATCTCCGACATGGCCGTCCACCATGTGCAGGTCGTAGGCATAGTCTCCGACAGATACAACACCATCAACTAACCCTTCTGCGACTTCAGACTGCATCATCGGCAAGGTGGCGGCGTTCTGGTAGCCGATGTCCCCCGTGACCAAGAAGCGTGTAGGCTTGGGCTTCTCTCCAGGCTGCAACGGACCCGGAGCAGTCTTGGTAACGTACGGAATGGACCACGAGGAGTAGTGTGCGTTGCCCACGACGTAGGTGTAATGCGTATCCGGCTTCAGCCCCTCAAGTCGCACAACGTGCAGCCAGCGCTTGGACTGCTCTTCACCGTCATCTTCGAACAGGGTCGTGTTGGCCCAAGCCGTCACAGGCGTCGCCTTGAGTCCTTCCACCTCGATATGGGCATGGTACCCTTCCACGAGCTGCAACTGGGCAGCTCCTTCCCCGCAGAACTCCTTGGTCATCCACTGCACAGACAAACTGCCGGGTTTGAGTCCGTACGCCGTGTGCACGTGTTTCGGACGGCAGCATTCCGCCTCCTCGCCTCGGAACGGGACGTTGGCACCAAGTCGGTGCATTGCCGACCAGCCGTGGAAGATCGAGCCGACAATGAACTCGTACGCCGCGTTCTCATCATCCGGAAGCTCGACGATCGCTGAGTGTGTAGTGAATGTGGCTTCGTCCGTAGTGTACGTAGTCGCTCCTTTCCTAGCGAAGGGCTCCTCCGCTTCTCCAGTAATGAGCATGGTGTAGTTCTCCCCGAGTCGACGGTACCGAACTTCGACGTCGGAGGCGACATCGTGACACGAGCGCCACGGGTTGGCGAGAGCGGGACTGTGGTCGTCGGCCTTCTGAAGCTTCACGTTGGGGATGTAAGTGCGTCTCGTGGACCACTCAATCACGGCGCGGTTGCCGACGACGGTCGAGCGGATATCATACGGCATGCAGTTCTCCACCTCTCGCTTCTCGAAGTCAAGGGCGTCTTCAGGCTCCTGTTCGCGTTCGCGAACGATGACAGCACTCGGCGACGGAGGATTGAGAGTGGCCACGCCGACGATTAGCACAACGGATAGGAGCAGCAATGCCGTCGTCAAGATTCGGGGCCGGGTTCGACTAATCTTGTCGCTGATCACTTGGTGGTTGTTGGTCGGAGGCTCGGGGCATGGTTCCACGGCGATGGCGAGGTACGGGCTTGAACTCTGGCTGGAGTTGATGTGGGAGGTTGGAGCTTGGTGGTGCGTTGTCGGTGGCATTTTTCAAAGTGAAAACGAAATCCTACGAGCTACGAGGCATCCCCTGCCTGCACAAGGGCGGAACCTCCTCTGAGCAGGAGGGGGGGGGGGTATCATGAAAGCGCCAACGGAAGGGGGTTATCACGAAAGAAAACACCTGTGAGTGCAATTTTTGAGCTGGCCGCAAGCACCGAGAGGAAGCGCGTTAAAAAACAAGCTCAGCTCGCAACTGCGCGAGAGCTAAAGAGGGCTCTGCCTCGCATTGCACTCCTTGATTCCAGTCAACGTGGCACCGGGGCGGTGGTTTAGCGTAGCGAAGTGGTTTCTCAACGGACGCGGTTTGAGTCAACGCGGTTTTGAAGAGGGAGAGTTGGCCCATCCCTCTGCCATCGAAGGTTTCATGCATTGCTCAAGCAACCCGCCTTTGGATATTAGGATTGGCTCTACATCGCCGCGCGAGGTCGCTGTAGCACTGCTTGTCTGTGGCGGAGCAACTGATGGAGATCTCTGCATGCAAGCCAGGCAAGCAGCATGTTGAAGTCGAGATATTGGAACAGTCATTGAAGTCCTCCTTGAAATTTATAAGGGGGAGTGCAGTGAGTGAGTACTGCCGCTCAGTCCAATCGGAAGACCAAGTCTTCACATCCCAGGAAAAAGGTAGAGGCCTTCGAACGCCTTATCTAGACTCGAGTGCATTATTGTTTTTGCATTCACGCTCGGTTTTCAGGCTGGAAGGGTAGGATACTTTTGCTTGAATGCTAAGCTACTTTTCACCTCACCTCAAAACCGATGTCAAAGCCCACTTGGTGTCCTCCATATGCTGCTGCCATATCCAAAGCAACTCTAGGCTCCTCCGAAAGCAGCTGTAAAGATCTGCTTGAACATTCTCGGTAGGTCGGACGTGTCGAGGCAAACGTGACCTCGGCCTGCAGGGAGTTCGCGTCGAATTCGCTCGGCCTCGTCGGCAAAAGACGCGATGAAAAGAGCGTGCGCTTGGACTCCAGGCTCCGAAACGAGCTTCCGGCCGAGATATCGGGGCTCGATGCCGTAGCGTTCCAGGTTGGCATCGCTCACCACGAACACGAAGCGGTCGTCTCCTTCAAGCGCCGCAACGCGCTTGACGCCTCGCTCCACCGCCTCAACTGTATGATCTCCGCTCTGGCAGTACTGGGTGTGAGCCACCATCTTCTGCAGCACTCGTAGTCTCTCCTTGCGGTCCTTGGGCGGCGCTCCGAACTCCACGAACGGAATTTCGGGCGAGTCGCCGCTGTGCCCCATGATGCAGTAGACCAACTCGCGCTCGAAGCCGGCAAAGCTCTCCATGATCATGAGAGACGTCTCGAGCATACGTTCGAGCCGAGAGTCCTGGCCGTTGAATCGGTACATGCTGCCGCTTACGTCCATCACGAACAACATCCGCTTAGGCTCTTGACCCTGTTGGTGGCCCGCTGGTGCTTGAAAAGGCGAGTCGCTCACTCCTCGGCGTTTGAATACGAGGCGCTCGCCAGCGACCCCATCGACGAGTTTGCCGTCATCCAGCTCACCGCTGGATTGGTGGCGCAGCCAGTTGCGCTCCTGAGCAACAGACTCGAGGTTGGCGAGCACTGCACGCAGTTGGGCACTCTCTCGCTCCACGCGCTTGAAGTAGGATTGGTAGGTCTCCCACTCACGATCGCTCATGTCGATCTCCCGCAGTTTGTCGGCAAGAGCCTCTTGAGCCATGGCCTGAGCTTTCTTCCGAGCTTCAGCTGACACCTCGTCCTTCTTCTCTTGAGAGACTTGGTGCACAGGGTGGCCCTTGTCTAGGCGGTATGGCCCGCCACGGCCACCCAGCCCTGCTGTGTCGGATCCTCCAGTTCCACCTGCCCAGGTATTTCCTCCCACGTGAGGGTCGTTGTTCGGGTCGTCCTTGCCGTACTTTGGAGTGTCCAGACCCGTCTTGGGCGTCGATGGTCCGCCAACTCGAGAGCCGTCGAGTTTGAGCTCAAGCCCAACTGTGACTGTGAACTCATCCACGCTGCCGTACATTTGCTTCCACAACTCTGCCTCACGGTCCAGCTCAGCTTGGTCTAGTTGCCATGCGCGGATGGCGCCGTCTTCTTGTAGCGTAAGCGTGTGCTTCCCATTATGCACACTCGCTACGTCAACGACGCGTGGAATGTACGATCTCTCAGTCGACAGCGAGAGAAATCTGCTACCAGTTGCGTCGCTCGCAGGTGGGGCGGAACCAACCACAACGTTCTTCGTCGACTGAGATTCAGGATATGTGACTTCCATGTCGACGAGATCGCCGGTGTCAGACTGCACTGCATTGAGAATGAATGAATCACTCTGCCACGCTCGTTGAACTTCTCTGTGTGTATCCTCCCGCAGCGAACTCCGAATAGTGAGATCGCCATTGGCGTTGTCGAGAACTTGTAAGAATGCATGGGGGTGAACCATGAAGGTGGTGGGGCCCACTTCACCTTGATCTTGCAGGCGACCGGGAAGCACTGAATGTCGGGAGTCAATCGATGCTGAGCTTGTTTCAGTTTTGCAGTCAACTGCTGCTGCACTCAGAGTAAAGTTGTTGTTCTGCATCTCTTGAGTCAGCTTGTACACCACTGTTTCGTCCGTCGTCCGTAGTAGCCACTCCCGTTTACCAATTGGTTGGACACCGAGAAGCTCAGCAACTGGTGAACGCATAGAGGCGCTGAGTTTGGCCAGGTCCAGCGAGAAAAAGTTGTTCGAGTTGAGGTCGAGAACTTGGAGCAACGAGCCTCCTTGCAGGTGCCGCAGCACCAACCCGGCATTAACTCGATCGGCCTCAGTCCGCCACCCACCGCTATCTCCACCACCAAACCACTTCGTGAACGGATTCTGTCTCGACCTTTTCTTTCCTTGCAGCATCGAAGCATCAACATGGAGTCGGCCATCAAGCGCGCCATCAGGGAGGGTGAGGCAATCGGCACGTCCGTCAGAGTTACCCAACGGATCCAGGAAAATAGTGAGGCCTAACATAAGCAATAATAAGCAAAACCAGGTAAGTTGCTGCCCATAAAGTGCTAATGGTAACTGTGGCCAACCTGTAGATGGGATGAAAACTGCGATTTCGTTTTTCTCAGGTAAGTTGACAAGCACGGGGTTTGGTTCCCACTGCATATACTCGCTCTCCAGCTCCAAAATGCTGTGCATTCTGGGGAGACGTGCAACACCAACATCACGGGTTAAAGCCTACTGTACGTCTAAAGCAAGGCCCACAAACGTACCTTTCATTCCCATCGAAGTCGGAGAAAGAATGCACACTCATTGGCCGCTTTGTAAGCACTACACAGCACGATACACATGTACCAACTTCGGGTTAGCCCCTCCCTCGACGACAATGGTCGCTCACGACGTACCATGGACCGAGTTATCCGGAAAAACAGTCATCGCGTGAGCTTGTTGCTTTCGGTTCCCCTTCAGAGGCACCTGGAACGAGGACAATTGCTCTGTAAACTCGTTCAAACGATGGTGCTGCAACGCGAAAGATCTGGTTGTCGAGGGGTCCAGCCATATCTGTCTCCGATTTAGCGTCGAGTGGTGGAGTTGTTGCTGTGGTTTTTTGGGATCCGCGCTGAATTTTACCAATTGTTCAGGTGCCCAGCGCCACATCTCGGTTGGAACCAAGTCGGGAAGACCTCGCGTTTCTGCAATGTTCATCTTAAGCACCAGAGTTTCGCCAGTGGCCGACAGAGGGATTCCGTGCCTGGACAAGAGCAATCAATCCATGAAACAAATAGACAGTATTACGGCAAAAGAAGTTAGTTTCATTGATCTTGGTGCTAAGGAGCAGAGCAGGGCTGTAGCCTCTACGCCAAGCCATTTCTAGAGCATGGTAGGTAGCCCATGTACATACATGCAGACAAACTATCAACCGACTGATCCAAAACCAAAGCTAAGCATAAAATCCGTACCTCAAAAAGATCTCCGACAGCTGAGTGCGCATGTTACGATCGTAAGCGTCAAACGCGAGCACATTTTCCTGTTGTGGGTCACAAGGTTAAGTGTCAGTCTAGCACTTGCATAAACACAATATCATCGGAAGGGTGTTCTCACCAAAACCGAGGCGATTCCATCGTTGGGAAACTGTTCAAGGTGTTTCGCCACAGCAACGGCCTCGCGTGTCGAGTATGGGTACGGGATGGTACCGTTTTCAACCAGCTCTCGTAGCTCAGCAAAGGCTCGGCAAAGCCGGCGCAAGATGTCGACTGGAACGCTCGGAGCGTACGCAGTCAGCAAAGACAGTTCGGACTCCTCATCTGGGTTGTCGATTGCGCTGAAGACATGCACAAATACATGTAACGGAACAGTTAATAAGAGCGGTATTTGCTGGTCTATAGTGCAGGTAACGTACTGGCTGGCGAAGATGTCACCAATCTCCCTGAAGAAGTTGTTCCCCAAGAATGGAAAGCCTGGACGGTTGGCGAGGACCCACATGCGGAAGTTGGGGTGGAGCTCAATGATGTTCTCTTCGTTGTGCCACTCTTCGATCGTCACCTTTGTTGGGTCAATCAACCGCTTGCCATTTCCCTACAACGTAGCAGAACAGAGATTCACTGTGAGCATGGCCCTCAAGCAATCAGTACCCGCTTAGTCTTACCAGCAGCATCTCGCCATCTTCGATGAGTCCCTTTAGAACGCACACCACCTCTAGCGGCGCTTTATCAGCTTCATCAACGATAAGAGTTCGTCCAGTTTTGGCAGCTCGGACTAGAGGCGAGTCTTCCCATTCGATCTTCCCATCGAGAAGTGTCGGTACCAGCGTAAGCGTTTGCACGGTTGTCTACAAAACGAAGCGGTAGCTGCAGTTAGACACTGGGTTGCAGGCATTGATACATAGTGGGCGATTACTTACATCGCGGTGTAGCTGGATGTACTCGCGCTCCTGCTGCAGTAGCTGCAGCAACCGATCGGCCAGCTTGTTCTTGCCCACTCCTTGATTTCCGATCAGCAGCATGTGCTTTTGACCGGCCACAACGTCCTGCAGCATGGCCTTCATGCACTGGGTATGTTTCGGGATGTCGAAATAATGGGGCTGAGGAACCAATTCGGGGCTATTGGGCGTTTGAATCGGGTAGGAGGTATCACCAATGCACAGGCGCCCTCTCTCTTCTCGGATAGTATCTGCGAAAGTGTGCAAAGATCGTCACGTTACTTAATAGAATCACGCATACATGAATAAGTTGCACTTTTACCTGGTTCGCGCTGGTTTAAAGTGTCGGATGGCGAAAGTGTGGCTGGTGCGTTGCACTTGTCCAACAGAGTATCCACAAGTCGGCTGCACGATGAGGATAGGAACTGGGTGAGTAGAGTGTCGTGGAGCAATGGCCGCAGATCCCGAAGTGATTGTTCGGGGAACGCGTCCAGTCGACGGCACACGCGCAATAGCTGGCGGGTGGACAGCGAAAGAGCGAGATAGTCTGCATTTGCACTTGTCTCCTTCGCATTCCGCAGCTTCTCCGAAAATGATAGCAGGATGCTGTTCGATGATAGCAGAACATAACATAACAAGAGACGTAAGTCACCCAACTATTGTGTTAGCCAAATTGTGTCCAGGCAGAACGAACCTTGTCGTTTCCTCTGGAAGCCCGGGGTAAAGACTTCGGACAATTTCTTCACTCTGCACTGAAGAAATTATCGGAAGGTGGTGAAAGCTAAACATGGAGATGCTGTCCGAGCTCAGCCATGCAGCCGTGGACTCCTTGCCTGGTGTTGCTGCCGTTCCTGTTAACGTCACGGGGTCCGCTTCGGCGATCGCAATGATGCGGAAAGACGGGTGAATAGCAGATACTCGGCTCAGCGCACTGGCATCTCCGGTTTTGTTTGCATCAGCTACGACAGCATCGTACGTCGCCTGCGATACCAGCTTCGAGCCATCCGCAAGATCAATCTCTCGGTCCTGAACCAATCTTTGAAGCACGCCAAGGCTGTCACTCCCGAGTCGGTGGACTCCGTCCAGGACGGCGAGGTGACCGTTTCGAGCAGCATGGATGAGTGGGCTATCCTCCCATCGGGTGTTGCCGTGGGAGTCCGTCGACCGCCGTTGAAGCAGATCTCGCGCTGTCATATCCTTGAAAAGACTGAATAGCTCGGTTGCATACCCCATTCGATAGGCGAACAGTCGAACTAGCGCGGACTTTCCGCTGCCTTTCGCTCCAAGCACGCATAAGTCGCTCCCCACGGCATGATCTTGAATCATCTCCGCCAGCATTTTTGAGTGAGTGTCAGTCTCAACAAACCCTGGCATCGCAGTCGTTTGTATACGCGTTGTTCCACACGAAACATCACGTAAAACCAGCTCGGCATTGTCACCAGGCGTACGGAATGTCACTGTTGCCTTCACGTCTGCAGCGGAGGCCTTCGTAACATCGTTCAGCATATAGTTGCTGCTTCTCACTCCATCTGTAAAATTCTCCACAATACGATCCAGTGCCTTCGAGTTAGACTCAGTTTTAGCTCCCAACACGTTGGTTCTCACGGGAAAAGCGCGCTGCACGGTGTTAGCTACGCCTGCGTTTGGGAACTTCTCCAGCACCTTTGCACAGTGAGCAAGCGAAAGGTAGTCAAAGTGGGGCATACGTGGCCCAGTGCTGGTACCGATATCGTAAGTTGCCTCGATCGTGTTGACGGCCTCTCGAATACCCACGAGCTTTTCAAGCGTCGGTAAAGGGACGGATGGAGTAATAGCAACCAATTCCTCAAGCTGTGACCCTGGTGAGCTTGGCTTGACATTTCTCGCCTGGAACCGGGAGCGTAGCGGTGGATCGAGCGTTCGGCCTGGATACGGGGGAACAGGTAGACCCAACGCAATCACTCGAAAGTCCGGGTGAACCCGTACCAAGTTCTGCGCTTTCAAAGCGTCTGCTGAGTACCCTTGTTCCACCAACGCGTCGTAGCTACTCCGTACACACCATTACATTTGAAGAAAACTATTAACTTGCCGCAACAAAAACTTTAATAAATCTACTGTACACCATCTCGTACCTTTCTGCTTTCATAAGAAATCTTCCGTCGTCTAGCATCATCTCGCGGTTCTCCAGTAGGTTGTTAAGCGTAGGTAAAACATTTCGCTCCGCCTTTTCAAGACCTGGAATAAGGCAACAAAAGGTAGCCAGATCGTGGAAATGAGCAAAAGGCAAAATAAAACGCGACAACCATCGATCACAAGCACTCGGCCGTTGATAGCTGCTCGAACAGGAGCCTGGTCGGTGAAAATAGCTGCTCCGTCCACAATTTCTCGACGCTAGCAGTAAGAACCGTCCAATAAGTATCGCCAAGCAGGACGCTAACTGTTCTGCTATTCACGAACCTGCTTCAGGTCAGACTCCGTGGTATCCTGGGAAATGGCGATGTACTCGACCTCCTTGTTCAGAAGCTCGCAGAACCTCATACTCAGCAGCCGTCGAGACGATCCGGGTGGTCTAAACCACGCAGCAAAAAGAAAAAAGGGTTAGCCATAAATCCACCATATATCCTTGCAAGATCGACGTACCCAATGAGGAACATGTCTTGCTTTAGGAGGTCCTTTTGCAGCATCCACCTCAAGTGGCCCAGCAATTCCTGAAAACATAGTTAACATCAACGTAAAAGAAATCAGCGCAAAATCAACTATAGGAATCATGTACAACTGCAATCTTACCTGCGACATAGGTCGACCTTGATGCAGCTCCACCATATACCCGCGAGGCACCAACTCGATCGACTGCAGGAAAATGAAACGTAACAAAAGTTCATAAAATAAATCCATTCCTCAATTTTAACAAATATCCAGGGCTTATCACAGATCTCACCTTTGGGATGCCAACATTGGCTTTCACTCCTCCGATTTCCACCACCGAAGGCTGCGCATCCAAAATGCTGTTAAAGACTATCGGTAGTGACAAAAGTTGGTACGCATCCCTGCCCCCACCTTTTGGCCAGCAGCGCTGCTAGCCCCCCTCATAGCGAAGACGCTGCGGCGCTCTGCGGCCAGTCGCCAGCCACGCCGCTGCCGCCCCAGAGTGCGCAGCATCCTGAATGAAGAGGTATGCGCAGCGATTAGAGCCCCACGTCTCGTTAGGCTCATCATTTGGTGCCGACGTGATGCCGATCTGCCTCGAATAGTGGACCCTACTTGAAGCCACTTCAGCTTACGACCAGCAAGATACTGTACCATGTCAAAGGCGCTAGGACCGGAAGAAGCGCAGCATCGTGTCACACACTTGAAGCTTTCCCAGATGGTAGGCGAATTGAAAGATCATTCCAGTTCAGCTGAATTATTTTCTAGCGTCTTGATCCATTGGTAAAGTATTCACAAGTAGTTTTGTGAACACCTGGTTGAGATCGTGCCCCTTACAATGCAGTGCGATACGGCGCACCGGTCCCGATATTTGCTGGCCTTCACGTAGCGGTCTTTACAATTGACTTGAATTTCGACCGAGCGTAGGCGACGACTGAGCGAAGACAAACTCCACGCAGCTCACTCGAGAATTTCCACCTCGCCCCCCAAAGCTCAAGCACAGCACAACGGCCTTTTACCTGTATTCCGATCCAACACGCTGGAAAGCGCAGATGATGGCGTTTTCTGGCGTTTTGAAACTCAAGCTCGGCCCGTTCTGGTTCAAGACGTCAATTCTGCTAGTCAACGTGTTAACAGTTGGCGAAAGTGCCAGATATGTTCTCCGTGTGGAGCGACCGGCGATCTGCGGTGGCCCCGTCGAACTACCGATCGGTCGTCAAGGCTTCGCGATCAAGCTTCTCCCGCAATCTTCCGAAGATCGACGCAAACTACACTTCGGCATTCAATACGGGACGCAAGGCAAAACCCTCCGCTTTCTCGCACCCACCGCCGAGGTTTATCGCCACTGGATTGAAGTTCTCCGCGAAGCTTTTAAGAAAAGCGTGAAAGCGGCGAAACGATTGCGAAGAAGGACAGCCAGCACCATCGTAAGTGGACACGGCGACGTCGACAGCGACGACCACGTTCAGCCAGCCCGCATCAAAAGTGTCACCGACTCGATGCGCGGACACCGTGGATCCGAAGCGCTCGATTCATCGACCAGTGAATTTTACCAGCACCACAGCAGAGCGGACCTCCCTATGGGTACCAGCTTCGACAACACCAACGACAGTCTCCACGAGGCGTTAACCCAATGTCTGCAAACGTGTCGTGCGCGTTATGCCGCTGCTGAGAATGCTAAAACGCGCGGTATTCTTCGGGATCGCGGGGATGTTGATGACACCAGCAGCACCGACAGTTCGGGTGGGCAAACTCCGATATCCAGCACATCGTCCGCAAGCTGCGCCCAGAATGCCGTTTTTATTGACGGGAATGTTGATGAAGGCCAGCAGAACGTCTTTTGCATTGCCACTGATCGCAATGGCATGAAGAGCTTTTCCGTCTACACTCCACCAAAAGCTGCCCGCACTGGTCAAGCCCCAAGAACAGAGAGAGTTTTCAAGTTGTCATCGACCGAGTGGGCCCGGTGGCTGGCCCGTGACATTCGTGACAACGAATTTCTTCCAGAAGTTTTCCACCTCACCAGTACAAGTTGCAACCGCTTGCAGTTGCGAGAGATTGTTGCAATTGCACAGCCATTCTTCGCGTAAGGCAGTTCACTGCCTCCTACCCGCCAAACTATCATATCGTCGGTGCGGCCATGTACCATCAACGTCCGTCGACGTCCGCATTGACCTCTAGCTTACCAGCCAGAAGCCACATATTTCTGCTGGGATTTTCATCACCACGCTTCCTCGAGACCGACCAGCGCAAAATGCGTTAGGTAGCGAGTATCATTTAGCCTATCAAGGTTATTGCCTCCCGATTCTTTCATTCGAATCACACCTTTGTCAAGTAGCATTCAAATAGCACCATTCTTTCCAGCCGCGTTGTCTTAGTTTGGCTATGCATGTTGCTTTGTCGAGGGCTCGTTGATGCAGCACTTCGAGTAGCAGTTGCACTTGGGCATTCAGGACAGTGACTATATCAAGCCTAAATCGAAAAGCAAGCACATGGTATGATTGGTGTCCTATAACCTCAAAAACGTGCAAGTCTCACGGATCCGGAGCAGCGGCCACTTCTCTTTCATTCAAAATGGAGCTCGAGTAGTGAGTCACTACTAGTGACAATTGAAGCGGCAAAGCCATTTTTTTCGAGCCACGCTGACGACCAAATCTACAAACCTTCGATATTACCATAAATAATGTCAAAACGAACGATGAGTGTTGGAACGTCACCATCATTATGATGTTACTTGTGTCTCCAATAAGTACTCCCTGTAAAAAATGCCGCCGTGGTCTTTACTGCCCATCCTTGTCTGCTACTTTCTCCAGCAAGTCGATCAAATTGATCGGGTGTACGGTTGCCCGATTACGTTCGCGTCCAACTCGTGCCGCCTTCGTCGCCGTAAGGACGACCCCTTCATCCCGGCACCTCTTTTTACCCGCCACAGGATCAAAGCTCCTCTTCTCCAACGACTCACAGGGCGAAGCCTCCTTCTCAACTTCACGACACGTTGCCACTTCTTCGGCTTCGACCTTCGCCTGCTCGATAAGCTGGTCCAGCTGCCGTAAGTACTGCGCCCGAAGCTCAGGCGTATTGTATGTTTGCGTCCGCTCCAACTGGAGTTCAGCACTCACAGCGCTGTAGACGTCCCACACCTCCGCTTCGTTCTGGTAGGCGATGAAGTCGAGCATGTCGGACTTGACGCCCACGCGGCAATCCACTCCAAGCCCGGCGTTAAGGAGAGCGCTCAACAGATCCGACTTCATGGGGGCCAGTAGCTCCTTGCTCCTAGGGAAGCCGATAATGGCGTGGTTGAACGTTACCCTAACGTTTTCCATTGACAACCCCGCGTCCTGCAGCACTCGTTTCACCTCGTCCAGCGCCGACCTGAAGTCTGTGGTTGCGAGGCCACAGACGCCCAGTTGGAAGCCCTCCCAGTGTTTCTTGTCCTCCTCCTTGATGCCAGACTGCCGACCCAGGTGCGTCAGCTCGAGCTTGTCATCTCGCGAGGATCCAGAGGTCACCGCGCCCAGCGTGGCGCTGAACAAGCCGGACTTGTTGAGGCCGACGGCCGCGTCAGCACGCGCAGATGCCACGGCAGGCACCGGCGCGTTCAGGCGCATCGCGCGGATTGTCGGTAGGCGCATTGCGCACTAGTGGCGAGCTTCGCTTGCTCCCGAGGAGGCAAGTTGGAGAATGAGGAGGTCTGCCTGGGGTAACCAGCGCCGCGACGACCTTGAAGACCATCACTCTTGCGGAAACTTCAAGTCATATCCGTGCGAGTGGAGCATTTTGGCTATTTCTTTGCCTGAACGGGCATTGGCAAATGCACTGGTACGGCAAGTGCGGCGATGCACACATCACACGACGTGTGCAACAGTGTTGAAGTTGCCTTCAACTCAAATCGATCGAGACAGCTCAGCAATCGTACTTAGTGATCATAACTCGTACTTAATGCGTACTTACCGCCGTCGTCACTTCCCACACTTCCCCGCCGGCCGGACGTCTCGCCCGCCACCTTGGTGCTGCGAGTCGAGCGCGTGTCGTCTGTCGGTCTGCTCCGGTCGCGCAAGTGACGCCCGAGAGCCCCGCGCGTCTGCTTCTGCCTCGGCCGCCTCCGAATTCACCCGGGAACCCGTCGGACCGAAGCCCCACCGAGACAGGTCGGAACATGTCAAGCAGCGCGCCTCCTCCCGCCTCCGCGCCGGAGCCCGCGGCCGAGCCGCCGGTGGCCGCTGAGGGCGCGCAACTGTATCTGAAGGTGCGAACACTAGACCAGAAGACGTACCCGATCACCATCCGTGCTGCCGCGTCGGTGCCGCAGCTCAAGGAGCTTGTAGCCGTCGAAACGGGCGTCACGCTGGCCCGCCAGCGCCTCATCTACCGCGGCCGAGTGCTAAAGAACGACCAGATGCTTGCCGCCTACTCGCTGGAGGACGGCCACGTGCTGCACTTGGTCGTGCGCGCGGCGCCGCCCGCTGACGCTGCTGCGTCTGGCCAGGCGGCGGCTGCTCCGCCGACGCCGGACCCCAACGCCGGCCTAGGCCCGCGCGCGCCAGCCCCGTACCGCTTTTCGGCTGCTGACATGGAGGCGCTGCACGAGATGGACGCGCTCGATGCGCGGCTGGACGAGATCGGGAGAAGCGTCCGGCGTGTCAGATCCAGATCGCGCCATCGACAAGGCGTTCGCTCGCCCCCACCGCCTCCTAGAGACAATGATGAGCCGGACCCGACCATGGGACGGTCGGGTGCGGGTATGCCGCTGCCGGGCCGCGTCCTTATGGGCGCAACCATCTCGGTGCCTGAAGGTGCAGATGTGACCATGCCCTTTCTCGGCTCGATGCTCGCCAACCTCGTCTCGCGGGTCGGTGAAGGCGGCGTTGGAGGCGAGCCAGGAAGTGGAGTGACGACAGGAACGACCGCGGATGGACGACGCCACGTTACTTTCTCGAGTGAAGCTCTGGGCGGAGCCGCTACGGCTGAAATGGAGGCCGCCACGGCGAGAACGCTGCGCCATCATCACCGGAACCGTGATGGCTCGGGGTCGGGAGGGCGTCAACGCTCGTCGCGGCGTTCTTCTTCAAGTGCAGATCGGCAGGCGGCTTTGCGCTCGCGTACTGGGCTTCGGCTTGAGTCGGTGCGTGCGACGCTAGATGACGCGTCACTTGATTTCCCAGCCGAGCTTACTGCACTACCGCAAGGAGACGCCAACGCAGGCATGATGGAGCTTCAGCAGCAGGTGGAGATGCTGCTGACGCTTTTGGAGCGTTTTGGGCCGCGACTTCGGCTTCTCCCTGCTGCACTTGCACACCGTGACCGCTTGAGTGGACGTTCGGCTGAAGCAGGTGCTGTCGCGACCGGGTCAGCTTCAGGTGGCGCACCGAATGCTAGCAGTGCTGCGGTTTCAGCCGCTCCTGCCACGGCTTCTGCCGCCACTCCTGCCTCTGCCCCTGTTGATGCTGCCGCCGCCCCCGCTCCTGCACCAGCCCCAGCTCCTGCCGTCGCTCCTGCTGCTACCGCCTCCGCTCCTGCACCTACCACCGCTCCTGCTTCGGCTCCAGCTCCAGCTGCCGCCAGCGCTAATGAGTCCAATGTTACAGCACGCCACGTGATTCGCGCCATCGAGGCGTTGCAAACGATCGGAGAGTCCACGGACTTGCTGGCTCGCATGGCGCGTCACGCATTCGTTCGTCAGTCGATGCACCTAGGAGAACCGATTGCTAGACGTGGAGAGGCTACAACTGCAGGAGATCGAATGCAGGCGACGCTCCAAGCGTTACAGGCTGCATCACGGTCTAGAGCTGCGCGTGGAGAAAGCGTAGGTGATACAATGTTTCGGGCGACGCTCGATGCGCTGCAGGGATCAGCCCATACAGCAAGAACAGCAGCGCAAGGTGACACTAGACCGCGGTTTCGAGTGGCTCGCATCAGTGCTACTGATCTGATGGGCGAAAGAAGCACTGCAGCCGCTAGCGCTGGAGCCCCAAACACTGTCAGAACTTCCCCGGAACCGACACTCAATATCCCTGATACAGCTCCTCCACCTCCAGTTGAACCAGCCACTGCTACGCGGAATAGCCAGCCAGGTAACCAGGGCCAGCGCACTGCTGGAGTTCCAGGCGACGCGAATGGTCCATTGCCGCCGGCTGGCGCTCACATCTCGATCTCTGGCATGGGCCTGCCGCTTATGTCATCGGTAGTGTTCCCTTTCTCCCTGGCAGCGGGTCTCGGAGGCAGCCATGCGACTACGACTTGGAACCTGGCAGATTTTGTAAGTCGACTGACGAGCGAGCTGCCGATCTCGACGCTGTATGGGGTTATAGCTGGTGATGCCACTCAGCTGCACCAGGTCCTGGCACACATTGGTTTTGCGTTGTTTAGCGGCGTCGATGTCCCGCGAGTGACCAGGCCCAGCATCCGTACGTGGGCGCAAGATCTGGTAGGCGAACTGCGCCGCTTGTTGCGCTTGCACGCGCTGCCTGCCGACGTGCTTGACCAAGTTAATGGATCCGTTGAACGGCGATCGGCGCTGGGAAACGAACTGCTTCGTGTGATGGAGCCGTTCGTGCCTGACCTCGTTGACTTCCTCGTTCGTGCTACATCTGCGAGTCGAGCCGCTGCATTCGGTGCTAGCAGCGCAACTTTCTTGCGTACGATGGCGCAAGAGGTTGTTCGTCAATTGCGCTCCTACGCACGAGGCGACTCGACTGAATCTGAAGATGAAAGTGATGAGCGGTTGAAGCGTTTGCTGCGAGGGCTGCTCGTGTGGCTGGGCATGAACGAGCACGTGGCCAGCTTTGCCGTTGACAGCTTGTGGTGCTGGACTGAAGGAGACAACACTACTGCTCGTCGTGGGCGTACTCGTCAACGCGAGGAGGGTGACAGCGAAGCTGGCGTTACCGAGTCGCCTGCTGCTAAGCGACGGCGTGAGTAGGACGTTGAGGCGGCTAGCTGTGACTGGAAGCAGCCAACGACGGCTTATGTGTGCAGTCCTTTGAATTGGATAGTAGGCTAGGAATTATCTACACAATGCAGAGTTGTAAAAAACGCCAGCAAGACTTGCCCTCTTGAATAATGCATATGAACAAAACTAATGGCGCAAAGCTGCTCTGTTGCTGTTGATCTAGTTCGACAGAGGGTTTTGCGTCGGGAACTTGGGGTAGACGCGCTTATATAGGTGGAGGCACACGGTGTCGTGCTGCTTGATGGGTTTGTTGAACACGGCCTTGAGGTCACCGTGCGTACCAAGAGATTCCTTGATGTGTCCTGTCAACCCGTGCTTGGTCACAAGCTCCACGGGCTTGAACCACCGGATGTCCTCCGGCGAGTGGAACATGTAGCGCACAACGGCCTTGCGCTTCTTCACCTTCACCGGCGTGCCAGTGATGATGACACGCTTGAGCACGACGCGGTCCGGGTTCACGTTCTTAAGCGTGCCGGAGGCAACAAGCTGGCCATCGGGCTTGAAGAGCAGCAGGGAAGCAGGCTGGAACGTCACGGGGCCATACACGGTTGCCACGCTCCAGCCACTCTGCGGCAGGAAGCGCTGGAAGAGGTGCTGGTCGCTCTTCAGACTCTGGTCGCTGAAAACGGGCTTGCCGGAGAATCGACGGAAGCCACAGTGGAAAGACAGCTCATCCTTGGACTTGAGCGTCTCGCCAGCAAAAGACGCAGCACGCTGCACCGAGAAGTTGAGCACACTCAGACGGTTCTCGTGCTTGAGCAGAGCGCCCATGACCAGAGGACCAGCCTGAATGCGCGCCTGCAGCTTAGCCACGGGCACGCTCTTGAGGTGCAGCGTGACGAAAACACCCGAAGGAACGTAGCCCATTTCACCGAACTCGTCAGGCAGAGCCTCGCTGGCCAGAGACGACGACGCAACGGAAGCCGAGTCCTCCACATCCTCCATGACCATCGATGAAGTGCGAGAGCGCGCCTGCTGCGTCTTGGACTTGCGGCGGAGCTGCTCCTTCATGGCACGCTCGGCGTCCTTGCCACGAGCGAGAGCAAGGCGCTGCACCATGGCGAAATCCGCGAACTGAAACAGACGAGCGTAGTCCGAGGGAAGCGACTCCTTCGGGTCCCAGGCGCTCGTGCGCAGCGACTTCATTCCACGGTAGCGAGCGAAACGAACACGGGCGGGCTGGTCGACGGGCGCGTCCACTTCGTCCGGGAAGGACATGTTTTCCTCTTCATCCTTGCGCTTTTGAGCCTGATCAACGTAGTCATCATCGACCATGAACATATCGTCATCGTCGTCGTCATCATCATCTTCATCGTCGCCGGTCTTGCAGAAGTCCTGGTTGACCGCTGCCGAGTCATCTTCGTCGCCATCGTCCTTCATTTCATCCTCGTCCTCATCTTCACCGTCCAGCCAAGCAGCCTGGTAGCTGGACGCGCCCTTGTTGGCCGCAGTTTCCGCCTGACGCTGCTTCTTGGCTTCCTGTTCAGCCTCGGCAAGCTCCTCGTTGGTGGGCCAGGTCTGCTCGGACGCAAACGGATCGTACTCGGCCTCGAAGCGCAGGTCCTCCTGCAGCGCGGGGTCGGCGGTAGCAAGCACCAGGTCGTCGTCCTGTCCGACCGGCACCGGAGCGACCGGAGGTTTCGCGCTCATGTCAGCGTCAATCTTTCCGCGCTGCGTCTGACGCGCAGCCGCACGGGTGATGCGGCTCAGCTGGAACGTGCCCACGTCCGTGATGTGGATGAGCTGGTTCACCGACAGCGGCTTGCCGCGCAGGTATCCGTTGACCTGCAGCTCGCCGACCTGTTCACCCTTGTCGTTCTGCGCCTCCGAGCCGGGCACGAACGTGGCCGTCGTGGCCAGCATGTACGAACGCGCCTCGCGCCAGTGGATCACCTTGGGCGAGAGCGTGATCAGCACGCGCGACAGCTGGCCGGGCACATTGGCCACGGCCACCTTGGCGTTCTCGCCGAACTCGGTGGCAAAGAACTTGTTGCCCAGCTTCTTGAGCTCGGCCTGGCCCTTGGGCGTGTGCTTCTCCAGTCCCTGAATGAGGCCCACCGTGGTGGGCAGACCCTGCGCGCGCACGGCCGACACGATGCGGACACCCTCCTCGCTCAGGCCGCCGTCGGCGCCGTTGTGCACGGACAGCACGAACACGACGACGTCAGCCACCTTGGCGGCGTCCAGGGCCACCAGCAGGTTGCAGCCGCAGTCGATCACGCAGAGCTTCTGCTTGTGCTGGCTGAACACGCCGACCGTGCAGTTCTTGAGGCCCACGGCGTCCTGGGCCGGCTCCTCCACGCTCGAGGCGCCCTCCAGGAGGCTCTGCTGCACCTCGGCCAGGTTGGCCATCTCGCTCAGCGCCACCAGCGCCACGATCTTGGGCGGGCCGAGCGCGCTGCCGAGGCCGAAGCGGCGCTGCAGGAGCATCTCCTCGCGCTTGTTGCCGCGCAGCTGCTTCTGGCGCTGCAGACGCGCCGCCTTCTGGCCCGACAGGCTCATGCTGCCGATGCTCGAGCCCGTGCTGCGCACGCTGGCGCGGCGGCCCTCGACCTTGCCGCCGGAGCGGCGCGCCAGCAGCGTCTTGGACTCATGGCGGCCGGTCTTGTGCTTCTTGTTCTTCTGCTTGAGCGGCCCGGAGCGGTGGTGGTGCGACGTCATGGTGGCGGGGCAGGATGCACTATGGCCATGGCAGCCATGCGTCCAGACGCTGCTGACCAGCAAAACCGAATAGCATATGTCAGTACTCCAGACTCTAAAGTAGGTCGTTAAGAAATTTGGTGTATTGAGTCAAGCTAACCAAAATCGTACTGCTTGCCCAGGCAGAAAACCATTGGCGATGCCGCAGACGATGCCGTCGGAGCAGGACGACGCGACGGCGCGCTTCCTGGCCAAGTACGGCGTGGCCAAGCTGGCCGAGCAGTGGGGCCTGGCGCCGGAGGTGAGCCGCTCGCTGGCCGCGCTGAGCATCCGCTCGTTCTTCCCCGTGCAGGCCGTGGCCATCCCCAAGATCCTGGCCAGCGACAGCGACCGCGTGACGGACATCTGCATCTCGGCCCCCACGGGCAGCGGCAAGACGCTGACGTACGTGGTGCCCATCGTGCAGCGACTGCTGCCGCGCGTCGTGTGCCGCGTGCGTGCGCTCATCGTGCTGCCCAGTCGCGACCTGGCCGTGCAGGTGCACCAGATCGTGCAGCAGTTCGTCAAGGGCACGCCGCTCAAGTGCGGGCTGGCCATCGGCCAGAGCAACTTCGCGGTGGAGCAGAGCGCCCTGGTTGGGGACGTTTCAGGTGAAAAGGTGTCCTCGACAACAGATGGAGGTCGCAGCTTGGTGGACATCCTGGTGGCCACGCCGGGCCGTCTCGTGGACCACCTGGAGCAGACGCCCGGCTTCACGCTGCAGCACCTGCAGATCATGATCGTCGACGAGGCCGACAGACTGCTGAACCAGTCGTACCAGGACTGGATCCCTAAGGTCTACGCCAGTGTCTTCAATGGCCAAGAGGTGGACGAGGAGGGCCTGGCCTTGGGGGTCGGAGTCACATGTCGGCGCCAGGACTCCATCAACCGACGCCGTATCCGCACTCCGCTGACGAGGGTGCTGCTGTCTGCTACGCTTACGCGTAATCCGCGCAAGCTGGCGGCTATTGGCATGAGCAATGCAGAGCTGACGAAGATCGGACGCATTGATGACCCGCTGGCTGATAACGCCAAGCAGGGCACGGCCGGCGACTCGGACGATGACGACGAAGATGGAGAGGAGGCCTCCGGATCGGCCAAGATGTACTCGACCCCGACGAATCTGGAGGAGTATTGGATCGAGTGTGACACGGGCTCCAAGCCGCTGGTGCTGTTGGAGCTGCTGAGCGAGTTTGCCGGTGCACTGTCGATTGTTTTCACGGCGAGTGTGAACTCCACGCATCGTCTTGCGCGACTGCTGCAACTGTACTCGACCCACCCGGAGCGCATTCGCGAGTTTTCTAGTAGCCTTTCGCAGAAGCAGAGATCGGCCTTGGTGGCGGATTTTAAGGCTGGACGTGTGGAGACCGTGGTGTGTTCAGATGCTATGGCGCGTGGTATGGATATCGAGGATGTCGCGAACGTCGTCAACTACGATGTGCCGTCGTTCATTAAGACGTACATCCATCGTGTGGGTCGTACGGCTCGTGCTGGTCGTCACGGTCGCTGTGTGACTCTAGTGAAGATGGGTCAGATGAAGGGCATGATGCGTATGCTGAAGAAGGCCGACAACAACAAGCTGAAGCCGTACCCGCTGCAGCAGGAACACATGAAGACGCTGGTACCACGCTATACAGAGGCTCTTCAACGCCTCAAGGACACTCTTGAAGCAGAAAAGGCTGGCAAGCTGCAGGCCACCTCCATCCTCCACAAAACGAAGGAGGAAAGTAGCAAGGATGACGATGATGATGTCGAGGCTGATGATTTAGACGAGGAGGTCACCAGTGCCGACAAGAAGCGAGCGTTCTCGGTGCTGAACGGTCAGCTTGAACGGAATTTGGGAAGCAGAAAGGTTTGCAAGCAATGATCAACATGTCAGTCATCCAGATAAATAGATAGAGAACAGAACGAAGTTGTGTACCAAGACGTTATCGCTTGGGATTCTATTACCCAGACGATGAGGGTGCTGTATCTGTTTGTGCCTGTGAAGTGTCGCTTTGCTTGTCTTCTTGACGCCGCTTTTTGTGGGAGATAGGAGGTTCACCACGTTCTGCTCGCTCCTTCTCGATCTGGATGCGCTTGAGATGGTACTTGTGCCCCTTTGACCGCAAGTGCTCGGCCCACTGCTTCTTACCCGTGAACTCGCGTCCGTTGCAGACCGTGCAAGTATTTTTCTGGAACTTGTCCTCTAATGAAGCAGCCTGAGCTGCCTCCGGTTGCTGTTGCTGTACAGTTTGGTGCGAGGTGATCTCTTCGCCCTTGAGGAACTTTTGGGCGATCTCAATGGCAGGTTGAGCTACAAGCGCGTCCCACTTCGCTACATCACTGCTGTCCACTTGGTAGACTGGGATGTTCTTGGTCACGAACTTGTTGCGGATCCACGAGAGCTGGCGACGCGCGTACTGGCGCGTGGCCACGTTCAACTGCTCGACGCACGCCTCCAAGATGGTTTCAAGTGCCTTGGGGTCCTCCGCCGCGCCGTCTGTCGCCTCAAACGCGTCGAAGTACGGCTGGAACTCCTTGTACCCGATCGCTTGCAGAATACCGACAGAGTTCTGCGCTTCTTCTTCGCCATCGCTGTCGAGGCTCAGTCTTGGCGGGTTCTCCTTGACGTGGGCACGCAGGCCGCGGATCTCCTCCACCAGGCCAGAGCTCAGCATCGTATCCACTCTCTTGGCCAGGCGCTCACTCAGCACCGGCTTACTCGCGTGTACCCAGAAGGCACATGCATCAAAATACCGCTCGACATTCCGCTGCTCGCGCTCCTGCTGAGCCAGCAGCTCGCTGTGGGGCACACCCGTTTGCTCGAACACCTGCAGGCTGCGCTGCACCTTGCGCACGTTGTTCACGTGCAGCCGAGCCGCCATCACCGGGTCCACAGCTTGCAGTCGCGCGTAGAGCGCCTCGGGTGTCTCCTTCACCTGCTCCTGCTCTTGTGGCTGCTGCTGCTCGTCGCTGGGCTTGGCCGGCACGTCGTCCAGCAGCTGCGACTTCCAGAGGATGCTCTGCGTGTAGTACATGGTGCCGCCCACGACGATGGGCACCTTACCTCTGGCCAGAATGTCGTCGATGGTCTGCAGCGCTAGGCGCTTGAACTCCAGCACGTCGCAGCGAGAGCTCGGGTCGACGACGTCGAAGAGATGATGCGGCACCCCCTGCTTCTCCTGCTCCGTGATCTTGGCCGTGGCCACGTCCAGCCCGCGGTACATCTGCATCGCATCCGAGTTGACGATTTCACCGCCCACAGCCTTGGCCAGGTCCACCGACAGCTTCGTCTTGCCGGCACCCGTCGTGCCGATCACCACCAACACCTTGCGCAGCGCGGCCATTGTTGATTAGCTTGGACAAAATTTGTGTTTGCAAATTGAAACCCAATATTCCCAAATGGAAGAAATATACATTAGTAGCTTAATGTAAATTGAAATAATTGACAGCTGCTTCAAACCAGAAATATTGCTAAATCCTAATGTATATTTCTAAATGGCAAGTTGCCGTCGTTCGACTACGACGCCCGCTTGCTCGCCTTGGAAATGAGAAACTCTGTAATGCTCATGAGTTTCTTCTGCTCCGCCTCTGTGAGAATCGCTGGCACCTTGGCCTTCGCAGACGCAGCAACAGGAGAAGAAGAAGTCGCAGCTGCAGAATCAACATCCGACGCTGCTCCAGTGCTCACCTCAGCTGCACTCTCACTCGTCGTTGGCGCTCGGATTCCAACGGCCACAGCGTTCTTGAGCTCGAACATCCTGCCGAACGTCTTGGACGACAAGTGCAGCACGCAGATGGGCACCTGATGCAGTCGGCAGAGCAGCGGCAGGTGGCCGAACGCCAGCGACTCGGGGTTGTTGGCGAACACCACCACCTTCAATTCTTCTCTCGCAATGGCGCGCGCCACTTGATTCGCGCCCAGCACCGCGTGGCTGCGCGTGGGCGGCACCTCCGCCACCTCCTTCTGCAGTCGGTCCAGCACAATGTCGCGGTCCTCCTGTGTCAGCTCCTCGAACTGCGGGGTCGTCCATGGACGCACGATCTCCACGGCCCTACGCGCCTTGCGCTTTTGCTGCTTGGTCTTGGCAGCCTGGCCGCTGCCAGGCCGCTTGAACTGCATCGCCACGGGCGCCTTCGCCGCCTTCGCCATGGTCGTCCTCTCCCGATACACAAACGCTGGTCAACAGCGCTCAATAGAAAGTAGATCGATAATTGGTCGAAAATACATATTCCATCCACCAATCCCAAATAAGTTAATTCATCTGGATTTTTGCCAATCCCGACGCCGTGCCATCGTGTTCAGTTTCTCTTCATCGCGGAAAGGAGGCGAGACCATGGGGCGGTTCTTGGGGTCGCCCACGGCCAGCGGCGACCGCGCGCGCAGGTACGCGGCGCTGCCCGCGGATAATGACGACGAAGAGGTGCAGCAGCCTGTAGCGGCCACGTCTCCGCCGGCCCACGCGGAGGAAGAAGCGCCGTCCAGCGCCTCGAGCAGGTCGGCATTAATGCGCAGCGACAGCGAAGCGGAGGCGGACGCGGAGGAGGCGCAGCACCCGACGCTACAGCGCCAGCACCAAGAGGTAGAACAGGAGAACGACGCGGCCGCTGTGGTGGACGCTGCGGAGCAGGAGAAGGAGAAGGATTCTACCCCCGAAGTTACAGTAGTAGAAGAAGAGAAGAAGACGAAGGAGGACGGAGCAGAGGAACAGAGCAATGAGGCGGCGGAGGATGCCGACCCAGACGCCATCCACGTGCGCATCCTGGACCTAAACGGCAAGTTCTTCGACGTCGCGTGCAAGCTGGACTGGACCGTGGCCCACATGAAGCAGAAGGTGCTGGAGAGCACCGAGGTGGCCGTGGCCTCCCAGAGGCTCATCTACCGCGGCCGCGTGCTGGAGGACGAGAACTCGCTGGCCAGCTACAAGGTGGAGGACGGCCACACCATCCACTTGTTCGTGAGGGCCGCGCCCACCCCTGACCCGGAGATCCTCAATGCAGAGCTCAACGCCAATGGCAGCTCGAGCGGCGGACGAGATGACGGCATCACCGTCGTGCATATTAACAGCGACATTGTTTCGTCCGCCGTGTTCCCGTCGGACTCGGCGCGACGCGTCGACCCGCTGATGCTCGACTCGCCGCTGGGCAACTGCGCGCGTCGCGTGAAGCTCTGGAGCTCGTTCTTGCTCATCATCTACACGATGAAGGTCATGGGGCAGTTCGCGTTGCTGGCCAACGACCAGCAGCAACGGGCCGCGCAACAGGAGCGAGAAGGGGCCGGGGCCAGCGAGACGGACCGACCGATGGACAGATACGACGAGTACCCGCAGTACTACACGCCCGACCCGCTGATTGGCGGCCTTGAGCTCATGGTGCACTGCTTCGGTGTGTACGTGGGCTGTGTGGGGTTCAAGGCAGCACACGACACGGACATCCGCCCCATTCGCTTCTACTGCCGCGGCGTCGTGTGGCTTGCCATCCTAACAGTAGCAGAGCAGATGTACACGACCGTGCAGATCTCCGAGTCGGACTTCCCCACGGAGAGGGTGCAGTACCCTTACGGTGGGCAGGGGCCGACGAAGGACGACATCGTGTCGGCGAACATCTTCCAGACGATCATGCTTGTGGTCATGTGGCTCATTGCCATCCGCCACTCGTACCTGCACCAGCGCGAGGTGTCCATCTACAACCAGTCTTTCGCTGCGGCTGCGATGAATGCCGCTCCTCCTGTACACCTGCCTGAAGTGGTGTAAGGAATAGCTTAGTTCAAGATCGGTTTGTGGGCCCGAGTGAACGAGAATATATATTTTGAAAGTGTGTCTACGAAGATGGAGAAGTAGCTGCAGGCTACCTCTCGGCGTGTGATGAATCTTGTCAAGAAGCAGCAGCGTACTGATGTCCCATCGCAGGCGTGCCATCGCAAGCAGTCTCTCCAAATATAGTGAACGGGGAGCAATGCAACCGCCCAGGCACTTTCTCCTTTTGCTCAAGGGCCCAAGAGAGCTCGAGCTGCAACAAAGGAAAAGTGACCTGTTGGAAGTAAAGGAAGATGTCGGCATCGGACTTCGATGACATCTTTGGCGATGACGTGAAGATGGATGCGACCGCAGAGCCCACCTTGACGAATGTTAACCTGGACGACGATGAGCTATTCGGGGGAGGCACTGCTGGAAAGGTGACGAAACCAGCCAGCGAGCAGCCAGCTCAAGGAGCGAACTGGGAGCAGATCGGTAGTCAAGAGCAGGACGAGTTTCTCTCGTGGCTTGACGACGGGGGTTCTTCGAAGCCAGCCCCAGCGGCGGAGCCTTCACTCCCCGAGAAACCCGCGCCGTCGGTCGAGGTTGCTGCTCCACCACCCGCACCTGTAGCGCCAGCTCCGGTCGTTACGAACACGTTTGACAGCGTCTCACTCGACGACAATGATGACTTTGACCGAATGCTCGAGACTGGAAGGACTGAGCCAAGTCCATGTGTCTCTACGACGACTCCAGCAGCTACGGTTAGCTGCCCGAACGACAACATCGCTACCAACGATGACGATGATCTGGATCGCATGCTTAATGCCTCCACTGCCCAAGCAACCTTTGAAATGTCAAATATCAGCAAGCAGGCTACCTCGCAGGACGAAAGTGATGATCTCGACCGGATGCTTGCGAGTGCGAATGCTCAAGCAAACTTTGATGCACCTACTCCAGCGAATACGGTTGGCAGTATTTCTCTAGACGATGATGACGATCTTGAAAAGATTGTCCAGAATGCTGGCAAGCACTCCGGTGCGAGTGTATTCGTCCCGGCGGCCACGGCGGGCAACATCTCGCTTGACGACGATGACGACGACGATCTCGAACGGATTGTGCAGCAGGCCAATAAGCAAGCCAACGCTAGCGGTTCACGCGAGAATAGCAGTTCCTCATTGCAGATCAAGAGTCAAGTCCAAGCACAACACAAGGCGCAGCAAATCGGTACGAAGGCGTCAGTTTTGTCTATTGTTGTTCGAAACAGTCTCTTGATCATTGTCCATGATGGTGTTTGTACTAGATGTGGCAGCAGTACGTCAAACATTCCTCGAGACGGGGGAACTGCCAGCAGGCTCTCGCCTTGCAGCGTGGCAACGTGCTGTACAGGTGCGAGTACAACCGAATTCACTCAGCTTTAACTTCTTGAGCTTACATTATCGCTTTCAGCCTGGTGCAGCGGACTCGGCATCCATGTACGCAGTGCAGACGACGTCGCGTTCTCTACCAAGTCAGGCTCAACTGCGCAAGGAGGTGGAGACGTTGTGCTCGCGCATCTTTTCCAGCGCAGCTCACGCGCGAGTCCTAAGCGAAGTGGGCGACAGTATGCGTGGCACGCATTTACTCTTCATTGACAGTGCCGAAACACTACTCACTCACCTGTGCACGCAACTCGATATTGACTACATGCCGGGAATGGCGTTCACTTTTGCGCCTCTGCTGCTCGCGAGCGGCAGTGAACCTCTACACCCTGAAACTGTGGAGACTCTAGCGGCTACGTGCCGTCGGTTTTTGCCTCATCTGGGCAAGAAGATGCCTCTCCACTCCTCAGCTACTGGTCGACGTCCGCTATTGAAGCGCATGCTACTCTATCACGCGCCACGACTCGCCTCCCACCTTCACGAGCATTTTCCAACATGGAACCACGCGCCACCGGGAGAGTACGATGGAACGAAAGGAAGTGGTGCTATTCCAGACTCGTGGCTGGCATCTTTCTTTGAAAACGAAGGGATGGTGAGCGAGCCCGCCAACTTCGACTTCCTGCTGAAACTTTGGGACTGCAGTATGATGCTAGAAGCGTTCTCCTCGAATGAGGACGCACCGCTTGCCACACCCTGCTTCATCACACTCTACGGCATCATCAAGTCTGAGAATGCGTTGTTGCGGATGGAAGGCGAGCAGCTACGCCACTGCATGGTGACCACGGTTGCGGAAACCTTATTGCGTGGTGAAGTGACGAAGAGCCAAGTGTTCGTCAAGGGTATCCGCCGACTGATGGATGCAACACCTCCATGTTTTACCACAAAACTTCGACGTGCGGGAGTGCCACCGCCACCGGTAGTTGAAACTGAGGCGGAAAAGTCTGCAGATACCGCAGCTTCGGCTGCCTCAACCAACGGCTTTGGCATGAACACGTTGCTGTCGGCGTCTACGCAAGGCTTGAAGGACGTGTCGAACCTGATGATCGATATGCCGGTGAAATTGATGATCGACATGCCTGTGAAGCTGCTGACAATGGTGCCTCTGAACCCCATGGCGGCTCTGTCGTCACCGAATTCCAACTCACTCACAGATTCTCCCGAGACCCAGCAGCTATTCTACTTGCACGTGCAGGCTATGGAGGTCGCGGCTGTCTCGGCAACGCTCGAGTGCAGAGAAGTCATTCCGTCCGTGTTTGGAGGAATCACTGGTCACGAAACAGGTTCCCTTCGGTACTTCATCATCGACTGTCGTGGAGTGGAGGAAATGCGTGGAGGACAGGTCCCCACCGCCTTCCGCTTTGATCCGGACGCTGTATCGGACTCTGCTATACTCGACCAAGTTCTCGCGACGCTGGGGCCTCTAAAGAGCGCCGGCGTGCACATTTGCGTCATGGGACACGGCTACGCTCACATTGCCGAGGAGCTGCGTCAATTCCAGCAGAAGCAGGGCGTGGCATCAGCGTCGCCGTTCTCCCTTAGCGAGGGCTTCCTGGAGACGTACGCGAACGACCAGTCCCGCGTTCAATCCACCATCGACTTCTTGCTCAAGCACGAGTTCCCCCGTGTAAGCGTCCTGGAAGGCGGCTACTCTGCAGCTCACGGCCACCTCTTCCGGTCCCACAGCTTGACTGTTGATGACTTGGCTGACCACGATACGCCCAGCTGCAAGCTTTGTCAGCACGACCGTAGCATGGAGGCCGTTCACCCCGCTGCTATAGGCGATGCCTTGAACGCACCGGGCGCTGAAGAGAAGAAGGAGTCCATGCACGAAGGCGACCCGGCCAATGCGAGAACTGCAAGCTCAAGAACCAGTGAAGTTCCATCGGGTATCGCAATGGACGACTCCGGTTTCACGGATATTAATCTTTCTCCGGCCGCTGCCAACACCAAAAGTCCACCAGGAGGCTCATACTATTCCAGCTTTGCTGGTGCCTTCAAGAGCGGAAGCAAGACGCTCTTGAGCCCTACGGTAGACGGCACCAAATGGCTACTCAAGAAGTCCGCAGCGACCACAGCCGAGTTCGCGAACGCTGCTGCGAGCATGGGCAACCTGGGCAACAAGAATCGAACGGGTAGCATGCAAGGCGCTGCAGCGGTTGGAAAGACCCCCGCTGCCCCTGCAAAGGACACCAAGCCGGCCATGCCGAACCTCAACAAGCTTCGGAACTCTCTCGCTGCCATCGGCTCTGAGAGCCTTGACATGCTCAAGAAGATGGAGCACGCAGTTGAGCAAGCAGCTGTGGCGACCACCACCACCACAGCGAAGGTGCGGGTCCCATTCCCTTCGACCATTTCGCCCTCCTCGAAGGATGCAGCACCTGCAGCGACGAAGTCGCCTCCTCCCAGCGTTACTGGCGCCTCCACACCTCCAGCACCGCGTGCGTCTCTCTCATCTGACCCAGCTCACAGCAAGTTCTTCCACCAGTCGACAGACGAGATGTTCACGATCGATGATGGCGATGACGACGAAGACCATGAGGGACATTTTGTTCAGGACGAAGCGAGTAACAGCCGTACGTCCTCCTCCACGTCGAGTTTCGTGAGAGATTCTCCGGTCGCTGGCGGTGGGGTCGGGCCTGTGCATGAAGTTGTCAAGGACCACATCGGTGACCTGAAGAAGGGGATGACCGTGAGTCGCATGCAAACGTTACCTTGTGTGAGCAGTCCGTTCTTCGCGTGCTACAAGAAGAAGGCGCCGACTGGAAATAGTGGCGCGGCTTCGCACTCCAGCATGCACCCACGCCGCATCGTCGTAATGGAGAACCACCTTGTCGTCCTCAAGTCTGCAACGCGCAACGAGGACGACATGTTCATCGTGAAATCTTGCCACCCGCTTTCGCACATCACGAGGATGACGTGCCTCAAGAAGAACGCTCTCATGGTGAGCATCTACTACAAGTGGAAAGCGGACGACGGGCAGATTATTGAACGACGCAATTCGTACGAGGTGCAGCAGCGTGACGACTTTATCAAGGCCGTCAAGTCCACCATGGACAAGATGTGAGCTCCCGCCATGGATTTCCTTCCACCACCGACCAGGATGCGTTGGCAGTTCAACGCTTCCCGCTTCCTTCGTAGCCGTAGCCTCTTCAGGCTGCAAATAGCTTCTCAAAATATACACTTCATTCACATGGGACGTAGCAACAGGTCATGATCGCCGTTAATGATCTCCACACTTGAGCAATTTCCACAACTGACTCAAGCCATGTCCGACAAGAAGCGGGAATCGCTTGCATCCAAGATCGACGAGGTTGCGCGCAACCAGATCTGGCGTGAACAACTCAAGACTGAGTATGAAATGGAAAGCGCGCTGACACCGTTCCAGCTCAACCCGAAAACACGTACGTATCTGCACGTAGTTCACCTCCACGAAGCTCGCATTAACGTGTATTGTGCCTTTTGACCAGTGAGCTCCATCACGCTAAAACCAACACAGACCCATCCAGCAGACTTCGGTAAGACTCAAGATGACCATGACACTCGAGAACTTGCAGCCAAACTCCGTGAAGTCTCCAAGCGTCCAATGGAGAAACACGCCCTGCCCATGACTGAAGCGCAGCGTGTAGGATGGCTGCATGATATGGCAAGCAAGGGAATGCGAGCGGACATGCACAACCGAATGTTCAAGGGCCGTGGCAGGTACGCCCAGCTTGAATCAAACCCTCTTCAGCCACGAATGATGCACTTACTTACCTGTCTTGCCCTGTCCTCAGCTGCGACGTCACCAAATTCGCCGACACCTACTGCACGATGGCCGGCTGCAGTCCGTTCGCAGACAAGTCGACTCGCTGAGAGAGGAACAGAGCACACAACAGAAGAGGAGGATGTTATAGCCGATAGATAAGAAAGGCTACGCCCAAAACTACTGAAGACATATTAAAGCCCTCCTTCCTCCGCATCATCTCCATCGTCGACAAGATTCCAATTCCTCAGCCCCTTTGCGCTTGCTCTTCCCGTCTTCTGGCACTGGAACCTTCATCGGAGAGAAGAGACGAAGACGGCAACCGGAGAGCTGTCTACCTACACATCCGCTGCTAGGGGAGGCGCTGTGATTGACCCTCGTCGCTCTGTTCGATGAGGAATCGCCTCGGCGGCTGCTACAGGAGCGCCCGGCGCACTAGCGGCACTAACAAGACTGGACAATGACGACTGTTTCGTGATCGGCGGGAGCATGCTTAACGTCGGGGATGAAAGAGGTTCCATTCCAGCAACTTGCGCGTTCTCGTCGAGCATTGAAAGCTGATTGCGCAGCTCCTCGATATGAGAAAGCACCACCCGTCGGTGACCCTTCTTCACGTCCATGTCGATAAGGTCCTCTTCATCGATCGTAGCTACTCCCCGTAGCGTATCAAATCCATCCTTTTCAAAATTCTGCGCGTATTCTTCCATTTTGAAGAACTTGAGCCAGTTATACACCGTTTCAATATCTGGATCAAAAAGAAACGAGATGAGAATCATAGCAAGGCTAGAGCGAACAGGCAAGCAAGCAGGTGACGTACTTCTGCGAGGAGCGACGTTCTCCTCTTCATCGCCCACGGGCCGGCCGCCATCGTACTCTAACATCGATGTCGACGTCTCGTCGTTCGTAGAGTAGTCATCATTGCCTTCCTCCCACGCTTGCAAATAGTTCGCGAGCGAACTGTGACCGGCCTCAAACGCACAGCGCGACGGACTCTTGTTCGTCTACATGAGTCAACACGTCAGAAGAGCCGGACAAATTAACACCTCAACGCGGCGACACAACAGATCTCAAGACAAGATATCAAACGTACTAGCGTCAGAGAGAGAAACTCCGCCGCATCGCGAGACTTTCGAATAAGCCAGAACGCGCACTCCTTGTTGCCACCTAGAGCGGCGCTGTGCAAGGCATTGCGTCCGAACTACAGTGTAAATCCACAAACGTCAGCGCACGACTGGGCAGCAGCATTGTTGACAAGTTGCTTACCTTGTCGACATCCGTCCAGACCGTGAAGTGCTCGCTCAGGAGTTTCAACGTTGACAAGTGACCGAACTCTGCAGCCCAATGCATCGCGTTTTTGCCGTTCTGTCCACAGGAAAAATTCCGGTTAAAAATTTTTGGTCACGAAGTCGGCAGAGAACACACTTAGACAGCATCACCACGCCATACCTTGTCACGCATAAACCGCAAGGGATACGCTCCATTAATGTCAGCAATGATTCGCGCAATTTCTTCGTCATCGCCCTCTTCAGCCGCGTGGACGAATTTCTGCTCGCAACATCACCAACACATCGCGTCAGACTTAAAAACAACTGCAGCCCCCTCTTCCTGCAGCTACCGCGCGAGCCATACCTGCGACGTCTCGTACCAGCTCTTCAGGAACTGCACACATTTCTGCTTGTGCTTGTCCTTGGCGATCTGGTACGCCGTCTTGTTGTCCTGTTCAGACAAAATTCATAAAGAGTAAGCAACAAGCAAGAATAATACCCAAAACTCACAGCGAAAAAAATACGCACATAGCTCGTGATGTGGATGTCAATGCCCTTCATGCAAAGGTACTGGATGACCTCCTTCCGTCCCTTCGACGCCGCCCAATGCAGACACGTTCCACCATACTGCACCCCCATAATACAATTAACAATTTATCACCCAAATGCAGCGTTATCCCATTCAAAATCTCACCTCATCCACTGCGTTGATGTCGATGGGGCGCGGACACTCCTCCAGCAGGTACGCCACCACGTCCAGGTGTCCGTTGATCGCCGCGGAGCAGTGCGCGAGACGGCCGAACTTGTCGGGCGCGTCCAGCGGCACACCGTGCTCCACCAGGAGCTGCACAACCTCGAGGTGCCCGTAGAACGCCGCGTAGTGCAGCGCCGTCTGGTCGTCGTGGTCCGTGGCGCTCCAGTCCACGCTGCAGTGCGCGCCCATCCACTGCACCACGTCCAGCTGGCCGGACGCCGCCGCGCCATGCAGCGCCGAGCACCCGTGCTGCTCAAGGAGGACACACAAGCAAGCAAGCAAGACTACCGTTAGCCTCGCTGTATAACTGACAAGTCCATGTACCGTACGGCACACGCACGGGACCAACACTCCCGCCGGGTCTTGCCTGGTTGCGGTAGTTGACGTCCGCGTGCAGCGTCTGGACGAGGTGCTCGACCTCCAGCAGCTTGCCGCGGTTGGCCTTGCAGATGAGCACGTCGCCCAGCGTGTAGCTCTCCACGACGGGCGGGGCGCTGGCGCCCAGCGGCAGCTGCAGCACGCGGTTCATGAGCGCTCGCCGCGCTTGGTCTCTCCTCGGTTCTGCTGAGCTGCTGGTGATATGAGTGAGAGGGGCAAACAGGCGACGGACGGTCGCGCGAAGGTTGCGCCAAGACCCAGCTGTGTGCCGCACACCACTCGTTTGAGCGGAGAGCGGGGTGTTTAGTGCGTCGAAATTGACACAACGAGAGAATGAATATAAGGGGGCAGAGGGAGAAACCACTGTGCGTTTGTATGCCCCCGCTGTACCGGTACATTCCAACGGGTGCACTGCGACTGTACCAGACGGTGGCTCTGTTGAGCACATTGAGTCTGGTTCAAGCAGTCTGGGAATACTATTAAGGTTATAGGGAGCGCCCCTGTTCCAGTCGCATTGCGATCTTCGCTCAGCTCCGCCGCGCGTTGCTCACCGCGAGATGGCTTCGTCATTCACGCGGGAAGTGGCTCCATCTGTAGAGCACATTCTGTCACTAAGATTTACCGCACCGCCTATCATCCATTGGCTCCCCATTTCAACCAATGAGGTTTCGGACAAAAACCTATAAAGATAGCAAAGCCAACAACTAAGCGCAAATAACGACCGAGGCCGACACTTTATCCGCCCTATTGCCAGGAGCGTCCAAGAAGCCCTCGGAGAGCAAGCATGGGCGCCGGCGCCTCGACCGACAGCACCGGAGAGGTATAAGACGTACTTTCCACCTTACAGTACTTAAATCCCGCTTGGCTGAGACCCTCGCTGCTCTGTGTCAATGCCCTTTAGATCGTAGTAGGAGACGTCGTGACGTTCCACGTGGAAGACCACCCAAAGCGCGTAGTTGGGGTCAGTATGAGGCAGCTGAAGGTAGAGCAAAAGGGGGCAGACTACTGACCGGCTCTACCTTGTAGATCGTGGCGGACGTGCAGGAGGACTCGTGCAGCATACAGGTGTCCAATGCGGAGGTGCTGGAGGGCATTCCACGCAGTGATCTCAAGCGGATCGCCAAGTGGGACGAGATCGAGGTGGGCGACCGGGTCAAGGTGAAGGAGCAGGGCTCCCGCTTGTACTACGAGGCCGAGGTGGTCTCGAAGAACGAGGACGGCACGTACAAGGTGCACTTCGCAGAGGTGGACGAGGAGGAGGACAAAGTCGCGGGCGACCGCTTGATCAAGCTCATGTCAGGTCGACTGGAGGACAAGGAGTGGATGATGTACAAAGAGACAGAGCATGAGTAGCGTTAACTAGCTAAACTAGTTCCCCTTTGCATATCAGCTCCCTCCAGCGTGAACGGCGCGCGAGAGGGCAGGCCACCGTGTACCATATCAGCACATGTTAATCAGACAACAGGGTTCTTGAAACTATTGGTCTGGCTAAATCGTCTTTGCTAGTTGCAGTAGAGAGAGGAAGCCTCCTCTGGGGATGTCAACAGGAGCTCCTACCTGATCCACTAGCCACGTCTGTACCAAAAAAAAACACACACATAATAGCGTTAGCTCAGTAAATTGCTCGAGGCCAGACAAGAGAACACCACGAAGGCTTACCTCAATCCGGTTCTCTATGGCTTCCAAACTATCGGAGCGCGAGAGAGCGATAGGGCCTATGACGCTGACTGAAATGGGTTCCGTGCTTTCAGGTGCATCATCCGGAAGAGGAAGCACGAGTGGGTCACGAAGAAGCAGCCGAACCATGGCCTCACTTTCGTTAGGAAGCAACTGGGCAAACAGGGCTTGGCGACGAAGTCCATGAAGTATAAGATCTGTGGTAGCAAACCACAGTCGTCGTTAGCACATTCTCAATCCAGCAACGTACACGCAGTAGTACAACATACCATCGAGCAACTCAACGGAGAGAGCTCGCAATCGAATCGTGTCGTCGGCAGCTTGGTATACATCGCCCGCGAGCCAAATTGCGAGGTTGCGCAGCATCGGGTCGTAAAATACTCCCTTCTTCTGGAGTGTCGTGGTAGCCTGGTCGATGGCTTGGGATACCATAGGACGTGCAAACTGCCACGCGAATAATTTCCTGCGCATGATTTGATCGCGTATCTGCTTTTCGGCTTTCTTCTTCTTGATGAGCTCTTTCTTGCGGTTTGCCTCCTTCGCCTTCTCCTCCAAATCACGCTCTGCCTGCCTCGCGTCGCGCTTTTCAGCCTTCACCACCTCATGCTGGCGGTGCAGCATCTGCATCTCCTGCTCTTCCTTCACTTCCACGAGCGCTTGTGCGAGGGTCTTATTCACCAAAACATTCAACAGCGGCTTCACTTCGACGTCGAAGTTGAACAATCCGTCGGATTCCTCGATCTGCAACGATGAAAATTGCCAGAGCGGTGTCAGCAATGGAAAAACCACTATCGAAGTACAACAACTAGCGTGCCTGTGTCGATGTGTCAATTCCAATCTTCGGTCGCATGAACAAGTCGTTTGTCGAAGTGTTGCGTGCGTTCATGGTGCGTGGTAAGAACTCGTCCGTCTGGCTAAACGACTCGCGTTCAGGGGTCGGCTGCGTCTGCTCTATAAGGTTTGCATCCAGCGATATCGACGTGACTGCGACACACATAGATACCAGATCAATAACCTCGTCGCACTGACCAACAACAAGCATCAAGTAACCTACACCCGTACGACGGCACAGCTTGTGCCTCAAAGATACTGGGGTTGCCCTTATTGTTGTTGTTGCTCCTCCTCTTGGTGGTGGTTCCTCTCCGCTTCTTCACCTTATCCCGAGCATCAACCGCCCTCGCAGTGTTCACCTGCATAGCCCAACATGTCCAGCCCAGTCAGCATTTCAGTCTTGCCAACAGTCTCCAGCCTAAAATGCTTCGACTAACCGGGGCGAAGATGCTCCCGCGCGGGATCCTCGGGTCGTGCATGATGTTGGTCGGGATCTGCTTGGTGCTGCCATCGCGCTGCTTGCCTCGACTCGTCTGCACGGGTCGCGGCTTGGACGAGTACGAGTACGACAAGTCCTGCTCCATCGCGGCCGTCGCGCAGGAGGAGGAAATGGATACACCAAAGGTCGCCAAAGCGGTGCAAGTTGAAGTGGCAGACACACCTGTACAGCGCAGTACCGTAGATCTCCACATTTAAGTACGATTATTCGACAACGCGAAGAAACGGTTCATAGCACCGAATAGGAACAGCACTGGGCACTTAGTTGCTGCCGGCATGTCGATCTTCTACTGCGTGGTGGCCAACGCGCACTGCCCGCTGGCCGAGTACAGCAATGGAGGCGACAAGGCCATGAACGAGTTCGCGCAGAAGCTGCTCAAGAAGCTCAACCTGGCCGAGGACGCCGTCGAGGCCATGGACTGCGACGGCAAGACGTACAGCTACCGCGTGGACAACGAGGTGGCCTACGTCTGCGTCACCAATGCCGCGTTCGGCAAGAGGTGAGCGTTTGCAGACATGTATCTTGGAGGCTTGGTCGGGAGGTTGTGCTGACGGTTCGGATGTGCGTGCTGTCAGCTCGGCGGCGCTGTTCCTCAAGCACATCAACCAGCTCTTCGACAGCCAGTTCGGTATTCGTGGCAAGGCGACGAAGCTCAAGCTCGACATGAACAGGGACTTTGCACCCACGCTGAAGAAGCAAATGGTGGGGCCGGAGAGAGGAGTTAGGGCGAGTGCGTAAGGTGGATGCTGACTGTGGGGGTGTTATTCTTTTGAGGCTGTAGGAAACCTTTTTGTCGGATAAAGGGGCGGAGAAGCTGCAGGCTCTGAAGAAGGACCTGGACAATGTGAAGAACAACGTCCAGGAGAACATCAGTGAGTTAATGAGTACCATTGTGTCGCTAGAGGGAGGTTGAGTGCTGACTTGCGGATTTTATTCTGGAACAGGCAAAGTGTTGGAACGCGGAGATAAAATCGAGCTGCTAGTGGACAAGACGGATCAACTGAAGTACGGCGATGATACTAATTCATGTGGAGTGCGGGCGCCTAATTTACTTTACTAACGGGTTAATTTCTGCCGACACACAGCTCTCAGTCTGCTGCATTTGCTCAGTCGAGCAAGAATCTCCGTCGGCGCTTGTGGTGGGAAAACGTCAAAATGAATATTGCGATCGGAGCACTAGTCGTGGTACGAGTGGTAGCCTTCAGGTTGATTGAGCCATTGTTGATTTCTGTACTTACGATCGTTTCTTGCAGATTTTTCTCCTCCTCATATTCTTTTTTATCAAAAGCAAGGTGTCCGGGAGCGGAGACAAATAGTTAGAAGAATAGTAGGCGTCGGGCATGGAGCAAGCGAGGCAAATGCCAAGAAGAGGTGTAATGAAAGTGACGATCTATTATTGCTGCGGCATCACGCGCAGCCCGACCAAGTAATGACTGAGAGCAATGTCGTGCTCATTGCGCCTTGAGCTTTCTTCGCGAAGTCGATTCAGTGGAAGAGGATCGAACCAACTTTTCAGCGCATCCAGTAGCTATGACAAGGACAGCGGTACATCCGTAGTAGAGCTGGTCGCTGGTCAAATAGCTGGCACCACCAGTTCCTACTACCACCAGGATATTCGTCGGCAGCCGAAAAAGGGATAGTGTAGTGCTCAGTTGATCCTTCGGGAAGTATCTGCCACGGAGGGTTGCGCAACAGGGCGAGACCACACCGACGCAAACCTTCAGAGATGCACCACGCAAACGTACAAGATCAGAATAAGATACGCTCAATAACGGATAGTGCCAACATGCTTTGTCCCTCACCTCAAACACCACAAAACCTGCTAAAATGTACTGGTAATCGTCTGTAACCTTTACGTGCCAGAACAACATACTCAGATGACTTGAAAGGCTAAAAAACATAGCAACCCCACCAGATCGTACCGTTGGAGATAGCAGTGAGATCGCTGACGTGGCGGTGGTCAGCACCAGCAATTGCTCTTCACGAAGCCAAGAGTTCTCGATTAGATCGAACAACTTGCCACCGATGGCGATGCATAGCATGAAGCTCGAAAAAACCAAGCCACTTGGTAATACACCGTTAGGAAGTACGCTTTCAAGCGTCGGATACCACAAAAACACTAAGGCAATGAAAACACACACCTCGGTGAGACTCAACCAAGCACTCGATCAAGGATACCGCACGTACCGAAAACATACATCGCTCCTTCAAAGAGCGAGTAGCAAAACCCCAAGGCGTATGCATTCGCATTAAGGGTACTGCTACACTTGACGTTGCTGCTCTCAGTAATTTTCTTTTGAGCATCCTTGCCGGTGGATTTGGATCGTGACCCATAATTCTCACTCCATGATACCACAAATGCAGCAGCAACAGCGGTCAATACGACGGCAGCGCGAAAAGGCCCAATATCTCCAAATTCATCTGCTGTGACTTGTGCAACAAGCCCAGCAACCACTGCGACGACACCATTGATCTCAGATCCGAGCGCAAACGTCTTCCCCAGCAGACCCTCAGAGAAGCCTTCACAATGCATACAATGAAAAAAAATTGAAATTAAAATTTGGGTTAGATCCCGCAGGCTGGTACCGTTGGGCTTACCTCGTACTCGATGCTCGGTGACCATCCAGCTCTCAAACGCTGAGAAAAGTAGCGACGTCGAGATGCCACCAAGTACCCTTCCAAGCAGGAGAACTTCCATCATAGGGATACCCTCCAGCAAGTTAATGGCGATCTATCTGACGAAAATGATGAGACGTTACGTCAGTAGGCAATCTTCACCACAACTACAACAAAATCCGACCTCTAATGCACAGTACACCAAACACGCCTTGCGTCTGCCATACTTGTCCACCAACGGGCCGACGAAATTGCCGAAGACAACAGAAGACAGGAAGCCCGTGAGGAAGAGCGCTCCCACGTTCACACCGTAGCTCTATCCAGTAACAGCACGATCCAATCAATAGAGCTCAATATGATCAGAGAACGCCTGCAATTGTCCAGCACAGTACGTACCTGGTACAGACTGTACATGTGCGTGCCCTGCAGCCAGTCGGCGAACATGACGAGACCGTAGACGACCAGATATTGTCGCTGGAAGCGCGCCAAAGCCTTGTCAGCGGTGGCTGTGGGCTGCTCTTTCACCATATTTTGGCCAGATTTGTGCGCCACCCATAGCTTCTCCACAACGTGGAGCGACAGCAGGCATACGAGCAGACCGAGGCAACACGCAGACGCCCACAGGGGCCACTGCAAGGCGCCCGAGAGCCACGTCGGCGGCAGCATCAAGACGCAAATTGATGCGCTGTACTCAGATCAATGGAATCAGAAATTGACGGAATCGCTGGGATAGCAATTTTACGGAGGACTTTCACCACAGCAGCAGTATGAGGACGACTATCAAGGCGTGCGAGCGCAACCTCGAAGCTTAACTACTCGTCGCCTCTCTTGCGTAGCAAGTGAGAGGAAGAACTATCAGCTTCATGGGCGAGAAACCTGGAGCATTAAATATATTGTATCATAGTTAACGTTGCGTTTTGTTTTCTTCGCATTGTTTGTACCCTGAAAATTATCTGCAGACCACGACTTCTAGCGCCAAGATGTACCGTATACACCCCCAGCTGCAATATCGCCGTACGTAGCGGTCGTGGGGCCATTAATGTAGTCGTGCTGAAGAAGCTTTGAAATTTAAGGATTTCTAAGAAAATAGTCTGCTCAATGTCAAAGTTTGGTATGATTGAGGGCTATACTACATACATAGAGTAAGTGTCTCCTGCGGTCACACTTTCGGTCTTGTAGCTACTGCATTTGTACTTCGTAGTTAAAACTCGTGTTGTCCTCATACCGCTCCAAACATACTAGACAGTATCTACTTTCCAGATCGCATTACCACGCAGATGTTGCGGCTGCGAAGCAGGCGCAGGAGACGCCAATGGGTAATGATAAAAAGCCTGCTACATATACTAAAACAAAACAACAACAGATATGGTCAAAATCCCCCTATCCTAGCCTTTGCGGGGTGGTGCTCCGACAATCGTTGTCGAGGCGGGTGGCTAGGTACGTATGCCGGCTGCTTGGTTTAGTGGTAGAATGTGAAATTGCACAATAGCTGAAGTCCCATGGCCATGCAAGTGCCTATCAGCGAGACCGAGGTAGACACAGCCTGCGAAGTCAACTACAACAGTCAGTCAAAACCACGTCCTCGAATTCAGCGTCGTAGTGAACCTGATAGTGGCGAATTATGCGAGCATGTTAGTTTGCCGTTGTCGCGGAAAAACAGGGGGATGGGTACGTCAGTTATTAATACCAGAAAGACAGCCAGTGACGATACCGGCCTCGATTTACAGGCTTCAGTTACCGAGGCGCGAATAAACCCGATTTGGGCTGCCTAGCCCAGTTTTACTTCGAAGTATAATGCAGCAAGACGCAACAACAGTAGTTGTTTTTTCTTCAGATGCCAAATCGAAGAACGGGCAGCTATGCGATCATTTTCTCGATTAAAAGACGGTGCCGTCACTCTTGATTTTAATCGGAGGACCACCATCGGCACGCTTCTCTTTGGCAATAACGCGTCCTGCCTTCCAACTTCCCCCTTCAAGCATCTAGCGAAAATAAAAAAAATCAGTAACGAGAGGCTTATGACACTGAATGAAATTGGCACGGCTCGATACCTTCACGAGTGGAAAGAAGTCGGCAGTAAAATTCAGGCGTTCAAGAATGACCTTGTGCAGCTCATCCAGAATCGCCACAGTCAGAGCCCGCCATTCGATGATGACTTCAGTGCTCGGATCAAACTCGTCCGTCAGGATATTCGGCGACTTCGGCACGAGCACGCCGAAGTCCACCAAGAGCCCTCCGTTGCGGTACTCAGGAAGCCCTGACAGTTGCCACAAATAAATGACTTCGCGATACCGTAACACAGGAACAATCCATGCCATCGCACCTGTCATCAGCTTGAGATCCGTGATCTTAAAGCCGGCATCCTGGAGCGGCTCCATCAGCGAGTACGTCAACCACTGGGAAAGCTTGTGGAAGCTCACAAGTTTGCCCGCCTTTTCATGCTCCGGCAAATAGCTGCGCAACAAAATAAAAAGTCACGTCAGCACTGGTCAGCATTTCACGCCATCTCTAAATCCCAGCGAACCACGTACGACAACTCCCACACGTCGCCCATGTTCTGCCCGCCAATGCGCGTTCGGCTTTCGGGCCAAATGTCCTGTAACCCGTACAGCACCACCTTCCAGAGCTGCGTAATGGACACCTCGCCGCTTGCATTCTGGTGCTTCTTCAGGTAGTCCACCACGTTCCCCGGTCGGATTGAACCGTCCTCCCCCTGAAAGAACTCCGGGTAGTTGGCAATACTCTTGCCCAGACGCTGCAAAAGAAAAGAACAATTAAAATACTGTATCATTAGTGCCTGCTGGCAGAACACACAGAACCCCTCAACTACACTACAAGCTCGCCTTCAATAGGTCCGTCCGACCAGCACACCCCACCAACGGGTTGCTATCACTCTGTTCACAGGGGGAAAAGAGTTAAGTCAGCAACTGTAAAAGTTACAGCAGCAGCAGCACCAACTCGCCACTTGGAAGGCTTTTGCAATAGCGTCGTCCGGCAGATTGGCCAGCGCTGCAGCGTCCACCCTGTGCGGGTCCTTGTCTGGCTGCGCGGAGAAGCTGCCATCCAGGAACATGTGGAAGCTGGCGATGCCCAGCCCCTCGCTGCGGCTGTAGACGTCCTCGGACCCGGGTTCCTTGAAGGTCCACGTGGGTCCAGCGCCGGCGTCCAGGAGGACGCTGACGAGCGCCAGGTCCAGCAGCCGGCGCGCCTTCTCCAGTGCATCGCAGCTCCAGGCCGCCGTCATCTGCTGCACGCGCTGCGGCTTCCCCGTCTCGAAGTGGCGCCAGCGCGAGTGGAACGGCACGTTCGCCTCGTTGGGCGTCGGGTAGGACTGGCGGATGACGCCCAGCACGTAGTCGGCCAGCGCCGGGATCTGGTCCTTGGCCACCGAGAAGTGCGGCAGCTTGTCCTGCAGCCCCAGCGCCAGCACGCGATGGCAGCCGTCGCGCACGGACGGCAGCGAGCGCAGGAACGCCACTTGCTCTTCGGGGGACGCGGCCATCGGGGAGGGAGGGAGACTGCAGGCACGCAGAGAGGGAAGGACGGCAAGTTAGAGAGTGAGGAAGGGAGGGGGGAGAAGGAGGGAGAGGGGGCGCTCACACGTTGGGAGCGTCACGCAGGGTCTTGGTACGCGCTCCTGGCTTGGCTGCTACCAACGCACCTGTTCGCATTCAACATCGATCTTGTTCGGGTTAAGTACGAAAGAGTGATTGTAGTGAGCCGCATATAGAGATTGAGTATGTGAGCACTTCAAGCCTGTGGAAGAGCATGGTCTGGAGCCATATGATGGAGGATAGGGATGTAGATGTCAGTTTGTACCACGAAATGAGGTACGATGTACCATATAGACGGTACAATTCATGCCGTGAATGGTGGCTGGCCACAACAGACTTGCACGACTGCTGGCGATCAACATGGAGGTGCTGAAGACGACGGCGATCAGCGAGAAGAAGGCGGCCAAGCTGCTGAAGAAGTTCGTGGAAAGCAAGGAGTCGGAGGAGAACGCAGACCTCGTGGTGCGTGCGGTAGCTTATTTTTTTTGCTGCGATGCGGCAATCGCCAAGAGGTTTCGAGTCAAGCAACTCGTAGTCTGACAATGTCGCTCTCTGCTGTGCTGTGCTCTGCTATAGATGAACGAGGAGGTTAAGTTCCAGTTGGCGCAGGTGCTAGCACACCTCGAAGGCAAGAAGCCGCAGATCCAGCTGCAGCAGGACGAGTACCAGTTCGGTCAGTACTAGGCCTCGATATGTAAATACAACCCCACGCGTTGACGATAGAGAGGAAGCTGAGGTCCTGTGCGTGAGTGTGTGGTCACGAGAGGGAAAAGCGAGCGGCGGAGGTGAGCTGCTGGCTGGCCTGCCTGTGCGAGTGTGCGGACTGTGAGGTCGTTGAGCCGTAGCGTTATGCAATACAGGTGCTCGGACATCGCCGTCGTCTGCCGCGCAGGCGACTACCGGTAGGCAAAGTGGCCGTCGGCGCTGATCGGCATCCGCGCCTGTCGAGAGAGCAGAGGCATTTGGTGCGAGTACAGAATGGAGAGCATCCTGATCAGGCGTGGTGCCGTCCCTGCCGAGGTTGAAGTGCCCGGGAGCAGGTGTCCCAGGGGATCGAGAGTGCTCCCACAGGCCATTGCAACGAGGACCGGATAGATGCCGATCGACGGCATGCGATGCCTCCTCTGCATGCAGGAGTCGGAGCTCCTCCGCACCGTTACGTCGGAGACCGCTGGCTGAAGTTGCGACTGAAGTTGGTTCCTGCTGAACTCGCTCATCTCCTGCATGGTATCCTGTCTTATCCCGCTGCACTCAATAGGATATCATGCAGCCCCGAGCCCAGCAGACGCGACCGAACCTTGTCCTACACGCTGGAGCGTGTTGACCATGCCGCCCTGTTAGCAACGCTCTTGGCGCGTAGGTCGTTTCGGCAGCTCCGAGTCCTGCGTTGTTTGCTTGCACCACCTCGGAACCCGACGACACGCAGCGCCTAGGAGCAGCCAGCCTGCAATTTTGGTCTGCACGCAGAGACAAGCAGTTTGGCCAAGCAGCCATGGCGCCTTCGTTACTAGTAGTGTGGCGAACTACTGTAACGGCGCCTCCGCAATGCAGCGCGGCGTCGACGGTGGCATCACCGCCGCCCAAAACCCAATCGGAGCCGATCGGAGCCTCACTTACAGACGTCCGAGCGGAACGCTGACAGCGCTACGAGCCACAAGCGCGCTCGTACACGGGGCCGGCGTGCCCGGTCCTTGCGCGGAGGACGCATTCCGGTCATGAGCGCGGGCATTACTCGACGCGGGGCTCGGCGCCGCAAGCAAACACGGAGAGGCCGTGGAACGGACGTGGTCCAGCAGGCGGCTCCTAGCCGGCGTTGCATCAAACGCAGCACGCGAATTTTTTTAGCATCTTGCTCAACCGCAACCGCGCGGCGATTGAGCGCGATGGTGGGGGGGGGGGGGGGCAGAGGAAGCCTTTATCAAGCCTTTCCGCAACGCCCACGAACTCTGCCCAGGAGGTTAACAGCTTGCCGCCAGCCGGGAGGAGTCAGGTCAGGGCTCAGGTCCGGCCGCGCGCGAGTGCAGATACAACTCCAAGAGGCGTTTCCGAACAACACTCCTACACAGTGGGACTGGCATGCACCCTTTCTATGCTCGCGCTCGGCCAGCTGCAACAGCAACAGCACGACCATGGCATCCAGTTCCTGGTCACCGCGTTCCTCACTCACTCGCGGATTTCCTCGGCAGCAGAGCAGAGCAGAGCACTCGCTCGCATTGCGACCTTCTCGCACTACAGTAGACTGCAGCTCGTCGACTGTAGTATCTCCCCCCTCTAAAATCCCTAGAGCAGACATACAGACATGCTGGACTCGCGCGGCAGCAACGAGCTGGATCTGGCGTACATGCCGTACCACGAAGGGCTGATGAACCACAACGCGCCGCCTGTGCGCGGCAGTCTGTCCGTGCGCGTGCCGCCGCCGCAGCACTCGCAGTCGATGCCCACGACCTCGTACTACGGCGACAGCGACGACGACGACGACGTGTCGGACGACCCGGCCTGGATGAACGCCCCGCGCGGCAGCCTGCAGCCGGCGCTGCCCGCTAACCTCATGAAGAAGGCGTCTAGTATCTCAGTTACCGATACGCAGGCTTCGAGCCCCGTGTCGCCCAGCACCGACGAGCTTACGTACAGTGGAGAAGAGGAGGACGACCAGGACAAGCAGCGCAAGCACAAGAAGGATGACGACGACGATGACGACGACGACGACTACTTCCCGCCTGTGCCCAAGATGCAGTCGCCGCCGCCGTCGCAGCCGCGACGCAAGAACTCCCCGCCCACTGGCGGGCGCCGCAGCCATTTCGAGGACAAGCTGAGCACGGACGTGAAGCTCCGCAAGTCCAAGAGCATGGCCAAGAACCAGGCGCCGGGCAACCCGTCCGACTCGAATCTCGTGGTAAACCTGGGTGTGCCGCGCAACTCGCGCGGCAACTCGGAGATCGGCCGCTTGTCGGTGGAGAAGAAGCCTGCCGACTTGGACTCGGATTCGGCCGACAGCAATCCTACGTCACCCGTGCAGAACAACAGCCGACCGACGACGCCCGCCACGACGGCAGTGGGCGGCAGCAACAACGGCTACCGCGACAGCATGATGCGCTACCGTCCCAGCGACCTCAAGCCGCAAGACCTCACGACGGCCATGATGGCGCGTGATAGTTTGGCCCCCGAAAATTTCGAGAGCACCCGCAGCGTCGACCTATACGCCAGCAGCCGCAGCAGCAACATGGACCAGTACGGCAGCGTACGCAGCAGCAACGCCTTCGACAGCAGCCGCAGCATTGATCCTCTAGCGAGCGGCCGCAGCACCGACCTAATGAGCGGACGCGGCTCTGTCATGCACTTCGGCCCGCGTGTGACGGAGGAGGGTCTCTCGGACTACCTCCGCGCTGTGAAGACGGGCAACCTCCAGCTGCTGCGCGCATGCCTGCAGGACCGAAACACGGACTTCACGGAGCGCGACCCGGTGCACGGCCAGTCGGCGATGCACATTGCTGTGCGCTTCGGACAGCTGCACGCGGTGCAATTGCTGTGCGGCAAGAAAACGCGGGGTCTGCTGATTGACGCCGTGGACAACCGACAAAACACGCCGCTGCACCTGGCGGCGGCCAAGTCGCGCCGGATCACCAAGTACTTGCTCGAGCACGGCGCCGACGCCTCGCGCGTGAACAACCGCAATCAGACGCCGCTGGCGGTGCACATTATCACGTCCAAGCGCGATGACCCGCTGATCGCTGAGATGCTGCTGCAACACAAGACGGACCCGAACGGCCCGCTAGGCAACAGCACGCTGCTGCACAAGGCGGTGGACCTAAAGTTTTTCGAGATTGCTAATCGTCTCGTGCGCCACGGTGCCCGTCTCGACGTGAAGGATGCCCAAGGCCGCATGGTGTTCGAGAAGGTGGAACGCAAGGTGCTTCGCCAGCTCTGCGCGAAGATCTCGTACCCGCCGGTGTGGGTCCCCAACACGGAACGCAAGGACTGCATGATCTGCCAGCGAACGTTCAGCCGTCTGGGTGTCGGCGTGCGCCGTCACCACTGTCGCCACTGCGGCCGCCTGATCTGTGGCCGCTGCTCGCACGTGTCCGTGGAGAGCGAGGCATTCCCGACCACCTTCATTGGCCACATTGACCGCAATCCGTCGGACGAGCGCTCGAACCTCAAGCGCGTGTGCAAGACGTGCAGCAGCGTATTTGATGAGCGCGCCAAGGAGGCTAAACAGGGCGGCGGCAACCGCAAGTGGTCGGACGCCTTCATGGACCGAGTCGTCGGCTGCTCCTGGGACGAAATCGAGCGCAAGGACAGCAACAACAACCTTGGTTCGCAGCGCGGATCCCTCGCGGCGTAGGGACATGTCCTCGGCACCAGAGCAAACAGGACTGCTTGAACTCGCGTGCAGGTGAGCTCTCTCTCCATCGGTGGTAGTGGAGAGAGAGCGGCCATGCAACAGATGTCACAAGCAGGCAGGCAAAATAGCAGAGGACGGCCGTCGTTCGGACGGTGGTGTGCAAATTGTATCAGTAACATGTCGTGTGAGCTTTGCGTTCCAACTGCAGTGCTGTCTTTCAACTCGACAACTCACAGGTGACGTTCACTGTAACAAGCACACTCACCTTGATGAGGTTTGTGTTCTGTACCACCTAATGTAACCCTTGTATCCAACGCGATTGTGTCACTAGACAGCAGCCAATATTCGTACTTTAAAGGAGGTGGCGCTGGCTGGCCGTCATTCCCAAAGCGGCGGAGCACCAAGAGCTCGTTCATCATGCGCTGTTGTCAGATGGTCATGGGGCCTGCGGGCACCGGCAAGGTGCGGCTATAGTCCAATATGATTCTACATTGTCTTGGGCTCCTGTGGCAGCAATTTGAGCGAAATTTGACCCACGGGTGGTGGTTTAATGGACGTTCTTCGGTTGGAATGCGCAGTCCACGTACTGCAACAACATGCACGAGTTCTGCGCGGCGTCTGGGCGCATGACGTACGTCGTGAACTTGGACCCGGCGGCGGACAACTTCGACTACCCCGTGGCCTTCGGTATGCGGCTTTTCTCGTTGAATTCGGTGCAGTGGAAGAGAAGTTGACGATGTTTTGGTGTGGCCACGTTAGACATCCGCGACCTGATCAGCGTGGAGGACGTGATGGAGGAGCTAGGCTACGGCCCTAACGGTGGTCTCATCTACTGCATGGAGTAAGTGCACTAGCACAGTTCTGGGTATTGCTGGCGATAGTAGATTCTGACGTGGATTATTGTTGGTAGGTACCTGGTTCAGAACCTCGACTGGCTGCAGGACTTGCTGAGCGAGTACAGCGACGAAGACTACTTCATCTTCGACTGCCCAGGTTGGAAGACATCGCTCGATTGGTTTGTTGATGCTCGGAGTGGTGCTGATATTTTGGGTGCTGGATACGTCTGTGCAGGCCAGATCGAGCTGTACTCGCACCTCCCAGTGATGAAGCAGCTATGCGACTCACTGAAGGACTGGGGATTCAACATTTGCTGCGTCTACTTGGTGGGTGTATTGGTTCGAACCAATGCCTGCTTGAACTGGATCCGGGATTTGACTGACGTGTGAATTGCGTTGGCGTAGATCGACTCATTATTTATCGTTGACCCGACCAAGTTCATATCCGGCGTGCTCTGCTCGTTGTCGGCAATGGTCCAGATGGAGCTTCCGCACATCAATGTGCTCACCAAGTGCGATCTGGTAGACGAGAAGGAGATGTCCAAGTACGTTTGCTTCATCCTCAGTTCCTGACTGGCCATATTATATCAACGCGTCGAAGCTTTCAGACACTGACAGTGCGTTGGTGTGCGTTGTAGGTACTTGGACCCGTCCGAGGGCTACCTCCTCGAAAACCTTGCGAACTCTACCGACCCGAAGTGGCGTCCTCTTAGCTCGGCAATCTGCAACGTGGTAAGTAGGGCTGATAGCGTTCAGCGTAAATGCATCGCGAGGGACAGGCAACTCAGTTGTGTGTGCTTCTCTGTTTGGGGATGCTCCAGATCAACGACTTTAGCATGGTGGCGTTCGTCCCGATGAACATTAACCGCGAGGAGAGCATTGAAACCGTGCTCATGCACGTGGATCACGCCATTAACTACGGCGACGACTTGGAGCCTCAGGTACGTTTTGCCGCTCCTGACGTTCCGTGGTGGTTATTTATCAATCAAATCGGTTCCTCACAAATTTTCTCTTGCTGAGTAGGAGCCCAAAAGCCAGGAGGTGGACGAGTAGATGCGCTGTTCGATTGCAACCAACACGAATTTCTTGATTTGAGCCTGTTCAGGAGCGGTTCCGGCCGTATTAGCATTACTTGCTGTGGGTTCGCTGTTATCTTCGTCGCATACATCTGGCGTGACTGTGCAGACCAAGCGTTATAGCCGACGGAAATGGATCTGATAAGGATACGGTGATTGTGTAAATTGAAATCGCAAGCGATTTTTTTCACGGGAGTGCTGAGCGCACTCGTGCATTATGCTTCACCTCGGCACCGGACAGAATGGAAGCTATACTTGGGTTGTTTAGTGCATGTCTTTCGTGGATGGCTGCGACCATGAAACGTGCCATCGCGAAGTCGTAGGGGCATGCCGCTTCAAGCTCCGTTACCACGAACTGTCCGTTCCTGGCGTCGGGGACAGGCCCCGTCGATGGCAGCAACTACTAGACCTTCGGACGTTTTGCACTAAACCACCGAGCAAAGCTCTCCATGCCACCCATCGGTGCTCGAGATGAATGCAGCCCCCCTGCCGGGTCCCCGATGGCATTCCTTTCCTCACTTCGCATTTTGCCAGTCCGACACCAACCTCTTCGCCTCCACCCCTCAAGCTCACGATGTCGTTCCTGCAATCTCTACGAGCCATCCTCCTGCTCGCAGCAATCGCCACTGCTCTAAGCACGTCAAGTGTTGCTGCCAGCGACGACGGCAATTCGGCCGCCAACAGCACCGCTGACGATGGCAACAGTACCTCGAGGCATCTGATGGCGGCAGCGACCGACTACCACACCGTCATGCTCAACGCGATAAACGCGGAACGGCTCGCTCGTGGCCTCCCCAGGCTCTGCAGGAGCAGGAAGCTCCAGGCCGCTGCGCAGATGCACTCGAACGACATGGCCAGGAGGAACTACATGGGCCACACGGGCTCGGACGGCTCTACCATCGAGAGTCGCATCGACGATGTCGGCTACTACTGGATTGACGTCGCGGAGAACGTTGCCGCCGGCCAAGCATCGGTGAGGTCCGTCATGGCGTCCTGGATGAGCTCGAGATACCACCGAGCCAACATCCTTAGCCGCAACTACAGGATGTTCGGCTGCGGCTACGCGTACCGAGCCAGCACCAAGTATGGACACTACTGGACGCAGGACTTTGCGGCGGGCGGCGGCGAGGTGTGCAGCTAAGCTTCAAATGTGTAGACCATGAGTTCATCGTCCCGACAGGGATTATACATAAAAAAAATAAACTTGACCCCTTCGCCGAGCGAGCAAGGCAGTTCTTCCTTCCTTCCCTCCACATCGAATTAGCTTTTAGTCGAATCGACAACTTCAACTTCATGACGACGAAGCTGAAGAGGGGCTGGTCTCCTATACCATACCATATATGGTACAGGCTCAGACCTCTCTTTTTTCGCGTGGTTTTTGTCGTTTTCCGAGTATTGGTTTTTTTACGCCGGCGGATGCACCGAGGACATCTGAGTCGCCTGTGCATGCACAGTGGCGTTGTAAATGAAGACGCCTTTTAGACACTCGGTAGGATAGTGCTGATGAGGAAGGCTGATACGGCGTGGACGTGTGTGCCTGTAGAGGTCTCCCGCCAGTTCTTGTGCGATTTCGCGCCAAATACTATGCCAACGCCAGTCCCCATTTCTTGCAGTTTGCCGTGGACTTGCATTTTCAACGGGACTTCCGCCATGACCGACCGGGCTTCCTCATCTCCGGTCCCAGCGAAAGACTCTACGCGCGCCCGGTATCAGCGCGTGTCGACACACGACACCGAGGCGAGCGCCTTTATCGCGCTTCCACAGCTACGTCTATAACACTATTATGGCAAGTTGAGCTCGTAAGGTAAGTTGCGAAGTGAGATTACCTAAGTACAGTGTAAGAGTTAGAGATCATCCTGACAGACATCGTTCCTACCAGCGACCTCCATGGGGCAGCAACTCCTGCGCCACCGCTCCTCCAATGGCTGCCGCTGCTGCTTGCCGGCAGCCACTCATCGTTGTTGCTGCGTGCCGCTTGCCCAGTTCTCGCTGCTGCCGCGTGCCGCTTGTCCACTGCCGTCGTTGAGTGCTGCTCTGCTGCCTCCAATGCACGCGCCGCCCTCGGTCATTCGTTGGGCTTCTGCTCCAGGAGCTCAGCGTCGAGATTGGCATCGGCACCGGTGCCTGGATTGGCACCGGGCTCGGATCCTGCCAGCGCACAGTGTCGTCTGGTGATGGCGCTCTGACCGCGCCCAACAGTCTAACGCACAACAACGGCAAGGACGGGAAAGCGAAGGTGTACTATTGTGTCGAGCACAAGAAGTGTACGCGTTTCATGCGAGTCGTCTGGTTCGAGTCGGACATTTCGGGAAAGAAGGAGTACGCGGTTGAGAAGCGTGGCCAACACTCAAGCCAGCCATCGTCCCGAACGCGGAACGGGATTCACCCCGCGTTCAAAGTTGAAGTGGATGCTTCTGTGTTAGCAGGAGGAGGGCCCAATAAGGCGAAGCGTTGCTTGCGCGGAAGTATGCGGACCAGCCCGAGCTCCTAGCGCATCTACAGTACCAACCGAGAACAAGATCAAGAACCGGAAGGCAGTCGAACTTTTCGAATGCGAAGAACTCGCCCAGCTCATCGTGGCTTCCAGACAATCAGTGCTGGATGTCACTTGCAGCGCCGAATCGAGTCAGTCCCCGGTCGTCGCTGAAGAGAGCTAACGCATAAGCGTTTGTGCTCAGCTCAAGGAGGGGATTCGGGCTCCCAATTCACAATGCATTTCATTCGTAAGCAAGGCAGGGAGCTAGATGTAGCGTTACAGTGAACTAGAACTTCAAAAAAAAATTGCTGCCTTCAGCTCCCTTCGCCGTCAGCGCGAGCTCGAAGTTCTTCTTCTCGTTCTTGGCGCAGTCATGTCCTGCTCCGCGATAGACTTATCGCAACGCTTTCGAGCGCGCTACAATTACACATATACCGCCTAAAGCAGGAGAGATGCGGGTTCGCTACCAAATACTTGAGACGCACGGCCGTGAGGAGTAGGAGCGACAGCCTGGCGTCGCTCGCTTTCACGAATTCGTTCCTGCGCCTCTAACTGCTCGTGCAAGAACGCTTTGACCCCGAAGCAACCCCGGCGAGGCGTGTCTTCCGGTGATCGTGTTGCCCTCGCGACGACGACAGGTGATACTGACGCTGATCAAATCGCTCCACGCTTGACAAACATCTGGAGGCCTCAAAAGACTCGACGATCCGCCGACGAGGTGCGAACTTAGGTTTCCCACCAAAAACCACGCGAATTCCACCCGCACCCTTCCAAATGACCGTTCACAAGGATGGATGCTCAGTGCATCGAGTGCTCTAGGCGCTCTATATCTCGCAAGTCAAGTCTCATACGTCAGGGACTTGATGCCCAACCTCTCTCGATCCACCGCCCACGCTCTCTCATTCTGCATTTGACCACCAACGTCTACAGTCTCCCACCTCCGCTCATCGTCACCATGGCATTGCCCGCTCGCCGCTCGACCGCCATCCTGCTGCTTCTTGTCGTCGCGCTGCTTGGCTGCTCGATCTCGGCAACACCTGCAGGCCAGAGGACGGCTATCGGTTCTGCTGTCGCCGAGGAGATGCCAACTACGCACCTGCATCGAAAAAGTCGGCCATTGGCTGCTCGATCTCGGCAACACCTGCAGGCCAGAGGACGGCTATCGGTTCTGCTGTCGCCGAGGAGATGCCAACTACGCACCTGCATCGAAAAAGTCGGCCATTGGCTCTGCTGTCGCCGAGGAGCTCGCCAACACCACGCCCACCCGACACCTGCAGACGTACTCGTCGACCGAGTTCCAGACGTTGATGCTCAACGCCGTCAACAAGCAGCGCACGGCCTATGGACTGTCCAAGCTGTGCATTAACAAGAAGCCGCAGACGGCGGCCCAAGGCCTCTCGAGCGACATGGCGGCCAAGAACTACATGAGCCACACTGGATCGGACGGCTCGACGATGTCGCAGCGCATCACCGCAGCTGGTTACAAGTGGACGAGAACGTCGCGGCTGGGCAGACGACGGTCGATGCGGTGATGACGGCGTGGATGGCCTCCAGCGGCCACCGAGCGAACATCCTCAGCTCCAAGTACACCATGTTCGGCTGCGGATACGCCTACAAGTCTGGTACCACCTACCTTCACTACTGGACGCAGGACTTCGCGTATGGAAGCACGGAGAGCTGCTCGTAGGCGAGAGTAGAATGACTACGCGCAGGACGCAACTTAATAACTACATGTATGAGTGGATAACGGAACGATGTGCACCACATGGAAACAGTGTGCACCACATAAGCAGTAACAGTTTAGAAAGGCACGGCAAATTTACAGAGCCTATAAATTACGCTTTTGGGAGGGTTTAAGGAGCAAAAGTATATGACATACACCGCCTTAACTGTGTAGTTTCTGGTCAAAACGATCGTAATATTAAGCTTGGCCGCGGATAGAGTCAATATAACCTACCGTTTGATATTCCCCGCCCAAACGGACCGATGTATGTGCGTGCATTGCATTTTGAGGTTGCTTGAGCGTTGTTGGTTGTGTTGTGGGGGACAACTGCAACTGCCTCGTTCGTTTCGCAACTCGAGTCCCAATCAGAATCTGCAATGCACATTTCTGGGTAGCGTATGGATGGTGTGGACCACCGACTGCCTGCCTAAAATCCGAATCCGAAACAAATCCCACCAGGAAAACTGGATTAGGAATCGGATTCGGACATTTGCCAAATCTCTCTAATAGAGAGCATCAAGAGAATCCATGTACTGTACATGTACCCTATTACCCTATTCATTTTATTGGCGCAAGAATACTCATTCTTTTGATGGGGGAAGACGGGAAGTGATGGTAAGTTTACATAAGAAAAATGTATATTTTAATCGTGACGTACGGAAGAGGCCCCATCTTGTGCTGCTTCCTTAGCAGCACCTGTACTTATGGCTGATCCAGTAATGACAGACCGTCCGCTTACACCTGTACTACTGTACGAGGGCGACAGCCACTCTACGATTTTCGCCTTGAAGAGAACCTCCTCCTGCACGTGTCTGCCATGCGTCTACAGCAAGCTTTTCTCGTGGTGGTTGCCTCGCTCTTCGCCAGCGCTGTTGTCGCTCTTTCAGCGGCCACGGAGATCGAACAAGCCAAGAGCTCCACGTTGCTTTCGAGCCAGTCGATCGTCGTACATGAGGGTGCTAAGGGGCGATCTCTGCGGGCTGTTGACACGGAAGACGAGAGCTCTGAGCTTCGGGGCTGGTGGACGAGTGCGAAGGTGAGATGGTGGCTTGAATCGGAGAAGTCAGACGACTACGTCAAGGGGGCGCTGAAGCTGAAGGGACTGGAGGGAGATGCCCTCTTAAACCACAAGAACTACAAGGCGTTCCAGTATTTCCTCAAGAAGTCGGAGGATTACAAGATCAACAAGTGGTACAGGAATGAGTACACCACGTACCAAGGCTGGCAGGAGCTGGGCCTCAATAAAAAAATCACCTTGGGGAAAGACCTGGACAAGATCAGGAACACCGACGAGTTCAAAGTGTACAAGCACTATGTCAACTACTTCGACAAATTCGTCCTTATCTCGCTGAAGGCGGGAGATAAGCCACCTAAATGGATGGTCGCTAGGGGGCCCTCGGACGCGGAGATGACGGCGAGGACGGAGATCATGGCCGAAGCAAGAAGACCCGCTAAGTACGCGAAACTGGCGTTGGGGTTGACGGAGACCACTGATAATTCGAAGTTGAAGCTGCTGACTGACAAAGCGCTCGAAGAAAGTTCGGATTTCAAGTACTTCGTGCTCTTTCTGAAGAAAAAGGAACCAGTGCTTACCGAGGAACTGAAAAAGCTCGAGGCCAGGGTACTACCAAACCAATTGCGGTCGAACAAGAGATATCAAGAGCTGCTGGAGGAAATGGGGTGGGTCAAGAAATACGTGACAGCCGCAAATGCAGGTGGTGCCCCACGAGGATAAGGAACTCCTGAAGAGAAGCGAGTTGATCAAGGCCTGCAGTTAAGAATGAGTTTTTTTTAACATCAGGATGTAGTATCTGGCAATGAAAGCAATGAATCATTGCTAACTTACTGAGTGTCTAATTATAATCGACTCAGCACGCAAAACTGCGTCAAAAGGTTGGGATAGCTGACAATGCATGCTAAGGGAAGTGGCACCGACACGAGTGTCGAAGAGCAAGTCCAGCTGCGACGAGTGTTTCGATTGCTAGCGTTCGACACTTCGCTCCAGCGGCTAAACCACAAGCTTGAGGTGAAGGCTGGCACTTGCGTTCCAGTGTTTATAGTTCTCTTGATAGTTCTCTTGACACTGACGAAGAGCGAGTTGTCATTTACGCAGAAACTATCGGAGAAGATGCAGGGGGTCAAGTCTCCAGAGGTAGTGAAAATCGAAAGAAGACTCCATACACGTCAAGAAAACTAACTTTAAAGAGCTGCGTGATACTTTAGCGCCAATCGTCGCGACGTCGATATTCGCTGATGGAGCACGATACAAAACGTGACCACTACATGAAAGAGAAGCTCAAGTATCTCGGAACGCTGCAGGATGAAGTCAACCTGGGCCGTGAACTAGTGACTTCAAAGTACCAGATCGATTCGAAGGCGTTGGTGACAATCTACGAACAGCTCGGTTACCCCATATCCGGCCAGGAGAAGAGCCGAATCGAAGAAGTGATCTGGCAGGTGAACGACGATCTGGACGGCGCCATCAGCTTCGAAGAGTTCGTGAACAGCTACGTGAGGTCACGCAACGATCGGTCAGGGCTCGAGCCGTCCGAGATCTTCTTCCTCACGTGCTTCCTCATGTTCGACAAGGACTGCTGCGGCAGGGTAAGTCCTCCGTCACATCGAATTGATACACCCGCTCTTCAGTCATGTAACCTTACTGTACCTGACCGCTTTCGTGTCAGATCTCCTTGGACGATGCGATGGGAATTTTGTAAGCAACGAGCACTCCACCATTACTACAAGATAAAATATCGCTGAAACGTTATACTTGTGTGACTGCCAGATACCTCAAGTACGGCGAGACCATGGAGCGCGAGATGGAGATCCACTTTGGCAAGCTGCTGGACGAAGGCGCCCACTTCGTCACCTTCACGGAGGTGCGACCTGATTTCGTTCTTCAAATCCTAAAGCACTAATACCATCCCAGGCCATAATAACAACTCCTCTGTCTTCTAGTTCCACGAGGCCACCAGCAAGCGTCTGGGCGAGCTTATCGACCAGCAAGCGCCCTTCGCTCGGCAGAACAAGTTCTGCAAGAAGCTCTGAGCCTTCAACTTGCTACAAGGATACAACTTCAGAAACAATCTGATAAATCACAACATATGTTTTGCCACATTTTGATGAGTGTATCAAAAGTCTCGGATGCTTGTCAATCTCATTCTGAAAGATCGATCTTCCTGCAGACGTTGATACAGTGTAGGAACATACTGCGCTGGGGGATCGCGAGCTTGTTTTTGGCCGCCAACTTGGCGGACGCGCGACTTGTTCCCTTGTCGCCGAACCTCTTTGACGAATGGCGTCAGGGGTACCACGTCCGGGACGTCGTGCGCCAACAGGAGCCGCTGGAGGACCAGATCGCCCGCTTCACGCGGGAGGGGGAGTTTTCCCAGGCTGGACGCACGTTGGAGCAGAAGATCAACGAAGCCAACGAGTTTCTGGATCGAGAGCTGGCAATCGAGGAGCAACGAGGAGTTGGGGATGAGCGGCGCCATTGTGTACCAAGACGAGGTGATGCTGAGCAAGGGATACGGCCTTAGCAAGGTGAGAGTACAGCAGATACTAGGCAGGCGTCATGAGTCGACTATCTCACATCGCAGTTGTGTTGTACTTGTAGTCTGATGATCCTAGCAGCAAGGTCACGCGCAGGACGCTATTCCAGATCGGGTCCGTGTCCAAGACCTTCATCAGCTTCGGCATCGCCATTATGGTGAGGAGATGGTAAAATACTAGTAAGTGGTTTAGCGGCGTGGACGTCTAACGTTTTCGTGATTAACGCAGGTTGAGGAGGGGAAGCTGTCGTGGGAGGACCCGGTGAAGAGACACCTCCCGTCGTTCAAGCTCTTCGACAAGTACGCCGAGGAGTACGTCACCATTAGCGATCTGTGTGCTATGAACTCTGGATTGAACGATCTCCCGGACGTTGGACGGTTTTTCGGAGTTTATCCGACCGACGAGGACCTGGTGGCAGGTCTGGCTGGTATCGAGCCTGCACATTCTCTTCGTGGCGGTCACGACTACGCCAACTCAAATTTCGCCATCCTTGGCCAGGTGATCCAGAGCGTGAGTGGCCAGCCATGGGATGATTACCTGAAGGAACGTATTTGGGACCCGCTCGGGATGACGCGTACGTTCGCCTCGGCTTTTGATGCAAAGGGTGATAACGATACAAGCTTTGGACACTTTGAATGCGGTGGGGATCTATTGGGACCCTACGATCTCGTCGAAGCCCCCGAAGCTCAGCTGGCTGGACACGGCCAGGGTCACAAAATCGCGTCTGGGTCCACGCTTTCGAGCTCTGATGACCTAGCGACGCTGCTCCGACTGATCTTAAACAAAGGAACCTTGGACAGAGTCTCCATTTTGAAGGACCCAGCCACGGTGACGAACATGATTACGGGCAAGAACGCAGTGAACAAGGAGTTCATGGACGAATTTTTGATCGAGGGTCACCAGTACAATCCGGACGGCAATACGCTCGCTTCTGGTTATGGCTTCGACTACGTAGGCCATGGCCAGTGGGGTCACGCGTACGTGGACAAAAGCGGCGACACTGCTGTACACGTCACGCGGACGGGAATTGCTCCCGACGTGCAGCTTGGTGTGATGAGCAACACACAGGCACCGGATGGACACCTGTCGTACCCGCTTGACCACATCCGTTCGTACGTTATGGGGGTCTTCCTCGACGTCCCGAAGGACATTTTGGACTTCTCGTATCGCCAATGGCGCGAGAACGATAAGCTGGTGCCTATCATGGAAGGGGTTCCAGCTTGCGGGCTCCGCTTTTGGAAGAATCCACCGTTCCGCTCTCTTAGTTCCGTGGCAAGATCGGCGATGATTGGGAAGTATGCGGCTCAATCGTCCACCAAATACTTCGGATCGCTTGTAGTACGTGAGGAAAATGGGGAATTGGTACTGGAATATGGTGCCTTGTCAGCCCCGTTGAAGTACTACATGGACAAGGAGAACCAGCGTGTCTTCATCTGGGATTACAAAGCTTTTCCTTTGTTGATCAAGTCGACGGAGAGGGAGGGAAAGTTTGACCTCCCAGTATTTGGCGTCGTATTCCGCCACGTATAGATCCACTGATAACCGATCATGTGTAAACAACACCCTTGTCATTTAGTGCGATTTATGAAGCCTTGTGTGCGAGTTTATCGATCAAGAAATCTAGCTTCTTCTCCAGCAAGTCCAAGCGAACAGCCAGCTCTGGACTCCCTGCGTTGCTATCAGCAAGGGAATCACGAATATCTTGCACCGGCGACCTTTGTGTGATTCCCGTTAGCGCTATACTGCGCTGACTGGCCATGTCGGTCTCTTCCGAGTCTGGACAGCAGTCCTTCCTGGTGCTCTTGGTGCCGAGATGCTTGATCGTGGCCTCGCACTCCTTAAGCGTAGCGTCGGGAAAAGTCGTCTTGAGGAGTGTCGACGTGAGCTTTGTCTCGGGTGACCATTCCAACGGCATGGCGGCTAGTCTATCAGTGAGCGCGTCTTGCAGCACGCGCGACCGAATCCTCCCCCAAAACACGACGGAAGATCGACGACTGCGATTCTGGCCGAAGCAAAACACTAGGACGTGATGTATCGGCGCCAACCCGTGGCGAAGCACATGAACCAGCACGCGACGAAACACCCAGCACTTGCTCTTGTCCTTCTTGACTTTTTCCTCCTTGTAGGCGTCAACTACGATGGCCAGCACGATGTTCAGCAGCACGAACGTCATGAGCGTCATGTAGCTCCAGTAGAAGGCGACTGAGTAGTTGATTTCTTCAATGGTGCTGATCTCGAAGTTGTTGAACAGCATGTTGACGCAGGTTTTGGTGGAGCTGAGCATCGAGGAGAACTCGTCCACACTGCTGCCGAACAAGACCGTGCCACTCGAAGCAAACGCGATGAAAATCACAGCGAAGATAACCGAAAAAGCCCGGAATGAGCGCACTGCACTCGCCATAGTGCGCGTGAGGATGCTTAGTCCAAAGTGATCTCGAAACGTGTTTAGGACGCGTAGCCCGAGGATGAAAACCGCCGCTGTGGCAAGAAGACGAAGCAGGACCGTGAGGTTCGCGATGTGCTCGAACGACTCGGTGACTGACGACAGCGTTGCCTCGACGTCGTTCTGACTCTGGTTGGGGTCTCGAAGGATTGAGAGCTTGCCACGGAAGGAAGAATTCGTCATCGACATTTGCGTGATGAGTACCGTGATGTAGAACGCGTACACTATAGGCCCCCACAGTGCATCAATGGCGAACCATCCGTCCGGGAACGCCCAGAAACGTATGGCCATTGCCGCTTGCCTCAAGAGTTCATTAAGGTGGCGACTAGATGATTCCCGACTCATATTCTTATAGCGCACCACCACCGAAATCAATGCGGCGACTAGCATCCAAGGGAAGAACCAGAGGATAACGAGAACGTCAAGCGCGACGGTGGTCGAACTCGGGAATTGGTCCAGCAGTGTCGATGTCGCTGAGTAGCTCGGTATGATAAAGCCGCCAGGGTTAAATTCCAGAAGCAATTTCGTGACGGCGTAGCCCGGTAGCTGGCCGTTGAGCGTGATGACAGTGATGAGCAGTTGCTGTGTCGACAGGTTGAGCCAGTCCCCACTCGCCTTCTTCTTTGCCAGCACAGCTCTCGCTCTCGTTGCATTCGTGTCGAAAGTGATGAGGAGATCTTCAGTCGTCGTGCTGGATTCGTCGTAGCAGGTCGGGTATAACTTCATGAGGAAGTCCGGTGTATCGCACACGTCGGGCTCCATTTGTGATACCTGAAAGCTCACGGCACCGAGCACCTTGTTGAGCGAACCAATACTTCCCCACTCATCTTCAGGCAGCGCTTCACCGTTGTAGTCCTCCGTGACGAAGACTTGCGGGACGAACGTGTCGTTCAGCCAGTCGAAGACGTCCGAGATGGTCTCGATGTTGGAGAACTGGACTGGGCCATCGGAAAGTCGCCCCGACGTCGACGACATTGCGTGGCTCTGGTAGTACATGTTGGTGGTCGGGATATGCAGGAACATGGCGGCGACGAAGATGCCGAAGGACAGCATGGCGACGATGATTTCTTTGATGTCGGTGGCGTGTTTTTCATCGTTCCCGAGTCGCTTCAGAGCTGTCCGGACGGGGATTGATGAGCCGCTGCAAGACTTGGGGCTGGCGATGTTGGTTGGATACTCGTTGTAGCTACGAACGCTGTCGTACGGGTCGGGCGAGAGGATTAGATGCATGTCTGTCGATAGCAGCGCCATTGCTGAAGTGGCCGCAGACTTTGCCTAGTTGTCCTTCTTCAACAATTCCCAAAGCTGTTGGGCGCAAGCATGGCAGAGGGTCATATTGAAATACATGTGCGGGAGAATAAGGTGGACGCTATGTGCGCTACGGACGGACAGGACACTAACTTGTGGGTTGGATGCGATTGACATGCAGATGCTAGCACCACCTGCAGCGCGTACAAATTTGGATTACGTTGAAGCTGAAAGCAAGAAGATCTCTGCATTCACTTTCATTCGCAGCTCACGTTACCCCCCCCCCCCCCCAACGCCGTACAACGCCGTCGATTGACTGCCGAGCGACCGTCCGTCAGACTGACCGACGCGCGACCGACTAGCACTGTGAGCGCTGTACGACGAGGTGTCGGCGGGTGTCCACGCTGAAGAAATTTGGTAGTATATTCACCAGTGCGCTGCTTACACATGGAAGCGAGCGATTCATTAAGCGTTTGAAGGCGACACCAGGCAGCACCCCGCTGTCGAGAGCTTCGATAGGGACGGTGTTACACGTCCCGAATTTTTCTGTTCGTGGTCGTCATGGATGCGCTGAAGGGCTATTAGTACAGTAGCAAGTACAATGTATGCATTGGACGAATCGTTGTAACGCCGTGATCAACCTGCACAGATATAATGCAGTTGAGGCAATCGCTGCAAGCAATGCCGCTCCAGCAATGGTAAAGTTCTGGGCACTGCAAGTCGTGGCTCGAAGTGTCCGTGGATTTTCGGTGTGCTGCGTTCGCCTCGTGCTTCAGAAATGCAGACACGATTGACGATTCCATTCGGATACTTTTGGTCGCCGCTCCAACGGCCTCTCCTCTATAACGCTCACCAAGCTTTGCTCAGTTGCACCCAACCTCTCTGTGCATGGCGGTGGTCGGACCACTGGTCCTGTCCCAAGCTCCGGTCCGAGTTGATTCCAATCGAGCCCACGCCATTCCATTCGTCTTTTGGCCACCAACGTCCACAGTTGGCACTTTGGTCCTCACACCCGCTCGAAATCGCAGCCATGTCAATCCGCTCTCCAGCTCTTCTGCTCGTCCTGGTCGTGACACTGCTCGGATACTCGACAAGCGTCGCTACCGGTATCATTCCGACGCCTATCATCGGAGACGCCCTCTTCGAGGACATCACGACACCGGCGCCGATCATCGGTGAGGCCCTGTTCGAGGACAACTCCAACCTCACCGACCCCAACATCACTCGGCACCTGCAGGCGGCGTACCCGCCCAACGGCTTCCAGACTGAAATGCTCAACGCTGTCAACAAGGAGCGCACCTCCAGGGGATTGAACGCGCTGTGCATGAACAAGAAGCTGGAGAATGCCGCCCAGGGCCACTCGAACGACATGGCCGCCCACAACTACATGAGCCACAAGGGCTCGGATGGCTCGACGATGTCGCAGCGCATCAAGGCTGCGGGCTACAAGCGCACCGCCTGTGGAGAGAACGTCGCGGCTGGACACACCTCCGTGGAGCAAGTGATGGCGGCGTGGATGGCCTCGAAGCACCACCGCGACAACATTCTGCGCCCCAAGTTCACCATGTTCGGCTGTGGATACGCGTACAATGAAGACTCTACGTACCAACACTACTGGACGCAGAACTTCGGAGCCAGCAAGGTCGAGCAGTGCTCGTGAGTGAGAGGCAACGGTGGCAGAACGGGTAAGCAGCAGCAACAGCCCGTACATCAACTATCAGAGAGATACGTACAAACAATGCTTCTGAAATGAATCAAAATACCACTAAGTCGGTCTGTTTAGCTACATGTATGTTTTTGGTCTGTTCAATACTTGGAGAAGCCGCAGAAGCTGCCGCATAGCCGACAAATGATCTTCGTCCCGGAGGCTGCAGAGCTGGTTGTGTCCTCCTCTTCCTCCTCCTCGCCTTGCACCTCTGAGTCCAATAAATAAAAGGGCGACGTGCCGCTGGACAAGTCGATTTCGGATGCTGACGCCCCACAGCCCATGCACTTCCATATTTCCATGGCGGAAATGCAGCGGAACGAGAGGAAGCACCTCTCGAGGGTGTGGCCAGACTCGCACACGATCTCCAGCTCTCCAAACGGAACGCTCTTCTCGCAAATGAAGCACGTCTCGCGAGGTGGTGGCACACGTGCTGTTGATGGAGAGGCGGACTCGTCAGCAGTCTCGATTTCACTGCTTGCAGTAGCTTTTGCTTTCACGTACGCGATCCACGCAGCGACTTGTTCGGGTGGGTCCAGTTGGTCGTAGATGTGCGTAATGAGAGCTTCACTTCGGGCTGCAAGAGGTTCTTGAACGCTGAGGAAGTCGGCCATCACTAGCGCACTCGTCTTCTCAGATGAGGAGCTCTCAAGGAACTCGCGAAGAGCTTGCCCGGCCTTCTTAGATGCTGCCATCAGCGCCGCCAGACAGCGCTCAGCCCAGTATACACCCAGTGTACGACGAATTTTCGCGAGCGCTGCGTTTTGTGCTGCTACTTGATGATCAGCAGGCGTGATCGCACTACGTAGCAGCATTGACGCCTGCAGGTAAAGCGGAATGGAAGGCCTAGCATCGCTTTCTGCAGCATCGGAGGTGGGTGAAGCCTCGTAGTAGCGCTTTTCGAGTTCCTCGCAGAGATACAGATACGCCGGTCGACGTGTAAGCACTTCACTGTCGCTCGCCTCACCACCGATGGAGGTCTTGATCTTGTTCAACAAGCCGGGGATCACCAGCTCCGTGGACCCATTCATCGACGTGACCGCGGCGTTGTCGTTATAGCAGAACCACACGACATCCATGAAGCTGCTCACCGACTGACTCTCGTTCAGAATACGGCACACGACGTCCACGAACTGGCCCGGGTTTTTCACCCACGGCGACGGAATGTACTCGAGCGAGCTCGACACGCGACTGTATGATACATCGGCTTGTGACTTGCGGTTGGGTCGAGACGCCGGAGGGATGATGAACACACAGGCCAACTGCGCGGAGCTAGACGACATCGCAAGCCCAAACACTGGGTACTTACTGGCATTGGATGAAGCAGTAGCTGTGCCATCGGAGTCGCCGTCCGCTGAGCTACTCGGGGCTGCGTCGCTAGAATATAATTCTTTGCCCGTGGACTTCTCCCACGCTTTGATCGTGCCGTCTACAGCAGCAGAAAAGACCATGTCCCCGAAAAAATTCAAGTCGATGCCCGTCACATTGCCGTCATGCGCCTTCCACTTGGCGTTCGGCTTTGCCTGCTTCTTCTTCTTCAGGTTCCAGACCGAGATCGTCGAGCCCGACGCAACCACCAAATCGTTCGTGGGGCTGTTCGAGTACGCCCAGCGACTGCCCATACAGAGCCCAAACACTGGCTGAGAGCTCGGCGTCACAATAACGCGGTCCACTGCCAGCTCCAGCGGCGTATCGTCCACTGCGCGTGTTCTTACAGGGACACTTGCGATCAACACGTTTCCTTCCGACGTCCCCAATGCCAGCCCAAGCTTCTCCTGCGCACTGTGTCGGTGCATCTGCTGCCACGTGCTGGTGGACACCCAGCCATACTTTTCCGTATCAATCCACGCAACCGGAGCCGCCGACAGCAGCGGCAGAACCTGTTGTCCCCCGATGAAAGACGGATACGCGTAGGCCCAAATGGTGCAGATTTTGCGTCCGGACAGCGCGATAAGCGACGTTGTGTTCTGCTTATCCATCGTCAGCATAAACGGCGACCAGGCCACACTCAGCGTCGACATCATGGCGCATCTGTGAGTGTACTCGGCCACGGAGTTCAAGGCGGCGTGTCCTGCCTCCGGGTCCAGCTTCCTCTTCTTGTTCTTGCCGGACTTGTCCCCCCTCGGTGCAGCCATCGCCACACTGGGCGGCAGGTGGTTGAGCCTCTCGTCGTGGGTCGGCCCCAACCGGAAGCTCTTCCGCTCCAAGAACTTGAACAGGTCCTCGGAAAACACCGCGACCTCCTTCCAGTTCATGTGGAAGCTGGGAGGGAAGTGCAGACTGACTCGGGACGAGGCTGTGAGCGCCAATAGGGCGCAGGCGTTACTCGGCGCAGAGCCCCGAGGCCCCCACACTGCAGCCACGAAGGCGGCGCCCGTGTTCTTGGACAGCGACAGCTCCTTGGGGTTGTGTTGGTGGCGGTCGGCCTCGTTGAGCAGGAAGTACGTGGTGCTGGCCCGCGGCAGCCCCGCGTCCAGCGCCTCCATGTTGGGCGGGACGGCCACGGGGATGTGCTCGTTGGGCGTGCGCTCCGGCAGGAACACGAAGTCCTTGGACACGGCGGGGCCCTCGGGCTGGAACATCTCGAGCTCGCGACTGCGGAACGTGGCGACCAGGATGCTCGAGTCCGACACGACGGCCAGACGCCCGTCCTCGGACCACGTCACGCCGCCCGGCACCAGTGGACTGCCGGGGATGCGCTCGCGCGAGTCGACATCGGTCGGCAGCAGCGCGGGCGCGGGTGCCGAGGCGACGTCCACTTCTTGATCGGTGGTCATGGTTTTGTGTCGGCTTTTGGGCTTTTTGTTGACACGGATACCTATTTTGGTCGAAAATTTCAGGTTTGAGAGGGTGTCCATGTGGACAATGGAGGACCCGCGTGGGTTACTGTGGGTAGTGTGGTTGTCATGCTACCCTTGTATGGTTCTCTATTCAAGTTGGTTAAATATCTCGTCGCCCTCGTCTTCATCGTCGCTTTCGCTGCCGCTGACGGAATTGGCGTCGTCCGCTGCCGAGGAGTTGAGTTGCTCGTCTTTGGCAGCGTTGTTCCTGCTGCGATCGCGCTGGCTACGCTTCGAGTTGCGGCCTTCCTTCTTCGTTTCCTCCTCCTCCTCGTCAATGTCGCTGTCATTGTCACCTGTGGCGGTGGAGTTCGCTGGCTTCGACTCAGCGTCGCTTTCGACGGATTCGGATTTCACAGTAGCATCATCGTCGCTATCGCTGTCGACCTGGAAGACCTTCCGCTCCTGGACACTGCCAGATTCCGAAGACTTCATCTCCTCGTCTTCGTCGCCCACTTTGAAGATCTTGTCTTCGATGACAGAGTCGTCTTCATACTCTTCCGCGTCCCACCCGTCACTCAGCTCTTCACACATTTCCTTGTCGCGCTTGGTGTCGATCAGAACAAACTCCGGCTCCGCCGTCACTTGGTCGTTAAGACTAAACGGGTGCAGGTACCGCGCGTCTTCACGCTCAGTAGATGTCTGTCCACATTAGAGCACAAACAGACTGCGGTAAGCAGCATGCACTTTTTCCTCTAAACCACAGCAAGCCAACGTACCAGCCAGTTCCTGCCGCGTTCAACCGCCGGGAACCCGTCACGAAATCTGCGGCTCGAAGCTGGAAACTTGAAGGCCGCGTAGTAGTGCTCCATGGCCTCGTGATACTGCCGATCCAGCTCGGTCTGTCCGATGCGCAGCACCTTGTCGTAGCCATCCATGAATAGGTGCATAAGGAAACTCAAGCCTTTGATGTTCTTTTGATAACGGAACAGCCTCATCTCCAAGGTACTGGCCTCTTCGTGCATTTCATCCATTGACTTCCATGGCGTGGGCGGACGACTCGGACACATGTACTGCTGCCCGAGGTACACGGTCGGAGGCGGAGGCGCGAGCTTGCCGCGTTGCTGATGGTACAACTCAGCCACAATGCGATGGTCGCGGGGCATCACTTTGCCGTGCACCTCCAGCTGGTGCTCGAAGAGCTCCGTGAAGCTCTCGAACGGAATCCTGCACAAGTAGTGGAAGCAGCTGTACGGCTGCAGGCCCGTGGTGCTGGAGCCATAGCGACGCACCGCCCTGCAGCTCACGTCGTTGCAGACCTTGTTCGTGTTTTGCTTGACCAGGAACTCCTCGTCCATCCCCTGGAGCTTGGGGGCCTCCTCCATCGGCGCCTTGTCGTTGATGGGCAGCCCCATCATGGACTTGCGCCGCTTATTCTTACGCAGACGCTTCACAGTGCGGTGCACTTCCTCCTCGAAGCCGCCGAGCACCAGCACCAGGTGGTTGTTGCGGCGCCACGTCGCGCGAAACCTCTTGTTCTGCAGGCGGCGACCTTGCACGTTCTTGCGGCGCATGAACGGGATGCGCGAGTGCACGGGCACGTCCAGCGGGCTCACGGTGCCCGCCGCGAGGTCCTCGGCAGGAGGCATGGGCATGCCATTGCGCGGCTTGTACGAGCGCGCCTCCGACACCTTCCTCCGTCTCTTCATCTTCCTGGGCCCCATGGATGGAGCAGAATGGCTCCAGTTCAATTATGGCGGCGGTTCGTCTGCGACGTGTGCCAACGATTTTGGTGGCTGGGGATTGGAGGAAAGACGTTTTGACCAATCAAACAGCACTTCTATTCAGGAAAAAGGCAACTTCACTTTGTCTGCGTCTGTTGCTTGCTGTCCGCCTTGTTCTTGTTGGCTGCAGCCTCTTCTTCCTGCATTTCCTTCCGCAGCTCGTCCATGCGGGCGACAATGCGCCGCTCGATTTCCTCCTCCGAGATCTTGATGCTTTTCGGCAGCAGAGAAGGGAACACCAGCTCGCGAGGAGGACCCTGGCTCTCCACGAGCGCAGCAGTTGTCGGGTGGTACACAGCAGGAGCCTCGCCGTACTTGGCCTCGTAGCGCTGTACGCCCTTGGATAGACGCCACTTGTGGAACTCCTCGCGGCCGAAAATCACGGCGGCACCCACTGCCGCGCCAGCCGCTGCACCCTGAAGACCGCGGAGCCGACCGCCTAATGAACAAAGTAACAAACACATACACTCGTATTAGTCGCTACAGCGCAATTTATCAAGCCGACCATGACGCTGCAAAGTATCACACGGGTGTACAGCACCGACGAGCTGCTTGTATGCATCCAGAACTCACCGACAAGCCCGGCGTAGAATCCGCCCGTGATAGTGCCAGCAGCAGCGCCCGTGATCCAGTCCTTCTTGTCGTCCCTCTTGTCCGCGATCACCTCCTCAAAAGCTGCAATGCGTCACAGGAAACAAGCCGAAGATCGCCAATCAATCAAACAATGCGATCTTCCAGCAGCCAAAGCGACCACCATCTGCTCTCACCGATATACGTCGACGACAGCAGGAAGAAGTTGGAGCCCATCGACGCCGCGTAGAACTTGATGCTCTCATTGCGCAGCGCCGCCAGCACCGCGCCCATGGTCGCCCCCGTGGCTCCGGCCATGCTGGCGCCTACCAGCATGTGCTTGACGGCTCCCTTGGCCTTGTCTGCACGCAATGAAAGCACATAAAACCCCGTCAGCCTTCTCTCCACACTTAACACCACCAATATCCAGGCGAAAGCACCTACCCAGCGTCTCCTCCATCTCCGGGTTGCGCTCGAACATGGTGCCCAAGTTCCCAGCCTCTCGTCTGCTGACAAGAAGAAGAGCTCACCAAAACTTACTGTGGTGTGCCGTTCGTGTGGCACGCCCCGTCATTCGCCCGACCCCTTTCATCCAATCACGAGCCTCCACCTCGCACTTAAGCGTAACATACCCCCACCGCCAGTCAAATACCGTTGCCGCCCCGCCGCAGCGTTAGTCCCAGTCACTTGCGAACTAGCATCCCCCCCAAGACTCCAGCAAGATGCCCCGTCAGCTTTTGGCTACCCGCTACGTGCAGATCCCCGAGGACGTCAAGGTCGTCCTTGACGGCCGCAAGGTCACCGTGTCCGGCAAGCGCGGCGAGCTGACCCGCGACTTCCGTCACCTGACGCTCGACATGCGCCGCGTCAACAAGGAGCAGATCCGCGTGGACCTGTGGTTCGGCAACCGCAAGCAGCTCGCCTGCGTGCGCACCGTCTGCTCGCTGATCGAGAACATGATCACGGGCGTGCGTGTGGGGTACCTGTACAAGATGCGTTTCGTGTACGCCCACTTCCCTATCAACGTGACGTTCGAGAACAACACGGTGGAGATCCGCAACTTCCTGGGTGAGAAGCGCGTGCGTCGTGTTGCTCTGTCCGAGGGCGTGTCGTACGTGCGCACGGGCGACGTCAAGGACCAGATCGAGCTGAGCGGCATTGACCTCCAGAAGGTGTCGCAGGACGCCGCCAACATCACGCAGGCCTGCCTGGTGCGCCGCAAGGATATCCGTAAGTTCCTTGACGGTATCTACGTGTCTGAGAAGACCAACATCGAGATCGAGGAGGACTAAGCGCCTCTCATCCACGCCGTTCGTTCAAGAAGCACTCTTGTCATGGGGTTAAACCGCTGCTAGGAGAGAGTTCGTAACCGGATCTGAATAGAACCGACCGTGCTCCATTGCCGTCACTGGGTTGATTGCAGCGAGTTTGCTGCTTTCTTCTGTCCGGGCGGATTTTGTGTTGCGCAATGCAGAGGTGTACTGCAGGCGAGTTGGCTGTGGTGTGCTTGGGTTGTCCAGCACGCCGCAAGCATCTCGCCTGCTCCTTTGGCTCGCGGCTAGCATGAAATCCTCCTTTTCCTTCATTTCCTTGTCTTGTTCTGGAGCTGCGTGGAAGTAGTGGCATCTGCAATGCATGGACAAGCTCATGTCATTGACAGATCGGTTTGTTGAGTTCACGTCAATTTCATGACTAAAGTCATTGATGTCGAAGTTGTGGCAGGGTCAATGCCATCGTTGTCGTGGATGGAAACCATGTCGAAGGTGCTGCAGTCTGCAACATGCAACTTGCAAAACGTACAGCAAGGTGGCGACAACGTCAACTTGGCATGATTGAAGTGCATTGGGCCGGCTGCTACGTTTATGGGTATCCTCAACTCTATTTGCCATCACTGCACTGCCACTTCAAGCTTCATTCGCGCGGTGGCCCACTGATCGCTCAAAACAAGTCAAAAGGGTTGGCTGAAGAAGCTGACGGCTGCGATGGAGCAGGCGCACTAGCAAAGTCTCCGAACCTGCGAGACATCAGGAAGATATGTAGACAGTCAGCAGGGTAGCTCGAAACACACAGCCAACGAGGCATTTGCAACAGGACTCACGCGTTCGGGTCAGCAAACGGAGCGGCGTTCTGTGGAGGATGCGAAAACGAGTTCGACGCTCGAGGTTGCGGCCTAATTGAAAAGAGCACCGAGGTGTCAGTACATGCACTTCATCAGACTCCTCGTTGAGACCGCGGCGTGGGGCACTTACTGGCCGTAGGCGAATGATCCAGCAGGCACTGGTGCCGTCGGAACGCTCCCGAACGAATTACTTGCGCCCGATCGGTTTGCAGGTGCCGAGCCGACAACTCCTCCCGAGCCCGTGCGTGCTGCAGTAGTGTTGCTGTAACTCGAGCCACCGAATCCCAGGTTGCCAAGGTTGAGCGAGGCGAAAGGATCGTTGATCGAAGCCGCTGATGCAGGAGTCTGCGCAGTATCCAGGATAACATCCGTCAAGCAATCGTTTTCACGAAGAATTAACTCCGATACATGTACTTACCTTCACTGGAATCGGGGCAGGAGGGGCAGCACCGCCAGCCGGACGAGGAGGAAACTGACCAGGATACTGCTGTCCTGGCGGGTGCATCGGCTGCTGCTGTCCGGGAAATCCTTGCTGCTGACCATACCATTGTTGCTGCTGAGCGTGGGGAGGCTGCCCTTGCTGGAATTGCTGCATTCGCTGCTGTTGCTGCATGTGACCGCCAATCGCATTCTGAGGCTGTTGTTGCTGCGGGAAGCCACCAGGAAAGCCGCCAAATGCCTGGTTAGGCGCACCAACCGGTTGCTGCTGCTGCTGTGGGTGAGCCCCCGGGAATCCATTGCCACTGCTCGCCCCACTTGCAAAACCAAACGGGTCACTCGTTGTCGCTTGATTACTCGAGTTGCTGTTGCCGGCGAAACCTGGAGCCCCGAAGTCGGGTGTAGGAGCCGTGTTACCGGGCGTGGGCGCGTTCGACTGCATCCCATCGAAAGCTGCAAATGGGTCCGCGGCAGCGGCAGGGGCAGCAGGCTTCTCGGGTTTGCTGGCAAAAGGATCCAGTCCAGCGTTGGCCGAGTTTGTTCGTGACGAGCTGTTCGATCCCGTAAAATCTCCGAAAGCGTCTCCACCGCCACCAAAGGCATCAAACACGTTGCTACCTGCGGTAGAAGCCGGAGCAGCAAAAGCATCAAACGCTGGTGACGAAGACGCTGACGGGGAGCCAAACGCATCGAATGGTGAAGCATTCAGTATGACCGGCGCAGCTGGAGGCGCGGCCGGGGCTGCAGCAGACATGTCACTGAACGGGTCGAGAGATGCAGCCGAGTTGGCACGACTACCGGCGCGACTCGTAGGTGTGGGGGCGTCGAAGGCGTCAAAAGGAGAAGAAGCTGCGGGGCTCGGGCGGCTGGCTTCGGGGACTGGAGCAGGAGCGGGGGCATCAAAGCCAAAAAGATCATCGGTCTTTTTCGGCGGGCTCAACCCCATGAGATCATTGGTGGCGGGCGGAGTACTAACGCTTGATGAAGAAAAGTTGGATCCTGGTGGCGGTGCAATCTTGAACGATCCAAACTTTGGTGCGGGCGGAGGCGGTGGGGTCACTTTGGGGGCTGGCTTCGACGCTGCACTTGCAGTACTGCTGGAACCTTCGAAGTCGCCAAAATCCGCGAAGCCGTCGCCAGCCTTCTTTGAAGCAGCTGGAGCATCGAAGTTGCTGAAGTCTCCAAATGATTGCACAGCAGCAGCCGTCCTCGAACTTCCCTCAAAGTTGGAAAAGTCTGCGAATCCGCTGTCGGCGCTGCTACTGGTCGCCTTTGCTGATTTCTTGCTAGAAGTAAAGAAATTGTCGTCGCTGCCAGTCGTCTTCTTCTCTTTCTTTTTGCTGCTTTTCTGGACGGAGCGAATGTGCGCGAACGTAATTAAAGTTAGACCACTTATCCAACACCAACAACAGTGTCAATGACTAACCGATTCTTCATCCTTGGCATGGCGCGGTGACCCATAAACCCACCTAATATTCACCAGAAAAATATTGTGTGAGCTAATTGTGGACATGACCCTGCATCAATTCCCCGTATTGCCTGCCGTCGTACTTTCGATCAATGTACGTCAAACGAATAAAGTTCCGCGTGCGCTCGCCGTCAGTGCCTCCGTTCGGACGGAAGCTCGGGTCGTGCTTCGCTCGCCAGTACTTCTGCGCCGCCTGCTCATAACAACCCATTAGAACACAGCCCAATCGCCTCACCAACAGAGCAACAACCACCCAACCCACCTCGTTGCCGCCGTGGCCGACCATGTTCTTGACCTCGCTCTCCGTGAACTTGGACATGGAGATGGACTTGACACGGTGCGCGAACTCGCGGCTGCAACACCACAGCACCGTCACGAAACACCGTCAGCACATAAGAACGCCAATGCAGTGGATTGCAGAGCAGCCACTCACTGGATGCCGCTGCAGGCGGTGCAGACGAAGGTGTTGAAGTCCAGACAGACGTATTGGGGCATCTGTCCGTGCCACAAAGAAGTCTACAGCGTCAGCAACCACCAGCACACGCACACACAGAGACACAGAGAGATAGAGAGAGCAGCAGCTGCCCGCCAAGCTCCACGTCCCCGAAATGGAGCTGATCGCTCCGCCCGCTACGGTTGCGCACCATTTCGTTGCAGTCGAAGCAGCGCTTGTTGGCGGGGTTGCTGCGCTGGAAGTCGCGCAGCTCCTGGGTGAGCCGCTCCTCCAGGCGCTTCTCGGTGGGCGACGACTTGGCCATGGCGGGTGCTGGGGGCGTGAGGCGCAGGGAAGGAAGCACGCGACGAGCGCAGGGGGTCGCTGGCCGCGCTAAGTTCCAGAAACGGTGTCGACACGCGCAATGGGATAGTTTTGTGTTGTGCACACAAAATCATCGTGCTGCTTGGATTTTTCACAAATTTATCCATCGGATTTTTAAAATCTGCCAAGCCCCAATTAGGGTTGCCAAACCCCACAATTAGGGTACATTAGTCAATGCCGGCAGCAATTAGGGGTTTTAATTGATCGACAAGCGATGGAGGAGCTATAAGACTGCGGCTTGTACCACGAAGGAGCTGTGTTCGCCGTAGAAATCTCATGCAATGCAACAGTGATAGAACTGCAAAGGGCAATCTTCGAGAAGCGGAGATACCGCGAGCGATCCCTGTTCGCTCCAGGCAACTTGAGGCTCCGCTTGGCGTAGTGTGTGCAGATCCACTGTTTCCTCGGCGAGGTACACAGTAACAGTAACATTGGTACCGCTTGGTTCACCATGGTCACAGTTACCTACTACCCCCTATATTTAATAGACTTGGAATGTCGCGCTATAGCTCTCCACGTCGGCTTCACTAATCCTACACCCGCCTTCATCATCAGTCTACCCCACTCCCTCGTCGCTGTTGCTGTCTCCTTCGTCTACAACGATCGCTCGTCAACCAGACTTGCCAACGGCACTAGAACTTGTCTGGTCCCTTTTGTCCCTGTCGTTGGCGACGTCGAAGTACTGCCAAGCATCGTTGGTATGTTGGAGACGGGGAAACAGCGATACTGACGAAGAGGAAGTGCTAGCGCGTACGTGGACGACTGGGTGCGGCTTCTGAAGAAAATCGAGGAATGAGCCTTTGCAACAGTGCTCGACTATGAATAGCTTTACCGCACAGATCATTTACCGCATAAGGCTATCTATCCCACGATAGCCAACGCACGGTCAAAGCTCGTCTTCAAAAGCAATGTTGAAGTCAAGATCCCAAAGCTTCACCTGTAACATTTTATCGGGTCCTTTCAGGCTTCCTGGCGAAGGGGGTCTCATGAGCAGAAAACGTGTTACCAGATTCTGGTACACGGTAACATCCACGGTTTCCTTGGGTTTTCATGGTAACTGTGGACGTGTACCTGCGCACACTAGCTTGGCGTGGAAGCAGAACGAGGGGTGGCTGAAGCGTGATGATCAGCTGGGTAGTTTCTTGCAGCGTGAACCTGCAGAACCGGGATATGCGCATTTGCTACCGACGTCCAAGTTATCTAAAGTTTTTGGCGAGCTTAGGAACGGGGTTATTCCTATGGTGTCGTTCTCTTCAAAAGTCCACCCATGACGGGGAAGTCTACGTTGGCAGCGTTGGTGAGTCGCGCGTTGGTGAGCAGAAACCGGGAGCAAGTGAGGAAGGATGTGGTTATCAATTTTTTGCTACGCGGGGTATCGAAGACGGCTTCGTTCGCGACGTGGTTCAAGGAGTGTGGTGCTACGTGTACGGAGGACTGTAAATGGGCTTCGATGGGATACTTTGTCTATCTTGTGGTGGATGAGATTCAACTACCTACAAAAGATGATCCTAGGAAAAACTGTGACTTTTGGAACGTGGTCAAGGATTTCTGGGGGACGTGGTGAGCTTTAGAATCCTGATCCTGGTATCGGACGGCTCAGTTCCCATGTTCGGTCTGTTTTCCCGTCCTGAGGATCCTTCCGCATCTGTTGCTTGGTCCTAAGCATTTGAAGTTCAGCGGCGATGAAATCAAAGAGTATGTGGACAAGTGTTTCAAAGGCCGAGAGTGTCTCCAAGGGGCTGGCCTCTTACACTTCCATTCACGCCTGGGGCTACTGACCAGCAAGCACGTTGGGCTTTGCGCGGCTGCTATCGGGAAACTGAATGAAATCTACGGTTCATGCCAAAAACGTGTCGTTGCGGTCCCGTCAGCTGAAGATTGGATTCGTTTCGTGGAGCAAGGTTCAGCGTATCAAGACCACGGCGATAACGCCGTGTTTGAGGCTCTGAATAGCTCGAGCGCATTGAAAGTGCTGAAAGATCTGACTCTAGCGGAAGTTGGGGCCCTGAAACGCTTTGTTACAGGAGAGAAAGCTTACACGACCGACGCTGCGGTGAACGAACGCTTTGGTTCCGTGACCATTGAAGGCGACGACGCCGCACTGAAGAAGTGCATCCTTGCTGGGATTCTTGTCGAGACTTCCGAGAGAAATGTTGAGTTTCTATTTGCTGCCTTGTGGCGACACGTTATCTCGATGTGCGTTGGCTGCATCAAGCGTGCACCTGCGTGTCCGTTATCGCTACAGGAGATGATTGCGCGTGCAATCGAAGCTACCGACTACGACCGCATACGCAAGACGTTTGGGTCGGACCTACGCGTTCAAAGTTCACATAAGATAGTATCTTGGCAACTGGGGAGAGCTTTGCAGTCGGAGTTTTACCTGGCTTTGTGCGTGCCGCTGCACCCCGACGGAAACTCATATCACAGCTGCAGACGTCGGTGCCGTTTTCGACTCGTCAAGAATTCACAACTTCACGGTTCAAGGCGGCAATGAATTTGGGGGCATTGGGCTGTTGACAAAAGGCAACGAGTTGAAAGAGCTCGGCACGCACTTAGCCCCTACGGATCATGCTTCGCTTCAGTTGAGCGACTACTGCGTGGTCGACTTTCGACTATCCGCTTGCAATGAAGACGCCGTCTCTTCAGATCTAATACATCACGATAAGCTCTGTATTGTGTGCTACAACCAAGAAATGACCTAAGAGCAGGTGCGGACTCGCGACGCGACCTGGAGTGTGCGTGAATCCACTGCTGTTTGACTCAAGACCAATAGCTCGGCTGGCAGATCAAAAGATGTTGGTTAAGGTGAGCGATGCATACCTTCTTCTTCTTAATGCAAAGAGCATGTTGACTAGGCGTACATTTTTGGGCGTCACTACCTGTCCGATGTGACCAGGCGGCTCGATCCGTCGCCGCGCCCCCCGGATCAGCAGAGACAGACTTTCGCCGCCTTGGCAGCATGAGCTCGTTCGAGGACGTGGAGCTCATCGTGCAGTGGATCCGCGAGCGCATCTCGCTGCCCGGGTACCAGCCCAAGGCCTGGACGTCAGCGGACTTGGCCACCGTCAAGGAATTCGTCGAGAGCGCGAGCGTACCAGCGTTGTTCCTGACGCTGCAGAATGACGCACTCGTGGTGTCCACCACGGCACCGCGCGGCGTGAACGGCAGCGTCATGTACTTCGTCAAGAACGGGCAGGCGCTCGTCACGCCCACCAACATCCGGGACGCGCTGCAGTTCGGCACCGTGGACAAGGACGCCATCGCGTCGCTGCTGCACCTCATGAACGGCTTCTACCTGCACCGCCTGCAGACCAACAAGGCGTGGACCGAGAGCGTGCAGAAGGAGTTCACGGGCCAGTTCTTCCGCTTCATGTCGAGCCTCACGGAGACCGTGAGTCGCGGCTGCGGCAAGACCGTGCTGTACCTGCCGCCCGTGAACCCGGACAAGTTCAACTACAAGGACAAGGACCTCGTGCAGCAGCTCGAGTCCACGGTCATCCACTGGACGCGGCAGATCAAGGAGGTGATCAACAACCAGGACAACGCGCACGACGCCGAGGGCGCCGGCCCGCTCGAGGAGATCAAGTTCTGGGAGCACCGCACGGAGGATCTATCGGGCATTACCGACCAGCTCAACAGAGAGGGCGTGAAGGAGATCGTGGAGATCCTCCGCGCTGCCAAGTCGTCGTACCTGCAGCCGTTCGAGACGCTATCACAGATCATCAAGCAGGGATCGACAGAAGCCAACGACAACCTCCGCTTCCTGCAGAAACTGAGCCCCGTGTGTGAGGACATCGCTCGCGCACAGCCAGACGAGATCCCGTTGCTGCTTCCGAGGCTGCTAAACTTCATCCGACTCATATGGATGTACTCGCGACACTACAACACGGAGGATCGGATCACGAGCTTGCTGCGGAAGGTGAGCAACGAGATCATCATCGTGTGCTGCAAGATGATCTCGCTCTCGGACGTCTTTGACGGCAACGTTGAGGCCAGCATCCACCACTTGGAGCAGAGCATTCAGTGCGGGGTGTCGTGGAAGCAGATCTACCGGAAAGCCTCCAACGCGGTGAACGCCACTGCGCCATCGCCTGACCGGAGGTGGAACTTTGACGAGACGGGCATTTTCGCACAGATCGACGCGTTTGTGCAGCGCTGTCGAGAGTTGTTGGAAGTGTGTGAGGGTCAGATCCAGTTTGCGCGCAAGGGCAAAGGCGGGAAGCGCGAGGATCTCCCCACGTTCGGAGGCAATCGTGGCATGGATATCGTGAAGAGCTTACGGGGTATTGAGGCGCAGTTTGAGGGGCATGTTGACCGTCTACGCCAGCTTGACTACGATATCCTCGATGTCAAGAACACCAGTTGGCACAGCGACTTCAATTCCTTCAAGAACGGGATGAAGGACCTGGAGGCGATGACGCAAAACGTTATCAATGGGGCCTTTGAAAGCATATCTACAGTCGCCGCTGGGGTGGATATGATCCGCTCTTTCCAGAAGATTGCTCAGCGTGAGGCGATCAAGCGCTGCGTCGAGAAGCGGACGATCGACATCTTCGGCATGTTCAAGGCCAACATCGCGTCAGTTCGAAACCTGTTCGAGAAGAACAAGCACGCCCCGCTGTTATCCCCCACAGAACCCCAATTTGCTGGAGCGGCTCTGTGGGCACGAAGCTTACTGCTGCGCGCTACTGATGATCTCGTCCGACTGCAAGAACTCGTGGATCCTTCTAACGCAGCAGAGTGTGACGAGGCTCAAAATGCCTACGACGGCCTACGTCTCGTCATCAACGAGTACATTCAACGCAAATATCACGACTGGATCGAGGATTTGAACACGTTAGGCAACACCAACATGAACTCTCGACTGGAGAACCCGTTGATGACAAAGACCGGATCGGACCCAGACGCCGCGCCTACGAGCGTGAATTTGAACTCGCACAACAAAGACAACAACGCCCTGCAGAACACCGAGAAGACACTGATCGGACGGGCGAAGAAGGGGTTTCTCCACTGCAACTTTGACCGTCCGCTACTGAACCTGTTCACGGAGGTGCACTACTGGCAGTACTTCAATGGAGAGATCCAAATCCCGTACATGGCTCACGATATCTGCAACCAAAAGGAACAGCTGCGTGTGCTGCGAGAGCACGTGATGCTCGTCGTGCGTGACTACAACCGCATCTTGCTCGAGTTATCCTCGACCGAGCGACGACTGTTTGAGGATATTATCCGCAAGCTCGATCGTCGCATTCAACCAGGTCTCCAGAAGCTTACGTGGGTCTCGAAGGGAATCGTCGAGTGGTACGTCGCAGACTGCCGCAAGCACTGTGAAACCACGTACAAAATCGTTCAAGAATTTCAGGAAAACAAGGACATTGTGATGAAGAACTGCAAGATGATCAGCGGGCTGATGCACATCTTCATCGAGCGCAACACCATCTACGACGACGGCGTGTTTGAAGCGAAGCAGGTGATTCACCGGAAGACCATCGAGAAGCAGCTACGTGAGGCTTACCAGACGATTAGCTCAACGATGACGGCGACGTACGAGCACTTTACGTCGGGTCCTCCAGAAGTCCAGCGGGAGTGGAATCGATTCGTGGAGCGCTCAGACAAAATGCTGGAGGATGCGCTACGACAGTCCGTGAAAAAGTCGCTTCAAGAGTTATCCAAAGCAATTAACGGCGACGCTAAGACCGACCCACGCCCATTGTTCCGGATCCACGTCGTGCTTGAAGACAACAAGGTGGAGTTCAAACCGTTCATGGCTGACCTCACACAAATGGTGAACACTGTGGCGAAGGAGATTTTCAATGTCATTTCGGTTGTACCTCGCTTAGTCGCGTCGCTTCCTCGGCATCATGGTAATAACCGAACAAATTTGGATTCTTCAGGCACCAATGGAGCAGCTACTGATGGAAAGGCTGAGGCTGGAGCTGGCGCTAGCGAAGAAGTTCGGCCAGCTGATACTGCAAGCGGTGAACCTTCGGGTAATCAGGACGAAGCTCACTCAACGATCGACGCAGCGGACAAAGTGGAGGCTCCTGCGGTTGTGAACAACTTCTACCAATCCATTTTCAACGACGAGGAGATTCTGAAGGTGCTAGTTCACATCATGAACGGAATGTCGTCCAGCGCAACCGAGTTGCAAAAATACTTGGGATACTGGGACAAGTACAAACTGGTGTGGAACCAAGACAAGCAGGCATTTATTCGTCGTTACGCGAAGGCCAACAGACCGCTGCAGCAGTTCCGCGCAGACATTGAGCGCTACCGAGAACAGCAAGTGAGTATCCAGAACGAAGACCTGACCAATACGATCAACTTTATTCAGATTGACACCAACTTCCTCAAGGCAAGCCTCGTCGAGCACACCGTCCAATGGATCGGCAAACTCACGGGACTGTTGAACCAGACAGCGCACGACGAGTTGAGGGACATCATGAACATGATGAAGGACAACACACACAAGCTGCAGATCAAGCCGTTGAATCTGGATCACTTGAGCGAAAGTATCCATCTTCTGCATGACATCAAGGACGGCATGCCAGGGGTAGTGGCGCGCTTTGAACCTTTGCAGCACAAGTACGATCTCCTGGCCGAATTTGATGTGCAGACAACGGACGAAGAGCAGCGCGATCTCGCCAACTTAAAGTCCAACTGGGATTCGTACGAAGCGATGCTGGTGGATGCCAACACGATGCTGCAGAAGTGCAAGGTGAGTATGAAGCAGAGCCTGCAGGACTCCGTGGCAGACCTGAACAACATCATGTCAGAACTTCGTACCGAGGCCGAGGCGACACTGCCGTACTCTGGCGAACAGCAGTCGAAGATAGCTCATCAGATCCTGGCCGAGTTTGAGAAGAAGATGGAGGCTACACGGTCTCGCCAGAATGCGTTGAAGAAAGGTCTGGAGATTTTTGGTATCGAAGAATCGAAGAACGACGGCTTTGTGCAGACCGAGAAGGAGCTCGAGTTGCTGCAGCAGATCTGGGCTCTGACAGACGAATGGGAAGTCGTGTGGGCCTCGTGGAAGAACAAAGTTTTCTACGAGATCGAAGTGGAGACGATGGAGTCGACCGCCGCGCAGTTCTTCAAGAAAGTAGTCAAGTACGGGAAAGACATGAAGAGCTGGACGGTGTGGAGCTCCATGAAGACCAAGATCGAGCAGTTTCGACAGACATTACCCTTGATCCAGGACCTCAAGAGCCCCGCACTGCGCGCGCGCCATTGGGCCCAGCTGAAAGAAGAGATGGGCAAGACTTTCGACACTGAGTCAGCGAGCTTCACCTTGGAGCGGGTATTCTCTCTCGGATTTCACTTGCACGCCGAGTTTATCAGTACCCTGTCAAGTAATGCAGGCAAGGAGTTGTCTATCGAGCAAACTCTTGACAATATTGAGAAGCGCTGGGCTGCCATCGACGTCGACATCACCGAGTACAAGGGCGTGTACTATAAGATCCGCTCAGCAGACGATTTGTTCACGGCACTGGAAGACGACCAAGTGCAGCTGTCTACGATGAAGGCCTCGCCCTTCTTTGGGTCATTCGATACGCGGATCTTGTACTGGGAGAAAGCGCTATCTCACTTGTCCGAAGTCATCGAAACCCTGTTGGGTGTGCAACGCTGCTGGATCTACCTGGAAAGTATCTTCATGGCGTCTGAGGATATCCGCAAGCAGTTGCCGCTAGAGAGCCAATTGTTCGAGGAGGTCAACACAGCGTACTGTCGGGTGACAGAGGGGATGGCCAAGATGAAGAACGCGCTGCAAGCTACCCAGGAGAAGGGTGTGCTGGAGACTCTGGTGGCGATGCAGGAGAAGCTGGATCAGATCCAGAAGTGTCTGGACCAATACCTCGAGACGAAGCGAATGCTGTTCCCGCGGTTCTACTTCCTGTCTAATGATGATCTGCTTGAGATTCTAGGCCACCAAAAGGACCCTGATCAAGTGCAGAAGCATATCAAGAAGTGCTTCGAAGCGATCAAGACGCTGAACCTCATCCCGCCTGGTGCTCGTGGGAACACGACGTTCGAGGCGCTCGGAATGAACTCCCCATGCGGTGAGCAAGTGATGTTCGCGTCGAATGTGGTGGTCGCTGGCGCCGTGGAAGGCTGGCTCTTACGCATCGAGGCCGCTATGGTCAACACCCTGGAGAAAATCTTTGCGCAGTGCATCGTTGGCTATAAGGGGAAGAAGGAGAAGTGGATCAAGGACTTCCCAGGCCAGCTACTCATCACGTGTGGCCAAACCGCCTGGACGAACGAGTGCATCAAGGCACTAAATGAAGTGGCGAAAGGAGAGAAAAAGGCGTTGAAGCAGCTGAAGAAGAAGTGGATCTCGTACCTCAACAAACTCGCAGACATGGTGCGAGGCCAGCTCTCAGCCACCGACCGCAAGAAGGTCGTGGCGCTCATCACAATCGAAATTCACTCGCGTGATGTCATTGATCGCTTGGTGAAGCAGAACTGCAAAAGTGTGAATGACTTCGACTGGCTGATGCAGCTGCGCTTCTACTTTAACAAGGATCTAGGCGAGTCCGGTATTTGCGAGGTGAAGCAGACGGTCACCTCGCTGCAGTACTCGTACGAGTACCAAGGCAACAATGGACGCCTTGTCATCACGCCACTGACGGACCGATGTGTCCTCACAATGACAACCGCTCTGCATCTCAACAGAGGTGGCAACCCTCTGGGCCCTGCTGGAACTGGTAAGACAGAGACCGTGAAGGATTTGGGCAAGAATTTGGCCAAGTACGTCATTGTCTTCAACTGTAGTGACGGTTTGGACTACAAGTCGGTTGGTCGGATGTTTGCTGGCCTTGTGCAGTCTGGTGGCTGGGGGTGCTTCGACGAGTTCAACCGAATCGAGATCGAGGTGCTATCTGTGGTGGCACAGCAGGTTCTGACTATTATGCAGGCGCTGACAGCGAGGCAGACGCAGGTGATGTTCCTCGGCTCCATGATGAGGGTGAACTTTAACATGGGTATCTTCATCACGATGAACCCTGGCTACGCCGGACGCACGGAGCTACCGGACAACCTCAAGGCGTTGATGCGCCCCTGTGCTATGATGGTGCCAGACTTGGCGTTGATTGCTGAGGTCATGCTCCAAGCCGAAGGGTTCCGCGATGCCAAGGTGCTGGCGAAGAAGACGACCACGCTCTACGGACTGATGATCCAGCAGCTAAGCAAGCAGGATCACTACGATTTCGGCCTGCGTAGCTTGAAGGCGGTGCTCAACATGGCAGGCACATTGAAGCGCGAGGATCCGAACCTGCAGGAGGAGAATATCCTGTTGCGTGCATTGCGTGACATGAACATGCCCAAGTTCATCCGAGATGATGCCGTGCTCTTTCGCCTTCTACTAGGGGATCTCTTCCCTTCCATTGAGCTTCCCGTGACTGACTATGGTAAGCTCCAAGGCAATATCGAGCAGGCACTGCTGGAGCACAAGCTGCAGGTTCATCCGGTCATTGTCTTTAAGACGATCCAGCTGTACGAGTCTCAGGTCACACGCCACTGCAACATGATCGTGGGTCAGACAATGGCAGGAAAGACGACGATCTGGAAGACGCTCATGGCTGCCAAGACGTCGCTGGCGAAAGAAGGTGTGCCCGGGTACATGCCTGTGCGCGTGCAGGTGCTGAACCCCAAGTCGATCTCCCTAAATGAAATCTACGGCGTGTACGACCTGTCGACGTTCGAGTGGATCGACGGCATCTTGTCGGCCATCTTCCGGAACCTCGCAGCGGATGAGAAGGCGGAGGAGAAGTGGATCATGCTGGATGGACCCGTGGACACACTGTGGATCGAGAGTATGAACAGCGTCATGGACGACAACAAAGTCCTGACGTTGATCAACGGTGACCGGATCAGCATGAGCCCGTCGATGGCGCTCATGTTCGAGGTGCAGGACCTCGCGGTGGCATCCCCCGCCACCGTCAGCCGCGCAGGAATGGTCTACATGGACGTCGAAGACCTCGGTTGGCGTCCGTTCATTCAGACGTGGCTTACTACGACTATCAACGTCCAAGAGGAGCGCGACGTGCTCCAGGCTCTGTTCGAGAAGTACATGGAAAAGGTGCTGCGGTTCAAGACCTCGGAGGTGACGGAGCTCATTCCAGTGACAACCTTCAACAGTGTCAATTCCTTCTGCAATCTCTACAACGCCTTAGCCACGGTCGAAAACGGAGTGGATCTAGTCACATGCGGTGACAAGTTCGCCGTTGCTGTTGAGAAGTGGTTCCTGTTTTGCATGACGTGGAGTGTCATGGCTGCGGCGAATGAAGAGGGACGCAAGAAGTTCGACTTCTTCCTGCGCGACATCGACTCCGTCTACCCACCTCTCAAAACCGCGTACGATTTCTTCGTGGAGCCCTCAAGTCGTGAATTCAAGCTCTGGGACGAGAAATTGCCTCCGAACTTCCGCATTGCGCCCAACACACCGTTCCACAAGATCATGGTACCGACCATCGACACGCTGCGCTACGGATTCTTGCTGCAAACGATGCTCGCGTCTGGAATTCACACGCTACTAGTCGGAGAAACTGGTGTGGGGAAGACGACGGTCATCGAGCGAGAGATCGAAGCCCTCAGCGACGCGTACAACGTGCTGGTGATGAACTTCTCGTCTGCGACGTCGTCCGCCACGACCCAGGACATGATTGAAAACGTCATGGAGAAGCGCTCACTGAATCGATTCGGTCCCGTCGGAGGCAAGAAGCTGGTCACGTTTATCGATGACATGAACATGCCGACCAAGGACCTGTTTGGATCGCAGCCACCGCTCGAGCTGTTGCGACAGTGGGTCGACTATAGCTGCTGGTATGACCGCAAGAAGCAGACGCTCAAGTACTTCATCGACATGCAGTTCGTCGCTGCGATGGGACCTCCAGGCGGTGGGCGATCCGTCATCAGCTCTCGCTTCCAGAGCCGATTCAACTTGATTAACATGACGATCCCCGAGCAAGCCCAGCTGAAGCGTATATTCGAGACCATGCTGGTGCCGAAGCTGTCCGAGTTCGACGACGAGATCAAGCCTCTAGGCGTGCCTCTGGTCGCCGCCACCATTCAGCTGTACCAGAATGTGCTGGAGCAGTTCTTACCCACCCCTGCGAACTGCCACTACCTGTTCAATTTACGCGATATGGCTCGAGTGATTCAAGGGCTTCTGCTCTCGGATAAGCACAACGTTGCAAGCCGTGATGGGATGCTACGACTGTGGATGCACGAGAGCCTCAGGGTGTTCTCAGACCGACTCACCAGCTACGAAGATCGACAGACCTTCAAGAAGAAGCTGGATGATCTGCTAGGTGTCCACTTCCAGACCGACTGGGGTCGCTTACTGTCCTCCGCTCCGGAACAACTCAAGGAGAATGGGCCGTTGTTCACGTACATATTCTCCACGACTCCAGGGGCAGACGAAGGCAGCGCGCGATACGCGGAGGTCATGGACATGAAGATGCTCAAGGGTTTCGTGGAGGAGCAGCTGGAGAACCACAACGCCGAACCGGGTTTCGTGCCTATGAACCTCGTCATGTTCAGCGATGCGCTCATGCATATCCTACGTATCCACCGTCAACTTATGACGATGCGTGGTAATTTATTGTTGGTGGGCGTTGGAGGCAGCGGTCGACAGTCTTTGACCAAGCTTGCGGCCTTTATGGGCGGCTTCAAGGTCTTCCAGATCGAAGTGGGCAAGAATTATCGCAGCTTCGAGTTCCACGAGGATATCAAAAAGCTCTACACCCAGGTGGGTCTCCAGCAACAGAAGACCGTGTTCCTCTTCAGTGACACGCAGATTAAGAGCGAGTCGTTCGTGGAGGATCTCAACAACATCTTGAGCAGTGGTGAAATCCCTGGACTGTTTGAGAAGGACGAACAAGCTGGTATCATTGATGGAGTTCGCTTGAGAGCACGCGCGCAGGGGGTACGTGAGACGAAGGAGTCACTGTGGAACTTCTTCATCAGCGAAGTCCGTCGCAACCTGCACGTCGTCCTGGCCTTCAGTCCCATCGGCAAGGGGTTCTGCAACCGATGTCGCCAGTTCCCGTCCCTCGTCAACAACACCAACATCGACTGGTTCAACGAGTGGCCTCTGGATGCTCTTCAAGAGGTGGGGATGAAGTTCCTCGAGGAGAAAAACGTGGCTTCTGAGCCACAGCGTCCCAAGATTGCAGCCGTCTTCGCTGTGGTTCACAGCAGCGTCATGCTTGCGTCGTCGCAAGTGCTGGCGCGGATGAAGCGCCACAACTACGTCACGCCTACGAATTATCTGTCGCTAGTCACGGGGTACGTGGAGTTGCTCTCCGAGAAGGCAGCGACGATCCGTGACACTCGCGACAAGCTCAAGAATGGCTTGGCGAAGCTTGAAGAGTCCCGACTGCAAGTCGAGGAGATGTCCAAGCAACTGGAGCAGCGGAAGATCGTGGTTGCGCAGAAGAACAAGGACTGCAGCGACTTGCTGGTGGTTATCGTATCGGAACGTCGAGTAGCTGATGAGCAGCGGAAGCAGGTGGAAGCCGACAGCGAGCGTATTGCCAAAGAGGAGGCCGAAACGAAGAAGATCGCCGACGATGCCCAAAAGGATCTGGACGAGGCTCTTCCAGCGCTGCAGCGTGCGATGCAGGAGGTTGAGAACCTGGACAAGAAAGCTATCGCCGAAGTCAAAGTGTATACTCAACCACCCGAAGCCGTGTCGATGGTTATGTGTGCTGTGATGATCCTTTTCGGTTTGCCACCGACCTGGGCGTCAGCTAAGACGAAAATGAACGATGTGAGCTTCCTGCAGCAGATCAAGACGTTCGACAAGGACTCGATCCGTGACAAGACGGTGACTGCTCTGAAGAAGTACACGTCCAAGCCAGCATTTAACGCAGATATGGTGAGGAAGGTGTCGTCTGCAGCAGGAGCGTTGTGCTCGTGGGTGCTGGCGATGGAGTGTTACTCTGGAGTTTTCCGTGTTGTCGCGCCCAAGAAGGAGGTTCTCCGCAAGTCGCAGCAGGCGCTGGCAGTCAAGCAGAAGGATCTGCAGGTGGCTAAGGAGAAACTCCAGGAAGTCACGGAGAAAGTGGAGGCACTGAAGAACCAGTACGATACTAGTGTGTCTGAGAAGAATGCTTTGCGTGAAGAGGCTGAGTTGCTGGAGCTGAAGCTCTCTCGAGCCGAACAATTGGTGAAAGGTCTTGCCGGTGAGCGTGAACGCTGGGAAGGCTCCATTGCTGATAAGAATGCAAGTCTTCAGAATGTCGTGGGTGATGCACTGGTAGCCGCCGCGTTCATCTCGTACGCAGGGCCGTTCGACACGTTCTACCGTGGGTCACTCGTGGATACGTGGATGAACCGGGTGACGCAACAAGCTCTTCCCTTGTCGCCGAAGTTTACGTTCATTGACTTCTTGGCTGATCCGACGGATGTACGTAGCTGGAATGCACACGGCCTCCCGCGCGACCCGCTATCTACGGAGAACGGAGTGATCACAACGCGAGGCAAGCGGTGGCCACTCATGATCGACCCTCAAGGGCAGGCGAACAAGTGGATCAAGGCTATGGAAGGCTCTCGACTCGAAGTTGTAGATCCGATGATGAAGGATCTCCTCCGAAAACTCGAGAACGGCATTCGCTTTGGCTCCCCCGTTCTAATGCAGGACATCCTAGAGGAGCTGGACCCGAGTCTGGAGCCGGTTCTCACCAAGAGTATTATCAAGGTGGGGAACCGTGAAGTTCTCCGTCTTGGCGACAAAGAGCTCGACTACAACCGCGAGTTCCGCTTCTACCTCACTACCAAGCTGCACAACCCTCACTACACACCAGAAGTGTCCACGAAGACAACCATTGTCAACTTCGTTGTGAAAGAGCAAGGTCTCGAGGCTCAACTGCTGGGTATCGCTGTTCAACTAGAGGAGCCAGCCTTGGAGGAGCAGAAGTCCGACCTGGTGATGCGCGTGGCTGCAGCCAAGAAGAAGCTGATTGACCTAGAGAACGAGATTCTGCGGCTGCTCTCAGCCGCGAAGGGCTCGCTCCTGGATGACGAGCAACTTGTGACTACTCTGAACGCGTCCAAGACGACATCCGAGGAGGTTTCCATGCAGCTTGTGATCAGTGAAGAGACCGAGAAGAAGATTGATGCTGCGCGTATGGGCTACGCTCGAGTGGCGCTGCGCTCATCGACGCTGTACTTCGTGCTTAACGACATGACAAGCGTGGATCCAATGTACCAATTCTCGCTGGATGCGTATGTGGCTCTGTTCCAGGACTCGATTGTCAAAAGCCGCAGCCTCAAGAACCAAGGCGCGCTCAGTGAAGAGCTCACGGAGCGAATCAACGCCATCAACGACTATCACACGTACGCCGTGTACGCGTACGCTTGTCGTGGTCTTTTCGAGCGTCACAAGCTGCTCTTCTCGCTGCAGATGTGCGCGCGCGTACTGCAGAGCGTCAACAAGCTCCCCCACGACGAGTACGACTTCTTGCTGAAGGGTGGCAATGTGCTGGCCCAGGAGGAGAAGGTGACGAATGTCGCCAGTGAATTCCTCTCCGACGGTGCGTGGGCCGGCATAGTGGAGCTCAACAAGCTACCTGCGTTCCACGGCATCATCAGCTCCTTTGAACAGACGCTGAAAGGCTGGAAGTCATGGTATCAGAGCAGCACTCCAGAGATCGAGGCGCTGCCTGGGGACTGGGAAGGAAAATGCAACGAGCTGCAGCGAATGCTCCTGCTTCGGTGTATTCGTCCTGACCGGCTCAGCATCCAGGCTGCGCGGTTCACAGCTACGCACCTTGGCGCTCAGTTCGTGGATCCACCGCCTTTCGACCTCAAGGCGATCTACGAGACCTCGAACTACAAGACGCCCCTCATCTTCGTGCTCTCCCCCGGCGTCGACCCCACGAATTCCTTGATCGCGCTGGCTGAATCGCTACACAAGACAGTGGAGAATTGTGCACTGGGTCAAGGTCAAGCTAGCGTAGCTGAGGCCATGCTTTCACGCGGACTAGACGCAGGGAACTGGGTCTTCCTGGCAAACTGCCACCTGATGCTCAGTTGGGCGCCCACGCTGGAGAAACTCATCGACAACTTCTGCGCCGCTGCTCCAGCCCCCGCAGGACCGATCAACCCGCAGTTCCGACTGTGGCTTACGAGCAGTCCGAACCCGAAATTCCCCATCGCCATCTTGCAGCGCGGCATCAAGATGACCACGGAACCACCGCGAGGCCTGAAGGCGAACTTGATCCGTCTGTACAACACAATCATGCCGGACAAGTTTGCGCGCTGCCGACAGGTGAAGAAGTACAAGCGTCTGCTCTTCTGCTTGTGCTGGTTCCACTCGCTGCTGCTGGAGCGGCGTAAGTTCAACAACCTCGGCTGGAATATCCCGTACGACTTCAACGAGTCGGACTTCGCTATCAGCGAGGACGTGCTGGCCATCTACTTGGACGAGTACGAGGACACTCCGTGGGACGCGCTGAAGTATTTAATCGCTCAAGCCAACTACGGCGGCCGCGTGACAGACGACTGGGATCGACGCCTCATGCTCGTGTACATCTCGCAGTTCTTCTCCGAGAACGTGCTGACTGTCGACAACATGCCGCTGTCCGACTCGGAGTACTATTTTGTTCCGGACGATGGAGAGCTGACTTCGTACGTGGAGTACATTCGGCAGCTCCCTCTGGACGATCCACCTGCAGCATTTGGTCAGCATCCGAACGCCCAGATCGCGTCACAGATCGACGATGGACGAGAGCTACTTGCTACTATCCTGTCATTGCAGGCGCTGGATGTCGCTGAAGGTGGCAGTGGCAACGATGACACTGTTCTTGGATTGCTTCAGACGCTACGGGAGACTGTTCCCGATGTATTTGACCTTGCGAACATCAAGGCTGGCTTGAGTGCACGAAGTGACCCTGATGCACTGAAGACCGTGCTCATGCAGGAGCTCGAGCGATACAACAAGCTGCTGGCTACCATCAACTCGTCTGCTCGAGCGTTGGAGAAAGGTATTCAAGGCTCCGTGGTCATCACCCCCGAACTGGAAGCTGTTTACAACGCGCTGCTTATCGGCGCAGTGCCCAAGGCCTGGAGCTTCTGCTACCCGTCACTGAAACCTCTAGGCCCATGGACTCAAGACCTCAAGCTTCGCTGCGAGCAAATGGACCGCTGGGCCAACCAGATGCAGCCTCCAGTCTTCTGGCTCACGGGCTTCACCTACCCGACAGGCTTCCTGACGGCGCTGCTCCAGACTGCAGCTCGTAAGAACGGACTGGCGATCGACTCGCTCAATTGGGAGTTCATAGTGCTGAACCAAGGCGAGAACGCTCTCCCGACGGGGCCGAAGGACGGTGCCTACATCAAGGGACTTATCCTTGAAGGCGCTCGCTGGGACTTCGACCACGACTGCCTCGCAGAACCCAACCCGATGGAGCTGCACTGTGGCATGCCTATCCTGCACTTCCGTCCCGTGGAGGCCAAGAAGAAGTCGGCCAAGGGCTTGTACAGCTGCCCGCTCTACATGTATCCGCTGCGAACCGGAACGCGTGAGCGTCCGTCGTTCATGATTGCTGTGGATCTCAAGGTAGGACCTGGCAAGACTCCTGATCTCTGGACACGTCGGGGTACAGCGTTGTTGCTGTCTCTCAGCACCTAAAAGACTCCATGCAATAAATGTAATAGCTTTCGATTGACTTTTGTGTTAGATGGTGAGCCACTCGTGGCCTCCACCGCCGTCTTCCTGTCCTCCAGCGAGCATTGATCGCATCTGTGTCTCGATCTCGTTTGCATCTTTGCGGAGCTTGCACGACCGACGATCGTTAGCACCCAACAGGCTTTCGGCGATGTAAGTCGCGGTTCGGAGTAACTTGGTAGCGGTGCGTAGCTTGTCGTGGTTCTCACTTGAAGGAGATCGTTGACTCTCTCTTGAGGTGGCAATTCGGTGCAGCATACGTGCAAGTTCCGCTGCACTTTCACAAGCCTCTAGCGAGAATTCTCCATAGCCATTGACACTGACATCGTACATCTCAGAGAGAACTACGCGCTGATCCTCGAGCGAAGTGTTGAGGTCGTTCCGACTGAGCGTCAGCCATTGTCTGAAAGCATCCAACACCAAGGCGGAGCACTCTCGCTTCGTACTTTCAGAGCCTGCGAACTCGGTGGAGAACGTGGCGAAGAATCGAGCGACGAGTTCGTACTTGGCGCGCGCCTTATTCTGTTTGAGTTGATCCTGCTGGTACAGTTTGGCCAGCTCGAGGTGAAGAAAAGCTGAGGCTGGCACAGCTCCACTGCACGCGTTCTCGTAGATATCAATCGCCGCTGAGAAGCAGCGTATCGCCTCCGTAATTGCGTCCTTCGCCTCCTCAGAGCTGGTAGTTCGATCCTCGTTTCCACTGCGAAGAAGGTGAACCTGTGCCAGAGCGACGTGGACTGCTGCTGTGGTGACATGTTCTCGACCAAAGTGGCGTTCCTGAAGCTCCCAAGCCTTACTGCAATTCTCCAGCGCTTCATCCATTAGCGAACGAGCGGAAGCCTCGTAGTCGCTGCCTGGGTGATTGGTACTCAGCGTTGAAACAGGGGGAGAGATCGTAAGCTCTTGAATCAAGGCCGTTCTAGCTCGAGCCTCAGCGTCTTTCTTCGATAACAATGGATCCCCACTGCCACTCGCAAGCTCAACCTCTTCCAGCGCGCGAGATCGCAGATGACGAGAGCCTTCGGTCGTTTTCAACCAGCGTTCAGCGCGATCACGACGCGCTTGTTGCCCGAGAACACGGAGCTGCCGTCCACGCCTCGCCTGAGCCTCAGCGGCTACAAGGTAGAACTGCACCAAGTCGCTGCTGTCCGGATTATCTTTCTCCCTTGCTACTACTGCCACTAGGGCATAGCGCACGGCCTCTTCGAGTTGTCCGCGGCGAAGATAAACGCGACTGAGCAGCAGCTTCACTCTTGCTAGTAAGACTGGAGGACTGTCATCGTCAGATTCGGAGCCCTCAGCATTAGTAGGAAGTCGGATATTCCCATTCGCCCCCAGCGTGAGAACTTCTGTCCACGTGAGCGAGTGGTAGCTCACTCGGTTGAGTACGCGCTGCAGAGTGGAGCAGAGCCCTTGGATGTACGACGCAGCGGACGATTTACGGTTGCTGAAGTCCGCGCTTGCAGTCTGGAGACGATCGAGGAACGTGTGGAACGGGACGATGCCGTCTTCTGCTGTATCAAGAGATACAAACAACGCGTTCAACATTTGAGCCACGCCTGGAGGCAACCGAGCGGATACGAACGTGATGTGTTGGTGAAGTTCTTCACTCAGCTCTTCAAGCCTCAGCAGCAGTTGCTGCCAGTGCAAAGTTTGCTCCGATCCGAAAGCTTTCTCCAGAACGTCACGCGTAAAGACCGCAGCCAAAAGCTGGTTACGACTTCCTGCATCGGCATCCTTGTTCAAACTTTCCAGCAGCTCCTCAACTTCCACGCGTCCTCGAGTAGCTTCATCGCTCTGAGCATTGTAGAAGAATTCTAGCGCCAACTGTAGCAGTTTACCAGAGTCTTTCTGTCCGCCTGGAGTTTTAGTCCCAGCTCCTCGCTCCTTTTGCGTTTCGATCTCGATCTCTCGAAGTAAATTGGCAGCGCATGAAGCATGCAGCTCCGCCTGTTTCCAGAGGTTCATTCGTGCGTAAGCCTCTCCGAGCTCCAGTTCCGCTTGAGCTTTACTGACGTGGTGTTGCCCGTGCACGAGCTTCACCAGCGCCAATACGCGCATCCGACCGCGTAAAAGTTGCTCAGACAAAGTCCGTCCTTGCTCGTCGTAGAACTGGTTGATGAATGGGTCCGAGGATTCATCATCGTCGTCGTTGAACTCCTTCGTGTCGTCTCGAGTCTCGGGATTTAGGTAATCTCTGCTGTCTTTCCGTGTGCTGTCGCGCTTGGAGTTCTTGCGAGACTTTTGTTTCATCGCCAACGGCTTTGCGAAGGCCCCCACTCGAGTGTGCCCTGAAGTCTCGAGAACTTTGAGCTCCCGATCTAGATCGGCGCACTCTTGAAGTGCATCTTGCAGTCGTCGAGCTGGAGGTTTATACCAGGAAGGCATCCCTGGGCAGGGCTCTTCCAGTACGGGAGGAATCCGTTGTGGAGACACGAGGGGAATGTCGTCACAGGGAATGATTGACGTCAGGGCCAGCGGCATTCGGCCGGCACGCTGGCTAACACTTCCAATCACCATCGCGTCACCAAGAAGATGTTGAGCAGTGAGCAATCTGCAAGGAATGGAGGCGTTTCGCTAACGCTATTTTGTACGCAGAGTTCTGCAAATCGGCAACTTCTAATACAATTTGGATCTGTGTAAAAACTAACTAACATTGAGCACTGTGGTGAGCTCCAGCCGACCGCCTTGAGTTGATCGGGGGACCCAAAGCATGAGGGACCCACCTCCGGTACCGGGGATTCCCAGGAATCCATCCCTCCATCGATCCAGATACAGCGTCTTGCCCCCTAGAGCCGTGACATTGGAGACCCACGTCACATTCGTGCCAGCATGGACAGCCACTTCGGCGATCTTGTTGCCCCCTGACATGGCGTTCACGTGCACGTCCTCCGTGTCCCGACTTGGAGCAGTTGATCGAGGAGTCGGACGAATCAACCGCCTTACCACGCGCGATACTTTACGCAAAACTTTCGGCGGGATCCTGGATGACCTCATCAGCTCTGGAACCTGCGATAACGGCACGTACCTCTCCGCTGAAGAGTACGTGTACTCCATGTCAGACAAGGCCATGATGTTCGTAGCCGTCTGGGACCCCTCGAACGTCGCTGGCGTGGTCTCTGAATTCTTCCAAACCATTTGCGGCCCCACAGAATTCATCGGGGAGGTCGACGACGGCTCTGCGTCCGACGCGTTGGGGCTTACAACAGTGGGGAAGGCCTTCAACAGCAGTATCGGTACTTGGACCAAAACTGGCGATGGAGTTGTCACCATCACATTCCACCATGCAGTTGTTGGTGACCGTGGGGATCTCGTGCAGCATCAAGTTCGACTCGACCATTTTCACGCGGATTTCATCCTCAGAAATACTCGGATTCTCCCTGCGAAGGTTGGCTATGATCAACCACGCGCGGTCTGTCAGGCGCTTCATATCGTCACCACACGTTGAATTGGACTGTAGTGCGGACTGCAGCGACGTGATGTCGCTCTCCTCCAGACTGTCGATGGTGTCACCCAGCGTAATTGCCTTCATGAAGGTGGTGAATGATGTCCAGCTTGAGGCAATGGTGGTGTTGCCTTCGATGATCTCTCTCACGAACAGCTCGATGGTGTTGGTTACGCGGTCGGACACCTTCATCCCCGTGGACACATTGATCCCGAGGCACGACATTATCGTGATCGGCAGGTCGTAGACCACGTTGTCTGTCTGGTACAGCTTCGTCAGGAGCTGGTCGGTCGTGGTCTGTGGGTCTGACACTTTGACTGTCCGCACGTATCTGGATAACGCCTTGACCAGGTTCGCGACCTCCTTGCCGCACTTGAAGGCGATCGGGACGCCCTTCGCCATTTTGGAAAACGCCCCATAAGCTCCGAAAGTTGCGAGCGAAAGAGCGGATTGAGCTACGGCCGACACTTTCGACAGCATTTCGAGCGTGCAGTCGTCGTTCTGTCTGATACATTGCATCCCGCACTCGACGGGGTATTCAAGCGGACACTGCGCCCAGCACATGCCGAGCTTGTGCTCGAAGCCTAGAGGGCAGACTTCAGCCACGTGGGTCTCGCGATAGCAGGCCATGCCAACCCCAGCTCGTCCTGAACCGACCCAGTTCGTCGACTCGACCGTGCTGATGTCGGCGGTGAAGGTCAAGTCTCCGAGTCTTCCTAACCACTCTCGGTATCATCATCATCATCGTAGTCGTCGTTGTCCAGGGAATCATCGTCCAGCTCTGGCATGATGGAGGAAGACATTGGAGTCGGTGCAGGTGTGACGTCGCCTTCGAACGTGTACGTTTGAGCCAGAGTAGCAGCGACGGCAACTAATAAGTGCGGCGAGCTGTGACTTGGCCATGATTCTTGAAGTCCGGACTCGAATGAAAGTCGATTAATGACGAACCTTTCGGTGATGCCCGCATGAACGCTCGGCTCGGGGACAGCCCCGTGGTGTGATGACACCCGCGACTCCTGGTAGTCCATGAGTTCTGAATCTCGGTTCGAATCTGTAGCAAAGCTGAATGAATAATGCAAATCGCTGCGAACACCAGCCTAAACTACGCATGAAACTATGGATAAGCTGGCACTGGAGCGCCAGTGGTTGCGAAGTGTATGTAAGCTTCAAGCACCGCAGAGATTAAAACGGCGATTAACAGGACGCGGGCAACACGGGAAGGGGAAAAACGCAAAAAATACCAGCTACAGATTCGGACTCCTCAAACTTGCGGGTAATTTGCGTGCACGCACACCTTCATCCGTGCAAGGATGATAGTGCGGAGCCTCAATGGCCAAGTCGACGCTCCGGACGCGTAACTGGTCCATTTATCCATTCCATCACCAGCATTTGGTGATGAACGCGCTCTACGGAAAGTGGATCGCGCTCTATTGCGTCCGAGAGTGCATGACCAACGGAAATGGACCTACAGCTCTGCTGATATATTATCCGTTCGACACCTTCCAGAAAGCGTTGCTCAAGCCAGATAGGGTGAGCACGGCAATAAGTTTGACTTGCGAGTTGGCCGGAAGGTCTGGCCATGGTTCCAGTTGCAGTCGGTAAGCCGATGTACGCGGTCTCCACTTTGCATTTCGTCCTTCAAGACTCAAGACTCAAGGCCTTCCACCATGGTGCTGGGGGCAGATATGTACCTCGTGCTGTCGCCCGACCCGTGTGATACCGGGGAACGCATTGGCTATCAAGCTAGTGAGGGCGACTCACCGGTTGCTGCCGCCGCCCCCGACCCGACAATCTCAGTGGGTATGGCACTCGATGTGTTGTGGCATGACAACAAGCACGCGACCGATCTAAAGAAGATTTTGCTCGCCATCATCTCCTTCTGCATCTTCGTCGCCGCCATGTTCCTGCATATCCCCACCACCAACATGTACCACCAGCACTACGGAGTCTCCTCAGCCCTCGCGACGTCAGGAGATGACACGATCACGACCATCCCGGACATTTTCGACTGGCTCAACGACACATTCGTCCCCCAAGTGTTCGTCACCACGGACTACAACGGCGCTGCTCTGCCTGAAGATCAATGGGGGAGGATCTCCACGTTCAACAAGGTGCTCGGTGCCGTTCTGTTTGAAGTGACCTACATGCAGTCGGGAGAATGCGATACACCTGACTTCCTCGCGGATCTCTACTCGAGTTGCTATGATCCTTCCACTACGACAACGGACAAGTTTCTGATCAGTATCAACACGAACGCTTCAACCGCTGCGGAGCTGCTCACAGAGAAGAAAGACAGCGGCACCTGGCTCGACTCCTCGACGCAGCAAATGGTTGTCACTGTCATCACCCTCAATGCACAGCTTCCTGGGTACGCGGTGACCAAACTGCAGTTCGATTTCAACGACGGTGGCTACGTGGAGTCTAGTGCATCGACGACATCCACGCTGCTGGACCAGTATCCATCGGCTACGCCTATCGTGCTGGACGCCCTCGTAGTCGTGTGGTTTTCGCCGTGGATCCTGGCCTCCGCTATCATCCAGTACGGGAAAAGTTACGAGAAGAAGCATCGCCTCGCGAACCCAAGAGACTGGTTGAAGCTTGCCAAACACACCGCGAAGGCGATCGGAGTGTGGGCGTTCCCCGATGGTTGGTTTGCTATCGACTTCTTCAGAGGACCCATCGTCTACTTGTTCTACATCACGGTGCTGATCACACAGGCGGTGACGGTGAATTCCGACTTCAAGCGGAAGCTGGTCGCTCTTGGAAACGGTGGCCAGACAGACAGTGAAGCGAGTGAGATGCTAGCCTCCGTGACGAAATCGTTTCGTCTCATTGCGAGTCTCACCGTGTTGCTGCGATTGTTTGCCACTGCGGCGGTGTTGGTGCTGGGACTTCGCATCCTCAACACCTTCCGTGACCATGTCGGGCTGAGCATACTCACCCGGACGATGGTGAGCGCAGTGCACTCCTTCTGGACCTTTTCCGTCATCTTTGCCGTGGTGTTCGTAGCTTTCGCAGCTGCGGGCAATGTGCTGTTCGGTGATCGAGTTCAGGACTTCTCGTCGCTGCTTAATGCTATGAAGTCGTGCGTCAACATGATCTACGGCGACTTCGACTTTGACAGCATCAAGGACATCGACTATTCTGTGGTCTACTACTGGAGTTACATGGCAATGGAGACGTTCGTGCTCTTGAACATCGTGCTCGCCATCGTAGTGGACGCCTACCAGGAGGAGAAGACCAAGAAGGACAAGAACAAGTGCTGGGTCTTCTTCCGTGTGGCCAGCAATGTATTCCGCCAGTGGCTAGCGAGAGTGAACGACTTGGTTTGGTTCCCGTGCTGCCGTCGAGATAATCGCCGTCACGAGGTTGTCTTCTGGGGGAGAATCCGACCCACTGAGCTGCACACGAAGCTCAGGGAGAAACTGGATGAAGCCAAAGGCGGTGACCCCTATCTCGGTTGGACACCGCAAACGCTGATCAGTGCAACGATCCTAAGTAAAATCTTCCCCGATGCTCGGATCGAGGAGTGCAGGGCTACGATGGAGCATCTCACGGTGGAGCAGCAGCACCAGTCGAAGCATGACCTGCTTGAAGGAACCGAAGCAGCAGCGCCAGAGCCTAAACCCAATCCCAAGCTCGGTAGCACTCCTAGTCCCACTGCCAGCATCCCAGACGACCTGACTTACACTTCGACGACCAAGAGCAGCCGGGGCTTGGCTGGAATCGACGCTGACGTGAACGACGAGCTGATGATTCGCATCGACACTCTGGAGCAAAAATTGGATCTGTTGATTGGCAAGATGTCCAAGCAAACACTGTGAATGGCAACCAAGTGCCAACATATCTGTTCTCTCTTCGTCCGATTAATCGACAGCGTCGTGTATGTACAAAGTGCACTTAAGCTTCAAATACCTAGCATCATCACAAGTAAGTACCACTAGCAGCGAAGACTAATACATGTAGCCATGAGCATAGATTCGCGAGTGAACCTATTCTCATGGCTACATGTTGGCTGAGTGATATCCTACGCAGAATTCGCTTAACGTCCCACGTTCGTGTTTTCTCGAGTACGTCGACAAATAACCGATGGAATCCAGTGCGGTACCCCTGAACTACGGCACCGCATCCGCCTCAAACTCGAATTGCAAAACCAAACGCAGTTCTCAATTCACTCTCCAAGGCTCAAGACACTCGACCCGCCTCCAGTATCAGTCAACTAATTCCAAGATGCCGTGGACGGATATGTACGTCATCCTGTCGCCGGACCCATGCAGCGCTGTGAAGAAGAGGGACCCTCCGCCCCCAGCCATCTCCGTCCACGATGCGTTGGACGTCTTGTGGCACGACTCGCACCACGCGTGGGACCTGCGACGAATCGCCATGGCGTTGTTCTCCTTCGCCATTCTCATCGCCGCCGTCTTCGTGCACGTCCCGACTCGAACCATGTACACGCACACGCCGTCTTGTCGGCGTTGGCGACTTCCGGGGGTGACACCGTCACCGAAGACTCGCCCGTCAAGTTCCTCAACATCGAAACCATCCCGGACATCCTCGACTGGATCAACGACACCTTTGTGCCTCAAGAGTTCGTGACTGAAGACGCCTATGGTGAAGGCCTGCCAGGGAATGAATGGGGTCGGGTATCCCTGTTCAACCAAGTGCTGGGGGGAGTCAGCTTCGACGTAACGCGCATGGAGAAGCGCGACTGCAAGACGGAGGCCTTCCTGCGTGGTCTATACGGCAGCTGCTACGACTCGGAGTACACCACAACGTATGACTTCGTGATCGCGTACAACAAGACCGCACCCCAAGCCCGAGAGATTCTGGTCGAGAAGGGAGACTGGCTGAATGCCTCGACGAAGGAGCTGGCGATCACTGTTCCCACTCTCAACAGTGAGATCCCGGGCCACGTCGTGTCAACGCTGAAGCTCGACTTCAAATCGGGTGGCTACATCAAGTCAAGCTTCACGACCACACCGACACTCGCAGATCACTATCCAAACACTCATAGGATTGTCATCGACGCTCTCGTCGTCCTGTGGTTCTCCCCGTGGATGCTAATCATGACCGTCACAACGTACGCAATCCGGCGCTACCAGACTCGTCGAGGCACAAGTTCGCGCACCAGAGCGTCATGGAGATTATTCGCAAGTGCACACTCCCCGATGGCTGGATGGCGATCGACGTGCTGAGAGGGCCAATGGTGCACGCGTTCTACGTGACGGTGCTGATCACGCACTTTGCGATCACCGATGAAGTGTTCATGAATAAAATCGAGGAGCTGCAGAACGGAAGTCGCAGTGGAGACAACGCGCTGAGGTCTTTGATCGCGTCCTTCAACTACATCGCACGGTTGTCGGTACTGTCACGGATCTTGGCTTCAGCCGCGGTGTTCATCCAGGGACTGCGTGTTCTCAACACGTTCTGCAACCACAATGGCCTGAGCGTGCTCAGTCGGTCGATAACCAAGGCGATCTGCTGGTGCGGGACTTTCGCCGTGACGTTCTTCGTGATCTTCATGGCGTTCGCCGTATCTGGCGCCATACTGTTCGGCAATCGAGTGCACGAATTCTCGTCGCTCTTGGTATCGATGACGACCTGTGTGAACATGCTCTTCGGTATGTTCGACTTCGGCGTGATCAGCGACATCCACTACTCGGTCACGTTCTACTGGAGCTTCATGGTGCTCGAGACGTTCGTGCTGCTCAACATTGTGCTAGCGATCGTGATCGACGCGTACAACGCAGAGAAGCTCAAGAAGGAGCGAACCAAGTGGTGGAGATGCCGGAGGGTTTTCGTCAACATGATGATGGGATTCACGACAAGATTCATCGACCTGCTGCCGAGCTGCTGTCTGGGGATCAAGCCTCGCCGTGACGTGGTGCTGTGGGGACGGATCCGACCCAAGAGACTTCGACAGGAGCTTCTGGCAAGACTCAGCAACTCCCAAGACGTCGAATTCGGCTGCGAGTTGACGCCTGGAACAGTGCTGACTGTGGAGAAGTTGGAGCAGCTATTCCCCGACGCTACGGAGCTCGAGTGTGCGAACACGCTGAAGTATCTCGTCGCTGGAATCTGCCACGACGCTGAAGAGGAAGAGAGCGAGGAAGGCGACTGCAGCAAGCCTGGCGAGCGCGTCTCGTTGGCTCTGTGTCAATGCGGTACTTCAGGTAAGAGCAAGCTAGACAGCCCCGCAGCTTCGAGCCAGCGACGAGCACTGGGGTGTCCACGGTTTCCATTCGAGATAGCTGCCGCTCAACCCCCACGGCGGAGATCCAGGGCGTCACAACTCGCCTCACTGGAGTTGAGGAGAAGCTGGAAAAACTCAACCGTGACCTTCAGCGGAAAATTGACATGCTGGTCGAGCGAATGGCACAGACATAGGCTTCAAGTTGAGTAAAGCATGCTAATCAAGCAGAAACTTTGTTGTCACAGTACAGTACTCACGGTGATGCCTACAGTTGGGAAGGTCGAGAAATGTTCTCGACGAGGTCTGCCAGCGTCATGGAGGGTTTGGTGCGAGCTCGGAAGCGCCGCTGCAGCTTGTTGGCGAGACGGTTGATGGCCATCACATTGATCAGCACGAAGATTTTGTCCGCAGCATACACGATTGTGTCTGACGACGGACAGGTATACACGTATGGGTAAGGCGCGCCTCCGGGTCCGCCCTTCGCGCGTAGCAGCCCGATCGGGAGCGTGTGCGCGACTCCAGACGTCATGTACTCGAATAGCTCCCCATACAGCAGCTGCCGCCCACGGAGTTCTCTCGGGACGTCGTAGAGCACGAAGCAGCTCTTTCCATCCAGAATCTTGCGGATGAACATGTTCAGCGACGGGTTGAAGAAACTCTGGATCAACAAGTCGTCGGCGACGTAGGAAGGGAACAGCGCGCCATTCATGAAGCGTTCTTGGAAGAACGTGTCGCCGTTGTCGCCATTGTACAAGCTTTCGATGGTTGCTGCCGTCGAATCGTCCGATTCAGCTCCATACGTGCTCACTTGCTGGGCTGCAGTTCTCAAACTACCAAGGAAAAACGTGTTCACAGCTGAGAGCGCGCGCATGAACACCGCCGACTTACGCTGCACCCAGTTGCGCTTCTTCGTGACAGTTGAAGCGCGGCTGTACTGCACGCTATCAACACCGGCAGACGATAACGGACCTCGGTGACTCGACAACCTCGACTTCACATCGTACTCGTCGTCTGTGCCAATGAAGGCACCGCCTTGGATTTTCCGAGACGACCCGAAGCTGGGTACTGGATCCAGGAATCGGTTGTTGCTAACATCTCGGAGCTCGATGATCGTGAAGATTTTGCTGCGCTGCAGCGCCGAATTGACGAGGATAGCGTTAAAAATGGCCTTGGAATCGTCGTACCCAGCTTCGGTGCCTTGGGCGAGGACAACAATCGAAGACGCGGTGTAAATCCCAGCAGTGGCAAGAACGTGGTGGTTCTGCGGAGAGCCGTGGACATGGTACACCTCGCCAAAGTCTCTCAGCTGCAGCCACGACACGCTGTCGAAAGTGCCAGCGTCTACAATCACAACTGGGACGACCCGTTCAATATGCGGCGCACGTAGAGGTCGAAGGAAATTCACCAGTCTTGAGACAGAGCGTTGGCCTCCGCTCTCGTTTCCGATGTTACTGCACACGACGATGTGACCGCCACCTGCAAGCAACTGGCGCGAAGGAGAAGACGGGATCTGCGATGGATCATCACTGGCAGCGCACCGCTTGATGTACTCACGAATGTCCTTGGGGATACGCCTTTCGACGTTGTGCTTCGCCCGACGAGCTCTGCTTAACAAGTTTCCGCGGCTCTGCAATAGTGCCATGTTCAAGGATAATGCCGCGACGGTACTCATCGTTGGTGTACCGGCAAAAGGTTCAAGCGCGCAGATCGACTCGGCAATCAGGTAAGCCTTGGTGCTAGGAGCAATGCGATACCACCGACCAGGATTGAACGCGATCTCTCCATCCGACTCAACCGCGATCAGCAGCACTAGCCCATTCGATTGCCTGTGGATGTGCATGGTGGCTTGGATGAAATTCATACCGTGGAAATGCTTGGTCAAGCAGCAAGCGTAGATCTCGTTGGCAGCACCGGAGATGTACTCGGACACCCACGGCTTCACCAAATGTGCTTGCTCTGGCGGCACATTCGGAAGTTCCCCACTGCGGCTAGTGATCAGATTGGACACCACAGTGGACAAGCCGGGGCATCTGCAACTGAGGCCCATCAGACCCAGTCGGATCTCGTCCGCACACACCAAATTCTCCTTGCTAAGGCCAGTCGCCTCCAGAAGAGTCCGATTGTCAGAGTTCGCTAGCATGGCAAACAACTGCGTGTGTTCTTGCTTGTGCTGGGAAACTGAGAGTACTCGAAGAACTGTGGCGGCGTCTTCCTTGTTGCCGTCATCCGAGTACTTGTCGGGTAAAAAGAATACAGCCATCGCTCGGTCAAGCTGCGCGTTCCTCAGATCCGTATCGCGGAGGGGTGATCCATACACAAGGAACACGCGCTTGTGATACCGTGGGTTCTGCTCCACAAAGTCCATCACTTCTCGCTGGTACGACGCGTTCTCACCAGCCTTGTCGAACTGCATCAACACCACGATATGTGTCTCGCGAATGAGACTCCCGCCACGGCGCATCCATTTTGAAACCAGCGGCTTGACATTCCGCTTCTTCTCGTTCACTTCTCCTTCTTCCATCGCGGAATAGGCTTCATGAATGCTGCCGTACCGAGCGTGGGTTTTCAAGGGGATGTCACTGTGCGAATGAGAGGCTTCAGTGGTACTTTGCCCAGCCTTTCTTTTAGTTTTCTTCTTGCCTTCATCGTCATCTTCAGTGTCGCTGTCATGACCTTGGAATGCCTCTTCGTGGTCAGGGTGGAAGAATTCGCGGATAAAATCTTTGGTTTGTGCGACCGACGGGTTTCCTGTTACGATAACATGTACGGTGTTTCGTGAGCCGTCGTACTTGACAAGAGTTCCACGCTGGTCTCCGTACAGCGTCATGAAGGCGGCCGACTCGTTCGCGAACGTATAGATACCAAACACAATGATCACGCACACCGTCAATTGGCCCAGCACCGTGTGTGGAGAGAAGTCTCCGTAACCCACAGTCGACACCGTCACGAACATGAAGTAAATGGACGAGAAGAAACTCCACGTCTCGTCACAGTTCGGGTACGCCTCGGAGCCTTCGTTCGTTGCTCGTAGAATCGTCTCCGTGCCGTCCTCGTTACTGCACTCATACACATGGAGCAGGAAACTGTTCGTGTGCGGCAGCTCTCCAAGCTGCTCAAGCGAGAACAGCACTGCAGCGAAGAAGAACACGAGACACAGAGCCTTGAACACGACGAGCAGCACTTGAGAGAAGAAGGTCTTGTTCGGGTATCTCGTGAACAAGTGATCCACCACCACATAGCCGACGTACGAGCGGATAAATCCGAAATCCAGCCACGACCGTAGGCGCTTAGTCCCCACCACGATCGTCTGGATCGAAATGGCGAAGTGGGCAACCACAGACAGCAAGTCGAACAGGTTGTGGAGCTGCAATACGAATGTCACCCTACCAAAAAAATGTAAAAAAACAAAACATTCAGCAGCTAAAACTACATGAAATAGAGTAAACTGTTCTAAACCCACTTGTTCTTTGCAGCCAGCCACCGAATGCCGTATCCGACGCCCGTCGCGATCAGGAAGAGCGACTCAACCGACCACGACGAGAAACTCACCGCCAGCGACCCACCTCGCACAACTATAAAACATAACAATGACAATACAAAAGTTAAGTAAAATAATACAATTGAGCAGCAGATGAGGTCCCCACGCACCCCAGTTGATGCAGACATAGAAGCTGGTGACGAGTTGCACGAGGTAGTTCTGCCTCAACCACGAAGAAACGACAGAAACACATCAGCATCGACCCAAAAAATACGTTTAGCGTACTACTGCACACTATGCATCGCTGCGCACCACGACGTTCGTGAGCGGGGAGTCGCAGAGCTTGCGGAGCCGCTCGACGTAGCGGTGCGAGGCCAGCTCGAGCCACTCGTAGACGATGGACAGCGCCACGACCGGCACCTGGATGAGCAGCCAGTAGCGCACTTGGTCCCAGATGAGGTACCACGAGGCCGTGTAGCAGCCGGCCGAGTCGTCCGTGATGGAGCAGGCCGGGGCCACGGCCGCCACCAAGTCCGTCATGTTCGACTCGCCCTTGGTACTGCACTGCCGCTTGGGCTGTTTTCTAGCCGGCGGTAAAACGCGCTAGTGTGGGCCACATAAGCCGTGACTTGGTTTTTGTATGACTCGCAAACGAGCCAGTAGCTGGCTCGTTTGGCAGTGTTGAAGTTGCCTTTAACATCATCACTCTACTGTAGTAGCGCTATTGGTTCGGCAGGATGGGGTACAACACCGCGGGCGTGAATGGCGAGCGCTGGTCGTGCGCCGCCAGTTGCTCGTCCACCTCCGTGCTGGGCCGCATATCACTCTGTCTATCGGCTTCCGGCCTTGGAGACCGTCGAGGCGACTGAGCAGCTTCTGCCTGCCACGCAGCCTCTTGCAGGGAGATCTGCTCGCGGTTGTATCCGCTGACTGCAGCGGCCAGCCTGCTGGGGCTGAGCGCGGGGTCGTAGTCGTAGTCGTAGTCGAACTCGGACTCCGAGTCACTGCCTGGATATAGCAGCGGGCTGTCGCTCGATCTGGCATTGCGCAGGACTTCCATGCCGGCTCGCAAGAAGCTGCGGTTGTAGCGCAGCGTGCTGGAGCTGCTGGAGCTGTTGGTCGGTGGCGCCTGACGTGCCTGTGGCAGCATGATGGGGCTGCGCGCTGATGGTCGAGCGGGGTACTCGGCGGACTCGACCCGCTCTTCGAACTGCGTGTCGAGCTGGAGGTGGTTGGTCGGAGAGCGTCGACCTCCAGCACTGAGCTTGCGTGGCATTGATTTCCGAGTATTGAGCAGCGCTGGAGGGCGAGGCGATATCCCGTCGACACTGGTAGAGCGGCTGGATGGGTGCTCGCTGAAGAACGGTGGGCGGGTGGGCGATACGAGGACGTTCTGGCGAGTGCCGAACTCGTTCACGTGGCGAACCAGTTGCATTGGGGGCGATGTCACGCCGCTATTGTCGTCCAGTAGAGGTAAGGTAGAGGTTCCGGCCTCGCTGCTGGTGGAGATATTACTCCGACGCTTGCCGGGATGTCGCCGTCTGCTTTCGTCTTGACTGGCTTGAGCTCGGAGCTGCGAACGACTATTACGTGGACTGGAAGCGAGAGGCCTCACCAGACTTTGCTTGTGCTTTGGTGACCGCCTCGACTTCCCCACGGTGAAGTGCAGATCCATCTCGTTCGCAACTCCAGGTAAAAGTTCTCGAGTCGCTCTGTTGATCTTTTGGAGCAGACTTTCCGATTCGCCCGTGGCATCCGTCGGCATGTATAGCGATGATATCCTCGGGCGTTCCATGGCTGGGTTTCGCTGCGGTACAAACGTCTGACTGCCTTGATCCGTGATCGTGACTGTAGCTTGGACCTCTTTGTTCCGTCGTAGAGATATCATGTACAGGTCGTACTCGTACTTGCGCCAGATCTTGCCCATGAGGTCTTCGTTGACGATCACTTGCATGTCGAACTCGCGTCGGACAGTAGCTAGCGCCACTTCAGCCTGGAACGCTCGGTTTGTTTGCAGTACTTGGTCGATTCGCACCTGCTCCAATGTAAATTCTACGGCTTGTTTCTCGGCTCGGACTTTGAACAGCATGAGCGTCGTCATCTCCAGATCGGAATGCAGCATTCCCTTTTGACATTCGTGCTGGACGATCACGCGCGCTTGCTGCCTTGTGGTTGTGTTGAGGTGCGATATCTCTCGCGATTGCTCGCACACCACAATCTCCAGATTCGCGATCAAGTCTGCCTTGAGCGCTATATCACGCTGCAGTTTGTTCACAAGATGGTCCAGCTTGCTTTTCCTGAACCGACTCATGCGGACGATCTCGCGCTGGGAGGACGTACGCTCTGCGGCTTGGCTGACTGCCTTCGTTGTAGGCGTTGGATAAACTTCAGGTATTACCTGGTCATCCAGTTCGTCTTCGTCGTCCGTGCCACCCAATCCTTCAATACTAATGATTCCCTTGCGACGAGCTGCAGCTCGCCGCTGTCGACTCGCTTGCTCTTCTTCCGTGACATCTTCCTGAACCTCGAGCTCAATATCAATCGGTTTGTCGTCTTCCGCGAGAATACTGTCAAGGCACAGCTCTTCGCCGAAGGTGTCCTGGATCATTTGCAGCAGCTCTCGTATGGCTTCATCCAGAGGGAACTCGTCGAGTTTGACAAGTACCAACATGTTTTGAAGTGAAAGGATAAAGCGGTTGAAGGCGTTCCTTGAGGTGGAAGTTGCGATGTCCAGCTCGTTCTTGTTGCGCTGCAAATCCTCCTTTTCAGTCTGGAGCTCGATCACGTGCTGCTCGGATTCCTCAATGCGAGTTTTCAACACTGTGGACTCTTTCTCCGCAACTCATAATGATTTGGCCAACTGGTCGATCTGAGCGACGTTGTCGCGGTTCACGTACGTGATCTCGCGAAGTCGCGCGTTGGCGACTTTGACTTCCACCTCCAGCTTGGTGACTTGCTCCTTCGATGTCGTCTCGTACATCTTGAACCGCTCCTTCAATGAAGCCACACTGCGTGACACATGCATGAATTAGTGTTGTGAATCAATACAAACAAAGCGAAGTAATGAGAACACCCACTTCTTCTTGGCCTTCTCGTAATTTTTCTCCAGCTCTTGAGTTCGTTGTCGCAATTGTTCACAGGTGCGTTCTGAATGCAAAAAAGCTTGTTGTCCTGCCGAGTACACGCGCTTGTTATGTTGCAGTTCCGCATCTAGAGACTCTAAAGACGACCGCAGGTTCCAGATCTGCTCTTCGTCCCGCTTTCGATCGAGTTTGTTGGCCTCAACGATCGCTTCAAGCTCCATCTTCTGGTTCAGAAGCCGTTCAATACGCAGTTTGTCTTGCGCGCGCATCCCGGTGTTGGGCTTTTCAACCGTCAAGAGGTTGCATTTCGCCTCCAGCACCCCCACCTGGACCCTCTCTTCATCGATCTGAGCTGTTAGTCTTGCAATTTCTCGCTGGTGTTTCACGCCATTCTCCACTTCGATATCAAACTGCTCTTTCATCGTCTGCAGACGCGCCTCAAGGTGACTTTGTTTACGCTGGTTCTCGATCAGCTCCTTGTCGACCTGAATCTTTAATTCCAGGAGACGACCGATTTCCTCTTGAGCCTTTTCGACCTGCTCCTGTAGACCCTGCTTCTCTGCAGCCACCTTCTCTTTATCCATCCCTAGTACCACGGCGTCTTGCTTGAGCTGGTCGTTGTTAGCTCGCAGATCCTGGTTCATGAAGAGCGTCTCGTGCATTCGCCTCGCGTAATTTGCCTTCTCGGCTTCCACCCGCTCTAGTTGAGCAGATAGCTTTCGAATCTCCTCGTCCAGGGCAAACCGTTCCGATAAGGCATTCAACCGCTCGGAGTTAGCGACTTCGTAGTCTCTTCGAGCGTCATCCAGAAACTCATTGAGCTTCTTCTCTTCGTCTTCATGGACCAAAACTTCAAGCTTCAGCAGTCGAATCTGCTCCGATTGAGCTGCGATCTGTTGCTGTTGGTCGGCAATCTATCAAAAACGTAGAGCATCACACGTTAACAACAATTCTTGGGCAAGTAAACTATATGCTGTAGGGCGAACCTTGAGGTTTGACTCGGTCGTTTCGGTGACCAGCCTTCGAATGAGCTCACTCTTTTCTGCTCCTCTCGCTGTTTCGTCTTCCAGTGCTGCTTGTACAAGATGGACTTGGGCTTCTAAGTCGAGTCGCTCCCGCTGAAATCCATCCTGAAGCTGTTTTTGTGCGTCCTGGGCCGCTTGCTTGAATTTGAGCATAGCCATTTCGTATTTGCCGTTCTCACACTGCTCCAGCAGCAAGAGGAACGTCAGCCATGCGTTGGAAGACACGTGTCTTTCAATGCGCGGAGGGCAGTGCGCAGCTATTTCGTTAATGATGTTGTGGAAACCATTCGTGTAGACGTAAAGTGCACGATACAGACGGTCGACTAGGTCCTTCGGCATCCCCATGCGATACAGTGAAAACCGATCCATCCCTGCGCGACGAAGCGGACCTCCGTCTCCCCCCTTGCGGAAGGCAAAGGCTTCGGAATCAACATCCAACTCGTCGTCATTCGGACTTTTCAGCATCGACGCGATGTCGCTGACAGGAAGGAGAAATCCTCCGTTTGTCTCCAAGTGCAGGTTCACCCATTCTTCAGCGATGACGGAGTCGTACAGGGCTGGAGTCATCCCCGCCTTCGACATCGGACTTGATATGCTCATTGTGTCGGAAATAGTTGGGGGTGCATCGTTGTAGTTGCCTTCGTTCTTGCCTCCAGGTGACCTCGGCCCGGTTGGACTGTTGGCACCTTGAGTTTTAGCGTTCAAGGCTCGATTGTTCATCGCAGCCAGCGTTTCCCTATTGATTCTAACGATCTCGCTCTCAGCCGGAGGAATTACTATGGCCAGCCGAGCACTGATCGCTGCCAGAGTAGCGGTAGGATCTGTTTGCGCGGCAAACAAACACAGTTTTTTTCGTATCGTCAGACTACACGGCGCTGATAGTTGGACGAAAGACAGTTAGCAACTCTACCGATGTTGAGTAAGTTTGCATGTTGTTTGGTAGGGGAGCGCCTTGGACTTCTCGGACTTGTTTCACTCTTATTGCGGCTGGTTGGTGAAGCCTCCGGCGGGGTTATGGTCAAGGACAGCTCATCAACTCCAGCATCCTGCTCATTGTTCGACTCTTGTGTTGTTACGTCGATGGAAGGAGCAGCTCCATCCTCATCTTCCATCGTGCGTTCTTGAATGCAGCGTGACTTATTAGCCTATTTGCA